CCCTTCCAATCCCCTCCCGCCCAGAGCGATCGGTTTCAAGGACATTTCAGATGACAACTGCTTCTACTATGGGTGCTTCCACTGACACAGCCCAAATGGATTTAACCTCTCATTCAAAGGTTGGAACTGGAAAATGGGGGAAAGACACATTTTTAGAAGTTGATTATTTTTGTTTAAATCTGCCATTTGTCCCATTGGGGTTCCTAGAGCAGTTTATGAAAAATGCATGTAAAATGGATTTTTAAAGTTTTTTTTAAAAAAAATAATATTCCAGCTGCACAAGAAAACCATCCGATTATCATCTCCACAGAGGAGGGGTAGTTAGCCTGACAACCCAATTTTTGTCAGCAGAGGGAGGACCCAGGAGCCTGTTTCCCATTTTCCTCAACTGGCATGGCCATCCCCCAGCCACCTCTCGCCTTTTTTAATAACAAAAGAGGCTATGCCATCAAGGGTGCAATCAATGGCTGTTAGTCATGATGGCTATACAGTGGTACCTTGGGTTACAGATGCTTCAGGTTACAGATGCTTCAGGTTACAGACTCTGCTAACCCAGAAATAGTACCTCGGGTTAAGAACTTTGCTTCAGGATGAGAACAGAAATTGCACGATGGCGGCACGGCGGCAGTGGGAGGCCCCATTAGCTAAAGTGGTACCTCAGGTTAAGAACAGTTTCAGGTTAAGAACGGACCTCCAGAACGAATTAAGTTCTTAACCCGAGGTACCACTGTATATTACATACAATATTGGAGTCACTATGCCTCTGAATACTAGTTGGTGGACAGCACTATTGCACTCCACATGTTCTGCTTCTGAGCTTCTTCTAGGCATCTGATTGGCCACCGTAGGAACAAAATTCTCAGCTAGGTAGGCCACTGGTCTGGCCAAGCAGGGCTCTTCTTAAGTTCTTAACCCCAAGTGCATCACTTCCTGAGGTGCATCACTTCCTGTAATGAAGCTAAAACATCTCTTCAAGGTACCATTCATTCACAGTTGAGCAGAACTCTTCGCTGTGTGCTTGGCATTTGGTTGAGAACATTTATACTTTGTGTGTAAATTCACCTTACAACTGGGCCCTCAGATTTAAAACGAGTCTTCATTACAAGTAGTATAAGACTTAAAATAAGACTTAAAAACAGTTCTTAGCTTCACCTGCAAAAATGCTCAAAGAGGAGGGGAGGAAGAAATAAGGTGTGCCTTTCTACCCTTCAGTGCTTACCGCATTACTGTCAAGAGCTCTGGCTTCTGCCACTGTCACCCCCTACTTCTTAGAAAGGGAGGAGATATCAGTTGTTGCTTGGGTAATGACGGTAGCTTGACCTATTCCTGTCCGTGTTTGATGTTTGCCCTGACTGTCTATGGTTGTCATGGAGATCTGGCAGCTGAACTGATGTTTTGAGTGGCAGCAGGGGGTGTCCCAGAGATTGAGAGGTACTGGTGGGGGTGCTGTCTCCAGCATTTGATGTGAGAATTCACAGTTCTCCGCTTGAAAGGGCTTGGATTTCAGGGTGGGTCTGCTAGTCTGAATTCTTGATGGGGTGTTCAAGCACTTTGAGCATCGCTCCCCTCTGTGTGGCACACAACATGTCACTGGCGCTTGGAGATGGAGAGGGGCAGATGAACTGAAACTAGTTCATCTGCCCCTTGCATTGCTCCTAGGTCCAGGGTCCTGCTGGTCTTTTCTTGCTGCAGCCTGCCTCCTTCAACCTAGCCAGGGAACTGGGAGGTAAAGCCAGATGATAAGCCCTTGAATAATGTCACATGAAACCTTCCTTTACTACTGGGTCTAGAAAAGCATTGCTGGCTCCATGTAAGCTGCTCCCAGATAATGCCAATGGGCAAAGGTTCTCCGTATTCTCTAGTATTTTGTCATTGGCACCCATCCCAAATTGCAGTTTTCACTGTTGACAGAGGATCAAAGTGGGCAACTGCGTTTTAGCCTTTCTGAGCTAGTCACACATATAATTGAATTGGGTGTCCTCATAGTGCAGTTCTACCATACTGGATAGGCCTTACCGCCACAAAAGGATGTAGCCTTAGTAAAGTGACTACTCCCCTTGTAGTCTAATGTACCCAACACATGATTCTTTTTTTTTTTAATGATATTTATTAAAATTTCAGAAGAAAAAGATTACATTAATAAGAAAAACACATGATTCTTAGGCCTATTTACCCTGCACCTAATGTGCTCCCACCACTGGATTGGGAAGTAATGTGGGACATACACAAACCAATAGTCATAATTCACATCTACCCTGTCTACATTTTGATATATTTCCCCCAAACTGGTTCAATCTGAATTGAGAAAAAGAACAAGCTAGCTGTGTTATGTATACACAGCCTTAAATGGGATCAGAAAAGTGATGAAATAACTATTCATTTTACTGCATTTTTAGGCCACCTAACAACAAAGTTATCAAGGACAATTACGATAAATGTTTATTTTTAGCAGTGACACTAATTTCCAAGTGGAAACTCAATGCCACCTTCCGCTCAGGTTGATGAAAATTCAAGTGCTTAAAATGGAAGAACAATAGTTGATTGTTTACTTCTATGTCTGAATTTATATCATATTTTCTCCCAAATAGGCAGTTTTCTTGTTGAAAATATTCCTAGCTTTTGCTTTTAGGACATACATATATCAGGCCATAATCCACATATTCTACAACAGTAACCAAGAGCAAAAGAATTCAATGAAGCCACAGAATTGTATAAAAGAACAATAGTTCATCTCAATACAGTCAAACCTAATGTTACGTTTGCTTCAGGTTGAGCGTTTTTAGGTTGTGTCCTGCAGCGACCCGGAAGTACCGGAAAGGGTTACTTCTGGGTTTCGCTGCTCGCGCATTGTTTATATGGCTGCAAAGGATTAATATGGCTGCATTAGGATACTGGGCAAAGGTACAAAACTGCTCTGTATATATTTGCAAGGATCCTACTTTATAATATATTTGGCTTATCAGCCGAAAAGCACATTTTGTACTTTCTTATTTTATACACTGTTTTACAGAGAGTACATGCATATCATTTAAAATTACCTGGTAGCAAAAAACTGTTACCATGAGCTTTTAAAGCATTGATCTTGTTGGCTGGGGGCAGGGGAAGCACTGATCTGTTGGCTGAGCAAATATTTTTTCCTGTAAGCTACAGAAAGAACCACTTAGATAGGGCAAGTCATAGTGAACAGAGGCGGCTTCCACAAATGGTGGGTCATTCAGATCAGATTTTTCTGTGTAAGCATTTGACAAGTTAGCTTCCCCACATTCCAGCTTCTTCATTTATAATATTCATTGTTATTTTGCCGCTGGCCGTCACACATCAGTGGGTGAAGTTTGGTAGACTGTATTTGGGCTGCATTTTTCTGTTCCTTTCAGCAGTCATGGCAGTTATCTTGCGTTAAAATGAGGAAAAACAGAGGGTTGTGGGTTTTTTTTTAGGGGGGTGCATTTATTTATTTATTTATCTTAAAACTGAGATCTACTGCAAAAGCGATAAAGGCTTTGCACAAGGCCACTGTAGTAACTTTGATCATCTTATGCTGGGGTGGAGGCCATGGCAGCAACATCCATGATCATGGGCGTAGTCGGGGGGGAGTAGGGGGGCAGCTGCCTTCCCCCTAAATCAATAAAAATCAATAAAAATACATAGCAAACTGAGTTTCTGTCCCCCCCCTAACAAAAATCCTGGCTAAGCCTATGTCCATGATCATCCGGATTTTCACTGTTTTATGAGGATACTTTAAGGAAATGTAAAAGAGACACTGTTGAAGTGGCCTGGCAAAAAAGGAACTGGACAGATGCTGAAGAATTCAGAAAGGATTTTGAAGAGAAACCAATGTATCTATGGTAATGGCTGAATTGCCTTGCACCATGTAGAAAATCCAAGCCGTATGGAAACTGCTATTAGTCTCCATCTGTACAGCCCACCCTTAGAAGCTTGCCGCACTTTTGACCAAAGCACTGGACACAAGCATAGTAAGTTTTGACTCCATATGCAACATCAGTTTCACAAGAGAACAACAGCTGACATTCCTGCATTGCAGAGGGTTGGACTAGATGACCCTCATCGTCCCTTCCAACTCTACAATTCTATGATGCTATGAAAAGTATGAGCCCTGCTGGCTGTTTTTCTTCTTCTTTTTAATTACTTTGCTGTTGTCTTTTGTTGTTGTTGTTTGTTTCTGTTTTTGCAGGATCCACTGGTGTAAATCTGCTCCCTTCCTCTGCTCTGGCCACTGACAGTGCTCTGTCTGCACAAGTTGGTCATTGATGTGTCCTTCCATATGTTTTGTGTGTATGTGTGTGTGTTAGACAAATAGCATATCTGAAATCAAAATTAGGTTAATTTAGAGAGCAGGCAAGAGAGTAGAGTCCCTGGAATTTATTAGCAAGAGATTCCTGCTGCAGGAGCACCCCCAAGTGGGAGAACAACCAACACCAGCAGCAAAGCTGGAGAAGAGCAGGAGCCTGTATGCAGCAGGAGTGTATACAGCACTCTGCAGCGCCATTGCTTGCAGTTCACTTGACCCTTATAAAAGGCAACCCAGTGGGTCTTGGAGAGCCAGGTTCAGATCCACACACAGCCAACAAAGCTCAGTGAGTCACCATGGACCCAGTCATTTTTAAAATTTGTTTGTTTGTTTGTCCCAGCCACTCTGGGCAGCTCCCAACAAAATACTAAAAACCACAATAAAACATCAACCATTAAAAACTTCCTTGAACAGGGCTGTCTTCAGTTGTTTATTTTCTCTCTCACACACCTTAATCTACCTCACAGGCTTTTTGTGAGGCTGCATGTATACCGCCTTGAGCTCTTTGAAAGAAAGGCAGGATATAAAATTTTTTTGCTCAGTCCGAGGCTCTGAACCAAGAGCCATAGAGGAAACAATATGCAATGGCTGTAAAGAGTTAAATCAGGTACATGTACTTGTGACCATAGAATCTTAGAGTTGGAAGGGATGATGAGGGTCATCTAATCCAACCCCCTGCAAGGCAGGAATCTTTTGCCCAATGTGAGGCTTGAACCCACAACCTCGAGGATAAGAGTCTCATGCTCTGCCGACTGAGCTATGCCAGTTCTTCAGAGATCCATTAGAACACAATTCAGAGGGACTGTAAACTAAAGCACATCATTGGAAAAGTCCCCTGGAATAGCTGCATAATGTCCCAAGAATTCAGCCCCACAATATCAGTCAAAATCTTCTTTGAGGGAAGGGTACTCCTTCTATCCAGCACATTTGCTTAGGGAAGGAAACCCATGCGTGTCTTACATGTGTTGTGACTTCATTAAAGCTGGAGAGCTGGCAGATATGAGCTAGATGAAAACCTTGGAGAAACCTGGATTTCAGTTCTACTCTAGGCACCAACTTGCTCAAAACAAGTTATTTATTTGCAAAATAGGGATTTTGAAAAGGACCTACCTCATAGGAATGTTGTGAGAAACAAGGGGGGTAAAAACAATATACATCACATCTAGATTCAACTGCTATATGCAACAGTGATAATAAAATAAGGGCTCTGAAGTAATTTGTGTGTATTTTCAATCCAGTATTCATCCTCACTTCAACCTGTGGCGCTAAATTATTTTCTCAGAAATAGTCTTAATTGGTAAAGCATATGAATTTTATTCTGACAACAGGGTGCACAATGTTTTCACAAATGCTGAGTTAGTAAACAAGGAAACAGAGGTTCATATGAGCTTATAAAGGCCAGAGGAATACGTGCTGAAGTAGAGGGAACAGATATTAAGATAAGGCATAACTAAACAGAGAGCCGTGTTTAGAACAAAAGTCAGACAGCCACTTGCCATTATGTAGGTACACCATGTCTAACATCTCTGTATGGTTTCCCCAGCCTTTCGCACATACTGTGCTGCACAATTTCTGCAACCGTGACAACTGGAAAATTGATTTCTATCTTAAAGAAAAACAGCAAAAAACACTGAGGTTGTCAGGAAGCAAATCCCCACACCAGATTCAGGTATGCTTACAACCACAATAATTGCAAAGTGAGAATCTGACCTAGCAAGCCAAAGCATATTTACTCAAAAGTAAGCCCCATCTTGTTCCAAAGAGCTTTCTCCCAAGTAAGTGGGCATAGGATTGCAGCCTGCTCGTGAAAACAGACATTCTAATTCCCTGCCCTGGCACAAACACCTCATTATGCAGAGAATATAGAATCAGAGAGTTTGATCTCACCTGCAAATGTGATTATTCCCTGTTCTATGCTTTAGGGCAGAATCCTACACTGAAGCTGTGCTGGCTGATGGGCTGCAGCAGGGATGGGAAATCTTCAGCTGGAGGGCCATATTCTCTCATCGACAACTTTCTGGGGACCACATGTGGGGCAACAGATGTGATTCTTACCTTTGTGTAGGAGGGTACGTTCCAGTAATGCAAAAACCAGAGGTTTCCTCACTCCCCAAATTTTTCTCTTTATCCTCCCTCTAGGCAACCACGATTCAAAGACACATTCCTGGAAGGCAAAAGCACTTGAGGGCATTGGTGAGAAGGGTCCAGCCAGAGAGACCTAGAGGGCTGCATATGAACCCTAGGCTTCAGGTTCCCCATCCCTGCGCCATAGGATATGGTGCAAGACTCCTTACGCTGGCGATGCCGACGGCGACACACATAAGTTACAGTGGTGGAACACTCAGACGCGCTGAAAACGGAGCCTTAAAAGTCATGGGTAGGACCAGTGGTTTGTGTGTGTTTTTAAAAATTGTTTAGGGGTACTCTCATTTTCCTATTGATATTGAAATACTGCCCCTCTATGAGGCCAAACTGAGTCACAAAATGTTTAGGAGTATGCGTCCCACCAGAAAAAGGCACTTGGTAGGCCTTTGGTTGCACAGAGCAGGAACACACTTATGCCAACTGCAGGGGGTTGGACTAGATGACCCTCGGGTCCCTTCCAACTATAGTTCTGTGATTCTATGAAAAGGTGGCTTATTATGGCAAGCATCGCGTTTGCAACGTACGGCCAGCTCTCCGCGCCGGCGGCGGACCTCTGAAGCGGCGTCCCGGGCCCTACCGAGAGCTGCCTGCAGAGGGGGCTCCGCCCGCCACTTCCCTTCCCAAGGCCCAGCAGGCCCAGCGCAGCCGGGCGGGGCGGGGCCGGTTCTTGCTAGAGAGGGAAGCGGCGTGGGTTTCGTTCTTTGGCCGGGCCGGAGCAGGGCAACCATGCAGGTAGTATAAGCTTGAGGGGGCTTTGCTGAGAGGGACGGGGGCGGCAGGAGCGCGGAGGGTCTCTCGGGAGGCCTTGGGGCGTCCGCGCAGAGGCGAAGCCGGGTTGCTCCGGTGCCCCCTCGTGACTCGCTCCCTTTCCTTCCGCAGGCGAGCTCCAAGCAGGCGGCGCAGGAGCTGCTCAAGTTTATCAGCCGGAGCCCCTCCCCTTATCACGGTAAGACGGAGCCCGGGACCGGGGGCTTCACGCCCGGGAAGTACTTCTCCAACGGGAGGTCTGCCATGCATTTAAAGCACATGTCTTCCTCCTGAAGAATCCCAGGAACTGGGTGTTGGGAATTGTAGCTCTTCCGAAGGAGTAAACTACACTTCCCAGGATTCTGTGGAGGGGGGGTAAGCAGTGTGCTTTAAATGCGCGGTGTGATGGGTGTAAATATGCACAATTGGGGGGGGGGGGGCGGAGGGTACATAAGGAGATAACAGAAATCACTGGGTTAAAGCTGGCCGAAAGTCCAGCAGTACCATTATTATCAATTTATGATGGCGTGGAAGGTTCACAGGCTGGGAAGGATTTGCTCACAAATTTATTGACAGTTGCACGAGTTATTATAGCTAGGAACATAGCTGTCAACTTTTCCCTTTTCTTGCGAGGAATCCTATTTGGAATAAGGGAATTTCCCTTTAAACAAGGGAAAAGTTGCCAGCTATGGCTAGGAAGTGGAAAGTGGCAAGGTGGATATAAAATGGAAAAATGGTATAAAGTGGTGTGGGATATAGCCATTAATGATATATTAATATGTGCTATTAAGGTAAGATGGGTTGTATGCAGGAGAAATGAATTTGAGGAGATATGGAAAGTGTTTGTAGAATTCGTACTGTTAAAACGGAAAGGGGTCAAACCATCGCAAGAGGTGTTGAAATTTTGGGAGGTTGGATAGTTACCATGGAATGGTCTCGGGGGTGGGGTGCACATTTTTATTCTTATTTATTTATTCTTATTACTCTATGTCAAAATAAAAAATAAAATTATATTAGAAATAAATAAATGTGAGGTGTATACATTCTAGTCAAGAAAAAGCAGAGCCATTAGGACTGTGGAGTGGGTAAAGGCCTGAGGGCCAGATAGAGACCTTGGATGCTGCATTCAGCCCTTAAGCCTGAGGGCACCCACCTTTAAGATCTTCTGCTGAGACTGTGGTCACACTTGCACCATTAAGCACTCTTATAGCAGTTTAACTTACATGGAGAATCCTGGAAACTATAGTTTATGGGTGCTGAGAATTGTAGTTCTGTGAGATCAGCACCCTTAACAAATTGCAGTTCCCAGGATTCCTAGGGGGTTACAATGACAACAGCGGTATGAATGTTTTAAATGTATGGTGTAGATGTAACCTCTCCAGGTGACCACTGTGTCAGATGTTTGGCATCCAGCAACAAAATAAAGGGCTTTTAGCAGCCTATAGTCCCCCTGGGAGCAACCTTCCTAAATTGCCTTACCTGGTACTTATGCTCTCTTTTTGGCACCAGGCAGGGGAAAAAATGTTATTTGCCCAATCATTTCTAACTTGTAACTTGAGTAGCTTTTAAGGATTTTCATCCATCTTACTGTATTTGTACTGTGATACAAGTTGGTTGTTCACTACCTGAAATTCTGGATAAGTTGGTATTTAAATGTTTTTAATAATAAAACTTTTGGAAGATTATGGGATGCTTTTCATTCCACTTTCATAATTTTCTGCAGAACTTTAATGCACGCATCATGTTCCTTATCTGCAAGTCTTGGTGAGCATAATGTGCCATTCATTGAATCATCTGTTTCATTTCCCTTGTAGAGGCTCAAACAGGTTCTGCTTGATTCAAGGAGGTTCACTGGAGCATTTTAAAATACAAGGAGGGTGGTTTATCTTCTCCACTGTATTGGATGCTCAGTGGGCAGAAGTACAAGCTCAGGCTTGTATTCAGCTAAATTCTGCTCAGAGTAAACCCATTGAAATAAATAAATCCAAGTTAGTCATGCCCATTAATTTCAGTGCATCTGATCTGATCTGGACTAGCACTGAATATTACCCACCATTCTTTGTTAGGGTTTCACACTTAATTCTGATCGTTGTGTGGAGATGTCACAAGAAACATTTCTAGGGAAGGAGCTTTAGAAGGGTAAATGCTTGAGCCCTGTGCACATGAGAATTTATTTACTACAAGTGCTTTTTCTCTGTACCCTCTTTGGCTCAGTCTGGCCTCGCCTTTCCTCATGTGTTTATCTTGCTTTCCTTAATACATTTCTTGTTTGCTCTCTGTGGACATCTGAACCCAAAGGGTGTTCTGAGCAGTTGCCTATCCTTCCGTGTGCAGGGGCGGCAGCAAATCCTAATCATTTCTGTGAAGGTGTGGTAACATGGATGTTCATCTGCAGAGGCTGGAAAGCCCCAAAAGGCTTTGTAGCTGAGGCTATGCTTGCTGCTAGGGTAGGGTAAGCAAGTCAGGATGATAACATTACAATATGACTCTCGCACTTGAGTTCAAGAGTACAAATAGGCCTGTGAGTGCAGTTTAAGCTGCATCATGCTGATTTTGGTTTTTTTGGCAGGGATGCGGGGTATCATTCAGAGTCTCATGTGTCGGGGGAAATTTCATAATTCATTTACCTACCTATACCCCAGTCTTTCAAAGCTCTGCCATCAAAACTTGTGGGACAGTGAATTCCAAGTAGGGAGCCTGCCACAGAGAAAGACCTTGTAAGCCCTCCTAAAAACCAATAATAATAATAATAATTTTTTTAAAAAAAAAATTTTACTGTTTATATCCCGCCCATCTGGCTGGGTTTCCCCAGCCACCCTGGGTGGCTCCAAAACAAATGTACCCAGTGAAAGACTACCTACAAGCTGACCTTAGGACTCAGTCATATTGGGAAGAGGCGGGACCTGAAGGTGTATGTTCCCAAGCCATAAAGGGCTTTGAAGAATAGCCAGCACCTTGAATTGAACTTGGGGATGGACCAGCAGCCAGTGCAGCTGGTATAATAAAGGGGATCCCAGGTTCCCAGCACTTGTCCCAAGTTAAATTTCTGGGAGGAGAATTCTGCATCAGCTGAAGCTTTAGGCTATCCCCAAGTGAAGAGCATTACAGTTATCCCAAAATTGGGGAGGGGGAAGCTGTCCCACAAACTTCCACCTTATTCAGGGCAGGCAAATATCTCCTTGAAGCCTGCTTCTGCATGCAGATTGGCCAGCTGGGGGTGAGTGTCTTCATGCCCCCTTCATGACTGCTTGCGTTTTCCTCTCTTGCAGTGGTGGCAGAATGTCGGATCCGCCTGCTTCAGGCTGGTTTCCAGGAGTTGAAGGAAACAGAACACTGGGATATCCAGCCTGACCGAAAGGTGAGGAAAGAGAGTGGCTTCTTCCTTCCCTTTCTTATTTGGGAATTGGGGTGGTGGGAGAAGGAGTGGGGTGCTCCAGATGAGGTCTCTGCCAGGCACCCCATCTAAGGAACTGGATAAAACACTGATGTCTCCCACTCTTTCTTTAACCCCTCCTCCCCATACTAGTATTTTGTGACCAGAAACCTCTCGACATTGATCGCCTTTGCTGTTGGGGGACAGTACCAGCCAGGCAATGGCTTCAGCTTGATCGGAGCCCACACAGACAGTCCATGTCTGCGGGTAAGCAGCAACCCCCCCCCCCCAATACTGCCTAGCATGCCCCTAGGTACTCTTTAGCATTCCTTCCTTCCTGCAGCCCTCTGTTGTCTCAGTCCTGCATTATTTGTCGTCTCCCCCTTTGCATTGAACAGGCCTGTCCCGATACCCAATATGGATGGTGTGGGGAGCCTATGCCCCCCCCCCAGATGCTGTTGAATTCCACCTCCCACCAGCATGCCCAGTAGTCGTGGTGAGAGGTAGGACTCCCAACAAAAACTGGAGGGCCACAGGTTCCCCATTCCTGCAAATACTGTTTTCGGCCGTTCCTTTTGCCTATGTTATTGGATCGCCAGTGTTTGCAGAATTGTGATAAACTTGCTTCCTCCTCCTGGCAGCAGTCTGGACAACATCCCTTTGGATTTGCCTTCTTCCACTCCTTTTTTGAAAAAACAACAACTGTTGGTTGGGATTTTTTAACTGGACTTATTGAAATGCATCTTTTAATACTAAAGAAAAAGCAATGGACCAAATAAATGCATACAGAATACCAACCAATTGAGTGCATAACTTGGTATATATGTATAGGGTGAATGTAACTGCAAAAAATCCAAAGCTGCCACCCACTCTTATGACAATAACTCTGGCCCTATTTCTTGTTGTTGGGTCAGTTCCTTACAATTTGAGGAGCTAATTCAGTGTGTGCTGTTGGAATATACGTATGAATGTCCTTGTGTGTCCTCCAGGTGAAACGCTGCTCAAAACGTAGCCAGGAGGGCACAGTCCAGGTGGCTGTGGAGACATATGGAGGGGGCATCTGGAGCACCTGGTTCGACCGTGACCTCTCTGTTGCAGGAAGAGTCATCGTCAAGGTTAGTCCTGGCCGAGGCCCTGCACTGTGGTGTATACGATGTGACTTTAGGAGCTCTTCAATGCTTAGGTTTTTCCAACTGGAAGAGACCTGACTTTACCTCCAATATTGCAGCCATGTCACATTAGGGCAGGGGTGAGGAACACTTGCCAGCCTAAGAGCCAAATTCATTTCTGGACAGCCTTCCAGTGGCCACATGCCAGTGGGGGGGGGCAGAGACAAAAAGCGCACAAAGAAGCTAATGCAGTTTTTATCTTTGGACAGCTGAGTAATTTACACACACACACACACACACACACACACACACATAGACCTCTCTATCTTCTATCCAGACACCCACAAGGTATTATCAGAGGACTGTCACGGCTGAAAATTGGCCGCTGTTTCTTTAATGCTTAAAAAGCTGGGTCAGCATGAGTCAGCAGCCTGCACCGTATATATAGAGTGAGAAATGTTAGTTAGTTGGTTGGGTTGGTTGGTTGGTTAGTTAGCGAAAGCTGGTAGTGTTGATGTGTGTACAGTTGGTCAGTCGCTTTTGCAGAAAGACTTTTAAGAATAAAACTCTGCAAGGATACTTTTCTCGTGGACTCTTTTATGCCGACAAGGGTCCGAGGACCGGGCTGAGGCAACAAAGGGAGGTCAGAACCCTTTCTTTTTGTTTTTTTACAAACACTGACAAGGACATATTCCAGTTAGGAAGAAACACTCGAGGGCAGGAGGTAGACCTACTAAAGGGTGTGGCTGAGGAGGGAAGAGTACCAAGGGCCAGATAGAGAAACTTGGTGGGTAGGGTTGCCATATTTCAAAAACCAGGACACCTCCAAAATTGTTGAGCCAAAAGAACTTGCCTAAGATCCAGGACAAAGCGCCACCTTTCGGAAATCTCTCCCCCCTTTGAAATCCAGATAATGTCCGGGAAAATCCAGAAATATGGCAGCATTGGTGGGCTGCATTGGCCTGAAATCCAGGCCTGAAGTTTCCATCACCTGCACATCAAGGCCTATTCTTATATTTCCTCTGCAGCCTGGGAGCTGCTGCAGTAGGACTGGTGAACTTGGCCTTCTAGATGACATTGGATTCCCACCATGCATCATTCCTGATCATTGGCCACACTGGTTGGGGCTGGCAGAAGTTGGGAGACTCCCAACAACATCTGAGGGCCAGATGTTGTCCTGTCCTACAGCATGATGTCTTCGGTTGCCACTCCAGTAATGTGAGAACCTTGGGGTCACATGGCTGAAATTTGAACGTGGCTACTTCCTCTCCACCACTGCCCTGGGTTAGGTGTGAGAAATAGCTCAGTTTCCAGAAGTTCAAACTCTAGATAGCTCTGTTGCCCAGTTGTTGCTTTTTTTGTTTGGGGTTCTTGCTATTATATGCTGTTAAACTGAAGATTTTAGTTGGTTGTCTTGGGGTTTTTTTAAGTAGTTTGTTAAATGCTAACATGAATTGACATATTCTGAGGGTGCTTGATGAAGGAAACTGAAGTGTTTATCATGTGGAATAATCAAGCTGCATGCATTGCATTGTTTTGATTGAGACTGAGATACAACAAAGGTGCCAACAGCGAATATCCTTCCCTGGAGACAAAGTCCATAAAAGTGTTATTAAAAACCAGCAATTTTAATCTTCTGTTTAATGAATTACCCGATCACTGCTTTCTGCCCTGGGAAACATGAGTGTGTTCAGTGGAGCTGGTTGCCTAGCTACACTTGAGTAGGACTGTAGTCTAGTTCAAAGTGTGTCATACTTTGCATACTTTAAAGTACTTGTTTGAATATGACCGAAACCAAAAGCAATGAAGAGATGAAAGTTCTGATCAAAAAGATGTTGGGGGCTTTGTTCCATTCTGCAATTCTGTTCACACCTACACCTACCTGAGATTAAACCACATTAAACCAAGTGGAGATGAGGTTCCTGCAAGCATAGGTGCATGGTCTGTGCAGGCCAGAAGATTTATTAGGGAAGTGGGAATGGAAGGGTGCATAGTTATGGTGACACTCTTACCAAATTGAAATGTGAAAGTTTCTAAAAGTTCCTCCAAACTCATGTTCTAAAATGCTGTCATAAATGCTCTTAGTTGGCATATTTTGAGAACAAGGGTCTCTTTTTTGCATTCTTTCTGATTTGCTTAAAGACAGACGCTCAGGGCTGAAACAGATCTCTTCTTCTTTTTGTTGTTGTTTTTAAACAACTTTAAAGGAGGGAGGATCTCCCATTTTCATCCAAGCCAGCAGCATAGGGGGAGGGAAGTATTCACACCCCCACCCCTCTACCTCTGAAAGCACTAATTGTCTGTATTGGTGAAACCATGGGCAAAGTTACACTATTGGTCCAATCTTTTCCAGTCTCTCCCCTCCCCCTGCAAAGCTGCCTCCCCCCCCCCCCCGCATGGGCACTTTTGTTAGATTATTCATGATAGCTCTATTTTCCAGAAGGGCCATATCTTGGTGGAAGATCACCTGCTTTGCAATTAGATCCCTGGTTTGATCTCTGGAATTTGCAAGTTGGGCAGCGAAGGAGTCCTTCTGCCAGTCAGTGTAGACAACACTAGGCTGGATGGACCAGTGGTTCAATGAGAGCCTTTAGCTCCCAGCTGCTGCCTTAATCCCACTCTCCTGTTCCTCCCCTCTCCCACATTATGCCAGTGGGTGAAAGTGGCAGAATGGTGTTTCCTGCTTGGCAGGGGGTTGGACTCGATGGCCCTTGTGGTCTCTTCCAACTCTATGATTCTATGATTCTATGACACACGCCCTACACTGATGTCTGTTTTCCATTTCTGTTTTCCATTTCCCTTCTGTTTTCCATTTCAGGACCTGTTCACAGGGTGCCTGGAGCAGCAGCTGGTGTGGGTGGAGCAGCCCATCCTCCGCATCCCACACCTGGCCATCCACCTCCAGCGCAATGTGAATGAGAGCTTCGGGCCAAACACAGAGCAGCACCTGTGAGTGTGTAAACTGCTGTTCCTCTGTGCTCATATATTCCATGGTGGGTTGGGGCGAGGGGCAGCAGGCCTGGCTGGCACTCCTGTCATTTGCCTTTCAGCAAGAGAGTCAGCTGCAGAGTTTGGTCCCCTTGGGTGATTGGGAATGACCTTAGCTCACAGGAAGACCATCTGCTTGGCATGCAGAAGGTTCCAGGCTCAAGATCCCCAGCATCTCCAGGGGTGGGGGCTGGGAATGGTCCCTGTCTGAAGCCCTGGAGAGCCACTGCCAGTCTAAACAGCACCAAGCTCGGTGGACCTGACTTGGAATATATGACAGCTTTCTGTGTTGATGCAATACTTTTCTGTGCTTTAGGATTGCCTAGAGAGGCCCTGCTCTGGATTATGTGTATAAGTCGTATCAGACGGGCTGGGACTGGAGGGCTTGCTGGCACCCCATCTTTATTGGTTTTTTTACTTCCAATATTTATAGACCACTTAATGTTTTGAGTTCCTAAGCAGCGTACATAAGTTTTTTTAAAAAAACTACACCTTATAGAGAAAAAGAATAATTAAAATACATTGTAAAAGCAGAAAACCAGTGGGAAATGCCTGCTGAAATGATGGTCTTTGTCACGTGCCTGTCTAAGTTTTAACCAAGCCATACCCACCTGCCCTACACCTGGCCTGTGTGATCAGCATTGCCTGCCAAGCCTTGTGTATAGCTCCTTGCATGGCTCTGTGCCAGCCCCAACAATCAGAGCTGTGCATAGTGCGCTGGAACCCTGACGCTCAGCTGATTGTCAGGACTTCAAAGCTTCATGTACCGCACAAGCAAGAAAGTGGCCCACCTGACATCGTTGTGACACCAGGTGGTTGAAAATGGGGGGGCCCCGCCAGCATGTCAAACTTGGCCCATGGAGATGATAAGGATCCAGGCTGCTGGCTGGATCCAGTTCTCCACCCCTAATCTAGAGGACCACAGGTTCCCCAGCACTTGGCTCTTGGACCATGCTACCAATATGATGGGAGGGGATGTGATGGCAATGGGCGGGGATGTTCCCTGAGAAAAAAGGTGAGGCGTAGTTACAGAGTTTCTTGCTCTGCCGGGGGGCTGACTTTCACCAAGTGGCTTCTTTGGAAGTGTTTTGTGCTGTTGGGTCTTGGTGGCTCTGTGGGCTCCAGTTGCTTCTTGGAGCCAAATTTCCCAGGAAGCAGCAATAATGAGCAAGCCAGTTAAACAGCCAACACACCTGCCGTTCCCAGGGTCCCAATTCTGGCCACAGAAGTCCAGGAGGCCCTGGAAAAGAAGACGTCCAAGACAGACACAGCTTGTACCTCATCTCTCCAGGTAAGACCGGGGGGCGGGGGGACGGGACACAAGGACGCTGTTGAATTGGCTGGAGAGGTGCAGTAGGCAAGTCCAAAACAAAGGGGAGAATTGACAGCTTTCCAGAGTGGAGTATGTCTCTTTTACCTTCTCACAACTTTTCTTTCTCACAGAGTCGTCACTCTCCAGCCCTGCTGGCCCTCCTCTGCTCCCAGCTGAAGGTGAAACCGGAGCAGGTGGTGGAGATGGAGTTGTGCCTGGTGGATACGCAGCCTCCTGTGAGTGCCCTTTTTTATTAAATAAATAGACAGACAGACAGACAGATAGATAGACAGACAGATAGTGCATTGGGGTTGGCAGTGGGGTTTTGGTTTTGGACAGAGCTAGCTTTCTAAGGTTCACATGGTTGAACTCATTACATTTTCTAGCTCCATGCAACTTTCCTTTAGCACAGCAATGGGGAACCTGCAAGCTTCCTACCAGCCAGCATGGTCAGTGGTGGGGGTTGTAGTCTAGCAAGATCAAGAGAACCACAGGTCCCCCACCCTTTGGTCTGAGAGAGAGAGGCGTAGAGAGAGATGCTTATTCCAGATTCTCATTCATCTCCTGGGGAAAGATCCCAGCTGCTACTCTCCAACCCGTTTGCAAAACCTGCAGGGAGAATGTGTGGTGTGGCAGACAGACTGAACCAGGGAAAGGTTGGTCCCAGGTCAGGATTTTTTCTTTCTGGTGAATCTTCCTCCAGACACTAGGTGGCGCCTTCAGTGAGTTCATTTTCTCCCCTCGCCTGGACAACCTCCACAGCAGCTACTGTGCCCTGCAGGTGAGTACTTTGTGGGGGGGGGGGGCGGGGGGGCGGGGTCAGAGATGAATCCTCTTCTGTGATCCATCAGTGCCATGCAAAGGAGCCATCCTCTAATCTGCTCTAATAACTTGTGTTTCCCCCAGAAATCACCTAGAACCTACTTCTAACCCTTGCTCTATTGTTTCGCATTCCATCCCCACCCCACCCCATGTACTAAAATCGCCCATTACTCTTGCAGCCAAAAGGTGGGGTGACCCATCTAACCACTTTGCATGGTGAAACTATTCCTATGTTTGTGGGAATGGCTGTGTGCAGAAATATACCTCTGGGACTCTCTCTGTGTGTAGCAACAGGTAGAGAAACATTTCAAATCTTGGGAGGAATTATGCAGAACCACAAGGGTTCCAGCTCAGATGAAATGGAATACTGTGGTTTACATGGAAGTTAACCACACATGCGGGGGGGGGGGAGGGAGGGGAGGAGAAAGTCAGAAGCAGCCAAGTGCAATGTTTATTTATGTAGCATCAGGCATGGGCCTTGGGTCTTTTGTAAAGTTTTGTCAGAAGGTAGGGCATTGACAGGTACAGCTTTGTTGCACAACAGCGGAAGCAGCATATGATTTTAAATTCTCCTTTTTGTGAAATGACTAAAGGCAGTTATCTACCCTGGTGACACTCTTCTCCCCCAGTACACCAGCTTTCTGACATGGGACTGCAGCTTAAGAGTTGAGCCCAAGGGAGTCCTTCCATTTGCTGTAGTCAGAGGTTCAAGACAGCTGGAAGCACAAAACTCACAGTCCCTGAGCTTGTATACTTTCCCAGATACCTAGGGTGGGCGTGGGGGGGGGGGGGACACAGACACCTAGTCAGAAGCCGTATGTAGGCTTTCGTGTGGTGCCAGAAGGGATCTAGCATTGCAGAGAAACTGGCACTTCTCTTTAAGAAGTTGGCTCAGTAGAGAACCTTTGCAAATGTTCAGGCCACGGAGGCCAATCTAACCTACAGACTGAAGAAAAATAGTTCAATTGTAAGTACAGAATTTAACGTACTGAGGACGTGAAGGGAGACTCTGACATGGTTTCTTTAAGAAGTCGGCTCACAAGATAGCAACGCATAGACCAGTAGCAAATATTTCTGTCCCAGGGCACTCCCTATCCTGCCCCATTAGGCACTCCCTAACCTTGTCCCCTTATGTTTTTCTGCAGGCTCTGATTGAATCCAGCGAAGGGCCTGGAGCTCTTGCCCAAGAGCCAAATGTGCGCCTGGTTGCACTTTACGACAATGAAGAGGTCAGTATGAGACAGTGGTGGATGAGCAAGGCTACATTCTGGGTACAAAAGAGGGAAGGGCCATAGCCCAGGGGTAGAGCATCTGCTTTTCATGCAGAAGGTCCCAGCTTCAATCCCCGGCATCTCCAGGTAGGAGAACTGCTCCTAACCAATGTAGACAATACTCAGCTAGGTGGATCAGTGGCGTGACTCGGTATAAGGCAGCCTTCTATGTTGCTGCAGAAGTGGAAAGTGAAATCCTGTTCTGAGCATTAGATGAATATTATTCTTTGGAGAGTGGCTCCACCTGGTTTGATAGATGATGAGGGGAAATGTTATGAGAAATTAAGGGGCAGCAACAGGTCTGCTCTCTGAAACATTATTAATTCATTTATGCAACACCTTTCTTCTAAGGAGCTCAAGGATGGCATTCCTGCTTCTCCCTGTCTCCATTTTATCCTCAGAACAACCCTGTGAAGTAGGCTCAGCTGAGGGGGACTGGCCCAAGCTCACCCATCAGCCTTGCTGGTTGAGCGGTGATTTGAGCCTTTGTCTTCCAGGTCCTAGTCCAGGGGTGGGAAATGTTTGCTCCTCCAGATGTTGCTGAGCTACGACTCCTGTTGTCCTTGACTGTTGCCCCTGCTTGATGGGGGCTGTATTTCAACAGCATCTAGAGGGGCAAAGGTTCCCTACACCCATCATCAGCCAGCATTCCTAACTGCTGCACCACACTGAGATGGGAGGTGGAATATTTCTAGCTTAAAAGGCTCTTCTTGCTGGCTCCTTTACTGACTTGATGTGACTTACCTGGCAGGTTGGTTCACAGAGTGCACAGGGGGCTGGTTCGCTCCTCACTGAACTTGTCCTTCGGCGCATCTCTGCTTCGCACCAGAACTTGACAGCCTTTGAGGAAGCCATGCCAAAGTCCTGCATGATCAGTGCTGACATGGCCCATGCCGTGCATCCCAATTATGCGTGAGTATGTTGCTGTGCCCAGCAGGAAGAAATGCATGAGGGTTTAGCAAGTATTTTACTAAATATTAGGCATTCTGCTGTGAATTTGCTGGCTTGCGGTACAAGCTGAAAAGTTGGCATCTGTTGTGGAATTCGGCTTTCAAAGAGGCTCTGCTTTCATTAAAAAATAAAATAAAATCTAGTCCCCATGGTTTTATAAATGAAATTGTTTGACACTTAAAACTGTAGGATAGAAACGCAAGCTGTCTGACTTACCAACTCTCAAACTTGAAAATCCTGAGGTCAGAAACATCTCTTTATCAGTTTAGGCTAATCTGCAAAATCCAAGTCATCGATTTAAAGGCCTTTCCCTCAATTATAACAAGGGAGTAAGGCTCCCTAAACTGTTGAGCAGAGGTCCTGGGCCTTGGATCCCTCCGGAGCAGAACTAGGGAATCTGCCCCCCCCCCCCCGCAGACATTGTTGGACTCCATATCCCATTAGCCCCAGCCGGCATGGCTGGTGGTTAGGGATGACGGGAGTTGTCGTCCTGCAACATTTGGAGCCACCCTCAGGGGTAGCGTTTTGGCAAAGGACATGGATTGAGGCAGAACCAGTAGTTATGTTCAGCCTTCCCCGACAAATGCACTTTCTCTCTCCCAGGCCTCGTGGTCCTAGAAAACAGTTTGGCGGTGTTGAAGGCAGCGTATGCTGAAAGTCAGAAAATGGAGGTGCTCTTCTAACTTCTGAGTTTGGCTTGTACTTGTTCCAGATGATGTACCCAGCGCTGAATCTGCCCCCTGGCAAATGGTGCCCTTGGGCTAGATGCAGCTCTTAGGCATCACTGTCAAGAGGGTCTTTCTCATCCTGCCACTGGCATATGGCAGTGCTACTCTTCCCCAGAATGCCTGTCTCTGCTCTAATAAAAGTCCTTTGTGCATAAATCTGCGTACAGGTGTTCTCACTGACACATCAGGAGTGCCACTCTACCCCCCCCAAAAAAACCCCTCCTTCTTTTGAAATTGCTCCCAGGCATTGAAATAACACCACATCTCTTCTTAGTTTAATTCCACTGTCTCTTCCTCGAAATTCAGCCTCATGTTTCTAAGAGTTTGGGATCTACTTGGCCAGGGTCTAATTTGATGCTCCCTTTTACAGTGACAAGCATGATAAGAACCACCGTCCAGAGTTCCACAAGGTAGGTGATGGGGCCACGTGGCAACAATAAAATGTGGAAAACTAAGGCAGACTCTGCAAGCAGTAGCAGAGTCGTCCTCAGCACAAGTTGAATGGGGGAGGTAGCAAAACTTACTCCTGAAACTTAATTCTTCTTTAAGACCTGATCACATTGGTTTTTAATACAGTACACAAATCTTTGCCTCTGAATGTAAGAATGAGCTTTCGGAGTGGGGGGGATTTGCTTTTGCTCCCGTGGCCTAGATGTTGGGAAGTATGCCAAAGGTTATTCAATTGCTGGAAACAACACGTTAGTTACAGTCCTGTCCTTTACAATATTGGTGATGTATACCTTACAGGCTGGAACTGCAACAGAGTGTTGTCGTGTGCAGCGCTCTTGTTCTGGATTCAGCCAGTTGCCCCTGCCTTTCTTATGGGGTGTTTCATTTTATTCCCCCTCGCCCATTATTCAGTATCGTGTGCCCACTGAGCAGGCTCAATCTTCCTTTGGCTTTTGGGTATTCCTCCCCCAAAATAAAAATATTGTAGCACTTCTGCAAACTTTAGGAGCTTGCCTAAGCCCCTTAAGATTTTGTATTGGGGTAGTGGTGCTGTTTTGCCTACATAAGCAATGACACTCACACCTAGCTACGGTAGATGGAAGGAATGATTATGCCAGTGGATTTTTCTGTTGTTGTATTTAGTGGGGCAGGGGGCTTGTTCTGGGACTTTGGATGTCTGGTGGCAAGCACTGGTCCCATCCCATGGCTGGGGGGCTCAAGGCGGTTGCTCGTCTCATGATCCCACAAGCCAGAAGAGCAGAGGGAAGAATGTCTGAAAGCCCAGAGAAAGACATGGGCCTATGCTTGTTTCTGTGTGGGATACATAGAACTACTGCATTATTCTGGGGCAAGATTGCCATAGGGTAGGTCTCTGCTTTCCAGTGGTTCCTTTTGGCTTCCACACCGCCTTCTTTCTGTTGCAGCTCATGTTTCGGGAAGCAAAGCTTTATGTTCTTGATGTGTGCAGACCACATCTCCTTTCTTAGTACATCTTTTTGTTCTGAATCCTCTGGTTTCTTGCGCAGGGCCCTACAATAAAAGTGAACAGCAACCAGCGCTATGCCTCTACTGCTGTCACCGAGGCCCTGATCCGAGAAATTGCCAGCCGTGTGGACGTCCCCCTGCAAGTAAGCATTGTTCCTTTCTACCTCAAGAGCTATTCCCAAGCTTTCCCCTTGCACTTAATGACTGCGGCCACTAGAGGGTGAGTTTGAATCGGCCAGTGTAGGGAAATACATAAGTGCTATGTCCCTGTACTGTAGATTCTGCAGCCAGGGACCAATGGGGCAAGATGCCCCATCTGCCGTTGGGGGACGGGAGATGGGACCAGAAATGGTGGGCCTTCAGGATTAAATGCTATGGAGAAGGCCTTACTCCTTATCTGAAGATGGGTTTTTTCCGCTTCCTTCTCTCTCCAACCCCTGGCTGTTCCTTCTTGGGTTTTAAGGTCTGTGAGTGTTGACAGCATTTCCACCCCATGGCTGTCTCTTGATGCTGGGGTTGTGCACATAGGTGCCCAGAGCCTTCTCCTCAAAGACCTCCTCCACTCCCATCATCAACGCTCAGTAGATCCATATCTGACCGCCCTTCCTAATGGCCTGGTCCAACAGCTAAAGGGAGTCCCCAACCCCTGGACAGTGTCAAGGCCAAATCAGCTGCTCAAGAGCCTTAAAAGAAAACAATTCATTTTCCTATTGCAGGAATTCATGGTTCGGAATGACTCTCCCTGCGGCAGCACCATTGGGCCCATCTTGGCCTCCCGCCTTGGCTTGCGCGTCCTGGACATGGGCTCCCCACAGCTGGCCATGCACTCCATCCGCGAGATGTGCTGCACCTCCAGCGTCCTGCAGTCCATCACTCTCTTCAAGGTGGGTGGCAGCTCAGGTGGGGCAGAGGGAAAGTAATTGCCTTGAGCGGAGCTGTTTTCTGCTGCCTCCAAGGGTGTGGGTGTGTGCCCAGGTCCCCCACCCACCCCTTTCCCAGGTTGTCCTCACAACAACCCTGTGAGTTAGGCTAGACTGAGGAAGCCTGAGTGGTGTGAGAGAGGAGTATCCCCTTCGCAAAGAAACACTCTTGTCACGGGCCTTGGCTGTACGGTTGGGAGCAGGCCAGGAAAGAGGGAAGGGCAATGTAAACAGAGAGCTTTCCCTCTGGCCCTATGTATTGTTTGGGGAGGAGGGGGGGCACAAAGTGTGAAAAGAGCTTGGCAGACAGGAACAAGGTTTCCATACATATCGAGGTCACCATCCTCCCCGCCCCGGGTTGCAGGTTGAGCCCTGCTGCCGCCCACTCCCTATCTCTTCCTTGTAATCTTGTCTGTATGTTACCATGGCAACGATGGTGCCCTCCAGGCGGTGATCGGTTTCTGTGGCAACATGGTGCCTCACGATTCTCCTGCTGCCATGGTGACGCCATCATATGTGTGTGTTTGACAGCTGCCCCGTTCCCCCCCCCCCCGAGGGTTGTTCTTCCCCCACCAAACCTGACTCTTCCTCCTCTTTCTCTCCTTCCTTCCTTCCTTCCTTCCTTCTTTCCCAGGCCTTCTTTGAGCTGTTCCCAGTGCTGGATCAGGGACTGCTGAGCAACTGAAGAGCATCTCAAGCACAGGAAGCGGCTAACGCCCCCTCTCCCTGGCCAGATAGCAATTAAGGCACATGTTGTACAGCGGCTCATGGAACGACTGCTTCTGGAGAGTTGCATCTTTTTTCCCCTTTCTACAGTCATTTTCCAAAAGAGGCTGGGCATTTGAGGCTTACGTACAGCCAGGAGGGCCTGATCCAGAGAGCCAGTGCCATAGAACAGCTCATCCTCGCTCCTTCATAGCTGATAGAAAACTTTATTCAAGATAATGACATGTTAAAGGGCTATCTACAGTCATCTTGGTGCTTTAAGTGGGCACTGAAATTATGGGTGAAATTCCAGCATTGAATAAATGCCAAGTGATGCATACTTTTAATTGGATCATCCCACTCCCACATCCTTTGCTCATTCACTTGGTTGGGTTCTAAATTAGCTACCGCCCTGTGTGAAGTGCCTCTCTCAAAATGCCAATGAGAGATACTGGGTGCCAAGCAAGCAATGTCTGAGAGGCATTATATACACAGGCAAGTACACACAATCACACCAGGTAGATTACGTTTGTGAGAATGCACTGTTCAGCACCATTTTCTATCCATAATTCTAGTAGCTGGGGGGGCGGAATTATTTTATCTTGCCATGGATGAGGGAATCCCCAGAAACTTGGCTGCCTAGATACCATAGAGCTGCCATATTTCAAAAGTGAAAATCCGGACACAAAAATTGGGTTGACGTACGTTCTGATTTTCCCAGATAATTCCACTTGGACACTGTTTTTGACAGCCAAGTCCCAGCAATTTCCAGGAAATTCTGGATGTATGGCAGCTCTAAGATACCAATGAATGGAATCTCCTTACTCAGGGAGCTCCAGAAGACTTGTTCACTGAGCATTCCTCCTGAATTGTTTGCAAGGAGGTTAGATGACATTGCATCAATTCAAGTGTTATCCCACACTTTCCTGTACATTTTCCCATCACTTTCCTTATTGCAAAGAGCATAGCCTTCAGGAGAAGGAGGTTTGTGACGCAGGATGTCCTGGTCCACTCTAATTGTGCAGCCAGAGTTTGCCACTATGTGGTTGAATCCAATCTGAAAATACTGATAGTCTGAAAGTGCCCTCAGCCCCTATGCAGGCCTGGTCCTGGGAAGTAGGAATATGGGTTTCCCAGCTCTCCGTATCAGGGCGGAGGATTGACCGTTCTAATCTAAAATAGTGACTGGAGGTTCAAAGCATCATCAGACAATACATGCCTATCTTTAGCAGAGCCTCTGGTTTTAGCTCTAATCTGGGCAAGTGGTGTTAATGAAAAGTGGACAGAAAAGACACAGACAACCTTGTCAACGTGGTCACCTTCCTCCAGTCTTATACCATTTGCTTAATACCCCCATAGTTTCTCCTTCAGATATTCTGTTGGAAGGGAATAACACAAGAAGCTGACTGCAATGTCACCATGCATGGTGTAGTGAGGAACCTTTTCAGCTGGAGGCCTCTGTTTGCTCAATGGCAGCCACCTGTGGATGCTGCGTGTCAGTGAGGGGTGGCGTCAGAGGCAAAAGTGTGGGGAGCAACAGGTGTGATTTTTAACCTTTGTACAGTGAAATCGGAAGTGTTTACATACACCTTCCACCCATCCCGCATCTGTATCCTTCATCCAGACAAGCCAGGGGCATGGTCACAGGTCAGGGACACATTGCTGCCAGGAAGGAGCAGAGCCATTGAGCGATGCAGCATGAGAATAATCAGGAGGGCCAGATAAAGAGGCTTGGAGGGCTGCATTCAGCTCCCAAATCTGAGGTTCCTATCTATCACTGCTCTATGTGGAAGGCATCTTTTTCCAGTGGCAAAAGCCAGCAATAGGAACCCCTGGGCAAGAATTGGGTCTCTTGTCTGATCCTTTGACCCAAACAGTCGACATGCTGTCTTCCAAGGCAAAATCAAACATTTCCATTTGCAAAAACTTCATGCTTTTTAGTTGTGCCCCCAACTTCTGTTTCCATATCCCTGTTTCCTAGATGGCACACAAGCAATCTCTTGCCTGCTATATAGTCCTCCAGTTGATGGTGAAACATGTTCTTCCAACTATAACAAAATTGTAGGGAAACAAAAAAGAGAGGCAGCCTTGTTGTATGCTGCCCTGACCCCCTAGCAAGTTAGATAAGTTTCTAGTTCTATAGAAAACACAGGGAGTTTGAAAAAGTAAACAGCTTTAGTCCTACAGCATGTGAGGAGGTACCAGCTGAAATGAGCAAATAGCATTTCCCTCTTCCTGCTGCCCCTTAACCACTAAATTAACCTATGAAAGTTGCTGTTGTGGAATGCTGAAAAAATATGGCAGAACCGTGGCAATTTGCTTAGGGTTATTTTGTCACAAGAGCCTAAACTTGCATCTTTTGGGTTGAAGCTGTTCTGCATTGAAAGCTGGCAGGAGCACTTAACACTGGCTCTTCAATACAATGGCTGTTGTTCTGGCTTAGCCCCTCTAGTGAGTGCATTGGGCCTTTCCTGTTTTATTGGAACTGTGGCAGGGAGAGCAGTGTGTGATGACTGGCCTTGAATCAAGTGCACATGCTCTGTTTTTGAGAAGTGCTCTTGTTTCTGGTGCAGTCTTTTATTTGCAAAATGAATCCATAGGTCACTTTTTCTTTTTAATGAGGTTGCATCAGGAAGGCAAGGGGGCCACTCTTGTTGGTGGCATTCCGTCTGAAAGCGGCAAATAGGTCTATTAAGTCATTTTACTACTGGCCATTTTTAGGGGAAATGTGATTACTATGATTGTGCAGGCCTCTAGAAGCCAGAGAGCATATTAAAGAGTCTGGCTGGAAGAGCGTGAATGCACCTGTGCACACACAGACTCACACTCTCATTGCCCTGAGCTGCTATTAAGTAGCTGGAAGCCAGACCTCCTTGCTGGCTTGCAAATCATCTACAGATCTGCTTTACCCTACCAACGGAGAGAGGGTCGATTCTGCACAATCCATCTGGCAGGAATCCTCAAAGATATATGCAGAAGTCTGTGGATCACGTGAGAGTGGAATGACATAATGCTGCCTTGCGGAGTCCCCTGTATCATTCCTTTTGAGCGAAGAGCGGGAGCTTTGGACCTATAGGAAATACAGGAAACCCCCCATGGATTCAGTTTTCTTAGCCTCCCTTCCCCAATCAGGTAGCAAAAGAGGCACTGCCGATTTATAACCGAGCGTGTCACACACAGCTATTTTTGGTTGCTGCGCTCTTTGGGGGGATCGTGGTGGAGATTTCAGTGGAATGTGGCCAAACCCCAGACTGTGGCTGCGCCTGCCTGCAGGAGGTGTAATTCAACAGCCTCCGCTAACGGAGCGATTGGTGTAACTTAATGCATCAGCAGCGAGGGGTGTGTGCCAGCCTCGCCTGGCGAAGTCGGTGCGATTGGTCGGAGGCGGAACATGGATTGGAGAATGCGGCGAGTATAATACGAGGCGAGAGGGGCGTGGCCTCTCGTGTAATAGGGAGGCGTAACTTTTTTTTTCCAAGCAGGGTGTGGCCGTGGCTTTTTTATTATTGGCTTTCCCTATGGAGGCGTGTCCTTTCCCTGCGTTGCGATAGGTCACTGGGGCCCCAGAGCGTGCTTTGCATGCTCATTGAGATTGGCTGGTTGGAGGTGCGCGTCCTTGTCTCGGCCTGGAGGGGGCGCTGATTGCCGGGTTAAGGATGGTGCAGCGGCCGTGGAGGCGGCGGCTGCCTGGGCTGTGAGCGCGGGGGCACCGGCCGGCATGGGGCGGTGGCGGAGCCTGCTCCGGGCGCTCGGCTGCTTCCTCCTCTCGCTGCTGCCGCTCCTCGGGGCCGGCGCTGCCGCGGATCGCCCGCTGCAAGTGCTGCACGGTGAGATGGATCACCTGGGGGTGGCGAGGAGGAGGCGGAGGAGGATGCAAGCGGGCGGGAATGAGGGAGGGTGGCCAGAAGGGTAGGACTCTGGACGCCGGAGAGGGAAGGGGAAGGCTTCTTCGCTTGGGATGCTCGGAACTGGAGTGGGCGGGGTGAGCGGAGGGGGGTCTTGGAGGAGCCAAGGAGCTCCTTCCTTCCCGGCTGGCAGAGATTAGGGGCAGCCCCTTCGCTTCCATATGGCAGCCTGGAGCTCCGCTTCCTATTTTTCGTGCACGCTGGAGCTCCCTAGTCCTGGTCTTCCCCCCTCCCCACCGAATAAATCCGTATTTCTTTCCGCCCTGAGGATTGGAAAAGTATCCTTGGAGGAGGGTTGGGTTTCGACTATTAAATATGGTGGGGGTTTGGGGAAGGGGAGGTCGCTCTTAGAAACGGAAAGGTGGTGGAAACGAAGGGAGATGCCGGCCCCTTCGCTCTTACCCTTCCCGCAGGTTGCTCTTTCCCAGTGGGAGGCGGTGAGAAGTGGGGATCCCTTGGTTGTTGTTGTTTTCTTTAAACAGCCCATGTAACACGTCTGCATCAGTTCCGCTGGAAACATGGAGTGGAGCATCTCTCCCCCCCCCCCCCTGCTGTCTCCCCACCCCCTTTCCCTATTTTGCTTCGCCTCTGAATCCTCCAGAATTTTCCCTCGGGCTTTAGGGTCCTGGCTGGGTGTTGGTGCTGGTTCCCTCGCCCCCCGTTGCCCCCTTTTCCTTGCACAGCTCTCGATGTCTTTCTCTACCCACACGCACCCCACTCTCCCATGGGATGTTTTCCTCCTTTTCCCTGGTGCGGCTTCAGCCCCCGCCAAAGGGAGATTGTCACCATTTTGCGTGGCAGCCTGTCATGTGCACGTCACAGCGTTGTTAGCCTTGGCTGGCTTTGCCTCCCCTTTCTCTGTTCAGCTCCAGAGTAGACCTCTTCTCCCCCCCCCCCCGCCGTGTTTTCCTCCTCAGTTCAGTCACTGACGTCATTCTCTCTCGCTGGGCCTTTCTCTTCACCCCCTCCCCTTTTCCAGCCTGACCCAGCTGCCTGTTGCAAACATCCACTGTGCCTCTTTAGAAACTGCCTTCCTTCCTTGCTTGCTTCCTCTCACTGGCTGAAGAAAGCTGGGATGCTGAGAGGGATTCCTTCTAGGAAACAGCAGAGCTCTCTCCATCAAGTGCTATAAAAGTGCAGAGGAATAAGCTTAGCTTGGTACCCTCTCTGGGCCTGGTTATTGATTTCGGCTTCCTTCTTGGCAGTTCCTTATTTGCAAAATGAATCCATAGGTCACTTTTTCTTTTTAATGAGGTTGCATCAGGAAATGGCGCAGGAAGGTCAATGTTCCTTTTTCCTTGCAGCTCTCAAACTTGGGCAAATCTTCATCTTGGTTCAGTGCTTCAGTAGCACTTGGCTGAATAGGTTGGATGTGCAGCAACCCCTTCCAGAACCACCACTCAGCCATGCACTGAACAAATGGGAAGGTTCATGAATCTTTTGGATGTTTGCTCTTGGACCACCCTCCTTTGCAGGCTGTCTTTTATTAGATGCCTCTCTTGGGTGGTGGGCATTCAAGAGGGCAAGGTTGTTGCTTGTCAGTTTTGGGAGAAACTGTTAACGTAGGGAGCTGCAAACTCTTTATTCCATGTTCAAGGAGTGAAGTGAATGAATTGATCTGGCATGTTGATGAATTTTGACGTAGAATGATTACTGGAAGCTTTTCACCTAATGTAGGTTAGGTGCTGAGGATGGACTCCTTTGCTGATCAGTTTCCTGCCCTGCTTGGCAGTGAGGGTGCATTAGAGACTGTGCGATGGGAGGTGGGAATGCTGGAATCCCTCACACCGAACCCAGTGATGGCCATGGAATATGAGTGCATTGCTTGGGCCATGGGCCTTTAATTCACAGGAACCACGAAGGACACTTGTGGCGGCATGGAAGCTTGAGTTGTGGCCAGGTGGTATAAAATCAAAGAGCTGAACTGGCTCATTTAAGGGAAGGGTTGGATAGGTCTTATCACTAGCCCCAGGGCATGTTGGTAATCTGCGTGTGGATACTTTGCTGGCTTTTTGTATTTAAAACTTGACCTGTGCTTTCCCTTGACCTGTGGGGATGCTGGTAAAGCTGTCTGAGACTAGGCTGAACAGTAATGAGCATGGGTTAATATGGGGGTAAAATTAAGAGATTTCCACCACATTTAGAAAATTCTGCCTGGTGTGTTTATAGACATAGAAGGCTTGAAGGCAAAAATATTGAGCTTGATGTTTGTTGTTCAACCAAAGTCCCACTCCTTCTACCTCCTATGACATGTTAGAAGTCTAGATCAGTGTCAATAAATAGGATGCTTTTTGGCAACCTACAATAATGTGTCAGAGTATGGTAGATCTGTACCTTTCTTTCCTGCCAAAAATCCACATGTCAGCATTCATATTGCCGTAGATGAAGATGGCAGAAGCATTTCCTATTCTTCTGAACTTATTTGCACAACTCATATTGCAGTGGTAGCCCTTTGGATGCTGTTGGGCTACAACTCCCATCACCCTTGACCATTGGCCATGCTAGCTGGGGCTAATGGGAGTTGGAGTCTAACAGCTGGAAGGCCACAGATTCTCCACTCCTGAAATAAAGAAAAAAGGGTGGCTACTGATAACTAGTTACCCAGTGGTTAGCTACCATGATGTGCATGTAACCACATGGCAAGCTACCCACCTATATTGTTGTGCCAACTGTTGAGGAAAATCTTTCCACACTTCTGCACATCATCTGAAATCCAGGGAAGAGGAGGGGAAGTGGAAAGGTTCTTCTTGTCACATAACAGGTCAATAGACAACCAGCTTGCTAAATATAGTGGCAAGTTGTTATTTGTAAACTTAGACAGCCTTGTTCATTCACTCAGAAAAACAATAGCACCTGATTTATGTAACACAGACTCCATTCAGCACTGGCGTATATGGTAAAGAGTTTGAGGCAGTGCTTTCCAGGTTAGATTTGACATTCTGTCGCCCTACTTGCAAAATTGTGCAGTAACTGAGGGGAAGAAAAGGACTGTAGAGGCACTGAGCTGTGGCTGCACAAGAGTGAGACCAAAATATGGAAAGGTAAAATTATTTGTTTGGTCACCAATTTGCAAGAACGTCTCTTTGATCCTTGCCAGCATACTCTCTACCAGACTCCATAGTTCTGATGGGGAGTTGGTTTTGAGTGCAAACATTGTGCTCAGAAGTAAAAGAAAGACCTGGCTATCTGTGGTAAAGGAAAACTTATGCAACATTACCTGCCTGAAAATGGATCTGAAGTACAAGAGCTTGTGACCAAAATGTGAAGGTATTTTAATGAGGTTTGGGCAGCTCAGAAATGGAAACTGAGCATATTCTGCCTGTATATTGTTTGTGTACATGCTGTCCCTGACATTGCCTGTTATTTAAGTGCTTGAATAACACAACACCTAGTGTGTCTATTTTCCCCCTTAGCTTTCCAGCTGCACATTTTGTGTCCATCTAAACACTAAAGAAACCCTGCAGCAGACAAAGAACTCTTCCCTGGTCAAAAATCAAAATATTGCACATGAGCCTATTTCGCCCTCATTCACTTTCTAAAACCCATTTCTTGCCCTTTGAGAATCCTAATGTGGCAGAATTGCTTCCCTGTTCTTTATTAGCTGCTAGGAATTGAACACCAAGTACTGTTTACAGGGGGAAGGCAATTGCAGCTTCAGCAAGCATTTGTAAACAGCAAGTTTCTCACGGCCTTCCACATTTTGACTAGAAGCCAAATCCTATTGCCAGTACAGCATCTGCAGTGATATTAATCTCTCTGTGTATGCATGTGTGTGTGTATATATGAGAAAGAGAGAATGTATTTTTAATGTAACATTAAAAATATATCAAGGTTTAATGAAACACATTTTAAAAATAACTCTGCATGTTGGGCATACATACTGGGTGTACACAATTTGTATATTGTGGCTTTGTTATAAACTTGTTTTTCAGTCAGGTTCTGGAGTGCCCTATCTCCCATCATGTTGCTCTTTCACATCTATGTCTGTCAAGCGGAAAAGCTTGGCTTTAAAAATACTTCAAAGTCTTCTCAATCTGTTTGGAGTGTGTGGGGTTAGGTAAGAAATCTGGCTTTGTGATACCAGGAGACCCACTGAAAGACTTCTGCAGGCCTTTTGCTATCCTGGCTTGCACGCATTCATAGGGAATCCTCGGGCTACAGTGCAGGAATGAGGCAGCAGTTCATGGCTTGAGAACAGCCTTGCAATGTATAAATATTTTGGTCTGTGGCTTCCTGAAGGCTCCAAGCACTGAGGAAGGCCTGGGGCATTTTAAACAACAGTGCTTGCACCACACCAACTCTGGCTACAACACAGATGGAACTTCTTGTCTTCAACCATTTTGAGAGTTCTTCTCTATGTCTATGGATTTCAGAACTGGGGAAGAATGATCAAGCAGTCTGTCTTGGGATCTCAACACAGATGGGGAAAGTTTTTTGCTCCCCTTCTTGATTCTTGGAAATAATAATAATATTAATAATTATTTATTATTTATACCCCGCCCATCTGGCTGAGTTTCCCTAGCCACTCTGGGTGGCTCCCAGTCAAGTGTTAAAAACAATACAGCATTAAATATTAAAAGCTTCCCTAAAACCAACACGACAAGTGACTATTTCCTAAAGCTATTAGCCCATTTCTTCCTTTCAAAAATATCAAGGATTATCAAATTAATCCAAGATGCCAATTGTTATGTTAACAAACAACCAAAAAATACTGGTGTGATGGAAGAGCCACCAGCTGAAAACCTGCCCCACCCTGGCCCGGTTGTATTTGGGGTTTGCAATGCACAGCCCTCCTTGAATGAAGACCCGAACATGGCCCCATGCAGTCAGAGATACTCTCTGTGGACATTTGGAGGTGCCAAGAAACATGCTGGTATTTTCCCTGGCATGTCATTTGTGTGTAGGATCTCGAGAGGAGGAAGAATGGGTTGCGCTGTAGCAGATGAAAAGGAAGTACCTTGGACCAAGGAGGGGTATTAAGGTGAAACCATGAAACTTGGAAATTGCTTCATTGTAGGGGCTTGGAAAACCTGTCATTGAATTTTTGGACTCCCCTGATCTTGAGCCCTGTTAGCTACGTAGGAGCAGCAGACTCCCTTGGTTAATATAAATAATGTTCTACTGGGATAAATAGGAAAGGATGTGCAGAGAGAGGATTGTAGAAGGGACTTCCTTTCCTAATTAGGAGCTCTGCCTCGTCCAAGAGTGTACTCCTTCTCCCCCTTGTGGGGAACAATGCTGCCTAGCACCTTGGTGGTGGTGTAGACAGATTCTAAGGAGCTGCCACCTGCCGTCTGTAGTGATTGAGACCTATCCCCAACTAGCATCTTTTGACATTTTTCTTAAATCTCATTTTGAAGGGTCCATATTGAACTCTGCTGTACATGTAACTAGAATTTGCCTAGGACAGGTGTGCTGACAGAGCCAGAGCCATCCTTGCTGTGCTTGGCTGCAGAATCCCATTCCTCTGGAGGCCTCTGACTCACACTGACAAAGACGTCAGTGGTAGTGCAACGCAAGTGTGTTGCCGCGGCCTGCTCTGACTCACTGGCTGGGCAGCTGTGATATTCATTGTGGATGTGGCTGATGGGCTAAGAGACCTACTATTTTTGTGCTCTGGTGCTCTGCAGCCTATACTGCTTTCTTCTACATTTCATGGCATTATAAATGAAGAAGAGAGAGAGAGACACAAACTATGTATCTACTTTTGAGACCGTTTCTCCCTGTGGATGTGAAACCACCTTCTAGCAACCTGCCTTCATGGGCTGTCCCTTGCACCCAGCATTTGCCAGAGCTGGGTATTGCATGCCCACATCCCCCATCTGTGTAAATTATAATTACACGCTTTTGAATCAGATGACCCCATAGGTTTCTCTCCAGTCCTGATACCCGTAGCATTAATCTGTGTAGTTCTGATGCATTGGAACACCAGGAATGCCAAACGATCCGTCACAGTTCCAGAGACTTCTTTGTGTGATTCATAGCCTCTCTGATTATCTCCTGATAGAAGATCTCGGGGGGGGGGGTTAGTGCCCCCCCACTGCTCGTCATTTTCCGAACCGCTCTGGGTAGCTTTTAGTAAGAATAGGACTAGGATAACCCCTGGGTTTTCCACTTGTGAGGTGGGCCCCTGGGACAATTGTTTTATTGTTTTATTTTAGCTGTTTGTATCCCATCTTTTAGGGCAAGCCCACACAAGGATGCTTACAATAAGAAATTATAAATTGGTGCACACAGTTCCAGGGAGGGAGGGAATTCTGAATCAGGCCCCCAACTTGTTAGGGCCAAATTAGAATCAACCTTCATTGTGTGAGTGCTGTTAATATGCATGGGTTTTGTTAGACAAATAGCTGAGTGAAGCCTATGCTGCTGGGTAAACATTTAGGGCCTGGGGAGGGTTAATTCTCTTATCTCCCTGCCAAGGTCTGGATGCTGCTCAAACTGCTATCTGCATTTCAAGGGAACATCCACTGCTGCCAGTGGGAGCTTATGAGCCATACTTGTTTCCTCCTCACCTTCGCTGTCCCCCAGTCGCTCAATTTCCCTCTCTGCTGCTTTTTATATAGCAAAAACAAATGGGGTGCCTTCATGCAATTAACATCACTTTTTAGTTTTCCCTGTTGCTAACCTTACTAAGGAGTCTTTGGTGAGGCACATGGTCAACATAACTGTCTAGCCTCCCAGGGAATGATTCGTTCTGCCACTTCTTTCATTATCTTGTATATGACCTTTTAATTGTTGAGCGGTTTTAAAAAATTTATTACCACTTTGGATTTTGTCCTGTTGGAATTCTGCCTGGGTCAGAGGAATGTGCCACAGCGTAGGCACCGGCAGATATTCCTGTCGACCTCCCCGCGTCTCCACTCTGCTGATAAGCAGGCGAGGTCCGGCGATTCTTCTCAGATGTATGAGAGGAACACACCGTTCTTCCTCTCTCCCCTTTGGTGTCCCCAGGGAGGGGAAAGAAGCAGACAGAAAACTATTTACATCATTTATTTCTGCCTCTTACATCAGTACAGAGAATCATGTCTGCACTCAACAACAGCAAGAAGAAACTCCTCCCACGTACATCCAGTACGGGTCATATGACACACACACACTGAGCTAACATCCGGTGCTCAGTACAGAATGGACTGCCCCTTTGTTCCCATGGCAACAGTCACAAACATCCTGTCTGGCTTTCCAGCCACAAGCAGCTGGCTGAGCTGCTAGAGCCTTTGCTTGCTGCAGCATTGGTGCTTTATAGTAACATACTCCCCCTAAATTATCAATGTGTGCCGCGAGCAAAGCGTCATCCAGAGAAGAAAACAAACAGTTGTTATATTTATAACATTCCCCTGTTGTTTCAGTTCCACCCTTGGAACTACCCGCCACTGGTTTAACCAATGTACCTCTCTGGTTGTCTGGCTTCCAAGGAATGAGTGCTTCTGCATTACCTTGGCTAGCTTCCCTCTGTTGTGTCTTTGTCTCTGACGTAGACACTGCTTCAACCTGCTTTGAGTTGTTAACAATAGCAACACATGCAACAGCTAGGTTAGCAAACTCTTTTGAGTACCTCTTTGGTGGTACACCCTTTGTAACTCTCTCAGACCTGCGTATGAGGTTCTGATCTTCTGTGCTCACTGGTTCAACCTTTGGACTCTGTTGAGAACCAGTAGCAATCAGTGGTTCTTCCTTCACCTGTGAAGGTCTATCCATTGTGTGAGATTTCCTCTCAATGACTGTGACAACTGAGCTGTCTGAGCTATCGCTGTCATCATCAGTACTACTGAACTCAATAAGATCAAACTCATCATCATCATTATCATCAGAATCCTCTGTGGGAAATGCGTGAACAATCAACCTCTCCTGTTCAGGAGCACTCTCTAGAAACTTTGTGAGAATCACCTGACCAGATTCAGACAAAATTACTCTGTAGAGACCTTTTTCATAACCCACAAAAATGCCTCTGGCATTCTTTACACCACCTGGAGCTTCTGTTCTCACATGAGACCCGAAAACCTTGAAATAGGCAACAGAAGGTTTTCTATTGAACAGCTTCTCAAAAGGAGAACATCCCAACTCTGTTGAGACCTTTCTCAACCACACATGAAGATAGGACGCTAGCGACTCAGCCCAATATTCATGTGGCAAATGTGAACTCAGCAATTGCGCATTCATCCCCTTTTGCAATTCTTTGTTCACTTTTACACAGACCCCCCTGTTCCACGCTTCTTGCGAAACTGCCACTTTGTGGTCTATCCCTTTTCCATCCAGGAACTTCTGAAACTTCTGCAACAGAAAAATTTGCTTCTCATCTGTGAAAAGACAATCAATGTTAGCATCATGCATACTTTTAACCTTGTCACAAAACTCCTGAAACTTTTCTAAAGTTTCTTGCGGTTTCTCCATCATATAAACCCAAGAATAATTAGTGAAACAATCCACACACAAAAGGTAATATTTTGCACCGCCCCTAGATGGTTCTAGAGGACCAATCACATCAGCATACACCCGCTGAAATGCTCTGTCGACCTTCTTGGTCTTAGTCACCTTCCTGGTGCTCACACTGGTCATGGTCGCCCCTGCAAGAGAGATTTCGTTAGAAACAGAAGAATTACATTTCATGTAATCACTTTGATCAAAAGTCAACAAATACAGTCCATCTTTCTCTTTGGCAGTAAGAAACAGTTCTCCATCTTTGTAGATCTTGCAGCTTTTAGCATCATAGGACAGTTTCAGTCCTTTCTTTGCAATCTGCGACACGCTCAGCAGACTAAATCTCAGTTCTGGAACCAGGTAAACATCACTTATAGTCAAGTTCAGACTCTCAAGATATACAGTCCCAATTCCAGTCGCTTCCAACTCCTGACCGTTGGCCTGTTTCACAGTGAAGCTTTGCTTCCTCAACGTCGAAAATAGTCCTCTGTGCGGGCACAAATGTTTTGTACAGCCCGTGTCGATTATGAACGAGTTCCCAACATCTGGCGTGGTTCCTTTCGCCATCATAGCCTTTGCAGGTTTCACCTGGCACTTGGTACGGCTTTTGCCTGACGCCTGAGGCTTCGTAGAGCTGCTCTTTGCTCCTCTTGACTGGCGCGGCTTCTTACAGTTTCGCTGTAGATGCCCAGTCTGTCCACAATTGTAGCATCGGACAGCACTCAATGCTACACCATGCTCCCCAGTAGCATCAGCAGTGGGGAATTAGAACTCTGTTCTTCCCTCCCCTGTCTTTTTCTTCCAGTGCAGCAAGTCTGTCGTGTTCATTCAGGACCACAGCACAAACTCTCTCCGCGGTCAGCTGCGCGGCCGGTAGGGAACCAAGCTGACTGGCAACAACCTTGTAGGTGCGGCTAAGGCTGTTTATCATCATGAAGCAAAACACTTCCTCCTGAAGACGGAAATTGCGTTCCACCATCTGTTGACGCAGAAACTTCATTTCTGTCAGGTGCGCTTGAACATCTCCATCAGGCGCAAGTCTCAGATTGGTCAATTTCTCAAAATACAGCAACGCTGAAGAACCAGCATCTCTCTGATGCGTTGTACGCAGCGTGTCCCATACCTCTTTCGCATTTTCTAAATGCTGAACATGCACCAACTGATCATCTGAGACACACAGAATTATAGCAGTCCTGGCCCTTACATTCTGTGACTCCCAACCTCTGGTTGGTGCTGCAGGGATGGGGTTTTCAATTACATCAAAAAGCCTCTGATTCTGCAGCAGGGCCTTCATCTTTACAGACCAAGATGAATAATTGTCATTGGTCAAGGGAGGTGGGCAAGGCAAACCTCCCCCTTTCTTGGCATCCATCTTGAAGCCAAGCCTCCAGCTCACAATGTCAAACAAACTGTAAAATCCAACAGTTGTTTCCTTTTCTTTTCTCACGCAGCAAACTGCAACTTGTTTACGCTCTTTGCACCTGGCAGCTAAACGCAGGCTGCTATTGAAAAGTCCCTTCCAAGAGCTCGTAAACCTTGTAGCCGAAACATTCTCTGGGTTTGTTTCGCTTTCCCAGGCTTACACACAGAGTCCAGCCCCTTTTCCAGTAACTTTCCAGGACCGTTACCTAGCAACAATGCATTTCAATAGGACGTCTTATCTACCACAAAAATTTGTGGAATGCAGGCTTCAGCCTTCAAGCTGCAGGCCTCTTCCTCTCGGAGCTTTTGTTTTCTTTGAAACGTAGCTCCGTGAACCAGGGAATTAATCTTCCTGCGTTCACACTTTTAGCCCGAAATGCAGCATACCTTGAACTTTGTTGCTCTGGAAAACACCTCTTCTTTCCATCAGCTGTCTGTGGAGCCTCTGGCTTCTTTCAGACGCTTCTATTCCTCCTTGAAGCAGTGGAGGACAATCCACCAGCCTCTCATGCAGATGTCCGATGAATCGCAACCATCCTCTGCTACCACTGTTGGAATTCTGCCTGGGTCAGAGGAATGTGCCACAGCGTAGGCACCGGCAGATATTCCTGTCGACCTCCCACGTCTCCACTCTGCTGATAAGCAGGCGAGGTCCGGCGATTCTTCTCAGATGTATGAGAGGAACACACCGTTCTTCCTCTCTCCCCTTTGGTGTCCCCAGGGAGGGGAAAGAAGCAGACAGAAAACTATTTACATCATTTATTTCTGCCTCTTACATCAGTACAGAGAATCATGTCTGCACTCAACAACAGCAAGAAGAAACTCCTCCCACGTACATCCAGTACGGGTCATATGACACACACACACTGAGCTAACATCCGGTGCTCAGTACAGAATGGACTGCCCCTTTGTTCCCATGGCAACAGTCACAAACATCCTGTCTGGCTTTCCAGCCACAAGCAGCTGGCTGAGCTGCTAGAGCCTTTGCTTGCTGCAGCATTGGTGCTTTATGGTAACAGTTAGCCACCTTCTCTATTCATTTTAAAAATACATTTTTATTATGCCTTTCTGCTTTAACAAATCACTGAAGGCAGCTCTTAAAATTTTAGAAGAGTCATGTACATAAAACTAACAATAAAACTTTAACTAAAAACAGCAGTAAGATCTTCAGTACAAAAACTGAAAAGAAAAGAAATGCAAGCAGCAGTTGTTCATGCTTAAAAAACACCCCTTAATGCCTTCTGAAATAAGGATATATTCACAAGTCACCAAAAGCAAATAGCTAAGTGAGCTTTCCAAGGAAGAGAGCTCCAGAACTGTGACTGCAGTAACTGGAAAAGCCCTGTCCTTTTGGTTCAAAAAGGAGGATAATAAACACTTGGACAAAGGGGCAGGAAGGAAGGTTCTCAGTCAGTTGCCAATACCAAGCCTAGCTTGGCTGGGTAGATATTGTAGGCTCAGGGCTATTGATATAGTCTAGCAGTCTCTGTATCCATATTGGATGGGTGAGCTAGGTTGTATAACAGTATTTTCTCCTCCCAGAGAATCAGTGCCACACCTGGAAGCTTCTGGGGATTTTCACATTTTACACTGCAATCATGTCTACGGCTTATATAGCAGTGTTTGCCTTGATGATTGCCATAAAATGAAGTGTGTGTGTGTGTACACAGGTGATAGATATCTGGGAGGGAGCAATGTCCAATTTAAGCCTTGTTGCACATACTGTGTGTCCCTGTGCCTTTAGAGAGATGGGTCTGCTCTTCATGATTCATGGTAGTTGCTGAAAGACACAAACACACACATGGCAGGCATCTGCTCCATAAAATATGAATCTACCCTTAGGGAACGTTCTTAGTTTATATACTTCATTCTACATCTCCCTCTTGTTTGCTATTAAATGTCATTTTCTAAATGTTTGAAAGCGGTGCCACCATTGGGGGGGGGGGCAGGTTGGGGAAGAGTAGGAAATACTGAAAGCTTAACAAAGGAAAAAACATAGCAATGCCTTTTTTGTGTTGGTTTTGCCTCCAGAAAGGTATATCCTAACACCCATACACAATATCTGGTAATTCCTGAAACAGTTCTCCCAAATATTTTTAATTGAGATTTTTTTTAATTGAAACTTTGCTGCACAGATATTTTGCCTGATTCCTTTCCTCTGTTTATTTACTATTTTACGTTATAAGGCCCAGCTAATGAGAGAGAGAGGTGCTCCACATTTACCCCCTGTAGCAAAGCCATTCTAATATTTGGGGGAATAGGGAATCTGTGCCTGTTCTTCAAGTGGACTTAATTTCCTTGCCTCAGTTGTGGCAAAGATTGGGGCTGGTAAGTTTCAGCACCATGGTTAGCTCCTTGCAGACCGCTTGAGTCTGACTTTTTGCTCAGCAATAAAGCACCATTGACAAGTTTAAAAGTTGCTTTCGCATCCTTCATTCACTCAGGGTTTAGAAAGGAATCCAGGCGATGTCATTATCAAAAGGTTGGATTCCTGTATTTTCTGTCAACCCTGCCCCCTCCTTTTTTGTTTTTTAAAAAAAAGGCTAATCACTAGCTTCTTTATTCCGTCATGGTGACCATTGCTTATGGTATTCCTGAATTGTCCTTGAAGGTGATGGTTATTGCTGGGTTAGATATAGATCCGTGTGATTAGATTATTATTTAACTTGTTATTATTGTTTAAACAGTTCATTTACCACTTGACAACAGTCATGTCTAAGCAGGGTAAAAGAAATACCTTGTATAAAAAAGTAAACACTTATTAAAAGTTTAAGTGCCTGCTGGAATAATAATTTTAAAAGTCATCAGTAGGTGCTGGAAGTCCAACAGGGGGGAGGCCTGTCTGACCTCTACTGGAAGGGCATTCCATAAAATTGGGCCCACAATACGGAGCACACTGCTCTTTGTGGATACGACTCATGCATCAGTGACTGCACTGTGGCAATTGAGTCCAACAAGACATAAGGACATCCTGAAGGTAGAAAGAAATGAGTTCTATTCATTTGAAACATTGTAATATGATTTAGGTCTTGAAATACATACTATTTGCTGTAGCCAAGTAGATTTGAACCCCTGCAAAGCAATCAAGCTGGAGCATCTCTTTTATGAATTATAATAATGTCTCTCTGGAAAACTCTGGTGTGTCTCTGTCACTCTCTTTCCAGGCTGCCTGTTTGACAGGAGACTCTGCTCCCAACAGGAAGTCTGTGTGCAAGGTAAATAAGCTTGGGATGGACTGGAATTAAGGGCATTAAGTCCATAGGGAGGCAAAGCACCTGTTGCTGGAGAGTGATGTACACTTATTTCCCCTGCTGTGTTAAAATATGCTTTCTGCATTTGTTATGAAGTGGGGGGGGGAGGACCACATGTGCAGCAGGCTCTGATCTGGAAGCCTTTCTGCCCCAAGAATGGGACAAGTGCTTGCCTCTTTTCCATGTTGTCATGTTTCCTTGAGATACTCCTCGATGCTTCTCATATGAATTACAGCCTTGTTGTGATATTGGTCCATTTGGGCATTTAACGGTAGAAGGCGTGACTGCACACTTACCCTCACAAGACAAAATTATTTCACTTTCCCTGTCTCTTAGTGCAATCCTATCCAGGTTTGCCTTGGGCTAAATCCCACTGAATTCAATGAGGCTTACTTCCAGGAAAGTGTATTTCAGCTTCAAGCTTTTGCATATCTAATTATCTTAGGATGGACTTTCGTGAAATTCATTGGAAACATATTGTATTCACACCCTATATTGAAGCTCCCCATAAGCTGTGCAGCAGCCTGCTAACCACCATCTCATCTGCCTAGCTGTGTCTTATTCTCTGACCCTATTTCTCTCTTCCCCCTACTTTCACCGATCTTTCCACCCTGAGTTGCATGACCACTGTCTCATAGTCATGTTATCTTTGCAGATGGATTGTTTGGTCAGTGCCAGGAAGGTTCCCTTCGAGATAAGCCGTACTTCCAGGTTACAGCCTCTGTGCTCCAGCGTTTGCAGGATGTGCTGCAGCATCTCATGGCACAAGGTAAGTGTCCGTGCTTGAGGAGGAGGAGGAGGAGAATTAATGTAAGATGAGGGAAATGAGCCAGCTCTGCACAAACCAGGAGAGGGAATTAAGAGCACTGTATGCCCCGTCTTGGCAACATTACTTGGGAGTCTGTCCAACCCCCCAGTACCACAAAACCTTCTACCAAGTGAGACCATTGGTCCATTTAGTGCAATATTGTGTGAACTGACTGGCAGTGGCAGCAGCTCTCAGGGTTTCAGATGAAATTCTCTCCCAGCCCCACCTGGAAATGCTGGGCATTGAACTTGAGATCTTCTGCATGCAAAGTGGATGCTTTAGCACTGAGCTATGACATCATGCTATAAATGCATACTATAATCAGGCACCTCTAACATATGCTCAGACTATGGGTTCCTCCAAGCTGGATGTTGTTGTTGTTGTTTTTGGGGTGTGTATTTTGCAACATACTGTGGCAATAATAGTGCATTAGAAGTGGACTTATACTGGACCAACCACGCCTCAGTCCACTTTATTAGTTGTTCTGCGATGCTTCCCCAAGATTGCTGCATTATTGCACAACAAAAGCAGGACAAAAAGTAAACAGGAACGTTTATGGTATAAATAGGTGCAGCATTTCAGCAGGAAGTTGTGGGACTTAGAAACAAAGCAGTGTATCTTCCCCAAAACTTTTGCAGGTGCAAACAGCCACAATACAATTCACAATAAAACGGATGGGGCCCTGTATTTTACTATTTGTCTCTGGCAAATACCTGTCTCTATATTTTGGGGATGCCGTGCTAAAATCTTTAGTCTTAGTTTCTGCAGTTGGTCATTCTTTGGACTACAGCTGCTTCCCAAGGATTGGATGATATTCATAGTTTCAGCGCTGGATTCAATACTTGGCTGTTGTGGCCATGCTTTGACTTAGCTCTCCATCTTCATGGCAGGTTTATCATGGCAGGATGACCTTACCCAACACGTGATCTCCCGGGAGATGGAACGCATCCCCAGACTTCACCTTCCACCTCCTTGGGAGTCTGTAGCTGAGAACAGGTAAGGGGAACAGTTCATTTGGAATGTGAGCTTTTACTTGAGTTGCTGCCATTAATTTTCATCCAATATCTGCTTATCACAACTGAGAGGGGGAAATGTCTCTTGGAGAATAAAGGGGAACTCCCTTGTCTCCTAGCTGATAGTCATCTGTCTGTCTCTCAGAATGACAAATTTTAAGAAGGGACAACTCAAACACAAAAACAAGCACAGAGAAGTCTGTGCTTCTCTCAGCCAAGATCTACTTATCCACATTCAAGGGAAAGGAAGCTGTTGTAGGTGGTTTGAGATCCGACTCCAGTGCTCACCAGTACAACACTAATTTCAGAGCAGAACACTCCTCTTCCAGGAGCTTGTAAAGCTTGCAAGACATTTAGAAATGTCCTGTTCTTAAACTCTCAACGTAAGAACCACCTTTGAACAAATCTTAGGGCAACATTTTATTCTCTCCACGTCTATAAAATCTCTTTCTCTTGCTTCTTTGTGGTGCTTTCCCCCCTCTTTCTGTACACAACTGTTTTGAAGGCAAAGACTCTTGAGAGCCCAAGAAATAAGGCAGCAAATCATTGTGGAGACAAACTCAAAAAGTGCCAGGAAGAGAACTGGAAATGTCAGGACTTAAAAATAAACAGAGACAGCCCACTATGAGGTTTGGAAACTCCCCATGATGGTGTCCACAAGATGTCCAAGCAGTGGCCATTGATGCAAGAACACTTAATGATATCAGGAAAACTTCCCTACAGAGAGTTAGAGGCGCTGCCCCTGATAATATTGTAGCATGCAGAAAACACATCTTGTTGGACTGGGAAATGGGAGCTTCTAGATTCCAAGCTGCATATTGATAGCATAATATATTGCCCATGACTGTTCTCTTTTCAGGTTCCCGCCTAGTCACCTGTCTCCAAGGAAATCCTCTTTGCCACCAGAGCCTGCCTCTCTCCAGACAGCTCATCAGCCTCCTCTCCCTCCAGTCCTCCTGCAGCGGTACCTGGAGCTGCTGTTGGCTTCTCAGCCTGAGCTAGGCTACAAGGAGCCCTTCTTATCTTCATATCCACATCACCAGGTGTGTCTCAGCAGTGCTGCATACAGAGTAAGGGCAAGGAGCCTTCACGAAGAGCTGGAAGAAGAGTCAAGGGCCTGTCCTGTGATTTGCAAAGTGGCCTGTTCAAATGGAGAGAACTGAATGTGCTTAGGAGGCCTAAGTTTTACTGAAGCGTTGAGTAGGAAGGAGTCACTTCAAAGTCTGAGCAGAACTGTAACTGCTGATGATAGATTTTGGACTGCAGGCCACTGAATTCTAAACTGCACCACTTTGCCTTTGGAAAAAGTTTCTTGCTGGCTAGGATGAAGGATATTTAGAGGGGGTGGGATGCTTATGGTGTTTTATTTTAACCAATAAGTTCCAATCAGTCACTTCAGTTGCTAATTCTTTGCTATATCCTTTCAACCTAAAAGTTCCTTTTCTCATCTATTTTTTTTTTAGAAACCCACCAACTCCTTATTAAACCCCATATGCCTAAATGCACAAAAACTTATTTCGCACTGTACTTTTGTTTTTTTACATTGCACAAAATGGGTCTAGCTGCATGTTAGAACAAATTCTGCTGCCCTCTGCCGTGACCACTTCAAGATTGCCTTTCCGTTTCCCTGTGTTCAGTTCAGCTACCCAGATGGTACCTTCCGGGACAACCCCAATGCTCACAGAGCTGAGCACCCTGTTCTGCTGGACCGAGCTGCTGCTTCTAAGGCCCTGTTTGGTGCCAGCACTGCTCCCTCCTACAGGGGGCAGCAGGGAGTGGATGGAGGTCAACTTTTCCAGGACCTGGGAGCACTTTACCTAACACAGGAGCAGGCAGGTAAATCGAGAACGATGGCGCAGCAGAAGCACGATTCCAGGACGGATGGCCCCTTTCTGGACTATGGCGACAGCTCTGAATACAGAGGAGAGCCCCGGGCACTCCTGGCAGAGCCAGGTGAGACTGTTCCTACCTGTCTTTCACTAAGGGGTTCCTCAAGCACTTTATAGCTCAGGGGTGAGGAATCTCTGCTCTTGTGGATGCTGTTGGACTCCTCCCATCTGCTCCAGTCAGTCTTGGCCAACGGTCAAGATTAATGGGAGTTGTAGTACAATGGCCTATGGAGGCCGCAGGATCCCCACCCCTGTTGTAGCTTGTTATCTCAACCTAGAAGCCTTGGTGCTGGTGGGGCTGCTGTTGCAACACCTTCCTCTTTCCCCAATTTCCCTTCCACAGATAGAGCACTAGAGAGGCTGGCAGCAGTGCTTGCCAGCTATGGCATCAGGCCCCAGGATCTCACTCCCCAGCATCTCAGCTCCCTTACTGGTCTTCTCCGGCTCCTCAGGAGTCCAGGTAAGATCGGCAAGATGGTATATGTAAGAGGATCTGGGAGAAGAGGCACCTGGGATGTCTATAGCTGAAGGAGAGGAGATGGAGAGAGGGTTGTGTGTGTCTGGGGATAACATGGAACAATATCCGGACTATGTCTGCATTGACAAGGGCCGAGCTGTGCTATTACTGCAGTGGCGTAGCGTGGGGGGTGCAGGGGGGGCCGGCCGCACTGGGCGCAACATCTGGGGGGGGGCGCGCTCGCACTCGCAGCTCTATGCCCCTACTAAAATCCACGGGTTAGGGGGCGCAAATTACTTGCCTTGCCCCGGGTGCTGACAACCCACGCTACGCCACTGTATTACTGTGCTGATCCAGCCCTGCTAATCACAATCTGGGGATAAATCTGAGTTGGAGCTCTATCCAGAACCTGTTTTTCTGTGTTGGTGCTTAGCTGTGGAGCCCATGAAGTAGTAATGAAAGGGAGCGTGTACTTGCTGTACAGAATACCTTTACTGCTATGTAATCAAAACGCCAACCCTACCCCCTCCTGCACATCTGGGAACATTGGGCAGAGGTTCCAAAGTGGGTAGTTTGATTTCCAGGTTGGCTTGAGGATTTAAGATCTCATACCTTAAAAACTAAATACTCTTCTAATTCTCTCCCCAGCTGGTAGGCTTGGACCAGACACTCCAGAATCTAAGCGGGTAAGCAGCTCCTTCTAGAGGCAAGGGGCAGTCTCCAGCCCGGAGTTCCTAAGGTCCTCTTAAGATTGTTGGAATTCGCTTTCACACAGTTTACGGGGGGCAAATGGTATGGGAAGCCTGAGTTGATGAATCAACGTCTTGCCCTGAGGAGTAGACTTGGCCTGTACCTAACCTGTTCCAGCCCCTATAGTACAATCCTCCACAGCTAGTTTCTAGATGGACAGCCTGTGGAGAAGTTTGGGTGTGTGCCCCTGAGACCTGAAGGCAGAGTTGGCCAGCCTGAGGAGGCTGATAATGAACAGGCAAAGTTAATGATTCAGGGGCTTTGGTTGGAGTAGAGGGCAGGAGGGATCACCCAACCGCTGGTGGTTGCAGATTGGAAGTGTTGAGGTGCTGGTGAGTGATGTGCCTCTTTCTCCTCAGGTGACAGAAGCTGAAATGCAACATGGGGAGGAGCTGGAGCCACCCCCCTCTCAAGAGAGCTATGTCAGTGCTGTGCCCACAGAGGGGCAGGTGCAGGCACAGAGGGAGACGCTTAGCCCAACTAAGGCCAAAATAACCATGACGACAGCTTCCCCAGAACAACCTGAGCCCCTCCGTGCTGGTGAGGGGGAAGCAGCTGGCCTCAAGAGGCAGGTGGCAGTGATAAAGAAGAGCCACACATCAGTAGGGGTACCTGGCAAGGATGAGGACCGGCCAGAGACAGCGCTGGCTGCTGAGGAATACGGCTACATTGTCACTGACCAAAAGTAAGAGAAGGGGCGGGACATGGGGGGAAGGGGAAGGGCCAAGGAAATAGGAGTTAGGCCAGTGGGGGCGAGGTGTGTGCTCTCTAACATTTGGGAGATAGGGTGCTATTTGAGAGGTAAAAATGCATGTGCTTGTCTAACATAGGCACGAGATCAAGACTCACACTATTAATAACATTTATTATTATTATTATTATTATTATTATTCATTAAATTTGTATTCCGCCCTTCAGCTGAAGATTACAGGGCAGTTCACAACTTAAAAGCACAAAATGATAACACAAAATACATTTAAAAAGAACCCTGCTCCCCTAAGCGCATTTAAAAAGCCATAGAATTCTTAATCAGCCAAAGGCCTAGCTATAGAGAAATGTTTTCGTCTGATACCTGAAGATACGTAATGAAGGCGCTAGGCTAGTCTCCCTGGGGAGAGCATTCTTCAAGTGGGCAGCCACTGCAGAAAAGGCCTGTTCTTGTGTTGCCACCCTCTGGACCTCTTGTGGAGGAGGGGCACATGAAGAAGGACCTCAGGCGTGTGGGGAAATAGATGATGAGGTTTCAGTGAGGGAGAACAAGGAATGTTCTTCTTCTCTCCCTCGAATCCTATGGCTTCTTGCTGTTGCACTTGGGCAAAACTGGACTTTAATCCCAACACATATTTGCCATCTCATTCAGATTGTTGGGTTGTCTTGACAGCTCTCATGGGCTGCATTGCTTAGGTGTTTCCTTAGAGTGGGTGGCAGGAGGTTGTTGGCATTCGCTCATTGTATACCAGTACAAGGAAAGTGTTGCCCTCCCGCTTTCTGCCTCCCATTGTTTCTCCCATGCATGCTTTCCCCATTGGCTCCTGGCCTCTCCTCTGTCTTCACCACCTGCAGGCCACTGGGTCTTGCTGCTGGCATCCGGCTCCTGGAGATCCTGGCTGAGCACGTGCACTTGTCCACTGCCAGTTTCATCAACATCAGGCAAGTGCTGCTGGGACTTAACTGAGAGGTGGGGATCCATAAGGAACTGGAGTGTGTTGTTGCCTCTGGCGCCTCAGGAAGGGGAGGAGCCTGGTGAGGCAGGCTGGAGAGGGTTCTGGAAGCATATCCTGAGGAAGATGCCTTTCCCAAGACTGAGGGGTCTTTTGGGATCTCCACAATCCTTTTCAAGTAGCTAATGTATCCTGTCCTGGCAGGTTCCCATTGCTGGATGGTCACAAGGCACTTGCTTTTTTATATAAATACGGTTACCTGAAGTGGCATTGGAAGTTGTTGCGTCAGCTGGCTTATCCTGAAGACACAACTTTTATTAAAAATGGGCAAGGAACTGGATGACATTGTGGCCACAGTCTCTCTCTCTTTCCTTCCCTTTCTCATATTGTTGCCTGCGTGCATTGAAATTGGAACTAGGCCCCAACCCTTCTGCATACCCAACATTATGATTGTGATATCGCTTCTTGGCCTGAGACAAAACACAGGTGGCCTTTACTGTGCCTGACTCCAAGCTGCTAATTGGTAAATAAAGGAGGTGTCATGAGATTAGAGGGCTAGATATTGCCAGGGCTTTTTTTTTTCTCAATAAAAAAAGCCAGAAATCACTGAAACTCAGTTCCGGCACCTCAGGTGGGTGCCATTGCTAATATAAGAGAACAAGGTTGAGTCCTGGCACCTCTTTTTCTAGAAAAATAGCACTGGATATTGTTGAACATGGTGATACACAAAGCAGCAGAGGCAACCTGCTTTGTGGGTGTATATTGTGCTAGGATGGAATCGGGACACCTTGTAACCTCAAACCTCTCGCCTTGCAGTGTTGTGGGCCCAGCTCTCACCTTCCGCATCCGTCAAAACCACCAAAACCTGTCTCTGGGTGATGTGGCCAACAGGGCTGGTAAGTTGACTCTGAAACGATAGTTGCAACATATGAGAATACATCTGGTTACAGACTCATTTCGCCATCCATGATCTAGAAGGACTCTAGTGGTTCTTCTCAATTAGATATGGAACAGGAGGGCTGGAGAATACCCCAGATGGACTCCAAATCCCATTAGCTCCAGCCAGCATGATTAATAGTCAGGGAGGAGGTAGACCAGCAAGGCTGGGAGGAGTACAGCTTCCCCACTCCTGCCCTACAACATTGTACTCCCTCCTGACTCAATGCTTGGCCACCCTTTATCCTGCTGTCCATTTGCCTAGTTAATGTCCATGTGCAGAGTATCCATTTCTTCCTTCAGATGCAATAGGCAAACATCAGTGAAGGCAGCTACCTTTAGTAAACAAAGTAAGGAAGGCTATCATGCAACATGGCCGTGATCCAGAGATTTAGCACACCACTCCCTGGGCCACTCAAAAGCTTTCACTCCCCCAGCAACTGCCTGCCTGCCTTTGTCCTTTTGCCAGCTGTCCCTCCTTTTTTGTCCCCTTTTCCCATCTAGCCCTGGTGAAGCCACAGCTGGAGACGGAGGTGGGAGTGAAGATCCTACAGACAGGTGTTGGGCAGGTAAAGCTGGGGGGTCATAGGCCTTGGGATTTGCAGCCATCTTTGGGTTTTGATCATAGCCCTATTTAAGAGTTTAAGCAACATAACAGAGAAGCAGGGTTGGTTGTGCTGCTCAGACCTGCCCCCTGAAGCACACCCACCTCGACGCAGTTCAGAGCCCTTCACAGCTCGAAAGCAGAGATCTGCCCCCAACCTGGTGGAAGCACCCAGTGCAATTTGAATCCCTGGTTGTGCTTGGCTTTAAATCCTTACAGGAGGCCTGTAGGAGTGGAAGAGGCTCCTTGCTTCTGACATTTACCTTCAAAACTCATGGAAGGCTCTAAACTGTGTAGAGATGATGGGGTGGAGCTTAGCCGCATGGCCCTGCTCTTCCTTGCATGTTTATCTACATGTGAGCAGACTGAGTACCTGAATACGGCCAGGGATTAGTCAAGAAGTGGAGCTTGGAGAATCCTGGATCACCAGCCCAGCATCGCCTAAGTCAAATTTGAAAGTGAGTGGGGCAGGGGCCCTCCAGATGCTATTGGACCGCAGCTTGCATCAGCCAGTGTTGCCAGTAATCAGGGATGCTGGGAGTTGTAGTCCAACAGCTCCTGGAGCTCCCCAGCCCTGCAGTGCCCTGGCACCAAGAGGCCAACCGAGGGATCACGTGTGGTGGTGCTTCCAGCATGCAGGTTCAGCGTGGGAGGAAACGTACTGGCTGCAGGTTACGTAACGTAGGGAAGAAGAGTTTGGCAAGGACTCCCAAGGACTGCTGGGGTTTTCACAGTTGATCAAGGAAATGAGAACTTTTTTCTTCAAGGAGCCAGAGGAAATCCTGGTTGGTTTCCATGATACAAAGATTGTGGGAGCACCAGCAGCCACCGACTGCCACATGTGCCAATTTTGACTCCCTCTTCGGCCTTTGCACGTCCCATGAGCCCCTTCCTATCCCACTGTGCTGCTCTTGACTCCCGTCTCCTTCCCCACAGCGCAACGAGGCTGCGACCTACCCGCACCCCACACACTTTGGCGACACCTTCCGCTCGGTGCTGCTCACCTTTGTCCTGCTGGCCTGCGTGGCTGGCATTGTGATAGCCGCCGCGGTGGTCTTCTGTCTGCGCCAGCATGCCAAGCAGCGAGAGAAGGAGCGGTTGGCAGGGCTGGGGCCTGAGGGAGCGGCTGACAGCACCTTTGAATACCAGGTATGGTGCGGCCCATTTTGCCCTTTGCAAAGAGCTGCAAATTGGGGCTGTTTCCCCAAAGTTTGGGAGGAGCCACAAAGCTTCTGTCCTGGAAGAGGGGCTTTGTGTGCAAGGACACTGCTTTGTTGCCTCTGACGTTCTGGCAAGCTCCGACCTGATGTTCGCCCTGCCTGTGGCGGATCTTTAGTGCATTAGCTGCTGCAGCTGTGTCTTTCCCACAGGAGTTGTGTCGGCAGCACATGGCTGCCAAATCACTGTTTGGCCGTGCCGAAGCTCCCTCGCCCTCCGCTCCGGCAGAGAATTCCCGCGTCAGCAGTGTCTCCTCACAGTTCAGCGATGCGCCCCAGGCCAGCCCCAGCTCCCATAGCAGCACACCATCCTGGTGCGAGGAGCCTGTGCAATCCAACATGGACATCTCTACTGGGCACATGATTCTGGTGAGGCGTGTTTGCACCGTGTGTGTGTGTGGAGGTACAGGCTTTACTGAGGTGCAAAGTTGCCAGGTAACAGCTTTGCAACAACCAGAGGTGCTATGGCCTAGTGGTGGGGAACCTGTGGCCTTAAAAGTGACATTGGACCCCAACTCCCATCATCCCCGGACATTGGCCATACTGGCTGAGGCAAAGGGATGGTGGAGTTCAACCATATCTGAAGCAACACAGGTTCCCATCTTTAGACATACAATTATTATGTGTGGGCAAAATGATAGTAGTGAAATGACAAGATTTCTGATTTCAGATAGTACGCAGCAGTGCCCCTGCTGTCTTTTGCTCCCCATGGAGCTTGGCCTATAGATATCAGCAGTCTCCTTTTTGATGACTGGCTATTTCTGGGGCAGCCAACACAGTGTCATCCAGATGTTTAGGGCCACAGCTCCAGTCCAGAACATCTGGGCAGCACCATATTGGCTACCCCTGGACCTTTTATTTCTTTGTTTGGCAGAACAGATATTCTGCTTAATCAACAAGAACCTCTTAAGCGGTTTACATAAAACAATATGAAATATAAAGAAACATTTGGGGAAAAAAATACCATGGTTATGTTAAAACGTATGCAAGATTTGAAGTATAGCAGCAGATAAGAATTGTAGTTTAATAATTTATAGTTAACATATATAATGGGTAAAATATAAGTAATATAGCAGCTTTATAAGGTCAGAAAAGAACTGCCAGGGAAAGGTGGATAGAAAGTCAATGGAAATGAGAAATTTGCTCTGATGGTTGTTTAAAAGAATTTGCAAAATTTGAAAAGTTAATAAAATAAATATTAACAAAAATATAAATGCAGAACACTGGTAAGAGCGAACATTAAAAACATTTTTTTTCATAATATAAATAAAACCAGCAATTTCAAACAACATCTGCGTAATAAAATTGCATGTTTAAAATTACTTGTCTGGGGTAGTGTGTAGGCACCCACATAGGTATGTGCAGATGTGCTTGTGCAAGTGGACATGTTTAGGAGGTGGTAATGATGCTGTCCCGTCCCCCCCGTCACCTGTAGGCATACATGGAGGACCACCTGCGCAACCGTGACCGGTTAGCCAAGGAGTGGCAGGCGCTGTGTGCATACCAGGCTGAGCCTAATGCCTGTGAGGCTGCGCAGCGTGAAGCAAACATCAAGAAAAACCGCAACCCTGATTATGTGCCCTGTGAGTAGCACAGAACAGTGCTTCTTCCTGGTATCCCTAATCCAGGGCCATTGCTGGCATGCCAGTTCTGAGGCTCTTCTGCATGGGGTTTGTTGAATGATTGCATGACCAATGACTTGCTTTTTTCCAGTTTTAATTTGCATTTAAAAGCAAATTTGTCTAGTTTGCACTTTCTAAAACAATGCACAAATGGAAGCACAGCCATTCTTTGAAATTCAGACTTCTCCAAAGTTTCCAGGGGAGTTCTCCCACCAAGGGATCTGCACAAAAATGCATATGCCAGTGTGCATAGAAATGCAAATATTTCTGAAAATAAGATACTAAAATGGTATTAGGGGGAATGTGTATATTAGGATAAATTTTCACTAAAATGCTAGTGACTTGAAGGACTTTTTTTTTGTAAAAGCACACTGATGTGGCAATGTGGAGAGCTGAACTTAAGAATGGAAAAATGAGAAACTGAGAGAAACTGGAATGGAAGGATTCACCCGTCCTTAGTAATAGCTCATGTTGTCTGTGAACTCCAGGACTGAGGCCCAGAACCCTCCAGGGGTCCCTGGCTATTCAGTTGGGTCCTGTTACATTGACTCATTGCACTTTTTGCTGTTTCCAGACGATCATGCCCGCATCAAGCTGAAGGCAGAGAGCAATCCTTCGCGCAGTGACTTCATCAATGCTAGCCCTATTGTGAGTGCCACAAACTCAGATTCACACTCTCCTCTGAACCCCCTGCCCCCTTGAATCCACTGAATCTGTCACACTGCCCTCATGTAAGAGGCAACCTTTTGCTCGGTCAAGTCTATCAACTGTGGCTCATTTTTAAGTGATGTCCTCAAAGCCACCTGGTCCCTTCACTAAAATACGACAGACCTGTCATAAATGAAAGCACAGACTCTTCCCACCCTTCCCTGGCCACGAGCTCTTCCTGAGTCCAACAAACTCGTTTTTCTGAATGCGCCCTCCCAGTGCTGCCAAACTGGAGGGAAAAGCTGGATGCTTTCCCAAGTGCTATCTTACCTGCCTTCCAGAATCAGGTAAACTTTCTTGCTCTCTTGTCATGCAGCCCTGCTCCTCCTAGTGTTGAAACTGGGCAAATACCCTTCCACTAACCGAAACTCTCCCCTTTTGGACTGTCTGTGTATCATAGGGGACTCATAGAATTGTAGAGTTGGAAGGGACCACGTGGATCATCTAGTCCAACTCCCTGCAATGCAGGAAACTTTTGCCCAACATGGGGCTCAAACCCTTTTAGAGAAAGTCCTTCAGCCAATCAACCTCCTATCGTGGATGCTTAAAGGAAATCTATCTTGAATAGCAACGTGTACGACTTAAGTGCAGTAAAGTGGACAATATGAATTGTATTTAATTAACTTTTACTCAGAGTAGATCCATTGGAATGAATGGACCTAAGTTAGTAATGTTCATTCATTTTGACTGGTCTGCTCTAAACAAAAGCTAGTTGAGTACAACCCTATATAGTTGAGACTGGTTTTAATTTTTCTCTTCTCCCCCTCACCCCCATACCCACCCAGGCACAGTGACTTATCCTCCTAACTAATAATTCATTTGGGAGGTTGGGGTAGTTTGCTGCTTGTGGATTTGTGAGCATGGACAATGACAAGATGGGGAAAGAATTAATTTCTAACCTTCAGGGTACAGCTAAGCATGATTGCTGTCTTGGCACAAGATTTCCATCCAGAGTTATCACAGTTAGCAAAGTTCAGGCAGACTAGAGTCCTGTCCCTGGACCTTGACCTCTTTTACCCTTAGTTCCACTCTTCCCCTTCCCTCCAAGATGAGTATAACACATATTATTTTCTCTGCAGATTGACCATGATCCACGGATGCCAGCATACATTGCTACACAGGGGCCACCATCCCACACGATCGCTGACTTCTGGCAGGTGAGGCAAGCATGGCTCATGGTAGCCTATTCAGGGAAGATCTTGCTCAAGGGTGGTGTGGGGGCAAAGAGCACTGTGTGAGAAAGCTGACTGACCCTTGTTTGGCAGAGATTCACACTGTCTGCATTAATATGCTATACAGAGCCCTTAGATGATGTGGTGGCAATGAATAGCAAAGGGCAGGCAAAGATTGGGAACCTGTGGCCTTTCAGATGTTGCTGGGACTCCATCAACCCCAACCACCATGGCTAATGGTCAGGGATGATGGGAGTTGTAGTCCAACAACAGGAGCAGCTCCGTCCTTGCCCTACAGGCTATTCATGGTTGCCACCTCCTCTAGGGGCTCATGGATTCCCCATCCCTGCTGTAGAGAAACCTTCAATCCTGGCCATGGATGAAGCTCTGCGTGCTCCACACTGAGGCACTGCCGTGAATAAATTTTGTTAATTGGCAAAGGTCCTGAATATTGGCTTGTTTTTGCACGATTAGTTTTGCCCTTTGTGTGATTTTGTGTTACTTTTGCTAGCCAGAAGAAGGAGGTACACATAGCATTGGAGCTCAATCTGTAAAAGTCCTCCTTGGCTCCCCTCTAAATTCTTAATTTGGCTAGACCATGGCCTGTACGTTTCCAAGCTTACCTCTGCAGTCATGAGGGAATGAAACTTGTCCTTTTGCTTTGTTTATAAACTGAAGCTAAGATTTACTAAATTCTGTGCCTGACACAGTGCCAAGTTTCATGGGGTGCCTATGGATGTCTGGCCCTACACACAGCCCTGAGGTAGCTTTCAGGCCACTCTGGAAATGAAGTAGAGGTGGGGCCCATCCTGGACAGGAGGGAGAGGAACAGCCTCTTCATTCCTGTGTGCTAGATGGTTTTGGTCTCTGACTTGCCCTGTAAGAACATAAGCACTGCTGGGTCAGGCCAAAGGCCCTCCTAGTCTAGCATCCTCTTCTCACAATGGCCTACCAGATGCCTCTGGGAAGCCTGTGAGCAGGACCTGAGCACAACAGCTCTCAGCTTGCGTCTGGCATTCAGAGGCACGCTGCCTCCAACAGTGTTTGGAACAAAGCCCTTGTAACTAGCAGCCATTGGTAGCATTATCCTCTGTGACTCCGTCCTATGAGAACATACAACCTGGGCCCATTCCCTTGACCCACACCTGCCCCTTAGTACCTGCTGTGGACTCTGCCTTCTTCTGGTCTAGAGAAGAAGGGTGTTTGCATTTTGAGGGCTGGGAATTCAATGTCTGTTGCTTGTGCATAGATGGTGTGGGAGAACGGCTGCACCGTCATTGTCATGCTGAGCCCTCTAGTGGAGGACGGCGTCAAGCAGTGTGACCGCTACTGGCCTGATGAGGGCTCCTCCCTGTACCACATCTATGAGGTGAGCCTGGCGAACGGTGGCCCAAGGGCCTGCGGACACAGTTATTTTGTGATCACCATCCCTGAACTTGTCCCAGTCTCCTATTTATGTGATGCAAGGAAAAGGAATCCTAAGTTGCCACTCTTTTTATGGGCATCTAGGGAGCATACTGAGTTGGCACAGTGGTCCATCTAGCTCAGTACTGACTACACTGACTGACAGTGGCTGTCTCCTAGTCCTACCTGGAGATGCTGGGGACTGAACTGGGGACCTCCTGCATTCAAGGTGGATGCTCGCCACTGAGCTGCGCCCCTTCCCTACCTTCCTCTTGTCTCACAAAGTGGCAGTGACATCCTTTTCATGCAGCTCCCTGCTGTGTGACTGAGCTGAGCACAGCCATACTGAGAAGCACAGAGATGCTGACTCTGTGGGAAAGGCTTGTGACATCTGCCCCACCCACATGGGCACACCATTTATGTGCACCTCTCCCCTCCCCCAGTTGGGAGCATGTCAGAGAGAACTACCTGCTATGGAGCCAGTTCCTCCTCCTCCTCCTGCCACAATCTCTTCCCTGATCCTGGGTAGCTAGCTGCCTACTGCCCACCAAAATCCTTGGTTCTTAAGCCCTCTTGGGCAATGCAAAAGCCATCTTCTATGTACAGAGAGCATAAGGAAACAAACTCCTTGAATCGCAGAGTGCTAAACTTCTTTGTGGCCTCGCAAGGTAACATCATTGGCCATCCCTGACCCAAACTCTTACTGCTTTGCACAATTCTGTAACCCTGCAAAGGGCCAGGAAGTGATGTGATTGGCCCAAGTTAACTTCTGCAAGGGCTGCCTGGTTGATACGCTCGCTGGGTCCGCAGCCCTGAGAGGAACTTCCTATGAAAACCAAATGGTGCTAACAAACCCCAAGTCAGCTGGCTGTATGGACACAGTGCTCACGAGGGAAGAGCAAGACAAGCCCCTACGTGGGCCTGGCAACTGCAGGGGTGAACAGAGTCCCACTTCCCCTGGTCCAGGGAGAGCCAATGTGGTAATCTCTAGATGTTGTTGGACTCCGGCTCCCATGGTCCCTGACTGCTGGCCACGCTGGCTGGGACTGATGGGAGTTGGAGTCCTGCAACTTCTGGAGAGGAACCACGCAAGCTACTCCCGCTCTAGCCACTTGGGGGAATGGTAGGAAAGGAATTACAATTGACTGAGCAGAATAAATCATTGGGGCTGGGCTGGGCTGGGGGAATAGCAGCAGGGGAAACTGGGGGCTGGTTGGCTTATGTATAGTTGGCTAGGGAAGGATAAGGCCTCTCAGTTAATATGCTATTTTTCTCCCTCTCTCCCCCTGTCCCCACCTTCCAGGTGAACCTGGTCTCTGAACACATCTGGTGTGAGGATTTCCTGGTGCGCAGCTTCTACCTGAAGAACGTCCAGTCTCAGGAGACACGAACTCTGACACAGTTTCACTTCCTGAGCTGGCCTGCAGAGGGCATCCCCACCACCACACGGCCTCTCCTCGACTTCCGCAGGTGTGGGATTTCGTGCCTCCCCTCTCAGTGGTCAACTAGGATGAGATGTTGGGCGGGGCCTCTGGCACATGGTGTCTGTGACAGCACTGGGCAAAGAGGGTTAGGAGTCAGAGCTTATGTAGCTGAGTTCCTGGAAATGGGCTAGGCCATGTTTTGAATCTTTCCTAGCTATTCTGGTCCAGAGGAAGGTCTTCAGGACCAGTGTTAGGAAGCCTTCAGGGGAAAGGGAGGAAGACTTGAGTACCATAGAAAGAAGGCACAAGTTAACCTACTACATTACTTGCACCCCTTGGAGCCATTTGAAGGCACCCAAGACAAAAGCTCTGCCTTTTTCCTCCATGAGCTTGACATCCCCTCAGAATGGGTGTCACAGGCAGGTCACAGTTAAGATCGGTGGAAACGGAGTCATAATGTGTGCTGATGACCCTTACAGTACTATCTCCTTCCCTACCATTTGCAATACACATGAGAAGGCTGATTTTTGTGGGTTGAGGCACTCCATTTTCCTGGCACCCCAAAGGCTCTAAGGGAGCCATCAAAGTCCTCTTCAGCAGCCTTTCCCCCCTCCATTTCCAGAACCAATTACCTGCATCACTCCAGACTTCGGAACTGGAGGTGTCACTCAAAAGTAAATTGCATTGATGCCGACTGTGTGGTTTTCTCTTAACTGTCAGCATTTAGCCCGATGGTGTTAACTTTGTGCAGGAAGGAATGTTCTGGCGCATGAGTCATGCTGGGAGTCCCTGTAATGGTTGGAAAATAGTGTGCCTCTGGGCTTTAGCTGTGTGGAGCATCCGCTCTGACTATAGAGGCTGCAGTGCTGAGGGGCTACCTGGAAGTAACATAATTACGCACTGTGCTGCATTATTTGTGTGGGTCAGAGTGTGGCGTGTGGGCTGGTAGTGACGCTTAACGTAGATGATGAACCCTTTGCCTTTCAGCTTTAGTATCAGCCTTAGAGAAAGGTAACCTCAGAAGGTACTGATGTGGGGAAAGCATAATTTGGCATTTAGTATAGGATGCTCGATACTTCGAGTGTGCGCACACATGCGCCCACACTTGCAGTGCAAATGACGAAGGCTCTGCAAGGTCATGAATGAATCAGGAATTACATGTAGTAGCGATATTGCCTCTCTGCCCCGTCACCGCAGTCCTGTGAATGCTTTAACTGGAATGCGTTTTGGGAGATGCGGACGTCAAAACAGGCAAGGATGGTGGGGGGGACTCCAAATGCCTCTAATTAAGTGAGAAAAGTTTCGTGACCAGAAAACACACTTCAGATATAGACAGGGGAGTTGTGTGCAGCTGGACCCTTTGAACTCCACACACCTCACTCAAAAGGGTGCCACTGAGGTGCAGTATGAAACACAGTTCACACCAGATACAATTTATTCTTCAGGACTGGCCATTTCCCCTGATTATTGTGCAGTATGAACACAGAATCACAAGAAATGTTATGCAGATACGCATTTTTGAAAGGCAATGAATGTTCGCTTTAGTTACAGCAGGCTTCAAAGAATGGGGCTTTTGGACTTTGCTGGGCATCTTCCTCCCCGCCTCCTACCAAGATCTGGAAATGGCCCCCTGTGCTGCCTCCCTCCCCAGTCCAGTTTCCATATGGGGAAAACCAAGTGGGATGTCTTACGCCAGCTGTGAGGACCCTTTGGCCCTCCAGATGTTGCTGAAATGCAGCTCCCATCAGTCCCAGCAAGCATGGCCAGTGGCCGGGGTTGATGTGAACGGTTGTTCAGCATTAACTGGAGGGCCAAAGGGGTCCCCACACTTATCTTAGTCTAATGAAGGTAACTATGCAAATATGTGTCATTATTCTGCATGTTTTCTGACAGCAGCCAAGGATCAATGTTTGTGAGGGTCCCAAATTCAGCTATGATCTATGTTGTGTGGGTTCTCCCCACCACCCAGCCTCACAGTGAGATGAGATCCAATGGATAAAAACACTGCATGGGGCAACAGAATGGAGAAAACACTGTAAAGGAGCAGAGGGAGACTGCAAAATTGGGTCCTTTTCCCCCTTATAGAGAGTTTGTGTCTGGAGCGATTGGCCCATCTTACGCAACCTGCTTCCAAATTATTTCTAACCTGTTTGATCCCCTCTGTCTTGTCCCTCCCACGTGCTCCAATAAGCCTCTCTCTCTTTCTCTCTCTCTCTGCATTCACCCATCCTCCTTGCGCAAGGGGACTCCTGCTGCCTTGACATCTGTGCTGGCGGTGGGTGTGGACGTGGGGCTGCTTAGCTTCCCCGGCAGCCATTGCAAAAAGAGGCATCTCTGGGAGTGGGATAATCACCGCTGTGCATTTCCAGATCCATTAGGAAAACTCTCTGTGTGGCTTCAGGCTTGGAAGATGACAGAGAGGAAAGGATCCCGGTGTCACGGCTTGGGGTTCAACGGTTCCTGTGGCCTTCTCAGCTTCCCCCACCAATGGGCTGTATTTGGGGGCCCAGGGCACATGGGCAACCTAAGCAAGCTGAAATACGAGAGGATCCCAGCTTGCTCTCAGCTCTGCCTTTCTCTCCCATCTGTGTCCTGTCGGTGCTGCTGTATGAGGCTGTTTGCCTCTCTAGTTCCCTATGGAGCTCGCTTAACTCTTTCCTCTGCCTGCATCACACCATTGCGCTCTCTCTCTCCTTCACCACCACCTCTCCTCCTCCTCTTCTTCCTTCCTTCCTTTTTCCTCTCTCTTTTTTCTCTCACAGCCGCCAGTGTCATTTTTGTGATTTGCAGCTAGTAATCCTGGCCCAGTTGCATAGTCACAAAAGTGATCATTGGCCGCCGTGCTGGCTGCATGGAACGAGACAGGGCCTCAGCTGCTGTCGTGCTCCACCTTCTGCCCTCCCTCCCTACTCTGCCCTCGTCCACCAGAGCAAAAGAGGCCCAAAACTAGATCCAGTCTCTTACGTGCAGATTTCCATTGGAGAACAAGGAAGCTGTGTGTGGCGGTTGTGAGTGGATGGAGGGTCTGTGCCATAAGGCAAGAGAGGGGACTCTGCCACCATGAGCACATGGAAATGGCACTTTGATACGGAGCAGGTCCCTTGCTCATAGCCTGCCAGTTAAACCTGCAGCTTGCAGGCAGTGGATGCAATGCCTCTGGCTCTCATCATTCCTGGCCATTGGCTTTGCTGGGTGGGGCTGATGAGAGTTGGAGTCCCAACAACATCTGGAGGGTCACAGGTGCCCTTTTCCTGCTATAAGATCGTATTTTTCACAGCTGAATGCTGCAGGCGGAAATTTTGCAAATCAGCCTGCAGACATCTTCAATAATATGCTTTCTTCCCCACCTCTGAGATATTTTGGCATACTGCACTTGGTTTTGGAACCTTATATATATCATAGTGCTCCAAAATGTCAGGCTGCCTGACTGATGCTCTGCAGAGTAATGTGTCCTTTTTGATCCAGCCCCACCCCCTTCAACATGTACAGCAATCAAATAACCAGAATATCATCTTACCTATATATTAGATTCATTTGACATAATTCCTTCTCATTGTTCACATGATTTGACTAGCTGATCTGTGACACCCCATGTTGTGGATAGAAGAAATTCCTCTCTCAAAAATAAAGAAATTTCCCCCTTGCCAGCAAAAACTCTGTAACTAGCAAGAAACCAAGGCTCTTCACATCCAGAAGAGCAATCAAGGTGAAGTGATGAGAGCAGCATCACTCACTTTGTGGAATCAGATGTGTAGCTGTGAAAAGGACCCCAAATAACAAAACAAAGGATTCTCATGTTGCTACATTGGAACACTGGTCATGTGAAGGATACGCATTTCATATTGGATGTGTAAATGTGAAATAAATGTATTTGTTACGGAAAATATATAGACTGGTGCAAGCAATCTCAATCACTTGTTCACTGCATTTTACCATGTGCATCATAGTAATCAGATTGCTTTAATGCACTCATGAAGGTAATACTTGGGTTATTTAATGGTATGTTGTAGGGGGCGGATTAAACAGAATGACATTTTGCTCTCCAGTGGATCAATTAGTATGTGATTTTTAAAATAGCATTTTTGGTGGGTGAAGAGGATTGAGAATCCAATGTGATGAACCAAATTTGAAAAATCCATTTGGGGGATTACTGGGAGACACTTGGAACGGGCTTTGAAAAGGGGCACTTGTCCTGCGAAGTAGCATTTTAGGCTCCATGCCTCTTGGAGGCTTCTGCACTTTCACCTTTTTTTGACGTTTTGGAAAATGTCCCATGGGCCACATAGGAGGATCTCTGCCAGTTGACTTTGCAAAGTTCCATCTGTACACAGTGTCCTCCTGCCTGTATACTGCTGATAGTTGGGAGTAAAGTGTTTTGGTCCCACTTGGTGCTGAGCTTGCTGAGAACCATCCTTGCACCCATTCCTAGTTCTGCTTGGCTTGGTAAGTGAGGTGGGGGGGGTATTGCCTTAATCTGCCCTGCGACTTCTAAGTGATCAGTTGAAACCCAAAGCAGGGCTGCTCTCTGATCCCAACCTTTCCTTGTTCCGGCAGGAAGGTGAACAAGTGCTACCGTGGCCGCTCATGCCCAATCGTCATCCACTGCAGGTAATGCCCTGGGAAGGCTGAATCTAATTGGTTGTGGTGTTGCCGTGGAAACACCACCCCGCTGAGGTACAGAGAACAGTTCTTTTCAGAAGCACACAGGAAAGTGTGATGGATTTTGCCGGGCTGGGTGGGGGATTTGCCCATCAGAAGCATCCCATGTCATAGAACTAAATTGTACTGCCTTCTGAGGGAAACAGCAGAGCTGGATCTTCTCTTTTGTTGTGTTGTTCTCAGCAGCAGTGCCAAACCTCTTATCTTTTTGCAGTGATGGCGCAGGAAGGACCGGGACGTATATCCTTATCGACATGGTTCTGAACCGAATGGCCAAAGGTGAGAAGGGATGGGAGGGAAGGCAGGTCTATTCCACGCACACAACCTGGTCTTGGCCAAGCCTCCAGGTGCACAAACTACTGCACAAAGACAGGCCCCTGCTGTTTGAAGGCCTCCAGCCCACCATCTCCTCCTGTCTCTCCTGCATTTATCCCTGATTATCTTCAGATTCCACAGCCACCATTTTGTTCATGAGTGTATGGAGTTTTCCTCTTCACTGCTTCTTACCCCTTCACTCGATTCTGACTTTACCTCTCCTCCTGCCTGCTAGGTGTGAAGGAGATCGACATTGCAGCCACCCTGGAGCACGTGCGAGATCAGCGACCTGGCATGGTGCAGACAAAGGTATGTTGGGATGCTTGCTTTCAGGTAGCCAATGGAATGCTCTGCAGCCCCAGCCAGCATCATCAATGGTCAGGGATGACGGGAGTTGTAGGCCAACATCGGGCAGGCATCACCTGAGCTATCCCTGCCCTGTGCCCACTACTTGTGGGCAAAACCTGAAACACCTGCTGTGGGTGGATGCTGGTGGCACAACTTGGTTCCTGGAGGGCATGGAATAAGAATGCATTGGGACCTTCTGGCAGTGACAGGGTGGAAGGGAAGTGTAGGCCCCACCTGCACTATGCATTTAAAGTGGTATCACATCACTTCAAGCAGCCACAAATCCCCAAAGAATCCTAGGAAGCTGTAGTTTGTTAAGGGTGTTGAGAATTGTTGGGAGACCACTATTCCCCTCACAGAGCTATAATTATCAGAGTCCCCTTTGAAGAGGAATCGAATATTCAACCACTTTGAGAATTATAGCTCTTTGAGGGGAATAGGGGGTCTTTCTTCTTTACAGCTCTCAGCACTCTTAACAAGCTACAGATCCCAGGATTCTGTGGGGGAAGCTGTGGTGGTTTAAAGTGGTCTGATGTGGCTTTGTATGTGTAGTGCAGATGAGGCCTAAGTCAAGCAGCCATTGTACTCTCTGTCCCTGCCTATTGGGGGGGGGTCAGACATGGTGCTTGGTAGCATACTAAAGGTCAGGGGTTTTTTACCCAGGAGGTAAGAGTGCCTAGGTTTGGAATGAGGAGGACTGAAGTAAAAAAAAGAAAAAAGGAAGAAACTATGGACTTTTGGGTTCTCAAACCCTATCCAGAGCAGGCCGATGCTGTGCTCCTTCCTAGCCAAGCTTACAAAACTGGGCAGAGTGAGGATGCTCAAGTCTACCTTTGTACAGTAGGATAGCTTCTCTACACACACCCATACACACACACCCCTCTACCTCTTTATTCTCCATCTGGGCAAACAAGAAGCATTATCAAAACAAGAACAGGCAAAAGCCCCTTCTGTGAAGCAGGGCCAGGTACATCCCCCCCCCATTTCCCGTCCCTAAAGCTCTTTACACCTGCAGTGGTAGGAAAGTGAGGTCCCTCTGATGTTGCCAATCTGCAACTTCCCAAATCCCTGCCCATTGACCATGCTGGCTAGGACTGATGGGAGTGCAGCCGCAGCTGCAGTGCCACACATTCCCCACCCCCTTCTGTTGAGAAGATGTTGCTGGACTCCAACTCCCAGCATCCAGGACTGGCAGTGGCTGATGGGAGTTGGAGTCCACATCTTTGCTGCCTTTATTTTCTAATTTTGAGGTGAAAGGGATTAAGAACATGATGTGGGGGATGCCGACACCCAGACTGATTTTATGTATCCCCAGGACCAGTTTGAGTTTGCACTGACAGCCGTGGCGGAGGAGGTGAATGCCATCCTGAAGGCCCTGCCACAGTGATGCCCCACTCGGCGTACCCCAGCTTTGTGACTCCCCCCAACTCGATCCCTCTTGCCTCTGCTGTGCCGTGTCCTTGCCTGGGATGTTCTTCCTTCATAAAGTCTATTTCCATGTTATCGACCATGACTGAATTTCAGCTACGGGAGGTGGCCCCTCACCTGCCTGCCCCACCCCTCAGCCCCTAACCCTCCTCATACTGTGGGGTGCTACCCTGCCCATGTTCTCCTGGAACAGGGGTTGCCAGTGTTGTGCCCTCCACATGCTGCTGGGCAACTACAACTCCCAGGAGCCCTAGCTAGCATTGCAAATAGCCAGTTTGTCGTCTAGCAACTTCTGGAGGTTGACTGCCCTTGCTCTGGATGCAGCCCTTAGTTAGTGGGAAGGGGGTACTTTGACACACTTTGGAGGTTAGTCTGTGCCCTAATAAACGTGGGTGGATGTGCCACAGAGCAATACAAGGGGCTCTGCGCTCAGACACTGTGTTAAGACACCTTTCAAGGCAAGTTTTCCAAGGAGCCGCCTTTGTGTGTCCAGCCTCTGTAGATGTGCCTGCTTCTACAAAGGTGAGAGGTGTAGACTTTGTGGGTGCATGTGGGCTCCTCATCTATACAGAATGCTGCTTTGTCCCTGTGCCATAATCGGGGGTAATATCCACGACAAGGCACTGCCAGGGAAGTCTATCTAATTAAACCATGTGGTCCTCATGCCCCTTCCATCTCTTCCTCCTCCTCCAGTCATCTCCTCACCCTCGATTTGGAGCAGCCCCCAAAGGGTCCCTAGGTCTATGACAAGTGAGAGTGGGGAAAGCGTAACAAGGCTTCTACCCCAATTGCTCCTTTCCCCTATGTCAGGCATGGCCAAACTTGGCCCTCCAGCTGTTTTGGGACTACAACTCCCATCATCCCTAGCTAACAGGATCAGTGGTCAGGGATGATGGGAAATGTAGTCCCAAAACAACTGGAGGCCCAAGTTTGGCCATGCCTGCCCTATGTCTACTCCCCGTTACTTACAGCCTAGCAGCCTTTCCCTCCTTTTCCAGAAAAGGGGGCGGGGTGTCGCTTTGGGAGAGATGGACCTATGCCTGCTCCTCCCCACTATGCTACCCTGTTCACTCTCTCTCTGTGATGTTACGTTCACCAAGAGACATTTCTAGAGAATCTAATTTTGTATTTGATGTGAATAAAGTTTTTGTGTCGCGTTTGTGCAGCTGCAGCCCAGCCTACTCATGTTGTGTGTAATCCAGAAGGGGTGGGGGTGGGGCAGTGCTACTTGCATTGTGGGCTGCAAAAGCTGCGGCCAAGTGTCCCAACGCATGCCAGGCACACAACCCGTCCACTGCCCTGAGCCGCTTCCTTGAAAGGGTAGGAATACAAAGGGGACTGCTTGCCTTCAGCTGCATTTGTATTGTATGAACAAGGTTCTAGGTTCAATCCTCAGCATCTGGGGGTTGGCTTGAGTCAAGGCAGACAACAGCCCCACCCCTAGGGGGCCCATTTATTTCCTTTCTGAGCTGGCACATGTCAGTATTTGTGAGTTGAAGTACTTAATACCAGCGATGAAATTCTGACACAGCATTCATTGCAAATAAATTTATTGACAATGTTTTCCACTCTATATACCAGGCCAGTGCTTTGAATTACAAAACAGATCAATCTCACTCCCGAGTCAAGAGATACACTGAGCAAGTTAACTCCAGCTCTGTTACCTTCTGGGAGAGGATTTCCTCCAAGGGATCAGAGAGAAAGAAAGGGGAGAGGGAGAAAGGGAGAGAGAGAGAGAGAGACAGCCCCAGCCCTCTCCTTCCTGGCATGAGAGGCCTACACTACACGCCCACTCTCTCTGCAAGGCCTGGTCTGGAAAAGTGACGTCCCTGCCGCTCTGAGGGAAAATTTGGTTTATAGCCCTTTGGCCCTAGAGCAGCCTCCCCCACCCTTGGGTCTGCAGGTGGCTGCTGGGAGTCCAACCTCCATTGCTCCCCATATGTTGATGGACTACCACGCTGAGCAATGCCGCTGTGGAGGTGAGGGGGAATCTTTGGCTCTCTAGGTGCTGCTGAACTACAGTAGTTCCCATTAGGGCCAGTGGCCAGGGCTGAGGAGAACTGTGGTCCAGCAATATCTGGAGGGCCAAAAGTTGCCCACAGCTGCTGTCGAGCACAAAGTCTTCTATGCTAAAACCGGAAGCCCTTCTCCCATGGTTTCTGTCCCAACACCTCCACACCTACCCACACCCAATCAGTCAGTCAACACTATAAACAGGAAGAGTGTTGTTGTGATGCGGCCCAGAGAGTCCCTGAAGGAGCTAAAGAGGACCAGAAGGCCAACCTGCATCGGAAAGGCTTATCACTTCCTGTGCCCACCACAGTTCACACAGCACCGCCGTCTCCTTCATAACTTACTCATAAAATGGTCCAGCGAGAAAAGTCCATCATGCTCCTTTAGCCACGGTCCTCTCTTGCAAGGGAACAGGGCACCGGTGAAAAGGGAGCTACAGGCAGTGGGGGGCTTGGGGATACCTCCGCCCAACCCCACCAAGAGCTGTTAACTCAGGAGCAGCAGCAGCAGCATAGCTACAAGTACATTGTTGTTGTGTTAAAAAAAGATGGGCTGCGCCGAGCCCGACCCTTTTGAGCTACTGGGTGCTACAGGACACGCAGCAGAGAGAGAACTAGCGGGGAGGAAGTCACACACTCGGCACCTGCCCATCAATCGTTCCCCCAGGCAGGGCTCAGGGAGGGAACAGAAAGTGAAGTCCAGGCTTGAGTAGCCTTCTGGGAGCACAGAGTGCTAGAGAGGCAATTCTCCCATGGCTCTTCCAGACTCAGAACACACCTGGGGAAACAAGCAAGGAGACAGGACAGGAGGGAGGGGGAGGGAGGGAGAAAAACAGACACCGAGTGAATCAGACAGCAGTGAAAAGTGATGTGACAGCAAGCAGAGCCTGGGCTGTGCACTACATCATTCCCCCCCCCACCCCCCACCCCAGAGATCAGGCTTCGCCAAGCAGGAGTATGACTTGCAGTGCTGAGAGGGAGTGGGGTGGAGGGGCTGGTGAGAGGCTCTAGCATCAAGGCACAGCTGCTGTGGACTCAGGATTAATGATAAGGTCAAGAAAGAGCCACTGCCCTTTAACAAATCAGGGGAGGAAAGGGTGCATCCGAGCATGCAAAATAAGGAATTGTAGCAGGTTGCTCTGTAGAACCATCACCTTCCCACCCATCCATGGTCCCCTGCCAGTTAAACGGTTAAACATTACATGAAAATATTCATCCTGCAAAGGCTTGGTTGCAAATTGCTCATAAGGAAGGGAAAAGGGAACCAGAGGTATGAAGACCTGGGGAGGGGGGAAACAAGGGAATACATTTTTTCCAATGTACAAATTTGGGCGAACTTGGGGGTGCGGCAGGTGCACATGTACCTCCTATGAAATATTTGGAATGAGTGAAATTCTCTTTTAAGACCTGATTTTAGTTGCTCAAAATGTGTGGTTGGAATATTTTTATTTTTTTTTAATGTAAAAGGACCTAGAGCTTTAGAGAATGACCATTCCTTTGGATACTGCAGTCATATGCAACACTCAGATCCAAGAAACTTTTATGGAGCAAGAGGTTGAGGGTGGGTGACTAAGTTGTGACCCTCCAAAACTTGCTGGACTCCAACTCTCATCAGCCTCACACCCAGGATGGTCAGGGCTGATGTAGCGTTGTGATTCAACAGCATCTGGAGGGCCACAGGTGAGCCACTCCTGAGTGTGAGGCTGCTGCTTTCGTCTATGAGAGGATCTAAGTAGGCACAGGGAGAACGTGGGTTAGACACATTGTTGTTCAACCTTGGGCCCCTGGATGTTGTTGAACTACAACTCCCATCATCCCCAGCCAGCTTAGCCAATGATCAGGCATGTTGGGAGTTGTAGTCCAACATCACCGTGGGCTCCAAAGCTGAAAAGCACTAGGTTCAAGCTGTGCTTATGGAGAAGTGGAGCCCCAGGTTGTACACAGAGGAGAGGCAAACTCACCTGTTTTTGTTATTTATAGGCAATCTTTCCTACAAAAGGAGCTCAGAGCAGATTACATGTGTTCTCTTGGTGGCCTCACATATGGGCAGTGTTCAACACCCAATTCTATATTAACCAGTGGAGCTCTTAGAGGCCTTCACACAGAGTAATAGAAATGTAGCGTTGGAAGGGGCCACAAGGGTCATCTACTCCAACTCCCTGCAATGCAGGACTCTTTTACCCTACGTGGGGCTCAAACCACGACCCTGAGATTAAGGGTCTCATGCTCCACCAACTGAGCTATGCGGTGCTTCTATAATGATGTGATGAATTAGGGAGGGCACTGCAACTGAGGCTTATGAATTGAAGCAGTTTCTAGGCCCCACTTGGCCACAGCCACACGCTGAAGCCATGTCCTCACCTTGCCAACTGAATTATGTGAACCTGCTCAAGAAACTCTCGGATGCCCCTAGCTGATACAGCTGTGAGGGGGGGTCTATCACCCTCGCTCAAACAGTACCCAGGGCAGGGATATATCAGGGCAAGGACTAATGAGGAATCTTGTAGCGTGGAATGTGCACACAAAGGCAAGAAAGATTTGGGGCAGATCAATTCCCACAATCAAAATCACTAGGGCTGTACATATTCCATACTACCATACTAGGAGTGGACAGCCCTTTGGGCCCCATCAGCCAGATCTTTATCTCCTCACACCCCACAGGCCAACTTTGACCACCAGTCAATCAAGTCATGATTCCACTCACCTGTCAAAGTTGACCCATGGGGGTAGTCTGCTTTGCCAACATGTTCGCCTCAGGAAATACACTGGCAAAGCAGCACCCAGAGGGACTGTAGAATTCTGAACAAGATTTATCCTCTCTCTCATCAGCTGATTGGGGGAGGGGGTTGCATCCTGCTGCTTTGGCTGCACAACACATTGTGGGGAACTGACATGTGCAGCCAACACAAAACAAAACAACATCCCCTGCTCATCAGCTGATGTCAGCAGATTGATAGGAACATAGATTGTGGGGAAGCAGCCTAATGGGCCTGAGGTTCATGCATTCTGCTACAGACTCAGACTAAAACACTACAACCAACAAATCTAAGGTTTGTTGATATACTTAAACTGCACTTTCCTATCAACAAATATTTAAACATTTTCAAAAATGCATTTACCCCCCTGGCTCTACAAGCCAAGTAACACACCCTACCCCCCCAAAAAAAAACCAACCTCTGGAATTTTGGAATCCAGGAGCAGGTGACAGAAAAGAAGACACGAAGGGAAAGCACATGGAAGTGACTGGATCTCAACGGCCAGAAACTCACTTTAAAATATAGGCAGCCTTGTATGGCAAAATGCCAGGCTGGGTAGGAAATATACACAGCTCTGCTATTATTATTATTATTATTTTAAACCATCACCACCAACAGAACCACCCTGCAGATCTCTCGCCATTTCAACCAACTGGACAAAATGAACACTTGAGGGTTACCTGCAGAGAGGCAGCATGGAGGGGCATCAGACAGAGTATGCCTGTCCATCAGGGTCTGTGGCATGGGAAGCACAGGAGGGAGGGATGGGCAGGTGAGGAGACAAGCAGTGGCGGCAGCGGCAGCAGCAACAACAGCAGAGAGAGAGAGAAAGGGCACCAACAAGTTACATTCCTACATCGAGCATCCACCGAAGCCTTATCCAGGGCCTGCCACTGGGGGTTACGTTAGACACAAAAGGGATCAGGGAGAGAAAGAGGAGGGTGCAAAGGCCCTGGGAAGCAGGGGAGGGGGAAAGGAGGAGGTCACAGCTGTAGGGAGTGGTGCAAGACGCCAGCAAGCAGGGTTGAGAACCACTGGTTTAGGGGCAGGCAAAAGCTGCAGGGGAAGATGGCATGCACTTGCAAACTACAGGGCAGGTAAGGGGAACCTCTGCGGCCATCCAGATGTTGCTCCCATCAGCCTCAGCCAAAAGTCAGGGATACTGGGAGTTGCGTTCCAGCACCATCTGGAGGAGCCACAGGTTCTCCACAGAGGTATAAACCTACATGCGTTATGTCTCACACATTTCTCAGTCCCCAGGAAGTTCCAAAAGCAGGAAGTGCCTTTCAACTACATTGTCATGACAGACACAACTAATGTAGCCTGGTCCGTGTTCAGACCTCCCTGCCCCCCTGTGGTACCTCCCCTCTCTTCCTCTGCACAGGAAGTTGGGTGCTCAAGCGTTAGGGCCTAAGGCAGTTCCTACGTGTGTCTCCATGCCTAGGCTGCCCCCCCCAAGGCTGAAAACGGGCAGCGCTGCCAAGTAAGCGGAAGAGAGCAGAGTCCTCTCTCAGAGCTGTGCCTTCTCTGACATCTCGGCCCATCAACAGACCGCTCTGCTGCTAGTCACTGTAGGACAGCCACCACCTTCAGCGCAGGTTGAGTTCTCACTAGCCCTTCACATATAGGGGTTGTTTTGTTGCCCACCCCTTCCCCCAGTAGCAGTGGTCGGGGGATAAAGGCACAGGATTTGGTACCATTCATGGAGGCGGGAGGGGATGTTAGTGCAGAAAAGGCACTCGGATCCAGGGCAAATTTAGAGGACGGCCCTCAACATAGGCCATCACATTCTGTTATTTGGGACGTAACAATAATAAAAATAAATACATTAATAATAATAATAATAATAAATATATATATATATTAGCTCCCCCATTGCTGATACAAAACCCTGGGGCAGAAGCAATGCATTCGCTTCCTTTAGTGCCCAGGGCAAGCAGTGGCAGCCAAGAGCACAGCCCCCTCCCGCCCCCCAGCCCCAGGGATCTATGCATACAGGAGAACAACAGGGACATACAGCCAAGCCATGCACTAGAGCAGCAAGGCAGACAGCACAGCCTGCACTTGCTGAAGGCACCAGGGCTTTGCTGTGCAGGAGCTGCCTGGGCCAATGCCTCTCCATGCCAAATTACACACACACAGAGCTAACAGAATTTGCTCCTGCCCTTTACTCAGCAGCAGCAGCAATAGCACCTCCTCTTCTGACCGGGTGGGCCTTCGGGCGATTCTGCCAGTGACGCATCACGGCAGCTGGTCCTGATGGAACAACCCCCCGCTCCTCCATTGGCCAGGGTCCCAAGCGCACCAACCAATGAAAGCCCAGTCTCAGGCCGGCTCAGAGGAGGCTGCACTGCGCATCTTTCTTCTTCTTAGGGGAGGAGTCTTTGCCTCTGCCCTTTCCCCGTCCGCTCCCTCCCACGGCCCCCGAGGGGGATTTAGAGGGGGGCTTGGACAGCCTGTCCGCCTGGCTGTCCGTGGCGTGGCTCCCCTGTGGCAACTGCGCTTTTCCAGGGGGCTGCTTTTTCGAGGGGCTTCTCGCACCTGCTCTGTGCTGGCCCTTGGCCTCCATTTCAGACAGGCTGTAGGCCATCGCCAGCTGCAGGTCCTCATCGTCCTCGTCGCTGTCGGTGTACAAGATCACAGGGGACGAACTGGGGGACGGGCGCTTGGGGGGCGGGTGCTGTGGCGCCGGCGAGGAGGGGGCTGGCTTGCGGCTTTGCACAGCTTGCTGGTCCCGCCGGCTCAGCTCCAGGCCGAGGGCCAAGTCGTCTGGAACACCTGAAAGGGAAGGGGTTGAGCCAACAGTTGTCCAAAGAAGGCACCCCAAGTATACTCCCTCCCCCTCCCGTCATTGCTATGGCCTTGCCCAGAAAGGCCAAGCACCCTAGATGTGGGGTCCCCAACATTGTGCCCGTAGGCACCACAGCATCCTCAGACACCTCCTTGGGACCCAACAAGAGGCCTGCCATTTCCAAACAATATTTTTAATTGACTTGTGGGGGGCATGCAGCCATTATGCCCGAGTATTGCCAGTTGTTGTGGTGCCCACAACGGTTTTTGAGATTTCCAAAACCATCCAAAATGGTTGAGGACTCCCGCCCCAGGATCTTCAGCCAGTGGGTAAGGATTTGCAGCCTGGCCTAAAAATGGTTGCAACAGCAATGCTACCACCAGAGAAATATATGGTTAGAAAATAATAATAATGAAGAAATTGATCCCTGAATGCATTTTTGAAATTAAAGGCAAGATCTGGGTCTGAAAAAGTTGAAGGTGACTACCCTAGGCTGCTTCCCTTCTCCAATATATGCACTGCACTTTGTGGGTAATGGATGTCTTAAGGCTCATGTGAAAACTTTCCCAGCTCTCCCACAGCTCTCTTCCATTCCTCAGCCACCAGCCTGGCATATGCCATTATCACATTCATCTCTTATTTTACCTCTCTAAGCCGTTCCACCACAAGTCTGAAAAGCCCCCCTCCTTCCTTCTGCCTATGTTTCTGAAAGAGGCCAGGAGTGCTGGGGAGATCTCTTCCAACCCCCAAATGTCTCAGAAGTTGGCACACAGGCATCCTACCGCTTGGTGGGAGGGCACATTTTTCACAAAGCTTTTCACAAGTTGTAGATTAAATGTCAGAGGCACTCCATGGGGATGAGGGTCTATTACTTTCTCCGTCTCCCAGGAGACAGGTTGAGATCACACAGAAGGCAGCAGGCGTCCAGAGAAGCTCACATTTCTGCTCTCAGCTGGAGAGAGCTGTGCATGGCTGACTACAGAGAAAAGAAACTCGGGATACCTCTCCCCTTTTAGTCCCATACCATTAATTTGGATGGATTTCAGCTCCCCGTTTTCTTCCACTTCCACCCTCTCCTGCCCATTTTCGATGATCCTGGAGAACAAGGGGGAAGGGGTGGGGACAGAAAAGTGAAATGACTTTGTGAAGAACACATAAAACCATGCAAAACCTTCCCCCAGCAATGTTGAACTGGAGAAAACATTAAGTTGCATGGCTACAAACATGTCTATTGTTTAGCCTTTGCTTACATTTTGGGCGCATGATTAATCCCATAATAGCAACCACAGTTCTCTTACTACCATACCTGTAATTATGCACCTGCTCGCCTTCATTATATTTTTCAAAGACAAACACCAAAAAATTATTTGAAGCTGCTCTTAAAATTTATTTTTGAAGAAGAGAGACCAATAAAAATATTTTGTTCTACAGATGAGAGTTTTTGCACAAAAGCATCAACTTAGAATCTCATTTTTTTAATGTATTATGTCTTTCATATTTTTTATGAGGCCAGCCTCATTCCACTAGATTTGAGGGACAGGTTTGGAGTGTAGAAAGGTCAGCATCAATGCACAAATTTGACTTCTCCTGTACACTTTAACCTTTTCAGTTATGCTGTAGGACAGTGGGGGGGGGGAGAGAGAGGTGTTACCCTGTACAATCCACTGCAAACACATGATCACCAGAGGGACTGCATTTTATAAAAGTTACAAGGCTACAAGGCAAGTAAACCTCTAACTCTCTGGGACGCAACATGTGAGCAAGCTGCTAAAAGGTCTAAAATACCAGGGGCCATGGGATTTCCCCAACTTGCTGCTGATAAGATGACCAGTAACAAGAAAGAGCTAGTGCTCTCTCTCTCTCTCTCTCTCTCTCTCTCTCTCACACACACACACACATACACACGTAAATAAGGAATGCATCCCCAATCTGGTACAGATTGTGTGGCTTTCCCATCCCTTCACTTAGATGGACCAGTGGCCTGAGTCAATATAAAATTTCTAGATATCCTCCCCATAGCTTACTCTGTGCCTCATACAGAAACAAGATAGCAGAAATGAGAAGGGGAGGAGGGCCAGGGAGAACAGAAAGAATGGGCTTGGTCGTTCCCCAAGAGGGCCCAAAATCTGCGTGACAAGGCCAGAAGACAGTAGGCAAATGGATTAAAACATCCTCCTAAGCTTACCTCTTGGTAGTAATCCGCTTGCCATTGATGAATCTGGTGGAGGTGGAGACAGAGCGGAAGCCCATTCCTGCATTCATAGCAGGACCAAGCCCTGGGGAGAAGAAGTCTGAAAGAGAGTGTGCGCCAGAATCACTGACAAGGAAGGGTGCAGCCGGCACCAAGGCCAGGGGAGATGAACCAGCAAAGGAAAAGAGACACCAGGCAGGAAAGCTTTCCTTTGAGATTCCAAGGAGGGGCAAATAGGAGAAAGAATGTAGCCTTGCAAAAGTGGCCACCAGGTCACAGTGTGCAAAGCACAGAGTCCCAGGGAGAAGTCAACCCTACAGCAAGGGTCCAAGTGCAGTTGGAACCAGGGTGGGGAACTGGAGGCCACAGTGAGGAGCAGGTGGGCAGGCAAATCCTTCCAGCTGTTCCTTCCTTACCTGGCGATGCTGCAAAGGGAGAGAAAAATGGCCCTGCCCCAGGGTGCCGTGGTCCAGGTCGAAGGTCTGCGAATGGATCGTCTGGAAAGAGGTCCAAAGAAGAGATCGTCAACCACTACATTCCTCTGCAGGGAGACTGCTACTCAAAAGCATGCAGATCCATACCCTTTGTATTCTGGCCTACTATCTGCCCGCAGTTCTGATTCATGTATCTTGTACCACATTGCTGCTGCGTCCTTCCACACAAGTTTTATTGCCTTGCCAGAGCCTCCCTGAGCTGCAAGAAAGCACCCAGTGCCAGGAGTGGGTGTGGACAGCCACTGAGCTGATCCAATTGCATCACACAGAGGGGAGCATTTCCCTTCCCTAACACAGAAGTTCTGGATAAGCACGAGGTCTGTACTAAAGCCAGTGCCAACATTTGGCCCATGTCTAACTAGGAGGGATCTGGTTCCCCAGAAAGGATCTGGTTTCTTGTAATCTGGAAATGATCCAAAAAGGAGGGACTGTTCACTGTCTAAGACCCCCTCCTCTCCCTTTACTCTCCTCAGCTGCACAAGGAGTTCTGGAGAATGTTCTGGCCTGGCTTTAAGGCTGTGGGTCCTCCAGATGCTGTTGGACTCCAACTCCCATCAACACCAGGCACCATGTCCAATGGTGAGGGAAGAATGATGGGAATTGCAGTCCAGAAATGCCAGGAGGGCAACAGGGTTACATTGTCAAAGCTAAGCGGGTCTCAGCCTCATGAATCCTGGATGGGAGACTGCACTGCTTAATCACTCTGAGCTTCCTCATGGAGGAATTTATATGCAGGTAAAATAAAGTAACACCAAGTTCACACAAGAAAACACCAACAGACCTGGCATAACCCAAACCACAACAGGAGCATGTAGGTCACAGAATTTCCTGTAGGAATGGGGCAGGGTGGAGCAGGGAATGAGTAACAAAACCCTACTGCACTCTCCACAGAAGTGCCCTATATGGTAAAAGGAAAACCCAGCTAGAGGAACCCTGGGCCTGACACAACCAGATAGCAATGATATTCTTCGTTACTAGTTCCTTCCATCTCTCAGATACTGGTTGTCTTTGGGATACCACTGACTGTCCTCATAGTTTTGAAGTCCAGAGACAGCAGATAGGGTCTTCCCTCCCTACTCAGATAAAATCCCCTTGCAAAACAAATGAGGATCAAACCCAATGCACACCAAAAAAGTCAGCAAACGGATCGTGCCCTCCAAAGAAATCCCGGAAGACGTCGTGGGCACTGCGGAAAGTGAAGGTGAATTCGGGTCCTGGGTGTGGTCTTGACCCGGAGGGCCCACCTGTGGGGGAAGCAGAGACCAAATGCGAAGCTTTATTTTCCTCACACCAAGACACTGGCTTACTGTTTACCAAGGTTAAGGCTGTGGCACCCTGGAGCGCCTTGAATGATGGTCAGGGGTGCCACAGGCAACGTTGGTTTCTGTCCCTCTTTTCTTCTCTCCCTCCTCTGATGCCCTCTTGTGTCTCTGCCTCCCAAAGGCTTGCACAGTTGTTTGTTGCAGCAGCCCTGGCTACAACCTCCTCAGGCAAATGGTGCCTCTGAGGCTGGCCAGGGGGTGCTTCCCAGGCCCCTGTGGGACAGTGTGAGAAGGCACCTTTCTTTGGGGCAGCTGTGGCCTGGGAACACCCCAGAAGGGAGGGTGTTTGAAAATGGGACTCAGAAAGCTTGAAAACCTCTGGCTTAGGGGTACTAGATAACTAAAATCATTTACATCAAAGGCCCAGCAAACCTGCAGCCTGCCTGCCAGCCAGCCATGCCTTGATATGTCTGCAGCCCCTGGAAATAGTTTAATCAAGCACTGATTCATGGGTCAAAAGCCACAGAAGGGCTACAGAGCTGGACAAACCCATTTTACAGAACAGAAAAACAAAACTGTTAAGAATCACAAAAAATGGCTGTTTGGGCCGTGAAAGGCCTAACTGCACCACAGCTGCTTTGGTTTGGAACTGACAAGGCAGCCAAGACCTTAGTAATATTCTGCTCCCAAAGAAGTTACCCAACTCTGCAAATTTCTCCCAGGAAATTGCTCCCTGTGAAAGTTGCTCAATCACACTACTATGATAACAGCTAAAGTAGCTAATGCAGAAGGCCTGTATGTTTCTGAGCTGCACATAAGCTATCTGTTGCCGTCTTTGTTCTAGCCCTCTTGGCGATGCAGAAATCTGCTTTGAACCTGATCCTGGTTTTTGATGATATTTGTCAGGATAACCCAGATCTTGACCAAGCTCCTTACCTTGACCCATGAGCCCATCTTTGCCATATCGGTCATAGACTTCACGCTTGCTCTCTGAAATCAGAAAGCACCTGGGTTAGATAGCTGCCCACAAAAAGGAGGTGAGGCTCAAGCAGACGTGTCTGCCATTGACTTAGTTGGGACACAGTCCCCACCCCCCACCCGCCACACATGGACTGCGGGGCAGGGAATGTTACTGAGTCCTTGCCTTGTCTACCCAAAGCTAGTCCTGCCTGGGTTAATAATTAGTAGTAATTTGCATAGCATGCTCAGAAAACATTGCATTATTTCAGAAAAACTTGCAACAACTGTGAAAAGTCAGCCAGCAAAATTGGAATCATACTACAGCTAGGGGCTGAGAGAGAGAACAGTTAATGAAACACACCTTCCATTTAGTCTAGTTTAAAAGGCTCTCATTTCAAAGGAAGCCCAATCTTCCTCAAGTAGCCTGTCCTAATGGCCAGTTGTCCCACAAGGCTTAGGTGGGTGCTCTCGACTTTACCTCTCAGTTTCTAGTTTCACTATTACAGGGATGGGAAACCTTTTTGGCTCCAGAGGCCAGACACCGGAGGTTTGGCCACAGGGCCCAATTTGACAGGTGGACAGAACAACTGGCCAGCCAATCACATGACATGATGATGGCATCACATGTCTGACAGGAGGGTGGGGCTGACACCTGTCAAAATTCTTCCCAGAGCTTTGGGAAAGTCATTCCGCACTTCCCCTTTAAACACAATGTGGGAGGTTTAAAAGAGGAATCGTAGAATTGAGGTGTTGGAAGGGACGCCAAGAGTCATCTAGTCCAACCCCCTGCAATGCAGCGATCTCAGCTAAAGCATCCATGACAGATGGCCATCCAACCTCTGCTTTAAAACTTCCAAGGAAAACAGGAACATGTAGAGACGTGCAACGCACCCTTCGAAGCAGCCTTCACCCACTCATTTAAAGGCGTCTCCAAAGGGCACTTTTGCTACGTCCTTTTATATGCCTTCGCTTGCTAGTGTTCTGCCTCTGCTTGAAAAACATGCCTCTTTTTCTCCCTTCTCTGCTTTGTTTTATTTTGCTAAATAAAAATGGGGGCTGGGGGGAGGGAGGAACCTCCTACCAGCCCCAGCCAGTCTGGGCTTACAGGAGCTGTTGCCCAACCATATCTTGATGGCCGCAGGTCCCACATCTGCACCTTAACCCTGTGAATAAAACTCTTTTCCCTTCTCTTACAAGGAACAGGAAATCTCCACAGTCTCCAGAAACAGCCCACAACCAGGGCCAAGACCCTACATGAACCGAAACAGCCTGAGGGAAAGAAAGGGGGAGGAGAGAGTCGATGCTTACTGTCCGATAGCACTTCGTAGGCTTCTGCTATCTCCTTGAACTTCTGCTCAGCATGTTCCTTGTTATCTGGGTTTTTATCCGGATGCCACTGCAAGGCTTTCTTCCTGTACCTGTTTGACAAGACAACCATGATAGCTTGGTTGGTGTATATTCTTACGGTATAGGCCCTGTCAAGAAGCAAGCCCACAGACAACTTCTCTCTCTCCCACCCCCCACCCCCGGTCACATACTGGCCTACACATTCACCCCCTTGTAGTTAGCAGCAACCCTACACACACACCTTTCTGCTTATGTGGACATTCTGCTTCTGTGGGAAGGGAGTTTCAACACGTGGGACTAATGATCCTCATTTGCTTCCAGGTGAAACCAGACTTCTCTCTCTTCCCACAGGAGCTGATAGCAGCTGGTGGCCATAGCAGATGAAGCTCCAGCTCAACCAAGAGTGGTCATCGGTCATTGTTCTGCCATCTGTCCTCCACGAGGGGGCACTTCACTCCCACAGTAGCACAAAACCCACAAAATTAAAAGTAAAAGCCAATTTACCGTTCCTTGGCTTTTCAAAGGAAAGTAGATTGCTGCACTTCCAAAACAGGATCCGCAGAGTCTCTTTCACAAAGGAAGAGCAGACAACAAGCCTGGAGATTTGCTCACCTGATAATTTGCTTCAAACCCTTGCTGAGGAACAAGGGTTTCTACAATACCTCTCTCCTGTTACAGGTGTGCTGCTACCTTAGAGCACCTCCAGCCTGCGCTAACACAAGGAGCAGAGTGGAGGCATTCCCCTAAGGGGAAATTTTGGGCCAAAAGGCTCTTGAATCCTACAGCTTTCATTATACTGCAGTGCCACAAAGATCTCCTGGCACAGCACTGTGTCGACACGTTCTCCCTCCGTTCATTCTTGTGCAAGGGGGCACACCCAAGTTGTCCTCCTCTGGAGTGCAGACCTCCCTGTGCCCATTCCAAAAACAAAAGCAGCCCTGCAAACAGCCCATCCCTCTCCCATTCAATTATCTTTCTGTAAGGTGGGTTAAAAACAATAGTTTTGCATGAAAAAGGCTATTCTGGTTTTTTTTAAGTTTTACTTCTAGTAGATTTCTCATTTAAAAATCAAATCAAATCTGAATCTTCACACAAGCTGCACAAGCAAAAGTTTTGGATCAGCCTCGTTGGATCAATCTCCAAGGCACTATTTAATAGCACATCAACATGCTTTAACGGATATGGCAACCAATCAGCATGTGCTTTGGTTGTTGGAAAATATACAAAACGTAGTTTGGAAACTGAATTTAAATACTTATGTTGATCTGTTCTCTTGGCAATCTAAAGCCTCCTTTTTATATGCTATAGTATTCCTGCAGGCTGAAAGTTTGTGAACATTAATTAGGCAGTGGAGGGAAATCAGACAAACATAATATAAGTCAGCCCTCAATTGAGGAGTCGCAAGAAAAGTGAATTTTCAGTATCTGGCAACTAAGTACCTGCATAACAGCCCCAAGAGCTAGAACAGATTCTCAGATCAAGTACATTCGACCTGAAACTAGTAGCTACCAGGTTCTCCACAGGAAAACTAGGAGCTCGAGTGGAACCAAAAGATGGAAGCAGAAAGGAAAAAACCCAAAGCACTGGGAAAATGCAGTGTCCAAGGCTAATCAGAGTCCAAGGCAAAGTTGGCAATACAACTTACTGCCACAAAACCACCCTGTATCCCCTAACACTGGGAAACACAGAGTTCTGAGAGCTCATTATTCTTGTCACAAACTTAAACAGGCTGCCCTCCACTAAACTGTGGCCAGGTACACTGTGCCACCACTTCCACATCTCACAGTCACACTCATAACCACCACACCAGGACTAGCAGTCAGTAGCCTGAGTCAGAAATGGAGAGAATGCAACTTACGCCTTTTTGATGTCATCCGGTGAAGCACCATGGGGCACCCCCAGCACTTCATAGTAATCCACCATGGTGCCCAAATGTGCTATGCAGCAAACCTAGAGTAAGAGGGAAAGGTTAGTATAGCACACCTCTGTTGAGCATTACCCAAGCTAACACCATCCAAATTAAAATAGCCCTCCCACCCACCCTTTATCGCCGGAATGGTTGTGTCAAGAGTCTTGTAGTAACACATGAAAAGGGTTCACGGATACAACCAGACCCAGATCTTTGCTGTTCCTGAGTCCTTAAAGCAACTGGTACAACTGCAGCAGGGAGCAAAGAGGCAGCACCATGAAGGCGTCAGGCACCCTGAGGAAGTTGTTGGGAGATGCCTCCCCACTCCTAAGAGCCCAACACCACCTCTCTATCGTATACGCATCTTTGCTCCTAATCATGTTGTTGCAAAGTCCCATTTCTGGTACTTTGTCTCTCAGCTGAAGAAGACGAAGAAATCTTCTGGGGAAATTGTGTACTGTGGACAGATTTTAGAGAAGTCTCCGTTGAAGGTGAAAAATTTCGGTACCTGGCTACGCTATGATTCTCGTAGTGGAACTCTTAACATGTACAGGGAATACAGGGATTTGACAACTGCTGGAGTTGTCGCGATATGGGAGCCCGTCCTAGAGCTCGTGCTCACTCAATTCAGATCATGAAGGTTGAAGAGATCGCTGCTAGCAAGTGCCACAGACCAGCTGTCAAGCAGTTCTATGATTCCAAAATCAAGTTCCCTCTGCCACATAGAGTTCTGCATCATCAACATAAGCCACGCTTCACCACCAAGAGACCAAACACATTCTTCTAAGTGCAGACTTGGTTCATTTGCTCTGAGTTTCAATAAAGTTCTTTTTGAGAGGGGGGAAAAAACCTGTAGCAGGGAAGGGTGCACAACTCTAATGTGAGAAAAACAGAATCCATCAGGCGTAGCCAACCAAGGATTGGCCATCAGCTGCTCTGGCAAAGTCAGGTATGTCTGGAAAAGGGACTCCTGTGAGCTGCCAGAAAACACCACAACCCAACAGTGTCCTCCTCCTTTCCAAGCTGCTTCACACACGATGGACATTAGTTGATTCACAGCTATTTTGATCATGTCTAACCGTGATGTTCCCAATGCCAAGAGAACCATACTTTCTTCTCCTACACACACCTTGACTATACACACCATAAGAAATCAGTGCTTATAAAAAACAAACAAACAAACAAACAAACCACCCAAGCCTAGACAAATGGATAAAAAGCAACAGGTGTGACTTTCACACATTCTAAGGAAAATAATAAGGGATGTGAAAGATCCACATATGTGCTTGCTATGTTTGCACTGTAAATAAATGTCCAGTCATTTAAAGAGAAGGAAGAGGGATCTAAAAAGTGCATAGATAGAGATGTGAACATCCAGGGAGGGTGGGAATGCCTTCTCATCTCTCTCTCTCTCTAACACTGGGGTGTGGGCAGGGAAGCTCCTATGCAATAGTTTCATTTTTTGAATGAGTGAAATGCTTAAGCTTCTACCGACTCAAAACATGTATTGTAAAGATTTCTATGTAGGACAATCTACATCATTAGAGAATGAAGTGTATGCTTTGGATGTATGCAACACTCAGATACAAGCTGCATTTCCACACCTAGAGGCTGCTGTCATCTTTTATGAAAGGGCCTTCCCTGCTGGTGAATTGCTGCTAATCTTTTGGTGACATCTGATCTAGTTTGGAGAAACTAGAAGCAACTAGCCTATGTGTACTGTCCTTTTGACCTGGTCCCAATCTTCTAACTGTGCCACAGACTTCCAGCTACAGATGTAACAGTGCAAACCTTTGCATATCTACTCAAACATACGTACCATTGTTTAAAGAGACTTACTTCCACGTAAATGCAAACAGGAATCCAGCCTAACGTTTTTGAAGCTGCAATCCTAAGTGAATAAACTAGACTAAACTAGAGTAGGCATTACGAAATATGCATAAGATTCCTCAGTACCTTTCATAAATATGTCAAATAGTGAAATTTTGTATGCAAAGTTATTAAATCACGTATTTTATGTTGCAAAAGCAGTAAAACACATTTCAGCTTGAGAAGGTATTGCATATTTTCCCTGAAAGTGGAAGTAAAAACTAGATTGTCTGGAAGACTTATTCTCATACCAAATGCCTCTCTTTATCTTTCACATTTACAACAAAAACTGTAAGAGAAGCTTAATGGTCACAAAGGAAACTGCTCTTTGTGGCATAGAGTTGCAACCTGGGTAGTCTGAAATGCAGTGTGAACTCAGAAGTCAGTCCCACTGGGTTCAATAAGGGTTACTTCTTAGTAAGTTTATTTAGGGTTGTAGCTGCAATTTTTTTTTATCATCTTACTAGATTAGGGGTAGTATTCAACCAGTGCATCCTGTCAGCACCACGATTTCTGCTTGGGCAAGAGGACTCCTCCTGCCCTGTGTCCTCTTTTAATCTGCTCCAGAGCATTGAGGGAACCCCTAAAAGAGATTTAGAGGGCATGTGGGGGCAGGGAGAAGATGGGGGAGATCTGCTAAGCAAAGAGAAATCCTTGCACTTACAGAATGAGCGATGTAGCACTACGATGACTTCCACTCAAAGCTCTGAACAGCTTTAGATGTGCATACAGTTAGCTTTTTTCCCAGCCCATGAAGTGCTTCATAAGGATTTATTTTTTTAAAAAAAAATAAAATAGCTCAAATAACCAGAGCACACATTATGGGCTGTATTCAGCAGTGCCCCGTTAAGAGATTACAACTGCAATCCTATGCACAACTTCCCTGGGAGTAATCCCTGCCTGACACAGTAGCAGTTCTGAGAAACAGGTTTAAGATTACTCTTTGAATATGCAATCCTACGCATGCCTGTTAAGCATGGAGTTCAGTGGAACTTCTTGTTGTTGTTGTTGTTTAGTCGTTTAGTCGTGTCCGACTCTTCGTGACCCCATGGACCAGAGCACACCAGGCACCTCTGTCCTCCACTGCCTCCCGCAGTTTGGTAAAACTCATGCTGGTAGCTTCGAGAACACTATCCAACCATCTCGTCCTCTGTTGTCCCCTTCTCCTTGTGCCCCCCATCTTTCCCAACATCAGGGTCTTTTCCAGGGAGTCTTCTCTTCTCATGAGGTGGCCAAAGTATTGGAGCCTCAGCTTCACGATCTGTCCTTCCAGTGAGCACTCAGGGCTGATTTCCTTAAGAATGGATACGTTTGATCTTCTTGCAGTCCATGGGACTCTCAAGAGTCTCCTCCAGCACCATAATTCAAAAGCATCAATTCTTTAGGAATCAGCCTTCTTTATGGTCCAGCTCTCACTTCCATACATCACTACTGGGAAAACCATAGCTTTAACTATACGGAGCTTTGTTGGCAAGGTGATGTCTCTGCTTTTTAAGATGCTGTCTAGGTTAGTCATTGCTTTTCTCCCAAGAAGCAGGCGTCTTTTAATTTACTCCAAAATAAATGGATTGCAGCTGCAATCTTATATATATGCTTACATGAGAGTACCACAGATGATCTTACTTCCATGGAAACATGCACAGGCTTATGCTGCAAGTGTGTATCTTATGAAACTATCTGCGGAAAACTCTTCATAAGTCCAAAAATGGGACAAAGCCACCACAAGGATAAATCAGGCAGGTCCTAATCTCATGCATCTTCCTACGACTATCTGCCTGGATCTGAGCAGTATGGGGTGCCACCTCTACTCTGTGCTTATCACGGTGTCCCAAGGTGCTGCTAACAGGGACTGGTGGCCTTATGAAGGGGCAGAGAATAACGTGGGAGGTACAAGCCTCCTGTTGTCTGACTAAAGAAGCCTGACTTCAGCAGACATGGTCCACACATTTCCCAGCTTGGATCTATAATTGCCATGACCTAGTGCTGCTGCTTTCGAAACAACTACTCTGCATAAACACTAGTTAGAAGGGTGACACTCCCTCTCACTGAAAAGTCTCTTCTTCCAGGATGGACAGAAGGAAAGACATCTGGTTTTACAGGAATCACCTTAGGATGCTTATTGCTAAACCCATTCACGCATGCAAGCAGAATAGGGTGGTGCTTGAAAGAAAGCTTCTGAATGGCCCCTGCTTGGTTGCATCAGGATTTAAGGGAAGTTGTTCCAATTCCAAAACTCCGCCTACAAAACTTCAAGTGCATAGCAATCCTGGCCCATGCCTCCTGAAGCCCAGACAGGTTTAGCAGCCCATGCTACTAAACTGTCTGCTGGTTGGAGCCTTAGGCCAGATTCATATATGAAGAGTACTGCTTAAAACACAATAAATGTTGCTTGTCTCCATATAGGAAGCTGCTTGGGTTATGTCAACCACAGACTGAGGATGAAATTGCCTCCAGCCAGCAAAGAGCTGCTTTGCAACCTAAAAGACCCATGGTGTGGAGATACAACCACAACACCACACTGCTGCTTGCACCATGGTTTTGGATCATCAAGCAAAGTGGGGGGGGGGATCTGTGAGCCTCCAGATACCCCCAATGTCTATAATCCCTGACCATCCCTTGCCATGGAACCTATGGATCCGGGATCCATAGGGAATCTCTCCTACCCAAAGACAACACTGAACAAGCACCTAAGCTGACCCAAGCCCAGTGCACCCAAAAGGATACTACTGGCCCATTGCCTTCCTCATTAAGTATCTTTATGCATTAAGCGGTTTAGTGGCCATTAAGTTTTTAAGAGATTAGGAGGCTGCGGGAGGAGCAAGAATAGCTACAGCGACAACACTAAGGCAGGAAAACGACCAAGGAGGGTTTTCCGTCTCACAGTGTTGCAGCCCAGTTCTGAAGCTCAGCTTTGCCTGCTGACCTGCAGATCGTTGCTTACCTGTCTGGAGCATATAAATGGATGCTCAGGCATTTAACTCACAAGAACTCCTGCAGGCTAGTTGCTATATGAATGATAAGAAATGAAATCACAACCCCATACTCTTTGCAGTTACAATGCAAAGATGTTCACTCTGTGGGATTGTTTGTTTTTTAATGCTGATACTCATCAGCGCTGACCTCCTTTGAGCTCCTCAGTCTTGGGTTTTCAATTTATCAGATTCATGATACACCACTTCCTGTTGCCATTTCCTTTGTGGATTATCCACTCTTCTGTCAACGTGTCCACCAAAATATAAACAAAACTGGAAGCTGGTGTGGAGATGACAGTGTGCCCCTTCACTTGCTATCCTCCTCTGAGCTGGGTTCTGCCTAAACTCTCTGACAGGGGTACCTTCCTTACCTCTACTTTGCTGGAGTAGAAGAGGCAGAGAAGGCTTTTGCAATAGGGTGATTGGGTGGTTTTCTTTTCTCCTCCTCTGGGAAAGAAGCAGAGAGACTCCACCTTAACATTGTTACACTAACCCCATTTCCACATTAAAAATATTTCCCTTCAGCCCCCCCCCCCAAGTTATGCAGAGACATTCCATTTGAGGTCACCCTCTGTCAAGAATGACTTTCCAACACCACCCTAAAATATGCAAACCAATACTAAGTAATATTAAGAACTTCGAGATCAGGGAGATGGGTTTCCAGGTCAAAGTATTTGACTTGAGACACTCTTCAGAACCTCATTAAGTTCCCTTCCTCGGGGGGGGGGGGGAAGGGCACCTTCCTACACCTTTCATTTCATTTGGCTTTTTTATGGCACCAGCTCATTTCTTCAAAAGTTGCCTGAACTTAATATTCTCTTTCCCGCTTCACCTAGTGCACATTTGTGTTTGAATCAAATTAAATCTGAATAAAATCGTCACCAACTCCCTGCCTTTGCTCATCCTATCAAGCTGATCTTTTAAAACAACAACTCTTCCTCTACGGAGCTTCCACCGCCCCTTCCCATTTATCTCAATCCGCTGGCAGAATCCTACAATTTTGTTTGCAGCAGCCTGCAATCAGGGGCAGGCCTTCTCCCGAGTTCTCCTAGAAAGCGTGAGTGCTTTTGTTGCCGTTTCCTGGCGAAAATGCTTATTTGTCCCTCTCGGGGCTGGCTCTGGGCCCTCGCCTCTCCCTTTGTTTTGCGGTGCGCCACCGGATCAACAACAAGCACAACATCCGGCCGGTGCGAGGGACCGATCGCGTTTCAGCTTCTCGACTGTTCTAACAGCGCCTTTCCCCATAGCACCCATTTTCCTGCCGGCAGGAAAAAACAACCGACACGCATTCCGTGCAGGGCAGCACCGGCGGGTTGCAAACGCCTCTTTTTCTGATGGCATTTTGGGTGGGGAAGAAACAGGCATGCCTAAAACTACCCACAGCCTCCCGGATCTTAAACCCTATTTTTGGACAGCGCGTTAGTTACTGCGGAACGAAACTCAGCTGCTCTCTCCGCGTAACGTACGTACACATACACACACGCAACGCCCACCCGACACAAGAGCGTGACTTGAAAGCGGGGAGACCAGGGGTGGATGCCACCCTTTGACCCTTCAGTCCTGCTAGATGCGGGGACGACAGGGTGATAGCAAAGGACCGAAATTGTTGTTTTTATTTATTATTCGTTGAATTTATATACCGCCCTTCGCCCGACGATCACAAGTGCGGTTTACAGTGCAAAGACACGAAATCGGAAAAACAATACCCTCCCACCCCCTTATAGGGGTAAAGCGGTTTTTAAATCGTATTGACAGCAAACGCAACTTCCAAACACTTCTGCTTGTCAGAGCTGCTAGAGCCTCGTCGGTGGGTCGGCAGACAGCCTCTCTCAGGGGATCTGCCAGCTGCTCCACATTCCTATCCCGGGGATCCTAGAAGAGATCTGCATCTCCAGATCGCTTCATGCGGCCGCTCTCCCCTGGCCGTCATCGCTTTTGTTTTATTGCAATGGCACCCGATGCTCCGAGAAACAAGCGGGCAGCGGGCAAGCCAGCAAGCAATCGTACCTCAGCGCTGGAGGAGGCTCCGTCCGGACTGCACCATGCTCCGCAACTCCGCAGCCCCGCTCGCTTGGGACGCGAGTTTTTCGCCGCTCTCGCCTCCTGCTGCGGCTGTCAAGGGAAGAGCGGAGGAGGGCCCCGGCCTGCAAGCCCCAGCTCGGCCCCGGGGACTGGCGCCGGCGCCGGCCAATGGAACGCGCGGCTCCATTGTGACGTCGAACCCTGCACTCTGAACCGGTGAGGTAAGGCGAGGAGGCCGCGGCCAACAGCTGCTCGGGGCTCCGGTGGAATTCTCTGGAGCGCGCTTGCCACGGGCGGTGCGTGGAGCCCCCTCCCGGCCCCACGCGGATGTGCGCTACGACTCCGGTACGTCGGCGGAACCCCTTGCGCAGCCGGGGAAGCCGCCCCCCTTTTGTGGGTGGAAACATCTCGCAGCATCTCAGGCTGCAACGCGTGCAGGACGCGCTCTTACCTGGGAGTAAGGCTCGTCGAACTCGCTGGGGCTGACTTCAGAGTAGACACGTCTAGGGTTACACTGTCAGGCAACCCTGAGTCTCAGGTTGCAGCTTTTCTCTCTGAACCTGATGCTCAGTGCTATATGAATTTCATTCCCACTAGTGTTTGGTTAATAATAATAATAAATTATTATTATTATTATTATTATTATTATTATTAATTATTAATTATTATTAAAACCCACTAGTGCCACATTACCATTCCTCTCTGCATAAAGGGTAGCAGACTGTTAAGTATTTTATTCTTCTAAACAACAAAAATACCCATGAAAAGAAAAACAGGTTTAACAGCAGAATAATATAAATACAACACAAGAAGCTTTCAATGATCAAGTAAAAAGATTAAAAACAAATCATGAGTAAATGAACTGGGTGCAATTGTGAAATTATAGAATTGTAAAATTATAGATGATGTATAAAAACACAAGTTACCTCACACAACAAAGGAAATGGGGGAGGGGTCTTGCCTGTTTACAGACACCTGCAAACACAAAGTTTTCCTTTTCCAGAGGAGAGGAAAGCAATATGTTTGGCACCAGCTTGGCTGCGGGAGTTGCCAGGAGGAGGTGTACAAGACACCATCCAACAGCCTTAGGGACTCCGGATTTGTGTAGGGTTTACCCCTTAGCCTTTTCTTGTCCCAAAGATGTCCCACAAGGCAGCCTCATAAAGAGCCTAGTAAAGGTAATTGCCCTAATATGGATGTTCCATGGGGAAGAATGATAATCTCCAGATGTGTCTTACACTATAAATTTCTTGTTTTAGAAAGTAAGGACTTGTGTGAAATGGTGTGTGAGGGAGGTGAGGTGGGTAGTTGGCTGCAAGCTCTGCCAACATTAGCACAACATGGAGGCAGCAGGTCAGCTGAGAAAATACCAGAACATAGATTGTTGTTATAAACTGGTGGGTGGTAGCGGTAGCACAACTGAGACATGATGTAGCAATTTAGAACAGGCAGGGTGGATGGCAGAAGCCAGCTGCAGTGACTCAGCATTAGGGGGATATTGCTGCTATAGAAGCTTGTCAGCCAGGTCTCCACCAGGATCCTAAAGCCTGAGACTCAAGAGGTGGGTCTTGGTAATGTCACAGGGTTACCTAGTCTTCAAAAACAACAATAAGAATCTGATAATTGGCTTGGGCCTGGGTGCATGGCCCCAGAATGAAAGGGTGGAATTTGGCAGCAAAGGAGCTAGAGATGTGACAGATCAGAAAAAGGGGGGGCAGGCGAATAAGGAAACACTTTGTTTTGCAATGGGGGATGAGAGAGGGAGAATGGAAAACCTCTTATGAATGATGAGTAAGAGACCTTTTATAACACTATCCCTCAATTCCATATGCTTCTCAGCTAGTCCTGTGTGCTGTTTGTAACTGGTGGTGCTAGATACATAAATCACATGAGTAATAGTTACCACAGACAGGCATTTGCTAGCTAGTTAACACACAAAGAAGAAACCACCCTGGCAGAAGGCCTTGATGCCAATTCCCCAGTGTGTGTTACTCACCCCCAGTGGAGGGAAGCCACAAAAAGGAGTGCTTTCCTGGTGAACACCCAAAGTCATAAGATGCATGGGGAATTCCATGTTCTTACAGTAATCCAGAAAAATTGGTAAGGCTGTGCATCAAATCAATAGGACAATGTCAGGGTAGAGGCTTAAACCATCCTGACCTGTTGTTTTTTTTATTGCTTATGCTTAATGCTTAGCAATGCTAAATTGGTTTATATTTTAAAAATTTGCATATGCTAATAGGTTGTTGTCTTTCTCTGTGTGAGAGAGAATAGTGGTCAATGTAGAGAGACTGCAACAGTGTCATTACCTGGCAAGTCTGCATATGTTTTTGCAAAGGGTAGAAACTTGCTTATTTTAAAAACAAATGAAATGGGGGGTAGGGGGTGACAGGGTGTCTTAAGGTGCTATGGGAGGGACCAGCGTCTGTTCTTGGTGCCATGTTCCTAACTTTGTGGTGAGAGCCTAACAGTTTATATATTTATAAAAGCAGCACCCCATCAGGGCCTATGCAGTGGTATATTAATCTGTGTGGATGTCCTGCTTCTAAGAACTGCCGCAGGTTCCTCACCCTACTAGCATACACCTTTTCTAGGTGCCATTATCTTCACTCAAGGGTATGATGCGGAGAAGGTGTTAACCACAACTCGTTCAACAGGTTGATCTTTTGCTGACATGATGCACCAGCCATCTTGTATGCATCTGCTGGGACAGCCTTTCTCAGTGTCTGCAGGCAGTGATGGAAAGGTGATTGGCATCTCTACATGTGCAAAGCAGCTGCCTTGCTACTGAATCTTTGTAACCTGCTCCCATGCATCTGGACTAGAGGGTGCAGCTTTCAGCTAGGCTTGAACATCTCCCTTCCTCACTAAGAACACTGAATAGTAAGTGAGCTGTAGGGTAGAAGGCTGCCCTTTCTTCAACACGACAGGATTTTGGTCCCTTCTAGCTCTTCGTAATTTTACAAGCCAGTAATATGGTGGCAGGGCAGGAGAAGAGGACAAATCCTAGAGATGATCCATTTATCAGGCAACCGCAGCTGTTTGAAGCTCCTCCACTCTTTTCTGGTTTGACTGGTTCTCCTCACCAACACACTTTCAATTAGGCTGCACCCAGAAAAACCAAGTTCTGACATCAGAATAAATTATTTGGTGCTGGTAGGATGCCTCAAAGTGGTCACTTGACATCACAATGACTGACTCAATTATTTATTGAGTTTGTACCCTACCCTTCATTCCCAAGGAGCCCAGGGCTCAAAGCTGGTCTGTGGGGAAGTAAGGATCCATTCTACCAGCTAGATCTAATTCCCCATGCCTGAATTATGCAAATAAAGTGCACGTAGTAAAATCATTAATGTTTTCATGATACACTGCTTTCTTAAGAGATTTTTTTTTTTAAAAAAATGTGATACGTAAATGGTTTTAAATAAAATAAGTGCACACCTCTGTTCAGGCAGAGCCAGACGGTTCCTGGGCTGGGGTACCCTGCATGCCCCCCTCTCAGGGGACTAATGCCACTGGGGAGACCAACAGCCAGGCTGTGACCTTTATTGGACACGGGAGCGTTCTTCTCTTGCATGTCGGTGAGGCTCAGAGGACAGTGCACATGATGGATTCCCTCTCCCTGTGGGAAGGGATAATGTCGGGGAAGACATACCGCATGTCACTGAGGACCGAGTCGTTCTCCTCAGGGGCCGCCGGCAAGGCGAGCTGCTGCTTCTCCGGCTCTTCAGCACAGCCTCTGCCCTTTGGGCCTTCTGCTGGCTTGTCCTCCTTTGTGTTGTCTCCTGCGCCCGGGCTCCTGGCTCTAATGGGAAAGGGAGCACCCGCCACTTCCTCGCTGGGCCCTGGCGTCCTTTTGTGTGCCCTCCGAGCGCTGCCTCGCCTCTTCCTGGAGCTGTCTCGGGGGGCGCCCGCCAGGTGCTGCTGCCCCACGGTCTCCATCTCAGACAGGCTGTAGGCCAGGGTGGCCCGATGCAGCTCCTTGTCTTCGTCCTCAGGGTGGGCGAAAGAGAACCCTGCGCTCTGCGGGCGTGGCGGAGTCGGGATGTCCGTAGCAGACGAGCGCAGGATCTCGTGTTGCTCCGGCTGGATGAGCTCCACCGTGGCCTTCAAGTCGTCGTTGGTGAGGCCTGGAGGAGGTGAACAAAGCAAGGGGTGGGGAAGCAGCCCCTTCAGCATCACTCTGTGAGCCCAGCATCCCTGAGGCTCCAAGGGGCTTTGCGTTCTGCCCCAGCATGCAGCAGTGTCATTTGGATAGGAACGAGAGACAATGGGAGCAGGGGCAGGGTTCTTTAGCACCTGAGATAGCAACATAGAATGGGAAGCCTTCCCAGTGCCCCTTCAGCAGCCCTCAATCAAGGAGGACCCACTGCCAATGTGAAAAGAATATCTTGACCTCAGTGGATTTCTCTGCTTATTTTAATATGGGAGAAACATGGACCAGTTCAAGCCTGGACCCAAATAGTCTTAATCCTTGCACAGCTGCTAATGGGAGATGAGGTACAATGGATGCCCTTATTACTCCAGGGACTGCCCAGCCTAGAGTGAGCCGTAGAACTGCTCCTGCTCCTCCTCAACTTAGGCTCAGTGTCACCCATTGGCTCTGGCAGTCACAGTAAACACCAGTCACCACTGACCGAGATGCAGGCCAAGACCCCCATCTTCCCTTCTAGATGTGTGCCCAACTCTAGTGCCCTCCGAGTTTGATTTCTTACCATGCACTTCTGCCACTTTGAGCTCCCCGTCCGCGTCAATCTCCATTCTCTCCTGCCCATTCTCAAGGATCCTGCAAAAGAGGCCTTGCCACATTGCATTGCAGCACTTGCCACATTGCATTCTGGTCAAGCGTGCGCTGCCGCCACGCCACACCCCACACCCCAACAGAGGCCTTCTCGGTGACTTCTTCCCTAAACTCCCTCCTGCTAGAAGCTCAGCACAATCCAAACCTGAGCATTGCTCAGAAGCCCTGTAAGACTTAGGACAAAGTTAATACAAAGTGGCTATTTTTATCGTCAACACTGAGAATGTTTTGCTTCATTTTTTTCTGCCTTAACGGTTTTTAACTAACACAAGCACAGCATGGGGGCTAGTTAAATATCTAAACAAATAAACTGATTGATTGGGAAACCACTGATAGTAAGCAGGAAACAATTGTCAAGATCTACTCCGCAGGGATAGGAGTTATTAGTTACCAGTATTATTATGCAAGAGCGAGAAGAGTCAGATGTACAGGGGATGGAGTGGAATTGCAAGGAATCCAAAGGACAAGCTGTGCATTCAAAATTATCTCAATAATAACGAGAACTGGTCAAGAGGAACAAAATGAAATTAAGCAAGGGCAAATCTGAAACGTTACAGCAAGGATAATTCTTTATTTGCAGTACTGTGTTGAGGCTTGGACACTAAAGGTTTTTAAACCCACACCAGTTCATAAATGAACTGTAAGAAGATAAAAGGTTAAACAATCTGAGCAAAGGATCAGCCTACAGATTAAGGAAGGACAATATACTGGTCGTTTTTAATAGTATTTTTAAAATCTCAGAAGGTGATCAGGTAGGTGGACAGGGCAAAAACAACTGAAGGGAAGCAGTTTTAGGTTAAACATAAGGAAGAATTTCCCATTTGTAAGAGCATTTCATCCCACATGAAGGGCTTTTGAAGGTCTCTTCTATTATTTGCACAGCACATGAATTTGGGTTAATGGAGGACAGGTAATAGAAAAGGAACATATATTCTAAGTTCAAACAAAATGCCAAATGATGGTTTAGCAAAGCCCCGAACTCACAAACTCCCTCTTCCCCCTTCACTCTCCATTCTCCTTTTGCACAATTTGCTTTAGTGAGTTGTTTCTGCTCTTGCAGAAAATGATAGTTTGCCATTACATCTGATTAGGGGGCAGGCTAACTCGCGTGCACCTGGCCCCTCCTTGTCACCTCACCTCCTGGTGGTTATCCGTTTGCCATTGATGTACTTGGTAGATGTGGAGACAGAGCAGAAGCCTATTCCTAATTCAGCACCAGGCCCAAACGTAGTGAAGAAATCTAGGAGGGGAAAGTGACAACATCACTGCTGAGGGGAAGGGAGGCAGCTAGTGCAGGCCTCAATACCAGCCAAATGGCAGAGGCCTCCCATACTGCAAATGTCAGTGGGAATGAAGGGACTGGACAAAGGAGGCACTAACACTTAACAGGAGAATTGTTCCTCGGACATTTAAAAGCAGGGGTGAATGGGGTCCTTGTGAGATGACAGAGCCAGAATGAGGTAGAGAAGCAGATATGGAAGAGGCAAAGTGTATTGGAGAAGCACAGAGGCAAGCCCTGCAATGAGCATGTGCAGCAGATTGCCCACTGAGGTGATGCATCCTTGCCTTACCTGTCTGGAATGGAGAGCTGTAGGAGCAATAGGAGTAGGTGGTACAGCCTGGCACGACCCACTGGGGTATTCCTCCTTGAAGATCTGTATATGGGGACAACTCCTCTGGAAAGGAAGGAGGAGGTTGATAAGTGGAAGACTTTCCAGTTACACATTATAACCCAGATAATGCAGGGACATGTTCAGTTTCGTTGCTTGGTGCAATGAGCCTAAGCAGATCAGGTAATATAATGCAATACAAATCCATGTTTATACCATACCCCAAGCCACAGAGAGGATGTCTTATGTGACAGGCACCCCTTCAGTAAGGGTGAGGACAGAGCAGAAAGATTGCAGCCAAGCTAGACCTGGAACCTTCCCCCTGTCCTCGTCTCTGTCAAAGCACAAAGAAGAAAAGCCCTGTGGATCATGGTAGTGAATATAATCCACTGCTGTGGTGGCTGATTCATTAGGGTGAACAGAACACTGCTCTGAGCTCAGGCTCAGGCTGGGAGGACAGAGCTCACACAATCCTTTCTCTCTCAAAAGTCCCCTCCTCTTCCTCTCCAAATGGCTCCGTTTCAGCAGCCTGGTGACACAGCAATCCGACACACACTTATCTGGGCACAAGACCCTCTGAAGACAGAGCAACCGCTATCTCAGCAAACATGCACAGGGGTGAACTGTTGGAGAGGGGAGGAAACATTTTTGTTGTTTCCACTGTTGAAAAAGAATGCAAATAAGAAAAATGTGAGTGAGGCCGTTGTCTTGTAACCTTGGTCCTGCAAGCTATAATAACGTCTAGCTCCTTTGTCTCTGAGAAAGGTACTGCGTCTTGAGAATAGGGTGTTAGTGCCTTTATTTTTTAGCAGAAGAAGCAAGTTTTAGACATTTTTAAGCAGGGTGGTGAAACTTTTGCAGCCCAAGGACTGCATTCCCTCACAGGCAGACTTCTAGCGGCTGCATGCTGCTGGTGGGTGGGGCCAGGTGCAAAGTGGGCAGGGAGACAAATGCGGCTCTCACCTTTGTATAGTAAGCGGCAGCCCAGCCATGCAAAGGTCAGCAGCTTCTGCATCTCCTCCTTTCCACATCTCTCTATCACGGCAAGCCAAAGCTACTACCAAGGTTCAAAGACACTTTCCCACCAGAAGAAAGTACTCAAGGAGGGTGGTGTAAGGTAGGGTCGGTAAGGGATGCAGCCTGGGTAATTGGGGGTGTAGCACTGCTGTTTTAAAATAAATATCTCTTGGCAGAACACATTGAGTTTAGTCTCTGGCATCTCCAGGTTAAATGAAGAGATGTCTCGGGTGCAAAGGCTGATGAAGACCCCTCTGCCTGAGGCCTGAGCTGCTGCCCACCAGAGGAGACAGCTGTGAGCCAGAGACACCATTATAAGGCAGCTTTATGTTGCCTACCCCTTGTTCCCCTCGTGCCAGCACATACCACAGAGTTCACTGAAGGGATCTTGTCCTTCGAAAAACTCTCTGAAGACCTCATCTGCATCACGGAAGGTGAACATGAAGTCCGGAGTCTCAGTGGCGCTTGGATAAAACCCAGCACCTTCAAGAAAACAAACCAGATACCTGTCACCATCACTTCTCAGCACACCGTGGATGTCTTTCAGGGAGTGGAGGAAGAAGGGAAAGGGGATGATATGCTGAGGACAGCTGAATCTAGGCATGATCTCTTGGCCCAAAGCAAGATGCAGAGCCAGAAAGGAAGAAACACAGAGCAGGAAGCAGCCCAAACCACAAAAGAAAACAATTCAGTTCCCAGGGTTCATTATTCCCTATTGATGCAAGAGGGGTCTCCATGCATGCACCCCTTTGCAAACAGTGGTCAGGCAAGAGGACAGCTCCCAAAATAAAAACACAGAAAGATAGAGAGATAGGGGGCAGGAGTAAAGGACACTGTGAAGCAACAATGTGTTTTGAGCCACCCAGATTTTCATCGGGGGTTTTTTCTCCCTGTGGATTTCCAGTAGGGAAGAAAATTTCCAAGTGCAAGCCTGGGACAGCCTGCACAGGGTAGGTTCCTGCCCTCCGGTACTAAACAAACTCTAACCTTTCAGGGTAGCAGGGAGGAGCACCAGTTGGTGAGAGCACCAGGAAGTGCTTGTGGTGAGGACTGAGCCCAGAACAGAGGTGGGTATGGATAATATGTCCTGTATGTCTACACACTAACCTCAACTCACCTGTGCTTAGTCCTATCAGCCCCTCGAGTCCGTAGAGATCATAAAGGTCCCGCTTATAACCTGCCAGAAATAAGGAACAAGAGGAGGCCAGTCCCATCTTGAAGACCATACAGCTTTTGCTACAATCCTGTGCAAATGCTTTAGCTACAAGACTCCTGAGACAGTAGCAGAGCAAGGTGGGAGCGGTGGTGGCGGTCCATCCCGGGTGTCACCACTAAGTAGGGGGTGACAAAATGCCAGCCGGCACTCACCATGGGGTCTGCAGCGTGCCCGTGCCACATGTCTCTCCCCAAACAGTCTGCCCACCACCTCCCCCTCAGCTGTAGGGCGGCTGAGTGGGCGGAGGCAGGCTGACTCCTTGGAGGCCCTGCGGAGCGTCCTGCCCCGGCTGGCCCCGCCCCTGCACGCGGCTGGCCACACTCCCAGACGCAGGGCATACATGCCACCCCAGGTGCCCGATCGGCTTGCTCTGCCGCTGCCCTGAGACACCACAAGCTCTCCCTCCAACACTAAGCACTGTGACCCCAAACAGCAGCAAAGTACTGAGTAGCAGAAAATATAGTTGCTCAAAGCGCCCCTGGTTCTTCCTTTTCAAGAGATGGATGGAAGGCAGACTGGCAGGTCTAGCAGTGAACCAAAGGGGCTGCCAGGTGCCTGGAGAAGGGGTTGTACAGGAAACTCATGCTGGGTGGACTGTGATTGGGCTGAGCTCTCACTTCTGTGGCCTGCAGGGAGTGAGAACTGGGAGCCAGCAGCAGCTCAGGAAGCGGCATGTGTGCATTATAGGGAAGGCTTCTAAAAGACCACAACAAGGCAGGGGGCATATAGGAGCACATAGGGAACAGCTCAGAGATGGGAGACCCCTGGGATGGTGAATGGCGAGAATGATCCAATGTCTTACTGTCTGATAGCACTTCATATGCTTCTGCTATCTCCTTGAATTTCTTCTCCGCATATTCCTTGTTCCCTGGGTTTTTGTCTGGGTGCCATTTCAGTGCATTCTTCCTGTACCTACAGCAGTCCAAAAGGAGAGACTGAACTGTAGGATTACCATTAAGAGAAACCGTCACCTCTCAATATTATGTCAAGAGGAGAGGTGTCCTTTCTTCCCCGATACCAGCAGTACATGCTGTGGTGCATGCTCAAACTACATAATCTGTTGGTTTCTAGAAGTCTTCACATAAGAAGCAATATTGACTAGGGCTGCCATATGTTCGGGATTACAAAGGCAGAATTGAAAAAAAGCACAACAAAATTTGGGGTGTCCTGGTTTTTACTTTTTGAAATATAGGGTTTTTACTTTTTGAAACCCTAATATTGGCAATTGTGTAATTTCTGCATTCCCCAGATATTACAGATATTACAGAAAGGACCACCACGTAGCTGGCGTACAACCAATTTGTAGGAATGCCTTTGTAACCTCAAGGATAGGGTGCTATGATGGACTCTGTTTGGGTTGCATTCAGTTACTATCTGGTGGGTTCTGCTAGTAGACAGTGTGGGATCCTGATTCCATGCTGGGGTATGCCTCAAAAGATGAATGACACCTGTGATGTAGCATCTGCATTGGCTCCCTGTCCTGTTGCATTCCAGGCACAATGCAAGGTGCTAAATCCGACCTCTTAAGCCCCTTTGGCCATTATTATTACTGAGTACCTTCTTGAATACATTGTCCATGCACCAAATTCAAATAGCGAGGGTATGTATTGTAGATCGGTGAGTTTGGTGGCTGACCTATAATTGCGGAACTCCTTTGTCCTAGAGTCCTTTGTCCAATCAAAGTCTGGGTCTGTAAGCTCTCCAGAATAGTTGCAGAACTTTTTTTCTTTGGTCTGGCATTCTGTGGCCAGGGTTAATAAGCATGGGGTGATTTTTTTTGTTTTGTTTTCTACATTTGTTTGTGTGTGTCATATTACTCTGTGCACTTGTAATTATGTCCTTTTTGTTTTTTTGTTTTTCAATAAATGATATTTTTAAAAAGCATGGGGTAATTTTAATTTATTTAGCTATGTTATCGTATGATTGCTTTGAAGTGCAATACCATAATCTACCTGGAATCCTTGGGAAAAGGTAGGATAGAAACTGAATGCACCAAACAACATAAAGAAAGGGCAGATTGCACAGATATTCCTAAAGGAGTAGGGGTGAATCACAGTTTAGATGTGTCCAGCACAAAAGTCCCTGGACCTATTTACCTGCAATTTGACAGTTTATCTACTCTGGAAGGGCTGCTATGTATCCACTTCTGTCAAAGGTGAGAAAAGTCATAGTCATTAAAAAAAATTCCCAATAGTGAATAAGGGTGAGGAGAAGGAAGCAGGGTAAGATAGACCTTCCTAAGCTGAGCTGGGCAGGCTCCAAACTGATCTGAGCCAAACTGGGCTATTTTATGAAGTGCCAAATTCGGGTTCATATAATATCTTGTGGTTGGTGCACATTGTGCTACTTACGCCTTCTTAATGTCATCTGAGGAGGCCGTTTGAGGGATGTCCAGTGTTTGGTAGTAATCAACCATGATGCAGCTTGTTTAGCACAGAGGCCAGCTGTAAATTAGGGAAGAACATGGTAGGACATTGATCATCCTCCAGCCAGGCTTCCACCTCACCCACTCCAGCTCTCAGAAGCACTCAACTGATGCCAGATGCAAAACATCTTCTGCTGAAAGTACCTAATACAAGATGTCTGTTCTAAACATAGTTTAGCTTTATGTGCAGCCACCACTATCCCATCCTCTCATAAGTTGCAGGTGGCATGTGCTTCCACCTCAGGAGGACATTGCTGACCAACTCCCTTGTTCTACGCTATAAAAGGGCATAGGGACACCTGACCATTAGGTCCAGTCTCGGATGACTCTGGGGTTGCGGTGCTCATCTCACTTTATTGGCCAAGGGAGCCGGTGTACAGCTTCTGGATCATGTGGCCAGCATGACTAAGCCGCTTCTGGCAAACCAGAGCAGCGCACGGAAACGCCGTTTACCTTCCCACCGGAGCAGTACCTATTTATCTACTTGCACTTTGATGTGCTTTCGAACTGCTAGGTTGGCAGGAGCTGGGACTGAGCAATGGGAGCTCACCCCATCGCGGGGATTCAAACCACCGACCTTCTGATCAGCAAGCCCTAGGCTCTGTGGCTTAACCCACAGTGCCACCCGCTGCACTATACAGTATTATAAATGAATAAGTGGCCCTAGGTCCTGGCTAAGCATAACAAAGGCACAAATTATTGTACTTAAATAAAATAAAAAGGTCTTTGGCCTGTGTTGATAACCAAGTTGTAAATCGTTAAGTACCGTATTTTTCGCTCTATAAGACCACCAGACCACAAGACGCACCTAGTTTTTGGAGGAGGAAAACAAGAAAAAAAAATATTCTGAATCTCAGAAGCCAGAACAGCAAGAGGGATCGCTGCACAGTGAAAGCAGCAACCCCTCTTGCTGTTCTGGCTTCAGCGATAGCTGTGCAGCCTACATTCGCTCCATAAGACGCACACACATTTCCCCTTACTTTTTAGGAGGGAAAAAGTGAGTCTTATAGAGCCAAAAATACGGTATATATACCTGCAATAAATTGCCCTGGATCTTTACAAGTGGAAATAGTGGAAACACCTCTCCTCCATTTAGCGCAGACTGCAGACATCCAGGCATGTCCAAAGTCTGTTTCGGTGCCCAATCCGGCCTGCCAGCCAATTTAATCTGGCCCCTGTAGCAGTATATGTCCTGGGGTAAAATCCTAAAAAAAAAACTCAGCAACTTCAATTCTATAAAAAACTCAACAACTTTGGTCGGCCCTTACGCTTCAAATCTGGCTCTCTTTGAAAAAAGTTTGGGCACCCCTGCACTAATCCATGTTATGCACACAAGATCACTAGGACAGGAGATGGCCAAAAGGAGGCTTTGTTTTTGAGAAGGTCATTGTGGTATAATAGCGACAGGTTCAAATCCCTGCAAGGCCAGGTAGAGATTATTGGGAATATTAAATACATTGATCCATATTCTGAAGGGAATTCCATTAAGTTTTCTTCCACCTACATATTTTTATGTATTTTTAAGCAATGCCAAGGACATGCTTTATGGATATGTGCAATTGCTTTGCAGATATCTGGACTGGTTACCCACAGCCACCCACCACTGAGTTGCCATCTGGACTTGTAGTTCAAGAATGCAGATATAAAATAGCAGGAAGGCCGCTGTGAGAACAGGATGCTGGACTAGGTGAGCCATTGGCCTGATCCAGCAGGCTCATCTTACATTTTTGTGCTTAAGGGTCTAACTTCCCGATTCTGATCTCTGTATTCCAGGATCTCTCTAGACTTTACTCTTCTCCATCTGCATCCCTGGAGACATAGAGCTCATTTGGCTTCTTCCACCCTCTTGCTGTGGAGTTCTGGATTCATCTTATTGTTTCAGGAGGGAGGGAGAAGGTGCATGCTATCTGCATCATGAACTCAATACCTCTGTCTCTTCATACCTGCCCAAAGCCTCTGTTTCTGCCTCTGGCTGCCTTGGACATAGGAAAGGACAGCAGGACCTCTCCATCATCCTTTTGCATCTACCCTCTCTTGATGAGCATATACTGCAACCAATGACAATCTTCTGCAGATTGTGATGTCAGGGGGGTGAGGCTGCAAGCTCTTGGTCATGGCCCAGGTGTATGGTACCTATGAGGGGTTAGTAATTGAGGGAAGGGGACTCCTAGCCAGGGCATCACCACGTGACAGCTAGAGGCTGGGATTCATCACAGACACAGAGAGGAAATGGTAAGGAATATATGGCACTGTGTGTGATCTGTTGTATGAAATGACCGTATGAAACTGTGAAATAACATCTCTGTAACACAAAGTCATGCAGCATTTCTGTGGGTCCCTGAATAACACTGTTTTGTCATTGGCTTCCCATTGTGTGTAGGGTTGGCTAGGATCCACCTGCAGCCAGACATGACAGGGCTCAGTTCTAGAACATGCAAAGGAATAATAAAGAAGAGTGTGTGTCTGAGCGTGTGTCAAGTATTCTTTTGCTCACCCCGAGGAACTACCATCGATCTCCATGTGTCTGGGATGAATGAGCATTAATGTGTCAGAACACATGGCTTCCAAGCTAGTCTGAGTTGCATCATCGGAATTTAGAAAGAAACCTCTTCTTTACATGTGGTTACCCCAGGCACTCTGGACGACTTCCAACATATATAAAAACATGATAAAACATTAAACATAAAACATTAAACATTAAAAAAAAACTTCCCTATACAGGGCTGACTGTACCTTGGGTTACAAACACCTCAGGTTACAAACACTTCAGGCTGCAGACTCCGCTAACCTGGAAGTAGTACCTCATGTTAAGAACTTTACCTCAGGGTGAGAACAGAAATTGTACGGCGGAGGCGGGAGGCCCCATTAGCTAAAGTGGTACCTCAGGTTAAGAATGGTTTCAGGTTAAGAACGGACCTCCGGAACAAATTAAGTTCATAACCAGAGGTACCACTGTACTTGTCTCCTTGGCACCCTCCACACCCTCCAACATTTTTCCAATGAAAATAAGGATGTCCTAAGGAAAAGCAGGACATTCCAGGATCAAATCAGAAAGCGGGACAGCTTCTGTAAATCCAGGAATAACCCTGGAAAATAGGGACACTTTGAGGGTCTGGAGTAAATGCCTGCTTAGGTGTATGGGAATCAGAGGTAGGTCCAATTATGATGATCAGTTGGCTGAGGAGTGTTATTTCCCTAACCATGAGAAAGCCCATAATTTTGAGGTGCCTTTGGGCTTCAAAGCTAGGGAAAAGCTGAGGTGGTGCCAGCAACTGATATTACAGAGGTGCCCCCCACAGTCTGTCACAATCTCAATTTTTTTCAATGCCATAGAAAGCTAAATCTGTGAGTGTTGGACAAGTTGCTTTGGATAACAACCTAACCAGATGTTCCTATTTGTGCTTATAAAAGTTCACACTGCAGTGAGTGCCTTGGTACTCTCCTGTTGTGTTTTTCGTTCTGGCTCATCCCAGAGGGAAATAATCCATGAATTTTCTCAAGCGAAACTGCTGGCATGGTTGTTAATAAGTGATGCATGTTATGTAATGAATAGGTGCATATAATTAATAGGTAGTGCATAGAGTGTCCCAGTAATTCCTGAGGTAGGAAGCTTCAGACAGGCCATAAAACAGTAATGATCGTGATTGACATACATCTCCCAAAGGATTTGTCCTGCTCTGCTCCTGTTTGCAGAGTGATAAATGGGGGAAAAATTATGCAACAACAAAAACAAACCTATTGAAATATGTCCATGCACTCAGATACAACTCATGGCAGTCACAATCCATATTAGGGAAAATACCTTTAGCAGGTCAACCAAAATAGTGTACAAGCATTCGACTTCTCCAGAACTACATCAGGCTAGACGGCAGACAGAAAGCAGAGTAAGGGTAGGAAAAAGCCATGTGACCTGCATCTGATTACAGTCTCAAGATGGAGTGGGGGAGGTGGCAGTAGATATTCAAAACAGGCTAGTTATGTACTAGCCAGGTATCAGGTTATACTAAGACCTCCTGGGGAAAAGAAGCATTCCTAATGGCTGATCCCCCATCTCTTCAATAATGAAACCTGAATAAAACCTGGATAATAGCCCCTTAATGTGGTGCCAGAGATAGTAGAATCACCCGCCTGTATACTTTGTAATTAAGTCTTTAATAATGCTTCCCACTAGTTTTCCCAGAATAGATGTTAAGCTAACCATCATATAATTTCCTGGCCCCCCCACTGGATCCCTATCTCAAAAATTGGTGTTACATTGTTCATTTCCTGTCATGGACATTTTATTTATATGCAGGGAGGGAACAAAACTTCTGTTGTTCTAAACACTTACTAGGGAAGTAAGTTCCAGTGAACTCACTGTGACAAATTCTGGATAAGCAGAGCTTCCATGTTCAAGAGCAGTATTCGACTGAATATCAGTTGATTGAGGCTGGGAGGCGCATGCCATAAAAGGCCTACTCAGGGCTTTTTCCCCAGCTGGAACTCACCAGAACTCAGTTGGGCGCCATTGCCATTATAAGGTGTTCATGGCGAGTTCCAACATCTCTTTTCCTTGAAAAATAGCACCGGGCCTATTGCCTTCATACCCTGTTTTTGAACTTACTGAAGACATCTGGTTAGCCACTGTGGAAAGTCAAGTGCTGAACTAGGTTGTCCAGTGGTTTCATCCAGCTGAGGTCTTTGGATGTTCATATGTTGGCATCTTATGTAGGCATGGGCAATCAGGTCAGAAATTATCAGAGTGTTGAGGAGGAAAAGTAAATGCTGTGGTGATAAATTCAGAGAAAGCAGCAAGTGGCTTAAGTGTCATGGATATTGGGGATAGACAACTATTTCAGCAAAAGGATCCCTGGGCCAAAGCACCATTGTTCCTCTCCACATCAGCCCCTGGATACTCAGTGTTCCCGTTGCTGCATCTGTTATGGTAGTTCAGGGATGGAAAACCTGTGACTCTCTCAATGTTACTGGATTACAACCCCCATCATCCCTTGCTGGCTGGGGCTGAGGGATTCTGGGAGTCCAGCATCTGGGTAGCCTCATAATAATTCCCATGTATCTTGTTGAGTAAGAGCAAGCACCAAGTATGAACAAATAAAATTTGGGTTCCTGACCCTTCCTTTATTGTACTCTCAACCACTCACTCCTGGAGGTGCCCAGCACTCATCCACACTCACAGGTTGTCGTGAAAGAGCTTGCACCAGCATTGGGAGCATCGCGGACAGGAAGATGGGGCATTTGGGTCAAACATTTCCCCTTGGCTACTTAAATATGGAGACCAAGTCTTTCCATTATGAGCTGGAGCATCAATATGTGGAAGAAGCATGCTCTTCCTTGGATTTAACTGGTTTATCCTATTCCAGGCTTGGATATTTTCCCACTGGTTTACTTGCATGGCCTGATTCGTTCCACGTGGTTTTCTTTTAGCCGGAAGTGGTGCTTGGCCAACACCAGAGAACTCGGGGGGCCCACCAAAGAGAAACCTTGCTGTATTTTCTGCTGGACCAAGCCAGACGGTAGCTGGCACCTTCCACGTATAAGCAGGCATAGCGCTCTCAGTGTGCTGGAGGTCTGCTTTGTTACCTCTCCCATCACTGTTTTGGAGCTGCACTTTGCTCTTCGCAGCATTCAGCTGCTTCTTCTGGACTGCCATGTTGTTCTTCACAGCATGCAACTCATTTTTCTGGACTTTCATCCTACTCTTCTCATCACTCAGTGCCTTCTTTTGGACATTTGCCTTGCTCTTCCCGGCGTGTGTCTTCTTTTCCCCAGCCTGCAGCTCACCCTTTTGGGAACGTATTGCTTTTCCATCTTTCAACTTTGGCGATATCAACTTAGTCATCCTCCCTGACATCTCCTTACTTTTGTTTGGTGAGGTTTTCCTCCTAGTGTACCTCAGGTGTCCAATACGTGGCTCCTGCTTGTCAGATCGTTCCTTCTGCCCAGCACACTGCTCTATCCCACGATCAGGTTCACGTCCTGGATGGGATCTACGTTTCTGTGCTGAAAATTTCTCAGTTTGCATCTCATGCTTTCCAGGGGGGGCATCAGCTTCCCCATTCCGAAGCTTGTTCTTGGTGCTTGACTCTGACTTCTCATGCCGCTGTTTCGTCTTCCCTGTATGAAGCTTACTCTCACCATGCAACTCAGTTTTTAGCTTGGGAAGCTTAGCCTTCCCCGTATGGGTCTCCCAATCTTCGCTCTGTTGCCTGGCCTTTTCTGCATAGGCCCCATTCTTCTCAGTTGGGGCTTTCCTCTTCCCATTGTTGCTCTCACTATTCTCTACTAGAGGTTCTTTACCAGACTTGCTGCTCCTAGTGTGCAATGCGCTGTTCTCGACTGGCAGGTTTTTCTCCCTAGTCTGCAATCTCCTTCTCCCATCCTGGGTCTGCTTACCCTTCCCGACTGGAAAATCCTTTTTCTCTGGAGGCAATTGGTTATGCTTTGCCCGGTGTCTTTTGTGAGGCTTTCTACGTGGATGCAAAGGAAGGGGCTTGCTAGGCTTCTGACCTGGATCGTTGGACTCAGAATCTGACTCTGAATTCGGTTCACTGGATTTGGAGCTTGACCTGCTACACTCAGAACTGGACTCAGAACTGGATTCGTTAGACTCATCAGAGTTCAAGGTGGAATAATGCTCTGAACTCGACGACTCATCATCAGACTCAAATGTTGAGTCATCATACTCAGAACAAGAGCTCTTGTCATTCTCCACACTCAGCTCGTCATCCTGAGAACTTGGTTTGTCTGACTTGGTGTGGTCTTTCTTGTCTACCGTATTACTCTTGTATTTCTCATGGGCAGGCATCACACCTGCAATAAACCAAATTTTTAGTCTTGTGACTATTTTGCTCTGTTCACAGGACAAATCTAAGCCTGATTTCTATGCAGTGGAAACAGTTGTCTGTAGTCTGCCAGACTGTAGTCTGACAGGTTTTTCACCTTGGTTCCCTCTGCAACAACCACCATGTTAACGGGGATAAGTCCCCTTTCTTATAAGCACACAGAAAATTTAATGTTCAAGGATGAATCTTCAGGCGCATAACAAATACATTTCCTTTAGTTAGTAGAACTTAAGCATTTCAGAAAAGAAGATAAGTGAAATTAAAAGCATAAGTCACAATTTAATATATCAGAAAGATACTTATACCCAACTTCCTTTGAAGGAGATGCATTTTTCTAATCTTTCTCAATTATCAAAGAAAAACAAGACTGCATTCCACAAAATATACAACTTCTTGAAAGGATCTGATAATCATATGCCTGAAGTACATACAATGCAACTTCTGCAACAATTTTGATTAAACATAGCTTACTATCATCAAAGCAAAATAATTTTAGCAACATCTAATAGAACTACATCAAATACAATTTCTTTCGGGGGTTTTAAGTGTATCTGGATGGAAGTTACATAGATATACTGTATTATAAAAACCTAACTTGTACAAAAATGTGTTTGGCTCACACCTGAGCATAATAAAAGTATAAGTTATAAAAATAGCATTGCTGTGAACACAACTTGTTCAAATAAACTATACAGGTGTTTTGATTAAGTCAGGCTAATTCAATATTTTCTCCTAAAAGGAGACAAAATTACACCACAAAGAACTCATAACCCACCTACTTTCAGCAGCCAGAAACACCATAACCAGACACTGGAGAGACCTGTCAGGAGTAAGCATGGACCAATGGTACCAAATAGTATGGGAAACAGCCCTACTAGAAAAATTAACTAATAAACTGAAACTGACACGGGGACAAACAGAAGAAGACACCTTCACCCCTTTATCACATACACAGCCCAACAGGACAATGACAATAATCCGCCAACAGCATACAAATCAATATGGCTAACCTGATCCAAAACACCCACCCACCTCACTCACACACGAAAACAAAGATCACCACAGCCAATCACAAACAAACAATCACACCCTAGGCCAACCCCAACCTCTCTCACCACCAAAGGAACACAAGTGAACAACACAAGCACGCTGACACCAAACTCTACATACATTAAGCATAATAGAAACACCGCTACCCGACCCCACCCCCATCCATCTCCCCTCCCTCCACCCCCCTTTCTTTTTTTCCCCTTTTTTTCTTTTCTTCTCCCCCTAATGCCTCAACAAATGAAACGGATTTGTAAAAATGTTACATGGAAAAAAAACATACGAGGCTTTACACTTACACTGTAAACAAGAAAACCCTTAATAAAATATTTTTAAAAAGTTATATAAAAAAAACCTAAAAGGAGACAAAAGCATTTCATTGCAAGATAGGAAATAGGGAATAGTGATGTGCTAGTTTGACACACAGGTCTGGGCTACCTTTGAAGGATGTTACAAAATCAGAAAGATGTATTTGATTCCCATGTTAACAACTTTAATTGTGATGCTTTATGGCGAGGTAAAATAGCTTATAGGGCTTGTTCTAGTGTTTCCAGAACCAATCAAAATGGATGCAAAGTGAGTTCAGAAGTGGCCCTATTTGCCACAGTTTATTTAAAGGACAGTTCAGTTAGTGGCCTGGAATACTCAGCACTTCCATCTTACTTGAAGGCAGAAGTCAGCAAAGCCCATGTGCGAACCACACCATATTTCCTATAAGACCCCAAAGGTCTTCAGAGCCCCAGGGTGTCTCTTAGAGACCACCTGGTGAGCCCATTATTCTGAAGTGGTCAGGGCTCTTAGCATCATCAGACCCAAGTTGTTCTCTGTTCATTCATAGATAGATGGATCATTGAATTAACATATATGACAATACAAGACACAGAAGACAAGAAAGATTAAATAACAATGGATGACTCATCAATTAATATATCATGGTGGTTAAAGTTTATTCTAATAGTTAACTTTTCCTATTAATCCCAATGGTATCTGTAGTGGTGGGATCTTATCAACCTCTACACTTCCTTCTCCTGTTTTCTGACTCACTACTGGGGCATTCTGCTCTATAACTCCACCCACTTCTACCCACTTGTATCCTGCTCCTCTAAGGGAGCCCTGTCCCCCTTTGACCCTTTCATTCTCCTCTATTTCTATCCTGCCTGTGCTTTCTCCACCTTCTCTGTCTTCCTCATCTTCCTCCTCTCCCTTGCCTCCTACTTCCGAGTTGCATCCATTATCCTCCTCTGCTAGCTTCCAGTCTCTCCTGCTTTCTCTTTAACCTGCTTTGGAGCACCATCAGTCCTGCCTTTAGTCTCTGGCTGTTCAGGCATCCCTACAGCTTTAGTGATGCTACCTTGCTCTGCCTGACTCACTTGCCAGCCAAACTGTCAGGCTGCAGGGCAGGCAGACGAGCTGCAGCAATGCTAGTTCTCAACAGCATGTTATACCCTTAATTGGAAAGCAAGCTTGGGCTTGGCTGGGCAAACACCTGCTTAAGCAACCTTCTGGCCAGCTAAGTAATTGGTTCTCCATGAAGGAGTTGAAATTTCAAGCATAAGGAGCTGACTGAGAAAGTGTGTCATTAGCCAACGGGTTTTTGCCCCTTTTATTTTAGACTTCAAACATGTTTGGAAACATCCATTGTACATATTTTAAAACTAAAAATAAATTCTAACTAATATATGCAGATAAACCTGACACTACTCATTAACATCTCCTAGCTGTTGATGCCTGCTTCACTCAAAATAGCGCTTCCCATCTTTAAATGTTAAAATCCCAGAGGGAGAGATTTTGGGGAGCAGTAACCGCAAATAGCGCTGTGTGCGTCTGGCCTGTTGTTGGATGGAGGACACTACTGGGAAGACAGCCAACAATAATTATGCAAAGGAGGGGGTGGAAACTGTTTATTAGATATGCCAGATACCAGCTTTTTAGCTCTTCTATAGGTCGAACCAGCACTTGAATTGTGGCTCCAAGGTTATAAAAAGTCAGCCAACACATTCTGCACAAGCTACAGCTTTGGAACAGTCGTCAAGGGAAGTTCCACTTGGAGTAGCTAAGCGCAAAAAGCTATGCAGTGCAGGTTATTGAGAGCTGAAAAGCTATGAAAATTAAAAAGTACATGACATGCTTTGAAATAGGTTATAAACCTGTAACAGAGTGGTGGGCAGGAATAAGGCACCCACAACTGAGCTAGCCAGCTAACACCCAGCATGTCAATATAGCACTTTCTGTCATGCACCAGATAATGATTTTGATTATGCTCGATCTGATCTCTGTCTGCCAGGTCAACCAGAGGCAAACAGCATTCTTATATTAATTGTGTGGCCTCTGGCTGGCTGACCCAGGATTCAGTGCAGGTCAGCTGAGCTGACAACCTTAGTGGGATTAAGTTAAAGCTGGATCCAATTAGAAAGATGTTTCACTCTTTCCCTTCTGCTGCCTTGGGTCCCAAACACATGTTACAAGGAACAAGGGGCTGTTGCTGATCTCGGTCTCCCTGGTAACATGTAATTAAAGAAGAAGTGCCATGTGGCATTATCACACTCTGAATTTCTTCACCCCTGCAAGCAGCACCCAATGACATGGCACTGGAGCTCTACTTTAGCTAAATATTACCGGGGCAAGATAGGAAAAACAGGTCACTGGCTGCCACACATTCTTCATCGCATGTTATTTGGCCAATGGTTGCAGCTGTGCGGATCAAGAAGAGCTCCACAAAGACACTCCTAATTGTGGCTTTCTCCATTTCCTCTCAGGAACGTGAGACTGAATTGTGAAATCACTCACCTTTTTCATTCTGTCTGTTCTGGAGGGAGCAATCCAAGTTACGCTTGTTTGCTGAAAGGCAGAAGATATACCTGAAAGTTCTCCAGCCCTGCTGCAGCCAGCTGCAAACACTTGGTCCAGGATTTGGAAAACTACCACCCCTCTAGGCACAAGGCATCCATAAAACTGAAACTTATTCTATTCCACCACACCCCCCCGGTGCCTAACCAGCTTTTTAAGACGTTAGGGATAAACAAACCTGCCAGTTTCAGTTTCTCTCCCTTTTTTAAGTTTTTCCATCTTTAAATTCAATTCACCACATTCCTGCACCAGTTTGCTTTTCTTTTTTAAGTCTATGTGAATATTCAGCAACATTTCTTCTCATATCTGTATGCAATTTTGCCTAGTTTTTGCAAGCTATTTTCTCTTAACATGAATCATTTTTGTGTGTTGTTTTCGCTATATGCATTTTTACTTTCCTCTAATGTATACACAGGTGTTTGGGGGTTGTTGTTTTTTTAAGAACTGCATTGCAAAATTCAGACAAGTGTGAATTTTGAAGGATAGCTACATTTTGGTTTGTTTTGGGAAGCACGAATAAGGTAGAGTTGCATTAAAATGCAAGCTGAAACAAATTTATGCCCCTGTCCCTAGTTATAATCAATTGCAGCAGCATAGGGATCCATGAAAAGGTGCAGAGATGCTGGCAGCCGTCTAAAGAAGACGGCATATTGCAGGAGAGAAGTTCTAGGCACCTACTAATAGGACATGGACTGATGGTGAAACTGCATGTTTCCCCGCAGCTCTACTACTTCAGAAAAGCACCCCAAAGCAATTCCCCAAAAGGAAGATGGAAACACCGAGGCACGAATGGGACATCAGCCTCCTGTGCATATGCACAAAGAGGGTGATGCCTCCAGGCAGTCAGGAGATGTGTGTAGACTGCTGTTCTTTATCTATTGGGTTTGGACCAGTCTGGCATGAGGTGGGTCATAGCAATGGCATCACAACGTTTGCTTTAAAAGAAAAAGAAAAGTAGAAAGATAGGGGCCTGGGAGCAGGCAGAGAAAAAATGTGGGTATATATCCACTCTAAATATTGGTGCCATTTCTGTACTAGTTATAACTTGTTAGCCTCTCCCCCTGCAAGCCTGGGAATTGCAGTTTGGCACAGCAGCTAAGAGAGATCTGTCACCGGCTGGTTCCCACCCCGAACTGCATTTCCCAGCGTTCCATAGGGAGAAGACAGTTAAGCCCGTAGACTCCTAAAGCAGTGTCAATAGATCCGGAGAGAGAAGGAGAAGGGGAATATATGTGTTAGAAAATAAAATAAATGTGGGTTCCATGCTGCAGGTTGGGGTTAAGGATGCTTCTGAGGTGGGAAATGACTGGAGATTACTGGTGTGGATTTCTAACCAGGATTGCTTCAGTGCATAGCACTGATTGAAAAGACTCTCTCCCTCACTCTCTTGCTGATCAGCAACTAGGGTCAACTTGTGTCTCATTGGGAAACCAAGGTACCAGTGAAGTGAGAACAGCAGAAGGGTCTAGGAGTCTGAGCCCTTACAGTTTGACAGCACTTTGTATGCTTCCATTATCTCCTTAGACTTCTCTTCAGCTTCCTTTTTGTTATCTGGGTTTTTGTCAGGATGCCACTTCTTCAGTTTCTCTCTGTACCTGTTCAGTTAAAGGAAAGGATGTAAAGAATTAGGTTCCAGATGGCCTGTTTATTTTTTGAGCAATTCATCCTGATTTGTTTGCACAAAATTTGTGCAGAGGTTATACCACTCTGCCAATTGGTAATTATCTCCCAATTTCCAGCGCTTTCCCCATCACTTTTTTTTAACCGCAAAATTCTACAAATAGAACCAGGTTTGTTGTACAAGAGTACTGTAGTGCTCCTTGCTACTTATCACCCTGTACCCCTTCCTCACAGGTGGGTTATGTAGGTGCTATTTATTGCACAAAGGACATAAGATGGCATCTACCTGAATGGGTGAGAGATATGGGCAAACCTCCTGACCCTCTGGAAACAACTTAGTCTGTTTGGGACCACCCGTTAACCACCTGGGCAAATATATATATTTTTGAATCTATTTCTGCAACTCAAAATCAAACACTTTGCCAACCCTAAAGAAGGAAAATGCTTACTTCATTGACTTCTGAAGGTATTAGAATTCAGTGCTTCCTCATTGCCCCAACATAACAAATCCCCATTCCTAGTCATTAAAAGTATATATAAGTATACTTGTGCATTTCATAATAGGTGACTCAGGATTCAATGCTGGCTTCTCTTTGGAAAACAGCACATACTCTCTTGTTATCTCATCCACACAACCCATTCATTCATTCAACCATTCTCCCCTCCTCTCTGTCCTATACACACAATGTAGCCTCCCCCCCTTCCCTAGCTGCATTTAGGCCTCACAAAACCTTCCTGCTGAAGCCAACAGAAGAGTTTCTCCAGCCTAAATAAGTAATGGCGCAAAGGCATTTTTGGCAAGGGGGAAGGTTAACTTTTCCCTCCCTAGCTGTGACTCTGGCTTGAAAAGAAATCAATTAGGCTTGGAAACAAATCCTATTGGCTTCAGTAGGAAAGTCTTTTGAAGCTTAAATGTGATGCTGGGGATGAGGAGGGAAGAATGGAGGCTGTGAGCCAGACAGAGCTGCCTCAAGGCTGGCGGTTCCTCGGGTGAACTGAATGCTCTGAAGGCTGACTTACGCCGTTTTAATGTCGTGATGCGTTGCCCCCTGGGGAATGCCCAGGACTTCATAATAGTCCTTCTCATCTTTTGTCTGTCCTGTTGAGAGACTTGGAGGGACACTGGGGTGTCTTGGCTGACCCATGCAGGGCAGAGACAAGGAGATGCCGCAAGTACCTGGCCCTGCAGAATAGAAAGCAGGAGGAGAACTAAGTAGAAAGAGCGGGCTCACTGTCTTGACATTAGTCTATAAATTATAAAACTAGCTTGGATCTTGGATCAATGCCAATTATTTTAATTGGTTTAAGTTTGTTTTTATACTTGTGTTTTTAATTAAGAATTATTTGCATTAGATCGGACTGTTATAGGATGTGTGATCTTTGCTGTGTATACTCTCATATCTATGGTTTTAAACTGCTTTGTGTATAGCAAAGTAGAAAAGCGGTATACAAATGAAAAATTAAAAAGCCATTGGTTTAAACCTCAACTGGGTGCATCTGAGAATTAGTCTTTGCCTTTCAGGGCCACATGCATCACTACAGGAAACAGAGTATAAACAGAGTATACATTTCAAGCAGTATCATACCACTTCATAGCTATAATTCATAGAGTTCCCGGGGAAGAAGAATTGGTTGTAAAACCACTCTAGTAATTGAAGCTCTGTGAAGGGAATAGAGGTCTCCTAATTACTCTCAGCACCCTTAACAAACTACAATTCCCAGGATTCTTTGGGGGAAGTCATAACTTAAAGTTGGGTCATAGTGCCTTAAAACTATAGTGCAGATGTGACCAAACTCAGATACAGGAGATATGGGGCCAAAGGGAAGGAAATAGAGGTCTCCTAATTACTCTCAGCACCCTTAACAAACTACAGTTCCCAGAATTCTTTGGGGGAAGCCATAATGTTAAAGTGGTATATTAGTTCTGTAAATGTATGGTATGGATGTGGCCTAAGAAATGACATAGTCCCTCAGAGGGTAAGTGCTGTGCTATAGTTTTCTTCACTGTCAAAGTAGCCGCACGTTTATATGCAGTGAATATTTCTTTTATGCCAGCAGAGCAAGCAACAAGATGCTTACACTTCACTGAACTGAAATGTTGCTTTAAAACAGAGTTCTCTAGCTGATGCCCTCCAAATGCTGATGAGTTCCAACTGAGTGGTCAGGGATGGGAAATACTAGAGTCCAGCAACATCTGGAGAGCACTAGCTGGTGGAAGGCTGCCTTAAATCAACCCTTTGACATGATTAGAGCCCAAGTCTATGATCTACTTGTGGGATAACCAGCCTATTATAACCAACATACATAAGTCTAATTAATACGTGAAGGAGTTAAGACCATAGAGTAAGCTGTCCTGCCAAGTTTAGTTCACTGTGGGAGGGACTAGGTAATCAATCCTTTGTTCCCCTTCAGTCTTTCTGAGAAGCTCAGCGAGTGAAAAGGCTAACCTGGTTGCTACAGCTTAGCTGCATAGCTCTCACAAGCCACTCTTTGAGTTCCTATACCAATTATTTAGGAACTTTCACCTCTGTAACTGACAAGTTTTACTGCCAGTGCAACTTTTTTCTGAATGCTGGATGGAAAAAGTACATGAACCAGATCTTTGAAGAATTTGTAAGTAAACCAATCTTAACTGACCAAACATGTGGTCTTTGGAAGTTTTGGAACTCACAAGGGCATGTTTTAAAGGTCTGACAGGCTATACATCCACATTTCACTTTGCTGCATATTTTGTGATTTTAAATCTCTGCTGTGGTTCTATCACCAAAGAGTATTTGCCCCAAATGTAGAGCTTGGCATCCAGAAATTATCCTTTTATACCTATTTTTCCTCTTGAACCAACAATACTTAGCATAGCAGTGACCCTGGCCTTGTGTATCAAAGGCAATTGTTTTCAGGTGGCATAAAATGAGCTAGTCAACCCAGGATGAAGGCTTGGTGGGCAGTTCCACTAAGTATCTGAATAGCTGAAACCCAAGCCCTACCTCACAGTCTCAATGGATTTTTCCTGATGATTGACACATCCTTTGGTATATTCATTTTCCATGTAGGCAGAGCTCTAGTTACTCAAAGCTGCTGCCCGGGGTAAGAAAAGAGGAGCTTGATTGTGATGTCAGGGGCTCTGCAACTTGCACTCATGATTTGCGGTTGGCTGGCAACAGGCAGTAGGAAGTATGGTGTAAGCTCCAGGGCATCCTGGCTCTTAGGCAGAACCTCAGAAATACGCACCAGCTGTAACAACCCAAATAGACATGCTACAGCCCATAAATGAAATGGTGTAGTCTCCACATTTAAGCCTGTAATTAATTTGTCAATAACTCTGTTTGCTATCTATCCATGGACCAGTTCCAAGTAGCAAGATGCCATGGCAAAGATGGCGAGAAGCAGCATTCATTGGTTGGTTGATTCATTTGGTTGATTCACCAAAATAGTGATTCAGAAATGTGATGGGGCTTAACTTCAAGCATTTTCAAACATAAACTTCATTAAATTCCAAAACTCAAAGCAACTTGGCAGACAATTCACTTGAGAGGTGCCTGCAGATGTCAAAAACCAACCACAGCAGACATCAATCAATTTGTGAAGAATTCTCTAGCTCAGATGTCTGCATTGTTAGTGAAAGTGCATACATGTGTTTGTGTATTAAATCTGTTTAATAAATTCATGTTGTGAATAATATTGTGTATTTAATTAATATATTAAGTTTATATTTAAATAGATATATTTAATTAAATTCATTAATAGTGCATATTAAGATAATATTAACTATATTGTGAACACTTTATGATATGGAATTTTAATTCACTGTTTGGCCCCCAGGTTGTGTGTCACTCTTGCAGCCCATTTAGTCTGAGAGGTTAGACCACCCTGATCTAGCCTAAAATAGTCTTTAAAAAAAAAAAGACAACCCCCACTAAAAATGCCTCAAACTACCTGGACACAGAGGTGGGAAGTGTGTCCCTTGTAATCCATGATGTCACTGGTGCTGATAGGTACCTATGACAGTTGCACAATGACCTTAAAACACAGTAGCTCTGCTGATTGTAATGGAGTTGCTAGCTAGGAGGTGACTCATATTTCACCGTAACCTCCAACAGTGGTTTGAGAGAGCTTCATTAACATGTGACCCCAAAATTCCAGATGCCCTCAAACTGATGCCAAAGTTTTGTGCTGTTTTGTTCTGCGAACCCCACATTTTGTGCTGCCACCCCCAAACAAGTACCCTAACTGACAAAGCAAATTGGGGTCACAAGTGGATGCCAAAAAATCCAACCTTGTCCAATCAACTCCAAACCAGTACCAAAATCCGGGGGCCACAAGGACACCCCAAAACCCAACCACATCCTATTGACTCTACACTGGTATCAAAGTGGTGTGCCGCAAACCCCGCTTTCTGCGCAGCCCCCCAAACTGAACAACTGACACTCAAGACAGGAGTGTTCCTAACAAACAAGCTATTTCCGCTCTGATACTAATCCATTTCCTTAAGATACAGGTGATCCTGCTAAACCAGGAATTCCAGAAGGGAGCCACAAGGACCAAACTCAGCCCCTCCAAACACTCTTGAACTCCAACCTCAATCATCCTTGCTTATGGATGGAAGGATCTGTCAATTTTTTTTCAGTTTCTCCTTTTTTCCAATCTTAAATTTGGTTTTGCACATTTCTGCAGCAATCTTCAATTTTAACTTTTGAAAATCCTCATAAAAATTCAGGATTTTTAAATTTCAATTAACACATTTTTCTATGCAGTTTCTCCCAGTACAATGCATTTCTGCATGTTATTTTCCCTAATATATTCTTTTTCATGCACACTTTTTATCTAATATATGCATTTTTGTAAACAATGTTTGGTGGGAGAAGTGAATCACTCAATTTTGATATGAGCAAATTTTGAAGGGTGGTTGTGTTTTGTTTCTGATATTGTTTCAGAAAGTGTAAAATTGATAAATTTGGCTTTAAATGAGAACTAAATCCAATTTCTTCCCATTCCTATCCTTGACCCATGGGCCATGCTGGCTGGGGCTGTTGGAGTCCAATATCATATAGAAGCCCACAGGTTAGCCACTCTTTCTCTACACATTTTTGTGGACCATAGTAAACACCCTCTACAGAGACCAGTGTCTCTTCGTGTCCTAAATTATTGTTCTCTTTATTGCCATGGATAATGACTCTGGATGCATGCTGCAATTGCCCAGACATCGTCAAAGCTGAAGGAAGTTGGACAGCTAAAAACTGCCAGAAAGAGGTTTGCTTGGAAGGTGACCTAGTGTGGCCTCTTCTTGAAAGTCTTCAGCTTTGCCATTTAAATAACTACATCTGTGAATGAAGATGCATCACATCTCTGAGGCAGCCCCCACCACAAGGCTGTAGGCCCCAGAGCCAGAGAAATCTTGACCATACTGCATTCTTTCGTCTTGAGGAACACAAGTATCTCCTCCATGGCTGATCAGAAAAGAAAATGGAAACAAACATCACTGTTCCCAACCTTTATTAAACAGCCCATTGCCCTTTGCTAATCTCCGTCCTAATGGATCCCATAATTTTCAGTTCTCACTATACTGGTAAGCAAGTAGACTTAGAGGACATGTTTCTGCCTGAGTCTTCTTCAACCATAGTGGAGTCAATTGGTGACTTGTGAGAGTGAAGCTATTCCCTTCGGCATAGGACTGTTTTTTTCTCTGCCTGAGGGGTTGCATTCACTACTGCAGTGCCCCCTCCTCCTCCTGCCCATCCCTCCTTGTTGTCATGACATGTTTCTTGGCAGCCAGCCTCTCCCCACTCAGCAGCTGCCTAGCTCCACCCAGGGTCCATTTTGCACCTACTTCTTCTTATCAGTGTCTTCAGTGTGTTTGTATCAGGCACACGTGGCAACAAGTTCCTCCCGACTTGCCACCAATATATGGGATTTAATTCATGTGCATCACGCTGCTAGAACTCAGGGATATGGGATTCATCGTCATCCTCAGTCTGGAACTCATCATGAGACTCGCTATCTGTGTCTTCTGCAGGGGACATATTTCCTGCTCTGTAGCCTTTATTCCTTTGGTTGGGGAACGCATGCCTGATGGTGCGCACCTCATAGATGGGTTCAGAATCGGAGTCATCATGGTAGCCGAACTGAGGTGCGGACCTGTATCTGTTGGGCTCACCATGATGTCCCCCAGCTTCTCTAATGGATGCTCTCTCAGTGGGCACACCTGCAAGAAAGGGCGAGGCAGGTTAGACCAGAGGTTTTCAACCTTTTTGAGTCCATGGCTCTCTTAACCAACTACACTGAGTGTTCCCCAGTCTCCTCTCCTCTCCTGTCCTCTGGGCAGCTGCTGCTGCTGTCCCTGGTCTCTGAGTTGCACCCCATCCCAAAGGGAGGTGCCTCCCAGAGGCACCATTTGCCTGCGGAGCCAATACCCAGGGCCACTGGCAGACGAAGGCGAGCGGGGGGGCGGTCCGCCCTGGGTGCCATCCTGGGGGTGATATCGCAGCCGGCGCGCCCCCAGGGCACTCGCCACTCACCGCGCACCCCTGGGACGCGCATCATTCACCGTGCACACCCCAGGAGGCGCACCCCATGCCATGCACCCCCCGACGAGCGCCATGCCCCCCACGGGCGGCACGCCACACCCCCTGGGATGCACGCCAGCCACACCCCCGGATGTACTCCGCTCCTGGTAGTAGCCTCGCCACTGCCCAGGGCTGCTGCAATAAACAGCTGTGGAAGCCTTTGGCAGGCAGAGATGCGAGAGAGCATCAGAGGAGGAAGGGAAGGAAAGAGGGACAGAGGCCAGTGTTGCCTGTGGCACCCCTGACCATCATCCAAGGCACCCCAGAGTGCCACAGCACACTGGTTGAAAACCACTGGGTTAGATATATCAGTGCCAAACAAGGTACTAGGATCGGACATCACATCCATGAAACTGCTAGACTATCTTGTCTGTGTCTCTCTGCATAGCTTAAATCTGCTTTCCATAACATGGTGGCTGTGAGCACTGGGGCACCCACAGATACATCTGCCCCACACGGGACCTGAAGCTTTCTTAAAAAGTCCCATTCTCTACTTCTGAACCTTACCATTAACAAGAACAGATTTAAGCTCTCCATCTTCTTCAACTTCTACTCGCTCCTGTCCATCCTCAACAATCCTGGGAAGGAGAGAAATGCTGAATAAGTTACTCTGCCAGCAGAGGAGAAAGCCAAACTCCTTCTGGGTTAATCAAATCCAATTGGCCTCCCAAACCAGGGATGAGAAATGGTACCCTCCAGATGATGCTGAACTGCAACCACCAGCAATAACCATTGGCCATGTTGGCTGGGGCTGATGAGGATGGAGTCTAACAACATCTGGTGGGCCACTGATTCTCCATCCCTGCCCTATAAGCTGACAACTGGTTGTAGGAAGAAGTGAACCTTGGTGGGAGAGTCAGCTCCTTTCACATCTAAGAAAGTTTTGTGTGACTAAAAACCTGGCTACATATGTGATGTTACTTTTCCCAGATGTGGCCTAGAAGTAAAATGCCAATAAATGCTGTTATCTTTTATAAGTGTAATTTATAAGTTTATACTATATTTTATGTACCTTTTTAATTATTTTTCTTTTATATTAAAATCAATTTCAATGTATGTAACACAGCTCTAAAATAAAAAGATCTGAATGTATGGCTAAATGGGTTGTACAAGAATTATGTATTAAAATGAAACAGGTACATTTTTTTTGTGTTTGTATGTCATACACACACACACACCCCCACACACCATAAACATCCTGTCTTCAAGAACAGAAATCAAATCTGAACCTGGGCAGTTAATTAATATTCATATCATTACCTCTCAGAAGTTGTTAAATATATCTCTCACTCTAAAAACAAGCAGTTGCATAGTATTTTTTTTAAAAAAAGAAACAATGCACATAATTAATATGGTAATGATGGTCAAAAGGAAGAATTACAACAGTGAAAAGTCAGATTTGAATTCTGCACTCTCCTAATTCACAGGCTGGGTTTATACAGCCCATAAGTCTGTAATGAGTGCTGGCTCCAGGTTCTGGTGACCCCTTGGGCAAGGGGCCCTCAGTGAGCCCCTCTCCTCACCAAGGCACTGTTGCCCACTTCCTTCTCCTTTCTGGGCCCACCCTGATCATTTGTCCACAGCAGAGTTTCCGAAACTTGGCTCTCCAGTTGTTTTTTAACTATAACTTCCATCATCTCTAGCTAGCAGGAACAGTGGTGGGAATTGTAGTCTAAAAACAGCTGGAGACCCAAGTATGGGAAAACATGGTCAAGAGGAAGCTGCTGTTCCATCTCCTTGCTCCTGTCACAGCATACTTGTAAAGGGGCTAGTGAAGAGGCCGCAATAGCAAGGAAGACGAGCAGGCCTCAGTGGCTCCAGAGACTGGGCAATGGGACCCCAGAAGGGATGTGGGCCTTGGCGGTAGCCCAATGATATCTACCCTGACACCTGCCCTTGCTATGGCTTGCCCCTTCTCCTCCTCCTGCTACAACCCACAATAGATCTTCTTGTTCTCTTCCCTGAGTGCCAATGCTTGCCAGCGTTTTATTTGTCCTATTCAAGAACCTTCAAGAACAGACTGACACATGGATACCTGTCAAGTTGCTGTTCAAGGCACAGGAACAGTTCTAGTGAGGAAACTGGTCACCCTAAGAAAACCATGTGACTTAGTGAGTGAAAGCTGCAATGGTTCAGTCATGGCTGTCCACTGGCCCACCCTCACCTTTTGGTTGTGATCTGTTTGCCGTTGACGAAATTCGTTGATGAAGAGTAGAAGCAGAACCCATTTCCTCCACCAGCACATGCACCAAATGGCATTGCATCTCCTGAAAATCAAGATGGCAACATCAGGCCTCAAGTACTTGAGATGAGAGCCAAGAGATACACAGGTAGGAACACAGTAGATACTTCAGTGGACCTTCAGCTCTCCTGGGCCTGGCTTTTGGAGTAGTTTTCCCATCAGGCAGTTTGAGATGGCTTGGGAAACATCCAGGAGAGGAAGAGCCATAGAAAGGGTGAACCTTCCATCCTGGTAACTGCTGCATAGGGACAAGACCCACTGGTGTTGCTGAGGCCACTAGGCCAAGTGTATGTTCATTTCCTTGAATAAAGAGTCAACTTCACTGAAAACAGACATCTGATTATTTTAGTGATGACCTGCCTCTGTCTCCAGCCTTGACAGCTGGTTACTTGGAGTGAGATTTTTATTTTGCCTGGTTCTACCATGTGTGTCTTGGCTCTCTCTCTTGAGTCACCTGAAACTATTTCTCCAGAAACACCTCTTATATAGCACTCCTTCTTTCCTTGTGGCAGGTTGTAGGCCAGAGAGATTATGTGAGTTGACAGGCAGGGAGTTAGACCAACTGACTTTTAGGTACCTTCCAGGCCTCTGAGAGGAATCACCACTTACCAAAGAAAGGGTCCCGTCCTCCAAAGAAGTCCCTGAAGACATCATGGGCACTGCGGAAGTGGAACATATAATCAGGGCTCATGTTGGTCCTAGATGATGCCCCAGGTCTACCTGAAAAAGTTAAAAGGAAAGATATGTCAAAGCCAGGTATTCTGGTTATTTGATGAGGTGATGGGATGTGGGACACAGGACCTGGAAGTTGTCAAAATAGAAATTCCTTTCCCCATAGCTAGGTGTCCTGGAACCAGATTGCAAAAGCCCAGAAGGATGAAGATTGTTATAGGGCATTGCTGTATACAGCCCCCTTTGAACCTCAGTAGATGAGCTCACCATGAGCAAGTACAGTCAGGACAGTATAATTGAATGTTGGGGTGGCGAACTTGTGTCCCTTCAGATGTTGCTGAACTACAACTCCCATAATCCCAGACCATATTTGCTATGGGCAATGGTAACTGGAGTCTAACCAAGGGCTACAAGTTACCCACCCCTGATTTATAGAAACACAAAGTAAGGGTACAATCCAGCCAATGCTAATTTCAATGGGAGAGAATGAATCACATGCTTTGTTCTCCTACTGAAACCAATAGAATTCTGAAATTGTGCCCCAGGTATGTAAGCACTGGGCTTCTGAATAGACCCAATGTTCTGGGTGGAACCAGAGACAAATATATTCAAAGCTGAATCCAGTACTACACTATACAGATTTGCTCATGGTCATCTAAATTCCAATTCAGAAACTAAAGGAACAGAACTTACACTGACATTATTTGACATTTGTCCCCAGTACTAAAACGGCAAATGTTTGGGTAAAAACGCCTTATCTATTCTTTACACATTGCACATTCTGGATATCACTCTGTTAATCCTGTGGCCAAATATAAGTGGTAGCTTTTAATTGCCCTGTGACTGACCAATGTCCACCCCAAATGAGACTGTGTAGAGATCTTTCACCCTCACCCTGCAGCAAGTTCTTACCACACTGATAGTTTAATTTTCTCTTGACAAGAATACCAGGTGTAATCTACATGTTGAGTGAAGTTGTGTGACCATTTCCTCCATTTTTTTCTTTCTTAACCCAAAGCAATCTGGGACGAATGGCACGTGGAGAGAGAGAGAGAGGCTACTTTGCCCTTTCCTCTTCTGTTATTTACCAGCTCAAAACCATACACACACATAATAAAAAGGTAAAGGGACCCCTGACCATTAGGTCCAGTCGTGGCCGACTCTGGGGTTGCGGCGCTCATCTCACTTTATTGGCCGAGGGAGCTGGCATACAGCTTCCAGGTCATGTGGCCAGCATGACTAAGCCGCTTCTGACGAACCAGAGCAGTGCACGGAAACACCGTTTACCTTCCCACTGGAGTGGTGCCTATTTATGTACTTGCACTTTGATGTGCTTTTGAACTGCTGGGTTGGCAGGAGCAGGGACCAAGCAATGGGAGCTCACTCCGTCGTGGGGATTCAAACTGCCGCCCTTCTGATCAGCAAGTCCTAGGTTCTGTGGTTTAACCCACAGCGCCACCCGCGTCCCTCACACACATAATACAGACTTTGCCATGAGGAGAAAGGCACAAGAACCTTACAGTAATCTCTCCTCAGACGCAATCTATCCCAGGCTGCTTTAAAGTGAGTAAATAAATTTATACCATTTTTATCCCACTCTTCCTCCCAAAGGTGCCCAGGGCAGCAAACAACAAAACATTAAAAACAATGGTGTTTTAAAAAAAATATAAAACCAAAACATTCCCACAGCTAACTTTCACAGTTACCAACACACAATATCTTTTACAAAGTAAAGAACCATGGAACTAGGTTAAATGTGTTGCTTGAGTCATCTTATCTTCTGTGATGGAGAAGATTTTTCCTGGACTGTCTCTCACTTACCTCTTCCCAGTAGCCCATCCTTACCCCAGCGGTCATAGATGTCACGTTTGTTCTCTGAAAGGGAGAAAGAATAAGAAGTCAACCAACCCACCATCCGATCTCAGAGACAGTGGTTTCTAACAGCAGTCTGGCATGCCATGCTGGATCTTGAATAACAGGTGCATCATCTGGAAGCGGAAACCACTGTAAGCACATATAGGCTGTCAGCATTTCACAGGAGGAATTCAAGCACATACGAGAACTTTAGGTTTGTGTGATTAAAAAAGATGAAAGGCTCCATCGCTCTACCAGCACAACAAATCCACTTGAGAAAAACACTGACTTTTTGCAGTTAGGAAAGTGATGGGGAATTGCATTGAAAAGCATGAGATGAACAAAGGGTGAATGGACAGGTGTATCAAATGATGAATGGGCAGAATTGTCATATAACTGTCCCATAAACAAATTGGAACAAATGCTCAATAAAGACCAGACATAGTCTAACCACTGTGTAGGCTTTGTGCAAGCAAATCTGGATGGATGCTCAATAAATAGTCCATTTGGAGGAGCCCTGCTTCTGCCAGTGTTCTTCCCAGGATAGCATATAGTTTGAAACTTGAAAATGCATGTTTGCCACAAAATAGCCAGGACAGATTAACCATGGCAAAATAGACTATGCCACTAGGTAATGGTATATTGAACAGGGTCATCAGACTATAGAGAGTGTGATAACCAACCACCACCTGAGCCCAGAGGATTTTAGCATCAACTGAGGATATTCAATGCAGCAATCAGGTCCTTGGTGAATTATTGACATTTTAAGGTATGGGTGGTCAATATAAGCTTCCCTGAACTGAACAAGAGATACTAGCAGGGTCAGGTTAAACGGTGGAATTAGTTACAATCAACCTTCTACAGCAGAGAAGGCATTTTCAGCCAGCAGTGTGTCAAGTCTCTAACAGAGGCCAATAAAGAAGGGGGGGCACACTGATCACATACAATTTCTGAAAGCTCTGAAGGCCACTTCACACAGACACCCTTCACAGGTAAGGGGGAAACAACGGCCACCACAGCATGAGGGCAGCTCAACGCATGAAATCACACTAAGTCCTTTGGGGGGGGTGCCTGTGCATTGTATAAGGTAGCATTAAGGACCTATATGAACGTGCCAAGGATAATGAGTGAGGAAAGGCCTGTAGTTAGTGGGGTCTGCCTGTCTGTGTTAGCATTTTGCATGTAACAGGTGCCAGAATATACTGCAAACCTTTGGTACAGTTTGCACATCTTTTGAGCCTTTTTGTGTCCTTTTCTTCCAGGTCTCTCCTTTAAATGATGCACTGAGGGCTTATCTACACTTACCTTTCTTCCGCTCTTTCCAGGCACAGTCCATGCTTTAAAGCTTCGTGTCTGAGCACTCTCCTTTTTTTTGCTCTGAATCCACTCTTTAAAGCTCAATCGGAGCAAACAGCAATCTGCTTAAAACCCAAATTGACGTTTGCTCCAACTGAGTGCTAAAGAGCAGGATTTTGTGAGGAAAGCTCTGGGGTGGGGAAGCCCCCACAAATTGCTACACTTAGTCCCCAGTAGGTGCAGCAGTGTGTCAAGTGGTTTTGCTTTCCCATTTTGGCATCCAAATCATCAAATGAATTTGCTTGGATTTCTTGTTTTAAGCAAAATCCCAATCTTTGCTCTACCACATACTTGCATAGAAAACATGTGACTGGTAAAGGTCTGATCAGCAGGAGGAGAAGTGCTGCACAAGAGGCAGTGATGAAGGGGGTTCATGAGAGGTTGAATACTTACTGTCTGAAAGTACTTGATAGGCTTCTGAAATCTCCTTGAATCTCTGTTCTGCAAATTGCTTGTTTTCTGTGTTTTTATCTGGGTGCCACTTTAGAGCTTTCTTCCTGTATCTTTATGGTCCCCCAGAAAACACAATGGATGATAAAAGTCAGTATCCCTGTGACCATTTCTACAACTACAGATTTGTGTATGGTTAGCCATATTTTTCCTGACACCAGGGCGAGGAAGGGAGCAGACTCCTGTCCCTAGTCTCCATTTCTTCCAGAAGCAAAAAAGACTTCGACTTTCCCTCAGCAAGCTTCTCATTACTTCATGGCATGCGCTACGGCCATCCAAACCATACCAGTCTGTCTCAGCTTGTGTGAGGGAGTCTTCTATGAAACTCCCGTATAGATGGCACCACACACCAGGGCGAATTGCCCACATGACATCACAATCTTCTCAGAATTGTTGTGGGGAGACACCTTTTCGCACCTGTGCTAAGACTTCCTACAGGTATTCAAATTCTGATGTGTCAAGAAATGACCAAATAGTCAGCTATCCCATTCCAACGTCACCACAGATTCTGTGGGACGATCAGCTGAAAGGAACTCTTGACATGGATCTTGGTGGCTGCCAGAACTTAATTGCCCCCCAAATGGAAAACCTTAAGGGTCGTGTTAGCTGGGGGGGGGGGGGACCTCATAAATTACATGCTGGCAAATGCTTGGAGGATCCTGAAAAATTATATGCTGTTTGACGGAGTTTTATTATATATACAACAAATACAGACACACTAAAAATAACAAAAACCTCCCCTCAGCAAGCCTCTCATACAAGAAGAGTCAGGGAACCAGCCCGATTATCAGACAGTGAGGCAACCTAATAATATAACGGTCCAGCAGTAGATTCTGTAGTACAAGGGTAGCAAAATATGAATATTCAGTGGTATTATTCTTTCTTGTGGTAATATATTAAGAAGCATGGTTTCCAAATGCATGTTTGGGCTAAGGAATTCAGCAGAGTGAAGCAGCTGCTTCATGTAGAAAATGCTGGCTGGGATGGTATAAGGAGTGGTGGCAAGGTTTAGGAGGTGTGCCAGGAACTGAACCCTGGCATAAGGTTTGAGCCCTGACATTGGAACAGGTTCTGAGTCTAAACCCTAGTGAACCTTGTATCAAATTTTAATGGTGAGAGATAGAACCAGGGTACTAGTGCTATTGCCTAATTAAAGGAACTCTCAGCCTATTCAGGTGAGGTACGTGAACATTGCAGTAGGCATCCTTTTAGAAAAGGTCCATTATCCTTTGTGTAAGAGAATCCCAGAACAATGGAATCTGGTCATCCAGTCCAACCTCCTGCTCAGTAAAGGATTTGCAATGCAGGAAGGAGAATCTTTCTTTCATGGAGGTTGAAATTTACAGTGTGTTGTTGTTTTTTTAAGTTGCGGGTTTTTTTATTAAAAAAAAACTACTTTGGGGGGGGGACTGCTGCTTGATTTAGCAGGGCATCCTTTTCATCGATCATTTTTGTTGCTGCTGCTGTTGATTTGCTCTAGCTGATTAATCAGTTATATGTTGCAACCTCCCCAGACTATGCCTAAACAGATGCCTGATCTCTAGGGGGGGGAAATAACCGGCACCTATCATGCTAGAGCCCAACCATCTCTTCCTTCCTTGACACCAAAAGTATAGCAAGAGATGAAAGGTAATTTAATAACTACCCTCCAGACCCCATATTGGCTGAGAGACTGTGAGGGCAACATCTCTCTTAAGAAGATGGAAGATGGTAATGGGGTGGACATGGGGAAGAGGCACTTACGCTTTTTTAATGTCATCCAAGGAAGCATTCTGGGGGAGACCCAGAGCTTCATAGTACTCGACCATGGTGGATTGATGTTTCCAGCAGAACCAGTGAGCAGGATGTAAACACAGAAAAAGCAGCCAGGTGTTGATTATTGTCTCTGGGTGTCAACCAATGTCTTTGGGTTCTCAACTGAGGTTAGAGGTGGTCATGGCCATCCACCAGGCTGGGTAACCCCATGCGGAGTAGCAAAAGGCAGTGGTGTGGACAGTTGACCCTACGGCACATCGAAGAAAACTTATACCAGTGGGATGTACATTAGCATCTCCCAAATCACAAAGAAAAGGCAGTTGTCGAGGAAGGAGAGCTACGTACTTTTATACATTTTTGTCATTTTCCTTGACTCTTATAAAGCCATACTGCCTTTATATAAGCTGAAGATAGTAGGAAAACTACAAGCTTTAGAGTTTTTAGCTGTTCAACTCTAGTTTGTCTCTTCCCCCCCTTAGTTTGTGTTATCTTGGTAGCCTTATCTCCATAGACTTAAATGTGTAGTAAAATGCCAGTAGCTATGCAGGGAAGGGCCACGGCTCAGTGGTACAGCCTGTGCTTTTCCCGTGGAAAGTTCAATCCCAGGCATCTCCAGGTAGGCCTGAGAATGTCCGCTTTCTGAAACCCTGTTGCGTTGCTGCCAGTCAGTGTACACAACAGGGAGCTAGATGGACTATTGGTCTGACTCAGTAAAAGGCAGTTTCCTATGTTCCCTGAGGTTTTGCTCCTGTGTGAAAGCTGGTTGATCTATTCCTGTTAGTGGAACTATCACCCGTTTCAGAAAATTTCATCGCCGTGAACTGTAAGTGGCTGACACTGTGAAACGTTAAACCTGGAGCAGGGAAGGGGGAACCTGGAGCCCATTAGATGCTGGACTCCAGGGCTATCAGCTGTCATCAGCATGGTCAAACAGTTAGGGATGATGGGAGTTGGAGTCATACAATATCTGAAGTCCCACACAGGTTCTCCACCTCAGTTCTAGAATTTAGAGATGTATGTGTGGTTCTAACCAGTACAACTCACTATGTAAGCTGAAACAGAAAAAAAACTGCCAGGCTGCATCAGAACCTCAGAACCCCATGTGATTTGTCTTTGCCAAGGAACAGTATCAAGGGCCCCAGAAGAATGGAAAGACCTCCGCTCTTGGCAAGTGTAAAAGAACATTCTTTGTTAAGAACAGCATCACCGCTCCACTACCAGTTTCCTTTTTCTCACAGTGACCTACCCGCTGTAAATCCCCACCCCATCCGCAACCTGACCAGGCCTACCTTATTGTGAAAGGATGAACTGTCCTGGCTGCATGGTGGGCACAGTTCTAAGGTCTTGCAGGTGTCCGTTCACACCTGCACAGGCCCAGTTGCTGCCAGATAGGAAGGGACAGGGAAAGGAACTCTGCAGCAGCCTAGCATCCAATTCCGTTGCTGATTAACAGCAGCAGCCAATGGGATGCTCCAGCCAATTATGATGTCATCTCTTTGTATTTTTCACTTGGGAGATTATAAAATTAACCACACATGGGACGGAGGAGGAAGAAATAGAAGGATGCCCTTGGCCCATGTTGCTGATCTTGCATAATTATGATATCCATAATTATGAACAATTATATCCATAATTCTTATTTCCCCCACTCATGCCTGAAAGGCACTGGCAGGCAACAGAAGTACTTCCAAAATGATGCTAGTCATGAGGACTGAAGCAAAGCTTCCTAGAGTGGGTGCTTCTGTATAACAGCAGGAGAAGATGGTGCTACTCCCTTGCCAATTTCTCTAGGAAACATCTGCACAATCCACCTGCTACGTGTCATCATGAATTTCAACACTGCCGCCCCATTGTCACCCTCCATTAGGGTTGTTGGGTTCCAATTTCAAGTTTCAGAACATTAGATGTCTTCTGGGGCATCCCGAAACAGAACCTTCCCTTTAATAAAAGCTGCAGGGGAGATGGTGGTTCAAATCAGAGTGATGACTATGATGGGAGAGTGGAGCGTAATCTTCCCGGCCTCCAATCTTTTTCAATGAAAGTAGTGACACAGGCAGTTGTACACCCAGCTGCTATTTGCTCCAGTCAGGGAAACATACAGGTGCTATACCACGTGGCAGGGGTGTGGTGAGGGAAATTTTCTTTAGAAAAACTGCATGAGGAGAAAATGTGTTGTTAGGAGTTAGTGAGGGAGCAGGGGTCCCCCATATCCCTGGCTGCCAGATTTCCCCCTCTAGATTATTGGGTGCTGGGGTTTAATCAGAGCTGACAGGCTGAGCTTGTTTTTTTGACTGGCAGAGGGGCAGAGGGAGATGGTGGTCCTGCCATTAAGCCATCTACAAAAGTCACAGGTAACTGAGGGGGAGTTTGCCAGGGCAAAATGAGCATGGTGTCACACAGGAAAATTCTCCCCTTTTAAAACTAGGCTTGGAAAAGCAAGGAGAAGGGGAGCAGTTGGTTGGCAAGGGGAAGGAGAAGCAGGAAATAGGTAAAACTCCATGCAGAGGCTGAAGGAGAAGCATTCTGGCAGGCTGGGACAGAGGCATGGGAATGGTTTGCAGGATTCCTTAGGCTCCAATGCTGCACCGCTGCAGGGAACAAACCCCTCTTGAGATGCAAATGCTCTAAACTCTGCACTCCCTCCACTGAACGCTTCCAGTGTAAATATGTGTAGAATAAACCATATTTGTTAAAAACAGAACAGACTCCTCCACACCTTGATTCCCTGGAATCTTGCTCAGCAGAGATTGGGGCTCGATATTGTAACAATATGTGTGTTTTTCTCCTTTTTAACTGCTCAACCAGCTGCTTTGAATTTGTTTAAACAGAGAGAACCACAAATCATTACATTAATCCACCCCCTCCATGCACCCCCACCCCCACTTATCTATATTCCAAACCTTTGCTTTCAATCTTTGACAGTAAACCGAAAATGCTTTTAATTTTGAAACAGAAATGGCCTCCAATGCCAGCAAGCTATGCCAGCGAAGTGTCCAATGAGCTGCAGATGTGGTCCATTTACAAACGTTTTTCCAAATTGCAACACTTGGGATTTGCAGGCACACAATCTGGAACATAGCACCACCTGTCCAGGACCTTGCAGGCTAGTCTCGAGCAGCTTCTATGTCCTTGGCTTTTAAATGAAATTACAGCAGAACACAACCTGGTAAATTTTTCACTTCCACCCTTTATTATGCATCTCTCCAGCTTCCGGGGATTTATAAGGTTCTCCTTGGTCTAGGAGTTATAGGAGCAGCTGGAAGGGGAGGTCAGGGGAGAGGAGAAACTGCCCCTGCCAGGGATCCTATTTACTCTGCCCAGGAGCCTGCTGGAGATATCTGGGAGATGAGGTGTCATTCCCCCTCCTGTCCAGTAGGCTCCTCTTGGGATGTGTGCATGGATTGCTCTGCCGACGCATGGATTCCTGTCCCCTCTGGGCCAGTTGGAATGGTCTACAAATATATGGTTTCCACACAGGAAAGGGTTGCCTCCACTAGGCAGCTGCCTCACCCCTCTCTGAGGCGGGTTGTTTATGTTTGGGAGCTGGCTTATACTGCTTGCCCACTTGTCTCCTTCTGAAACGGGCTCTTTGGAAGGCTGGTGCCCTCTGCACAAGAGCTTCCTCGTTCCGTCCAGGAATTTCCTCATGCCTCCCAGAAGCCCTTCTGAGCTCTCCACTGGCTGCTTCCTGGCTCCATTTGGTCCCTGACCCTGCTCCTCAGAAGGCACAGCTGGCGGAGTACTTCCAGTTGTCACCCTAAGGGAGGCGGGTGATGCTTCATTGAGACCCGAAGACGGCCTGCTTCCAGAAGCCAGCCTGTAGCCAGCAGGTCCTTGAGCATCTTCAGCATCTCCAGAAGATGGATCCAGAGGGTCGTGGGACTCACTGCATCTGGGAAGTGAGATGCATTCCCTCTGTGGGTTATTCCAACCCTCAAATTCAGGAGTCGGGGCATCTTTAAGCTGCAATTCATTCTGCTGCGGAGGCCACTCATACACAGGTGAGCACTCACATTCATACGGAGACTCGTACACTGGGGAGTCCTTGCAGGTATAGTGTGTTTCGTATATTGGAGGGGTATCGTAGCCGTATTGCCATTCATACACAGAAGAGTCGTCGAACCTGTACTGAGACTTTGGTCCAGAGGTCTCATATATGTACGGCGAATCAGATGGAGAGATGTCATCATCGTACTGTGACTCATAAATGGGGGAGTATCCGCAGCTATACCGAGGGTCACATATGGTAGAAAACTCATACGCATTTTGCGACTCGTACACAGGAGAGGCTCCATTTTTCTTCACAGGAGATGAGCACCTGGAAGGCATCTCGTAAGCTGTGTAAGAGCTGCATCCATACTGCGGTTCGTACGTGGAAGACGAAGGATAGGCTGAAGGCACCTCATCTTTCACCACCTCATAGACTGCACATGGGTTCTTCCACCTTTCGTAGGACTCAAATCCCCCAAGAGCCTCATCATCTTCATCATACCCCGGCCCCAATCCATTTCCATCATTCTCCTTGTATTCTGGGACCGACTCATACTCCGTCTGTATTTCACTGCCCACTGCTTCTATGTTGTTGCTTTCGTTTTCACCTACAATGACCACAGAAACAAAAAACGTTGGGTTATGGAAAACGAGCAAGGTCCCAAATAAAGAAGAATGGCAACTTTAGCTGACGGAATATGCACAGCTTGCAGACTTAGCCTATAGAATAAGAGAACAAGAAGAACATATGGTTAGAGAAGATTGGAAAATATTTATTGAATATATGGAGGGAACTGTGTACACTTGAAAATGCTGGCAGCATTAAGATAAATTCAACAGTGTAAATAAGTTTTGATGGATGTAATAATGGAATACTGAATGGTTTAGTTTATGTAAAATATGCAGGGATTTATGATATGCAGAATGAACCATGGAAAGAGAAGAAGGGAAGTCATTGATATTTTAAGGATGTTTAAATGAGTATTCTAAATTGTAAAACAGAAAATCTAATAAAAATTACATATATATATATAAACCCGTTGGGTTATTTCTTTTTAATAAGCAACTCATTTCCCAAGACAAGGTTCAGCACTCCTAATACTTCCACCAATAGAAAGGGCACCGCAGGTGGGGAACAAATTTCCATCTAGACCAGGGATGGTGTTGGTGGGCTACAACTCCCATCATCCATGCTGGCTGGGGCTGATGAAGGTTGAAATCCAACAACCTCTGGAGAGCCACAGGGTAATAACCCCTGAACTAGACAAGTCCCCAGCACTAGGAAGTAAAAAAGCCTGCTTTTTTAATTCATTCATTCCCATATCAAGAAAGAGGCTTACTGATGCTGAGGTACTTAACTAAAGAGTTGGAAGAACTCAGTCATGGTGGGCGAACACTGGAATGGTTTCCAGTCACAGAATTCCAGCACTTGCCCCTATACATAGTTTTGACATAACTTTTTCATAAGACCAGTATCTGCTCTAATGACCCATCTTTATTTCTAAGATGAACCGAGAACGTATCAGAAAGCGAGCCACAGCCTTTCCCAACCTACTGCCCTCCAGATGTTACTGGACTGCAATTCCCATCAGCTCCAGACAACATAGCCAACAGTCAGAGATTACGGGTGACATGGGCCCCGTGCTGCCAGCCAGGATGGGACGGGAATGCCAGAGAATGATCCAGAAGTCGGGATGGAGAAAGTTCAGGCAGTGACTTGGGAGAGTGTCTCGCCCCACTGTTTGCAGATGTCACGATAAGGGAGAGGAGAATGAAGCTACCAGAGTAGCTGAGGAGGCAGCTGGCCAACCAGTGGAGCCAGGTGAAGCCGAGGTGGAGGAAGAGTCAGTGTTGAACTCGGATCGCATTGCCAAAGATGTGCCATTGTATGCACCTGCATGGACAGCTCCTTCTCCCTGTAGGAGCGAATGCTCCCAAACTCAGTCTTCTTGCTTGGAATGATAATAGCATGAATGACAGGCGCGCACACACTTTAAAAGTAGAACGAGAGCGTCATGTCAGTTGCTGGGACAATGCCTGTGCTTATGCCTATTCTTGTGTTAGAAAGATGTACTCTGTACTTTGAGCTAATGCTGAAACCATGTGCTGATTTCATAAATCAACTTTCAGATTTCCCCAGGCTGAGAGAGTCTGAGTATTGTTTCCAAAGGTGGGAGCCGTGACAATGAACTTTACAGTGCTTAAAGGGTGGTTCATTCCTACCCCTTTACTTATGGAGAAGGGGGTGTATAATCCACATGAGGATTTGTTGGTATAGTACAGTGTTAAAGCGGGACGCAGGTGGTGCTTTGGGTTAAACCACAGAGCCTAGGACTTGCCGATCAGAAGGTCGGCGGTGGTGCTTTAGGTTAAACCACAGAGCCTAGGACTTGCCGATCAGAAGGTCGGCGGTGGTGCTTTGGGTTAAACCACAGAGCCTAGGACTTGCCGATCAGAAGGTCGGCGGTTCGAATCCCCACGACAGGGTGAGCTCCCGTTGATTGGTCCCTGCTCCTGCCAACCTAACAGTTCGAAAGCACGTCAAAGTGCAAGTAGATAAATAGGTATCGCTCTGGCGGGAAAGTAAACGGCGTTTCTGTGCGCTGCCCTGGTTCACCAGAAACAGCTTAGTCATGCTGGCCACATGACCCGGAAGCTGTACGCCGGCTCCCTCGGCCAATAAAGTGAGATGAGCGCCGCAACCCCCGAGTCGGTCACGACTGGACCTAATGATCAGGGGTCCCTTTACCTTTACAGTGTTAAAAGATGATAGTTTAATTAACATCAAATACAAAAGTGCAATCTGTAGCCAGGACAAAAAGACTCAGGCCTCATACTTTCTTCTGTACCTGCCTGTGAATAACAGGTTGCTCTGGAATAATTCCGAGCTCTATGAACTTTATTGTGGCCCCAAATCATTTCTTCCTACCTGAAGCCTCAGCAGATTTTATCTCTCTATCATCCTTAGCTTCTACTTGTTCAGAATCTTTATCTGCAGACCTGGAAAATCAACACACTGGAGTTACCCAGTGGAAAGCAAACAGATGGACATCCTTTCCCCATCTACCACAACGATGGCTGCTTTAAAAATCTATCAGTGCCCTTTTTAGATTCTGGACACATCTAGAAGATATGGGGCTATAGCTCATGTCTTCCAGCTACTACCTAGCAGCAGAAGGCATGACACCACCATACTCACTGTTTTTACATCCCTTGCAAGCAGCAGCAGCAAATGAAATGAGGGGGGAACAGGGGAACTCTGAGCATGACGACATATTGTCACATGTCAGCTTTTACCAGATCCTGAGGTGGGGGGGAGACACCTATTGGAAATGCAGATCTATATCTGTATCTGTACATGGCAGAGTCATGTATCCCCAGCGCAACCCAGCAACCCAGATGCTTAGAAGGTTGAGGTAATTTTCATCTGCTTTAGTATTTTAACTTTTGTATCTTTTCAAGTATGGTTGTGATATAATCAAGCAGTGTACAAACTTTATGAAATAATATAAAAAAAGGATTTAGTTCTGTCCTTCAGATTTGTTCCATAAAAGGATACAACTTTCTGGGTCCTTTTTGGCTTCAGGCCTGCATAACCCTTGGCATCTCATTGCCAGATGCTGGGGAGAGAGGTTCCCTAGGTTTTCTGAGGGCTTCCCTGCTGGGAGTTCCCTGCTGATAGGCTAATGCTGGAAATGACCTGAGCTTGCTGTGCACATGCACCTCTGCCTTGAACCACTGCTTAGCTCTGTTGACCAGCAGCTACTAGGCCATCCCACCTCTGCTTCCCCTTGCGTTCAGGGACAGCAGAGGCACAACTCATACCTTTTCCTGCTTATTATGTTTCTTAAACTGAAGACTTTGGGATCAAGAGAGAAGAAACATAGTGATCTTTTGGGTCCAAATGTTATTGAAACACCTGCAAAAGAAGATGACAAATTCATTGCTGGGAACTCATGACCAATGCTAGCAGGCAGCTGAGGTTTTCACTACACTACTGTCCAGTTGCCAGTCATCCCTGCATCCCATCAGATAGTCTCCTCCAAAGGATGGTTATCTCTTTTTCCTTCAGGACAACCCCCTTGCCCAAGGCAGTTTGCCTTGTGGAATACAAGTGACCCTAAGCCACTCTGTGTCAGGCCTCTGAGAGTCTAGCCTTGATGTTTGAAAGTACTTAAAAGAATGTGCTCTTAGTCACCCAAATCAGAGCTGGAAAAACGCCTTTTATGTTCTTAGTGTATGTTCCTAATCTTCTAGTTTGAACTCTGAAGCTGGTTTCCTCTGCCTATCCAAGACCACGTGACAGTGGAACTCAGTGCAAGCTCACACCTGTAGGGGAGAGTTTACCTGAAAAAGGATCTCAGCACTGCATATTCACACACACACACACACACACACACACACACTCCACACACATGGAGTGGGCACTCACCCAGTCCTCTGCTCCTACTAGGGGACTGCCTAAGAGACCGGAGCACAATGGTCTATCCTATCTACAAGATGATACCTTCCCAATTCTATGTTCAAAAGCTGGCTAGACAGGCAGTTTAATCCTGCTGCAATGCTGGTGATGGGACAGAGTCCTCCTTCACACCACACCCTCCAACATTTCTCCGATGAAAATTGAGACGTCGCATTCCATAATGATAATTTTACTATTTATACCCCACACATCTTACCCAGCCAGCCCCAGCCACTCTGGGCAGCTTCCAACATATATAAAAAATAAAATAAAGCATTAAACTTTTTTTTTAAAAAAACTTTCCTATATAGGATTGCCTTCAGACAGCTCAGGGGCTGGATAACTCCATACCCTCCAACACTTCTCCAATGAAAATAGAGACATACTAAGAAAAAGCGGGACATTCTGGGATCAAACCAGAAACAGGGATAGCTTCTCTAAATCAGGGATGTCCCTGGTAAATGGGGACACTTGGAGGGTCTGCCACCCCTGAGGGAGAAGGCTAACAGAGAGGCCAGGCCATGCAGAACACACCTGGGTCCACTCTCTGCCCAGAGGCAGCTCTCACTCTACCTAATGATAGGGCCATCCCTGGAGAATGGAAACAAGGTTTCTTTAACAACGTGTAGGTTTTCTGTGCATTTAATCAATGCTACAAAGGGCCCTAATACACATTGATTGTAAAGCGGAGGAGTGGAAAACATTGGGGAGAGGGGGAACTTGCTACCCTACCCCTTGCAATCACCTGTGACTGAAAGACTGGCCCACGATATGGCTAAGCATAAATTTGAAAACAGATTTCCTCCTCCCTTGTTGAAATTCAGCATTCTGTCCACTGTGACATACTGACTAGCAGAAGCAGCAAGTGAAAAGGTTCAGAGCTCAACTGGAGAAAACTGGAGAGCCAGACTAGCTACTAGAGAAATGGAGGTCAGCCCCCACAACAAGGAAAGGTTTGGCAGGGAGGGGGAAGGAAGGAATCCTAACATCTCCCATAACAGAAGGAGAAAAGCTGAGAGGAGGTTACAGCCGACAGATCAGAAGGCGGAAGAATGGCAGAAGCATTCCAGGTTAGACAGAGGGATTCACATTTAAAGGTTGGTAACATCCTACCTGAGTCTTCTGAAATGGAGATGGAAAATAAGGGGCCTCGTAAGTACCATGGGACGTCTTCCTCCTTTTTGGCTGAGAAAGCAGAAGAGTGGGGATAAAATTCAACTCATGGCAACAGCAAGTGGCTTCATGCGCAAACTTAAGTCATTGCAATCCTGGAGTTGCTTCCTCTTTTACCGCAACCTCCTCCACCACTCACTGCTGCTCCATCTGTTTGGAACCATCTCCCCTTATTATCTACTTCTCTGTCAAATTCCTTTTTGGGGCCTTTTTAGGTGTTTAAAAACTGACCTTTGTAAACAGCTACAGCAATCGTCCCGGATTTGAGTGTTACAGTGGAGGGATGCTCAGACTTTAAATACGTGGAATTCTGTTACTGCTACTATGAAATAAAATAATAATAACAGAAATGAAATACAACTCCTGCTACTACTGCCAGCCACAATGACTTCTGCTACTGCAAAATAGTAGCAACCACAGTGACAATAATGACAAAATTGTTTTGGTTTCCTAAACAAACGGCTGTTAGTAGTTGCAGAATCTACCAAAGAAATTTGGTTGTTTTTTGAAGTCTAATTTTCCACTAAACTATGGTCCATGTTCAGCCTGGTAGAACTCCAATGGGAACCACAAGAAAACTGAAAACACTAAAGCAGGCACTCCCAAACTCGGCCCTCCAGGTGTTTTGGGACTACAATTCCCATCATCCCTGACCACTGTTCCTGTTAGCTAGGGATGATGGGTCCCAAAACAGCTGGAGGGCTGATTTGGGGATGCCTGCACTAAAGGACAGAGCTCACAGTTTTACAGACAGATACCCAAGAGGAAAGGGTGGAGTGAGGCTAAGGGATCCTGAAATTCTTTATTCCTGGGGACTGTGGCCCGTTATCTCACCATAACAACCCTTCAGTAAGTCTAAATCTTAGCTATCAAATCACAATCCAGATTAGAATGACTCTTACCAGCATAAGAGTCTGAGCTGCCAAACATCTCTCGGAAAACCTCCCAGGGGCTGCGGAAGGTGAATTTCAAATCGTCTCCTTCAGGAACTGCTGGGGTAGTAACATGGTTTGCAAACACATCACTGAAGTCCTGGGATGCTCCCACTGTATAATTTTTATGAAGAAAAAAATGGAGAAGCCCCTTCCCTTTCTGGAGCAGAGCTGTGTAGCCAGGATGAGTAGTCCGTGACTGGTGCTCCTTTGTGAAACACTCATGGAAACCCACCTCTCCACTCAGCGCAAGGGATTCTGTGTGAGCTGGTCACAACTGATGGGAGTTTTAATACAAGACATCCAGAGGAGGGGGAGGTCTCCTGTGGGCTCCAGTTCTGGGTTCAAAATAAGATGCCAGAGAAATCTTGTCCTGTATGTGAGGTTTGTGGGCCTTAGAAGAAAGATGTGTGAAATAGTAGAGAAAGTGTTGTGTAATCAGTGGTCTGTATTTGTCTGAGCTTGAGTCTGGACTAAGGAGTCTGAGCCCCTGTGTTCTGATTCGATACATGATAGCCAATCACAGAACATTTCAGGATTTGGGCCTCTGTCATTGGCCCTTAAACTCTGACTTATGATTCGCAGCTTGGAAGTTTAGACAGCCAATCACATTGGGAGTGGGAGTGGCCCAGGCCTTCAGAAATGTGTATAAGCAGTTGCTTTGCGCCTGTTGTCCCATTCTGTTAGTTCAATAAAGGTTCTTGCTGTTATCACTGTGTCTTGCCTTGTGGGAACCCACCTACACTTCAGAAAGAAAATTGTTACAAAAGCTGTATGGCCTACCCCTCTATCTGCCAAGTGGTGGCAAAAGCCCATAGGGGCCCAGGCACACACACAGGGTCTGTGTCCCTTTGGAGAATGGAAGACATGGGGAAGACTGTTGTGCTTTAAGAAATATGGCTTATTCACTTATTTACACCTTCATTCTGCATGGAAGAAATCCAGAACTTACAGCATACGGACTTCCAGAGGCAGCAGCACAAGCAACCTTCAGGCTGCTTCCCTCAAAAATAGATGCCAAATCTTCTTCTTTCTTCTCTCTCCCAGAAACCCGTTGCTTGGAAAATCCCTTTTCCTGTCCCCTCAAACATACATCCCATCACCTTGGTAACATCTCACCCTCCAGGCTAAAGGATTCCTCTCAACGCTTTGTGACAGGTTAGGTTTGCTCTTCACTAAGCCAGCCAGACTGCTTTGCATAAGGCAGCCTAGGAATTCCTCTGCAGCTTGCATTCTCCTTTCTTACCACAAATAACCAAAAGCACAGCATGTGTTGATTTCTAGGGTTGACCCTAATCTATAACATGGATTCGAAATAAGATGCCAGACAAATCTTAGCCTATATGTGAGGTTCATGGGCCTTAGAAGAAAGGTGTGTGAAATAGTAGGGAAAGAACATGTTTCTTACCTGCCGCTGTGATTCCATCCCCATAGCAGTCATAACGTTCACGCTTGGCCTCTGAAGAAAGGAAGGAGGACTAAGTTGGCAAGTTCACAAATAAAACGGTAATCTTTGCACCCTCTAGAAGCTATACTCTGGCTCTGCAATATAGATTATGAAACCTGGCTTCTGCAGGTAACAATGTTGGCTCCAGGTTTGGGGAAACCCTGAGGAGCCTCGTCTCTTTCTCATCATTGTTATTGCTGCCTCTTGACTTGTTAGGTGAATCCCGCCTTGCAGTTTGTTAAGGGTGCTGGGAATTTTAGCTCAGCTGGGGAGTAAACTACAGTTCCCATGCTCTTTTGGGGGGCAGGGAACTATGTGCTTTTAATGTGCTCTGCCCAATTTGCACCACTGCCACACATGGAGGGAAGAAGGCTGCTCCTCTTTCTCTTTGCTCCTGTCCTCACTCACTTGGTTTGGGCTAGTGAGCAGGCAATGACAGCGAAGAGAATTAGCAGGAGTTGGATTAAGGGGCTCCCGGGGTTAGGAGTGGGAGCCCCTGATAGGGTGTGAGCCTTGGCAGATGCCTGGCAGTGCCAATCCCTGATGACAAACCTGTCAGGCAATAATTTTCCATAGTTTACCAAAAAGGCCTCTCCCCATAATCCATGTCTATTGCTATCAACTCCCTGGTCTAGACGTGTAATCGAAAATACAGGGGGGAATTCCAGAGAGACAGCCGTCACAACCTCTGATTTTTTAATGAAGTGACTTCGGCTAACAAGGGCTGTGAAAATCAGTGTCCCAAAGTCCAGGGAGACATAAGCCTATAAGCCCAAATGATCTGAGAGAGAGTCGGTGGCAGAAAGATGAACTTGGTCGCTTACTGTCTGACAACACTTCATAAGCTTCTGTAACTTCTTTGAATTTCTGCTCAGCATAATTCTTCCTATCTGGATTTTTATCCGGGTGCCACTGTAGGGCTTTCTTTCTGTACCTGCACAGACCCAGGAGAGAAAGGGAATGCAGTATTTGAGCGTCACAGCACCTTCTGCAACAATAAACCGCCTTCAATGCAAATCCCAGTTAAGAACGTAAAAAGAGCCCAAACACCTATGTAGTCCTGATTTCTGTTCTTACAGTGAACAACCAGATGCCCATGCAGGACTGGCACAAGAATTTGGGGGATCCTTGGCATGGTGCCAATTATGCCCCACCCACCTATGCACAAACACCACCACCTCAGCCAGGCCCAGCCCAGCTGCCACCACTAGCACATACTTTTTCTGCCATGACTGCTATTTTGGTGCTCTCCACTGGGCCACCAGGCACTGACCATTGTCTTAAGTCCCCCAAAATCAAATGCACCAATCCATAAAGCTATGGAATCTATAGATGGTGGACAGTCACCATGAAGGTAGGCTGAGTTTAGTAGGGCCTTTCTTGTTCTTGCTCTAAAGCACTGCTGCTTGTCTACCACTGAAACATGTCTGGTGGCCCAGTGCGGTACAGTCCATGATACAATTGCCAAAGCACCATTTTCTACATTAAAGAAAATATGCTATCACATAACCTCTGACATCCCACTGAACAAAATCAGGGTGCTTGTTCTTCTGGTTCCGAGCTCTCACGGGAGTCAGCTGATTCGCACAAGCACGCAAGGCCAAAAAACAAGCATATTTTGGTTTGGTGCTCTGGCACAAGCCAGCTGACTCACACAAGAGTGGCAGATGGAGAAACAGGACATTTTGGGATCCGGTAAGAAGCTGGGATGGCTTCTGTAATTCCAGGATGCCCCACCTAAAATGGGACAGTTGAGGGTCATGCTGTCGTGTATTAAATGTTGTGTGACGTGTTAATTGAACTGGCATCAGGAATCTTTTTTTCCTGCCTCACACATGGCTTGAGTTGCGGACAAAAGTCTCGAGAGAGAACGCTGAGAATTCAAGAGAAAGACTTACGCCTTTTTAATATCATTGTCGGAGGCATCCCGGGGAATCTCTAAAAGCTTATAATAGTCTGGCACGGCATCCATTCGCCTGTCCTGTGCAGAAACCAGTAGCAGAGAAACGGGGAAAGAGCGGCTGCAAGGGGAACAATGTCTCTGGAAGCACCGAAGGCGTCCACACAACTTGAGCTGCTTCGAGGGCTGACCATGGCCGCACTCTTGGCTGCACTGCTCCTTACAGCACAGCAGGAGTTGGGTGCTGTGGGCAAAGGGCCCTGCAGGGGGAGAGGAAACAGAATGAGGCGCCGCAAAATCTATCCATCCCACAATAACTCCCCACTGCATGCACACAAAGGGAGAATGAACACGGTGATGATGATCTGCCTCCCAGGAGGTAAAAGTGTGTGTGTGTGTGTGTGTGTGTGTGTGTGTGTGTGTATCTCGACTCAGAATTTCACCAGGTTGCTTCTCCATTTGAATAATCCACTTCTCCACTTTCAGCTCCTATTTATTAGAAAAGCAGTGCACACACATGCCTTTTTGAATTGCAGCGATGGAGGGGTACAAAAGGCCTTCTTGGCCAACCTTCCCTCTCAAAGACAGGGTTTGTCCAACCACCAGACCCCAACTGACCAAGCAACACAAACTAGATGCCAATGCCACCCCAATAAATAAGTCAAGAATGTGTCCAGGGGAAGGGCCTGGCCAGAATGATAGTACATCAGGTACTATGTGTCAGAATTGTTTATCTGTGAACCGGATCCTCATTTTCTCTTGGGTTCTGTTCACGTAGCTGTCCCGGCAGTAACCATAAATGGGCCATGCATATGCACTTACAGGTTTGTGTCATTTTATGAAGTTTGTAGAGTTATCCTGTGAGTGTCAAACGTTATCTCACTCAGAAGAGGACCTGTAGTGTCTATTTAGTTCTGGGCATTTCTGTTGCTTTATTTTTTATTTGCTCACTAGCATGATTACAGAAATAGACTGACTACCACACAGAACAAATAGCAAACTTGATAAAATGGCAGGAACCTTTGGCCACCAAATTGTCCCTAGCACAGGGGCAAGAATGAACGCCGAGTCTGTGGTGCGCTTAGGTCTCATGGAGGAGCAACAGCATCCCAAACTTATCACAGTACCGATCAGAGGATCTACCAGGAAATGTTGGGGTTTTATACTAGTTTTAACTTAAGTTTGGGTTCTTCTTAGGCTCCGGTAGGGCAAGATCAGTGGAGGAGCTACACAGTGAATGCAACTGTAGGATGGAAGGCTTTCCAGAATGGAACAAGTTATAGTGTAAGACAATGAGGTCACCACCTGAAGCTAAGCAGGCCTGTCAGTGTGTGGATGGACCTCATGGTATATGACAGAATCATAGAATTGTAGAGTTGGAATAGACCCCAAGGGTCATCTAGTCCAACCCCTTGCAATGCAAGTATCTCAACTAAAGCATCCATGACAGATGACCATCCAACCTCTGCTTAAAAAGGAAGGAGAGTCTACAACCTCCCGTGGGTTTATATTGACCTTTTGAGACTTTGAAACCTCCATTTCAGAGACCAAGGTAGGACTTTTCTTGTGCACAACTAGTAGGCCTGGCCCATGTCAGGACATCTTCTAGCTGTTAAGGCTTTCTGAATCCATAAAGACCCATTGTTTTAACAATCCCTCTGACCTCAAGTTCTCCTGTCTCCTTGTGCCAGCTTTTCACACACACACCCTTCCCCCCCACACATGGATATCCACAGGCGAATAAAATGGGGTGAGGGCAAAGTAAAATACTCCATACATATACATATGCAAATGCATATCTAAAAGATGGGAGCAGGGAAATTTCTCACAAATGAGAATACAGTAGTGCCTGTACATTTTACCTCTTATCTCAGGTTCTACAAATGATAGAAACATGTCCTTTTTAAAAAAGAAAAAGAATGCTAGTAATTGGTGGATTATGGTTCATTGGGGGCTGGGGGCTGCCCCCTTGTCCCCTTCCATGGCAGCCATGTTTCCATAGGTTCATTTCCTGCTCCCCATCATCATTTGAGACTCTTCTAACTTCTTAAAATCACCTAGGCTCAATATACCTTAGTTTATCCAGAGGTTGCCCGTGTTCTTTGTTCCACCTGATGGTGAGCTGGGCACTTGATGTCTTGGGGGAGGCAAGAGCTTACCATCACCCCAAACCTGCTCCCTCCTCCCCTGCTGATCAACAACTTCAGTAGCCAATGGGAAGTTGGGGGTTATTGTGACATCAGAGCTTTATGCTTTCCTTAAGGATGTGGGGTGGGGGAGGGAATCTACAAAAGGTCACACTTTTGGGAACATGTGAGTTCATACTTTATTTTCCCAGTTCTTGCTCCTTCACCATCCCAGTCTCACCTTTGACCCTTTCGCTGTGGCAATCTATCAGTGTTTGCTAGCACTTCTGGTTCATAAATGCTTCTCTGGAGTATGTAAAAAATGTGTTCGGATCATTACAATAAGAGAACTCTTTCTGCAAAGTTGCCTTGATGTGGGGCTTCAGGGTTTCCTGGATAGAGGAACTGATCCTTAAATTGTAGTCCTGTGAGGTAAGGTTACCAAACATCCCTGTTTCCCGGAGACAGTCCCCGGATTTACAAATTATTCCCCTGACAAAATCCAACCCCTTCAACTGAAATTGAAAAGTGTCCCCGGATTCATTGGAAAAAATCTGGTAACCTTACTATGAGGGGAATAGGGATCTGCTAATAACTCTCAGCAATCTTAACAAAGTACAGTTCCCAGGATTCTTTGGGGGAAGTCATAACTTAAAGTTGGGTCATAGTGCCTTAAAACAATAGTGCAGATGTGACCAAACTCAGATACAGGAGATATGGGGCCAAAGGGAAGGAAAAGGGGAAGTGGGCTGTCTATGGTTAGTGCATATAAACTTGCTAAAGAAGGCAGAGAAAAGTGGTAATTTTCCATAGCCTTAGTGAGAACTTGGAAATTACCCAAACTATGCCTGAGAGGCTCAGTGACAGTATCCTCTTCCAGTAGGCATTGCTTCCTATGCCAACCATAACCAAGCTTCCTGACTCACACAGCACCTTTGAGGCTGATGGCAATCAGGGAATCTGCATAAGCTTTGCTGGATCAGATCTTTATTTGAAATGAGGGTGTGAGTAGCGCAGCACCACCTTGAAATGTCAAGGAATTTTGTCATATATCAACTATTGTCCCAAGTTATATCAGAAACAAAAAGACAATTCTGCCCCAGTGCCTCTCTTGATAGCTCAAACACAGCCATTTGGGTTTCCTAACAGCAGAGAAATGAATTCCACAGAAGCCCCTTGGATTTCTTTGTGATTCTGAAGGGATCTTGCAGAATCGGTGAATTTATTCCTTGCCACAAAGTGTCTTCAGCCCTCTTTGGTTTGCATCTGTATAAACTGTAGTAAGAACAAAGTACTTCATACTGCAATCCTACACACTGAGCAGAGATGGCGGAAATGGTGGTTCACTAGCTGTTCTTACTTAGACTACAGCTCCCATCATCTCTGGCCATTGGCTATGCTGGCTAGGGCTCATGGGATTTGGAGTCCCATAATTTCTTGAGTGCAAGGAGGGCACAGGTTCCCCAGTCCTTCACTGGAGAGCCAGTCTCATGGACTAACATAGGACTGGGTCATGGGGCTTAACGATCAGGGCTTCTCCCTGCAAATTTTGGCTTGGTGAAGCTGCTGACAATTATATTAGCCAATTATGTAGCAGTATTTCTACAGGGAGGGGCATTTGTCAAGGGCATCGTGACAAAAAAGGAGTGGCAGTACCACAGAAGGCCACTAATGTGGATTGGACTCAAGTCTCCCATGTGGGACAGTGTCATTTGAACAGAGGTAGTAACCTTCAGGAACAGCGTGTGACTTCTTGATGCTTATAGGCCAGCAGAGCAAGGCAGCAGCTGTGAGTCAAGAAGAAAACTACACCACATTTCTGTGACACAGTTAATATTTTATTTTGTGAAGGGAATCCCCAAGTGGCAAGGCAATGGACACTTTAATTCCCCATATAACACAGATTGAGCTGTGCTAATACTCATCCCCTTCCTCTTCTTCTCCTTCACCGTCTATACTATCTGTTCCCACTTCTTCATAATCCTTCTCCAGGGCGGCCATGTCTTCTCGTGCCTCGGAGAACTCCCCTTCTTCCATGCCTTCCCCTACGTACCAGTGGACAAAAGCCCTCTTGGCATACATCAGGTCAAACTTGTGGTCCAGGCGGGCCCAGGCCTCAGCAATGGCGGTGGTGTTGCTCAGCATGCACACTGCCCGCTGCACCTTGGCTAGGTCTCCGCCTGGGACCACAGTCGGGGGCTGGTAGTTGATGCCCACCTTGAAGCCTGTGGGGCACCAGTCCACAAACTGGATTGTCCGCTTTGTTTTAATGGTGGCAATAGCAGCGTTGACATCCTTGGGCACCACATCGCCTCGATACAACAGGCAGCAGGCCATGTATTTGCCATGGCGGGGGTCACATTTCACCATCTGGTTAGCTGGCTCAAAGCAAGCATTGGTGATCTCCGCTACGGAAAGCTGCTCATGATAGGCCTTCTCTGCAGAGATGACTGGGGCGTAAGTGGCCAGAGGGAAGTGGATGCGAGGGTAGGGCACCAGGTTGGTTTGGAACTCTGTCAGGTCCACATTGAGCGCCCCATCAAAGCGAAGCGAGGCTGTGATGGAGGACACAATCTGGCCGATGAGCCTGTTCAGGTTTGTGTAAGTTGGGCGCTCAATGTCCAGGTTCCTGCGGCAGATATCATAGATGGCTTCATTGTCCACCATGAAAGCACAGTCTGAGTGCTCAAGGGTGGTGTGTGTGGTGAGGATGGAGTTGTAGGGCTCAACCACAGCTGTTGATATCTGAGGAGCTGGGTAAATGGAGAACTCCAGCTTGGACTTCTTGCCATAATCAACCGAGAGCCGTTCCATCAGCAGGGAGGTGAATCCTGAGCCAGTGCCTCCCCCAAAGCTGTGGAAGATGAGGAATCCCTGGAGTCCTGTGCATTGGTCAGCCTGTGGAATGCAGGAAACAAACCAAGCGGTGGTCAGTTGGGGTTAGGAAATGGGGTGGAATAATGGGATAGAGTCCTCCAAAACTCTCTCAACCACTGCTTTATTGTCTCCCAATTCCTCTGGGAGACCCACAATCAAGTCTCTGTATTTGAGCATTAGAGTTTAGCCCTATTGCTGGCCAGTTGGGATGGATGACTCCTCTCTGTCTCTAATTTCGCCAGTTTTAGATTCAGTGAGGTTGCTGAATATTTTTTAAGTCCTCATGAAAATTCACCAGCATTTTTTTTGGATTTCTCCTAATATATGTTGCTTTGACTAATAGACACAATTTTTGGCAAGCTGCTTTTCCTAATCTATTGCATTTTTGTTCATTATTTTCACTAATGCATGCATTTTATGCACATTTCCCCCTAATGGGTGCATTTTCGCTAACATCATTTGGTTGCAGAACTGCAACAGAAACTTCAGAGAAGTGCAAATTTCAAAGAAAAGCTTTGTTATGGTTCATGCATGGGCTTGAGATGCACGAATACTGAACCAGATTTCTCCACCAATCGATCATCTGGGCAAACACTTTCATTCCAGCAGAGGTGTACTTGCTACATTACCTCTGGATAATCGGTCCTCATGACAGACGGCCATTGTGTCACCATTGCAGGAGACTGGCTGCTGCATGAGCAGAGAAAGAGCCTGCTCCACAGGTCACTGTGCGCTCAAGTGTTCACAGCACCCAGCCTTGCTTAAAGTCAGGCGTCCAAGATGGGCCTGCCCTCCACAACTTATTTGGACAGGTGGTTGTGGCTGCCCACCTGTCAATCACAGGATGACAATATGTGACGTCAGCTGATCCGAAGTTCAAGTTGCAAGACTGGCGATAAGCCTTTGCTTGCTTTTCGATAGTAAAAGGCTTGTCTCCAATCTTAGTGCTGTTGCCTTTGTTTTAGGGATCATCCACACTTAGCTTTGCTCTGCATTTCTAAACACAGGTCCAGACTTTATAGGTATGCGTCTCTCTCACACACACGCACACCTGGCCACTTTTTCAGTGAAAACCCTCTCTTTACCAAACGGGAGCAAACAGCAATCCATGGCAAAATCCGAATTACTGTTTGTTCTGATTCAGCGGTAAAGATCAGGTTTTCCTGGGGAAAGCAGCGGGGGGGGGTAGCACTCAGACACAGACTGGGAAAGTGTGGACCTGTACCTAGAAAGTGTGGGGCAAAACTTAAGTGTGGATAAACCTTCTGCACTATAATCTAGTTCCCTGAGTGAGGCAGTGGAAGCTGAACTTGTGCAGCATCAACACAAACCGCTCATTACCTCCCCTCCACTTTCATTAACCAGAACTCCTTCCAGATTCCAGAAAGCAGATCCAGCCCCTTCCTGCCCCAGGTCTCCCATGCCACCAAGCCCAATTACCAGCTTCCGGATCCTGTCCAGCACCAAGTCAATGATCTCTTTGCCAATGGTGTAGTGCCCGCGGGCGTAGTTGTTGGCAGCATCTTCCTTGCCAGTGATCAGCTGCTCTGGGTGGAAGAGCTGACGGTATGTGCCAGTCCGAACCTCATCTGGATTGCAGAGCAAACAGTAGGTCAAGTCATTTCCTCTCCTCTCTTGTCTCCTAGCCTACTCTGCTGACAGACCAAGGCTGGATGGGGATTCGGTTTCAACAGCTGAGAGTATGATACGGGTTCAGCCCTGACCTGAGAATATTTTCACCAGATTTAGAGAGTTCTCAGCTAGCCAATGGGCCACCGTAGACATGCACAAAGGGGATACAGACATGGACCACAGCAAGCACATTTTCCATAGGAAGCCACACTCCAAAGTCTTTGCTGTCTCCTGTTGACATGCTGTGACAATACAGACAAATCTGGGAGGATGTTGCCATTTTAAATGCCCTTGTGTGGCAACGCAAACTTGAAATGGGTTCCTAGCACCAAACTCGCTTGCTTTCTACATCCATTTGTTTTATTATTACATGTCTATACCACTTTTCTTCCTAGGAACTCCAACCTATTTTAGGCTCACAACAAGCCTGTTGTTCTTAATGACTGAAGAACAACCTTTATTCTTAACGAATGAATGTCATGGATCCCTGTGGTTCTTTAACCGGTTCATTCAAGCTGCTTCAGACCATTAGGCAGGGTTAAGAATTCTACTCTGGGGTACCATTAAAGGGCAGGAAGTTCTTAAGCATCTATTGTTATATTTTTACCACCATGGCAGCCACCAGAATGTCTTGGGCCACCTCAGATCAGTATCCAATCAGAATACACAGAGGCTTTGGTCAGACTCCGCCCCTAATATGCAGCCCTCACCGATCACAGTGGGTTCCAGGTCCACGAAAACAGCCCGAGGCACATGCTTCCCAGCTCCGGTTTCACTGAAGAAGGTATTGAAGGAGTCGTCTCCACCTCCGATGGTTTTGTCGCTGGGCATTTGCCCATCCGGCTGAATCCCATGCTCCAGGCAGTACAGCTCCCAGCATGCATTGCCAATCTGCACACCAGCCTGGCCCACGTGGATAGAAATGCACTCGCGCTGGGGAAAGAGGGGCAGATCCATCACTGGTGTGGAAGCTACATGTCAGGGGCTACCAGCAGCAGAACAGGAAACTCCCACCCACACCCTGACCCTGTATAACACTGCCCCCTGTGGCAAGCCACCAAAAATGCAGATTAGTGCATCTTTCTGGGCAGCCGCGTATTTGCAGGCTCTGGGGTGGCCACTCCTAGACAGGAGCTTGGACTTTGCCAGAGCAACAGCCAGTGCTTTTTTTCTTTAAAAAATAAATGTTCAGGGGTACTCTCATTTTGACTCAAGAAAATCACTATTTTATAGTTCAAACCAGGAAAAATAAATACAGTAAATGGACAAAAGTACAAAGATTCACAAAATGTTTAGGGGTATACGTATCCCTGTGTCCCTCCCCCCAAAAAAAGCACTGGCAACAACCATATTCCTGGTTCGGGTGTACTTTGGTGAGTCCTTTGGCTTTAACACCTTGGCACAACATCTCCCTGCCCCTCCAACAACTCCGCCTTTACACTGCAGTAGTCAGTGGCTAGGAGATGCTGACACCTCGTTCTCAGGTCATGAGCTTCATAAGAATAGAAGCAAAATCTCCTCACCAGTCATCTGGAGGGCACCAGGTTGGGGAAGACTGCACTACACCATGAAAGCTCTTTTTAAAGGGTGGTTGTTGTTTTTTACTCAGGGTATACATAGTGGGCTGCATACCAAAGTTAGTATATTGTCATAGTATTGTAAAAAGTTTTTTTGGGGGGGTGGGGTAGGCTGCATGCCCCAGACCCTTCTAATTCCTGGATCCAGCAAGTGTTAAAATCTTAACAAGGGTTCAAATTGTTGAAACAGTCCTCTAAGTATGGGTCATTAAGGCAACAAAGGAAGTAGCTCCATGCCAGATAACAAATGGATGTCCGTCCCTCCCCCACTCCCTCTTGGGAGTTGTTTGTGAGAGCTAGAGGCAAAATGTGGCAGGCTGGGCAGCTGTGAGAGACATAGCCATGCCTGATTTCCCTATGAATCCAAGGCTGTGGCTCTGGGAGAAGGAAGGCCCTCTTGGGGTGTTAATGCTGTGAGCTTCTCCACCATAGGCTCAGGTTGTATATCTGTGTAAATAAACCATACATCCTAAAGACACCACTGTCTCTGCTGTCCTTTATTCTGAGGAAACTGAACTCTGGGTAAGGGTCTGGAATTCCTGGAGTCTTTCAGTGTTCAGAGATTGGGCTTCCCTTCCTCTCTCTCTCTCTCTCTCTCTCTCTCTTTAAAAAAATAGTGTCAGCATTTCCCATTATCTAGAACTGAGGCTAAGTGAAAAAGGAAAAAGGGGAAGGCAAACTGGTAAAAACACCCCACCATCAAGAGTGCTAATTCCTCTTCCCTCCTATTCCTACACTGTGAAATTATTTTATCCTCTTTCCCCTACACCTTGCATACTTCGAACGACACCCTGGTTACAGATCTAAGAGCACTTGCATTCCCATTAGAAGGGCACTGGGATCATACGGCACTATATTTAAAACAAGGGAGGCTCCACATAGCCCTGACAGCTATGCCGAGTGGGGTTGCTGTTCCCTCGCTGCTCCAGCCCAGCTGACAAGTCCAGGCAAGACTCACCATCCTGCAGAACTGTCTTCTGTCAACCTGGCGCCAATGAGCTCAGAGGACGAAGGCTGGTAACTGAGGGGTTTTCCTGCAGTGTCTGCCTTTTATAACATTCCGCAGCCCATCTCCAGGCACGAGGGATGCTTTGTTGTTAGAGATGGACACGGAGCTTAGCCTGAATGGTTTCTGAGTTACGGCCAGACTCAACACACAATTCACAGAGAAAGCCAAGCTAAGCCTTGGTTACACCAAACATAGCTAGGGACTTGTGTATTGGGGAGGGACTGTCCCCAGAGGATTATTACGTGTGCAGCCAAGCCTCACCTTAAAAAAAGAGAAAACACTGGTTTTTTGTTATAAACTCCCCCAGTCCTGCCTGCTGTTGTGCTAGCATGGAGTGGGGCATCTTTTTCTGTCAAAGGGCCACATTCTGGGCAACCTTCCAAGGGCCACATGACAGCGGTGGCTGGGGCCAGAGGCAAAAGTGCACAGAGCAGCAGGTGTGAATAATAATAATAATAATAATAATACTTTATTTATACCCCACCCATCTGACTGGGTTTCCCCAGACACTCTGGGAGGCTTCCAACAGAACATTAAAATACAATAACCTATTAAACATTAAAAGCTTCCCTAAACACCTTTGTGCAGCAGGCTAGTTTCTACGCACACTTGCATACTCATCCTATCTTCCAGCCAGGGAAGCAAGAGGCATTATCAGAGTTCAAGGGCAATTCCAGCCAGAAAAATAAAAAAAATTCAAGGAGGCTACAAAGCAGGGTTGGCAATGGCTTGGAGAGAGCGGGGTGGCTCCAGAGGGGCTGGCCAGAGACTCCCAAGGACCTGTCATGGACTGGCTGGATGCAGAGCCGTGGTGGGAGGCACCAGCTGGGGAAGAAGGTTCAGAGCCAGGAGACTGGTGGTGGGACGATGACGAGTGGTTAGAGGGAGCAGACTGGGAGGAGGTCGGAAGCTGAAGAGGCAACAGGGTTTAGTGAGCAGGAAGAAGCTGTGGCAGAGTGCAGTCCAGAATCAGAATCAGAGGCAGAAGTGGAGGCTGGAGAGGAGCCATGAAGCAGTGATGAGTCAGGCTGCAACTCAATGGGCCATTGGCCTGATCCAGCAGGCTCTTTTTATATTCTTAACAGCCCTTTCCTTCCTTGCCATTTCCAACAACTAATGCTACCTAATGTAAATGGCCAAGGCCACTCTCTCTCTCTCTGATCCACACGTGCCTTTGAATCGCTTCCTTGTTTGCCTATTGGCATGTTCTGCCAAGCGGTGACCATGGGGACAGTGAGGAGACAAGGCAGAAGTTGGTTCTCCTTCATTTTTTCCGTCAACCCTGTGCTGAGCCGCAATACACAGAGAGAGAGAGAGAGCACCATGGAGTGGGGGAGCCACTCCATGGAGTGCGTATAGGTAAGACTTGTCAAGACTTGATAGAGTTTATCCTTCCGCTGCTCAACAACCTAGCAGCCAGCAAAGGATAATGCTGCCCCCTTGTGGTGCATAGCCCACTAAGCATGCTTTGATGGCATTGCCAAGGCAACCGGCAAGTCTCAACAGAGAACGAACGGAGTTAGGGAAGAACAGAGACCCATTGTTGGCAGCGGCCTTTCTGGAATGGTGGGAGCAGGGCAGAGATTCACAGGTGCTTTCCTAGAAGGGAAAAGCTCCTCTTCCCTTTTCACCTGGGTTTCTCCGTCTTGTTTTCTTTTGGGGGATCAAAATTCCTACCTGCAGTGTAAAGCAGTGGGCCATCTTGCTCAGAAAAGGATCCTAGCAATGGATCTTAGTGGAAGTTTGCAAATCTTGAGTTCATGGGCTGCAGTCATCAAGGGATCCAAGCTGCAATCTCCATTCCAGGCTGCCAGAGTCAAGAAGCCATGCCCGGCAGTGAGGCTTCCCCAGAAAGAGACCCTCCAGTGGAGCAGGTAAGGACTCTGCTCTTGTGCCATGCTCTGAAAAGGGTTAAAAGGCTTCCTTGGAGACCTTGGTGGTAAGGAACTTCATGGTACAATTGGGGGGCAGAGTAAAAGCATTAGCCAAAAATCCTAGTCAGGGTCTGACTCAACATCTGTTAATTAATTGACTTTATATATACTTTATATACCCAGAGGTCTCAGGAAGATTCACAGAACAAAATCAAAATATAAAACCACAAAATATATAATCAAAATGAAAACAAAAAACCCCACATTTTAAAAGGGCATAGGATGTCAATTTACAACTGTGGAGCACGTGTAGGCCAAATTCAAAGCTTCTGGGTTTTTCAAGCCCAATTGTTGTGTGCATATGGATTTTCAGTAAGGGGGTTGCAGGGCATGGGGAGGATGAACCATCCTATATCAATTGCAACCCCCCCACAATGTCCCCTGCATGGCAATTGGAGACCATGGGGGAGATTTCCTCCTCCCCCCCATGCCTATTTGCTGAGCATGAGGAGGACAGGGGAGGCATAGCCTGGATGTGGAGGTCCCAGAGGCCCTATCCAGCCCCAAGGTGCAGAGTTCGCCATCCATGGTCTAGGGGCATCTTTATACGAATTGTCCCTCTCTCCTGCATCCTTCCTGTTCTCACCAGATGCCTAAGGGGAGCATGTAAGCAGGATCTGAGCATCACAGCAGCCTGCCCACCTCCCATTCCCAGCAACGGGCATTCAGAAGTATTCTGTCTCCATTGCTAGAGGTAGAACATTGTCATTGCTTCTTTACTGTATGTTATTACACACACATCATATTAGTTGTGCTCATACGGCTAGATAGAATATGCTATCTCTGGCAGCATCTTTGGGGAGTGACAGGAGATGAATGCCTCCCTTTAGTTCCAAGTTGGTGGATCTTTTGCAAATAACCACACCCCAACTTGCAGCAGGAAGGTGGATAGAATCTGCCCATGACTGTCAGCTCATCCGGAAGCTGCTGGCTTCTTACCCAGGTCTCATGCTTCTTCCAGCTGCATCTTGGAGCAAGGCCGACACAGATCAAGTTTTCAAACAGCAGTTACCCAATCCTGCATCTCTGCATATGCTTTGAGAACTTTTTGTTCTCAAAGCATATGCAGATAAATAAATATATTCAAGGAAACAATAAAAAGTGGAGGAGGTAGTGTTATAAGAATTCTAAGGTCTCAAATATAAAATAAGTGTTCATAAATGTACAAGGCAAACACATACATAACTATATAAACCATGTGTGTGAAATAGTACAGGAGAGCAATCCTGAAGCCATTTTGACTCTTCCAGTGACCGCAAATATTCCTCTGCAGTAAGGGAGGAAATGGGGAAAGCCTCCCCTTTTGTCTTTTGCTTACAAATCCTGCCTTAAGGGCGTATTTGTATATGAATAGGATGAGCCTGTGACCTAGATTCAGGAACTAAACTATTAACCATCACAAAAGAATGGCCAGGCTGCCCAGGTAAAGCAATCAATGACCATTGTCAGGATTTCTGTTGTAGACCACCCCCTGTGATGTATTTCTGTTGGTGACCTCCTCCTTCTGTGATGTTTGGGGGGGGGTCTTGACCTACAGGATGGGCAATTTCAAATGTCTATATAAGGGCTTGCACTCCATTGTTCTGGGCTCCTCTCCTCCCTCCCTGCGTGGGGGGGGGGCCGACACTGTTGCAACAGTTTAATAAAGATCAGGCTTATCAGATTCTTTGCTTCTCAATATTTTTCTGTTATTTTCTCCTACCAATAAGGAACCCACTTAAGGACTCTAGATGGGCTCTTGGATACCCCATAAGGGGAAAGGAACAGGTTATTTTTCCCTTATAACAGTAGTAAGGGGAAGCAAGAGATAAGTCTGTCATTTTTGTGTGTGTCTGATTCCACACAATAAGGAGTTGTGGTGGGCAAACCCCACTTCTTCAGGACAAAACTATTCTGAACGTTGGGTTGGTAGCACCCTCTAGTGGCAAACAGTAGTAATACATGTTTGTTGCATGTAAGAGGATAATGTGGGAGAGAGAGAAGACACTGGCTCATCAGAATCTCTTGCTGAGTACAGCCAGGGCCGTCTTTACCATTTGGCATAGTGGCGCAGTGAACCAGGGCACCAAGCTGTGGAGGGTGCTGGAAGGAGAGTCTGGGGAGGGGAGAGCGGGGAGGTAAGTGAGGCTTGGTGCCTGAGTGCCTCCAGCACCTGTCGGAGGTGCAAAGACCCTGTTCCGCCCTGGGCAGGCCGCAGGCCTGGTCGTCCTCTTATATACCTGCTGGGATTGACAAGGCATCTGACCCTCACCTGAATCTCATAGCTCTCCTGTAGGTGCCTCTGATTAGTTATCATTTAACTCTTGGGGGAAATAATTAGCATCACACGTCATGTGACTGTGACAAAGGTAACCTGTGTGCTTGCTTTTTGATTAACAGCTGTTGGGAACTTCAAAGTCCCTGCTCTCCCTTTCTTATGGTCTTTGTACTGGACCTGGAGACTCCCATAGAGAGCATTCCATGTCAAGAAGGAGGGCAAGTGGGCACTCTATCAAATGACAGAGCAGGACCTTTTCACTGGTGGTGCCCATTGTATACCTCGCTCTTCCCAGACCTGCTCTCTATTGGCCTGTATTTTGAAGCTTTATAAATTAGAAAGATTTTGGAAGAACTGGTTGACAAGTCTCATCAGTTGCTGATGTATGAGCGGATTTTATTTGCTACTATTCTGTGCTTCTGATGCACCAGGGCTTTCACCAGCGTAATAGAGTTGGCCAGGATGCCAGAAGGGATACAATTTATGAGCTTTCTCCATTATCTCCACAGCAGGGGGTGTTCAGTCAATAGTGCAAAGACTGAGCTGAAGCATTTCCTGCTGGTTACCTGCTTTCAGCAATAGGGGTTGCTGTTTGCTAGTACCCAATTGGTTAGCAGTCAAATTCTAGAGCTCCCTATTGGTGGCTCTTAGGTAATTCCAAAATACAGGGTCCATTCATAAAACACAGTGTTCATTCATAAAGCAGTAACATAAATGTCCATTGCTACATATTGGGTGTATATTTCAGCAGTTGAACGTACAAGTTTATGGTCATGCTGTAGTGTAGTGCTTATGCAACTGTGAATAAAAGGTAGCTGGGCTCATTGTCTCGAGGTTTGGGGGGGGGGGAAGAAGTGACAAAACTGATTTCCAATAAGTGCCCCCCATAACAAGTCCTTGAGTGTATTCTGAATAGTGACACTAGAGACCTAGAAGGTGCAGGGCTTGTCAGTCCACCCCCTGCACAGTCTCATCAGGACTGACCTTAAGGCAGTTGGAGCAATTGGACCACATTGGGCCCCGCGGGCTGCTCCTAAGGGGGCCTCTGCACCAGGGCAATCTAGATGGATTTTATTTATACCTATAAGATTTTGCAGACTTTGGCTGTGAACTGGGGCCCTACCAAAAAAAAAATTCAAGTTGGAGGAAGAATGGAATCAAAATTTTAAAATATGGGGAAAGGAAAGTAGTGGGAAGGAAGGAATCAGCATTTTGGTTCCACACACACACACATACACACACACACACTCAAGGTATCTTTTAACAGATTCAAATATTCAGAACAAGGCAGTCCATCTAGGAGAAGAATAAATCTGACCCAAAACCTCTGATGCCTTGCAGGATTTCTTTGGAAGAAGAAAAGGCTAAGGCGTAAACCCTACACAAATCTGTTTTTTTTTAAATAATATTTATTACTTTTCCAACAATTTAACAACAATTTTTCACTACAAAAGAAAAAAAAGAAAAGAACAATACAAAACAATACAAAAACACTACATACAATACAAAACAATACAAAAACACTACATAACACATTAAACTAACAAAACAGAACAAAACAAAGACAGTTTAAAACACATCAAACAATTTCAATATCTTATCTTTCATTCACTTATTTCAATGACCTCCTCACACCTCCCTTTTTGTATTCCACTTCTGTTAATTGTTTCAGCAATTCCTTTCCATCTTCCTCTGCTTTCTATCCTTTAATTATCTTAACAGACTCTGGTTTCACCTCAGATCGTATAAATCTTTTGCCTTTAACCCTACACAAATCTGGAGTCCCTAAGACAGTTGGATAGTGTCTCCTATGCCTCCTTCTGGTATCTCCTGCAGCCAAGCTAGTGCCAAATATATTGCTCTGCCTTCCCTTGGACCACAACAGCGAGGCTGGGGGGGGGGGAGTATCATCATCTGGGCAGCTCAGGACACCCCCCACACACACACACACATTGCACATGCTAGCACCCCAGAGAGGTCACTTTGGTGCTGCTAAGGAAAGCTAGAGAGAGAAAGCTAGAGAGTTCCAGAAAGACATCTACTTCTGCTTCATTGACTATGCAAAAGCCTTTGACTGTGTCAACCACAGCAAACTATGGCAAGTTCTTAAAGAAATGGGAGTGCCTGATCACCTCATCTGTCTCCTGAGAAATCTCTATGTGGGACATGAAGCTACAGTTAGAACTGGATATGGAACAACTGATTGGTTCAAAATTGGGAAAGGAGTACGACAAGGCTGTATATTGTCTCCCTGCTGATTTAACTTATATGCAGAATTCATCATGCGAAAGGCTGAGCTGGATGAATCCCAAGCCGGAATTAAGATTGCCGGAAGAAATATCAACAACCTCAGATATGCAGATGACACCACCTTGATGGCAGACAGTGAGGAGGAATTAAAGAACCTTTTAATGAGGGTGAAAGAGGAGAGCGCAAAATATGGTCTGAAGCTCAACATCAAAAAAACGAAGATCATGGCCACTGGGCCCATCACCTCCTGGCAAATAGAAGGGGAAGAAATGGAGGCAGTGAGAGATTTTACTTTCTTGGGCTCCATGATCACTGCAGGTGGTGACAGCAGTCTTGAAATTAAAAGACGCCTGCTCCTTGGGAGAAAGGCGATGGCAAACCTAGACAACATCTTAAAAAGCAGAGACATCACCTTGCCAACAAAGGTCCGTATAGTAAAAGCCATGGTTTTCCCAGTAGTGGTGTATGGAAGTGAGAGCTGGACCATAAAGAAGGCTGATGGCCGAAGAATTGATGCTTTTGAATTATGGTGCTGGAGGAGACTCTTGAGAGTCCCATGGACTGCAAGAAGATCAAAAATATCCATTCTTAGGGAGATCAGCCCTGGGCGCTCACTGGAAGGACAGATTGTGAAGCTGGGGCTCCAATACTTTGGCCACCTCATGAGAAGAGAAGACTCCCTGGAAAAGACCCTGATGTTGGGAAAGATGGAGGGCACAAGGAGAAGGGGACGACAGAGGACGAGATGGTTGGACAGTGTTCTCGAAGCTACAAACATGAGTCTGACCAAACTGCGGGAGGCAGTGGAAGACAGGAGTGCCTGGCGTGCTCTGGTCTATGGGGTCACGAAGAGTCGTACACGACTAAACAACTAAACAAACAACAAGAACAAGGTAGCAGTTTGACTTCACCACCCTGGAGGCACACGCAATTGTCTCTTGAGTCAGACAAATGCCAACAACAATAAAAATAATAACCACATCTCTTCAGTACTCATAACTTGAGCAAGCCCCCACCTCCAGCTTCTGCTGCCCCACATGCATTTGCTCTAAAGCTCACACAGAAATATTGGTGTTGTTGCCAGATGGGTGTAAGTCCCCTGCAGGGTTCCTCATGCACTCTGCTCTGCATGGAATTGGTGGATCCCTTGCTGTGGATCTCAGTGTCAAAATATAGCAAGCCAGAAATTAGGCACTGTGCCCTTGACCTCTTTATAGCAATTTTTCCCCGTTAACAGTGGCCCAGAAGCAACCCAGAGGTCCTGGAATGTGCATGTTAATGAGGGAACAGCTTGTCCCTGGCCAGGCCAGTCGGCAGCCGCGTGAAAGAAAGAACAGAGCCACCCCATTCCAGTCCCAGGCAGCAGAAGCGTGCAGAGACTTAAAACTTCCCCTGTGCAAAGTTTCAGTTGGGCTAATCTTATCCTTCCGCAGCCCATTTTACACTTCAGGGAGACCTGCTTACTTGGGAATGCTCTATTTACATTCCACTGTCCTGGGCAACCTTGGAAATGAACGATGCTGCTGATAAGACTTAACAGGACAAAACAGACCAGAGCAATGTTAATCTCGCAGTTTACAGAATAACACAGCCCAGCTAACTCCCATTTATTTCCCTCCATTTGTCACTTGGCCTAGTGCAAAACCTGGCATGGACGTTTCTGGAACGGGTTATGACTTTGGACTCTCCTCTCTTGTGGCTGTACGTAGAGCGAATCAATAAACGTTACAGGCCCCTCCCCGAGCGCGCGGGATAATCTCTCTTCCAGCCTCTCCCTGCACAATTTAGGCGGATTACTTGCTCTGCTGTTCAACTACGGATTCCCCCACTCCCCTCCCGCGCCCGTTTGTATTATTACAGCATGCATCTGATGGGCGCAGGCAACAAGAGCTGGCTGCTTCGGCTTGCTTGTTAACTCAACAAAATTCTTTCGCGAACCAATCATTTCCTCCCGCAAGCCCTCCCCTTTTGCGCCCGGCTGCCTCCCTGCCTCTTTTCTCCCAACGGCTTCTGACACAGCCAGGCCCCCGTGTGGTTGCCTGGCTGTCGCTGAACTGGAGCATTTCCTGTCCAGCTTTGCTGGGGGCTGTTGACGAGCTGCTTACACAACACGGGGGTTTCGCCCATCTGTCAGCTGAAGCGCGCCCTGCGCGTAAACAGGCACCCATCAGAGATCAAGGAGAATCTGCTAATCCGCATGACAGAACGGATCCCGGGTTCTGTGCAAAAAGCAAGCAGGCCTAAAAAGCTTTGCCAAGCAGGCTTTGAGTGGGTGGTCACCTGGAAAGTAGCTTTTGCAAGTTACGGGAGTTCATCGGCTGCCTTAGGGAAGGGCAGCTATGCGCGGCGCAGTCCCGCTCGCCTGCTGTCTGGGCGAGGTGCTCAGAACCGGTGATCAAAGGGCAACAATCCACGCTTTGCAGCCCTTCACTCTCAGCTAATTGCCCTACCTTGCAACTTCTCTTGGCCACCTGCCAGGGAGCGCTGCTTACAAAAGGGCGCCCACTTAACGATTTTTGCGCCTGTAGGTTTTGCTCTCTCCACCTGGGCGAGGAAGGGTTTGGATCGGGGCTGTGGTGCAGGGCCTCTCGTGCCATGTTCAGCCCTCCCCAGTCCTCAAAGCTGAGCAAGAGGAGCAAGACTTTCCAGCTGGATCTGGGCATCCCTGCAGCAGGATTGGTCCAGGGTGGTCCCTGGTTGTCTTTCAGATATGCCCCACAGGAGCATTAAGGAGATAGCAAACCCAGCACATTTCCTCACCAGCAGATGCCCAGCTAGTTCCATCTGTGGCTTGTCTCAAGAGGAGGAGAAAGCACATGGAAACTCCTGCTCACATCAGGGCCTTCTTCTAGGAAGCTTTTTCTGTATTACTGGTATCAAGAAGCTCTTGCATTTTGCAGAGGGGCGTTCCAGGGCACATGCCAAGTTCATGAAAAGTTTTGGTCAGGTGGTGTTGGGTCTCTCCACTTCTCTGAAGATGCACCCCAGAACACAGCAGAGCATTGCAGGAAAAGATTAGTTGTGGCAACTAGGGATCCTTTCTTGAGACTTAAAGCATCATGTGGAACAGATGCATAGCATATTTCCTTCCCCATTAGCAGCTTCTAGCAGTCTCTGGGCATTTGTAGTCAGTGCCTTGGCTATCCTAGTTAATGGCGATTAACAGTTTTAGCACCGTGGTTCTCCCTTCCAATGCTACGATTCTACGAAATAGTGTTTAACCTTACAGCTGCTGATAAGATTATAATAGCTAAAAAATTGAGAGAAAGCATATCTCCTACTATATCTGAATGGACTGAGAAAGTTTCATCCATAGTAACTATGATTAAGCTAACTTATTTATTTTTTTTAAAAAAAATATCAACCAGCCTAACAGGTTTATGGAAAAAGTGGTATTTTTTGTAATGTTTTGGAACAACAAGTTCAGTTATAATGTCCAATGTTTGCTGCTTTCAAACTGGAACTGTTTTTCTTTATGCTCTTTACCTTTGGTTTATTTTGTTTGTTAATAAAAATAATAATAATTTAAAATATATATGGTTAGTCATGTACTGTGTCAGAAAGTTCCACAGAGCAATAGTATTATTTGTTAGGGGAGCATTTCTCTTGCTTGTTTCCTTGCTTGCTGTGTCTAATTTGTTTGGTTCATCGTGCTACTTTATGAAAAGGTAAAATATTTGTCCCCTTCTTTGTGCTGTTCTTCAAGCCGTGTATAATTTTATAGATCTCTGGTAAATTTTAGTTGACTTCTTTGATAAAGACAGTGTAGTTTATGCTTTCTTCTTCTCAGCCAATTTATGGCGTCTTCTTTGAATTGTAGCACCAGAGAGTATCCTGCAAGCATCATGTTTTCCCTTTAAATAATAGTGGCAGAAAACTGACAGCTTTTAAGAGGGCATGCTGGGAGTTGTAGTTTGGATGCAAAGTACAAACTGGTAATCACAAGTTGCATAAGCTGTCAGTTCTGGTACATATCAGGGTAGCAGGAAAGTCAGGGAAGAAATGACAGTGTCTAGCCAAAAGCAGAGCTTGAGCTGAGCCAAGACCATTATTTATAACTTGGAAATAGAAGGGGAGAGATTATGAAATAAACTGCTACTTATTCACTGGATTTTTTTTGTTAATACACGTTATATAACCTAGATTCACCTTCCCTGTAGCACAGCTGCACGTCTTAAGGATCAGATCTGGGCATTTTTTTGAAAGCTCAAGCAGATGAGCTGCTCTTCTTTTCCGGAAATATCAGTAATAAGAACAGAATCACACAGTGCCCACAGCCTAGTAGTAAACTAAAAGCCACTGCTGGCCCTAATGCTCTATTGCTGGCATTAACCATTAGAATTCAGTGGGTGGCATTCAGCTAAGTCTTACTCTGAGTAGACTCACTGAAATTAATGAACCCAACTAAGTTGGGTCCATCAATTTAATTGGGTCTACTCTGAGTAAAATTTGGTTCGGTGCCACTGTGATTCCAGAAGCAACTCTTGGAAAGATTTTCCCTTTCTATGTCTGCCCTATAAAAACATGCTGCTTTTGGGGAAAGTGACCGGTTTAGTTTAGCTGCATCACAATATGAGAATTTAGGCTGAATTTACTTCTGAGAAAGTATGGTTTGGATTGCACTGTTAGGCAATGTGGCACATAACTGCCCCCCACCCCCGCATGCGCCTTTCCATCACTGCAGGCTGGCATTGTCCTTGAATTGCCGACTCAGTAAATTGCTAACAGCAGTCAGAGGTCCTTTCCAGACAGAAAAATCACACCTTGGCCACAACCCAGCTACAGTTAAGGGTGAGTAGCTATCAGTGGAGGCTGCTCTATTGGGTCAAATGCGGGACTGCCTCACCAACCTCAGTCTGCCTTAAACCAGGCATCTTCAACCTCACTTTTAACCCAAACATGCATTTAACCCAAACATGCATTTGGGGAGGGAGGGTGGTGATGACAAAACTTGGATGTATTTGCTCCCCCTGTCATTGGCTCTGACGCCACCTACCACTGCTCTGTCCCACCCATTCCAATGGGCACCAGCTGCCATCGCTAGCCATCCATTCCTATGCAGACCTAACTTGGATAAGATCAACCATCGTGGCTGCAATGCTACAGGTGCTTACTTGGGAGTAGTCCGTATGAAAGTCAGTGGTACTGGCTTCTGAGTAAACATGCATAGGATACATAGTAAGCAACATGTTCTGCTGAAACCAATGGCAGTGAGTCACAGCTAACCTTGGTGTTGATGTGATGTGTAACCTAATCTTTTGCAGCAGGGCTGGGAAACTCAGTGCCTTCCAATGTACATGGACTCCAGCTCCCATCAGTTCCAGCCAGCATGGCCAATGGTCAGGGAAGAAGGGGTTCAACAGGGCCACAGATTCCCCACACCTGAACCTTAGAGTTAGGCTGCACTGCCTGAAGTGCAGCCTCCCCTCCTCTTTCTTCATTGTTCCACTTCATGGCAGGGCCAAGGGATTTAGGCACACCCAACTGCATAAAATTGCAGCCTTGGTTACAAGTAACATTAGGGGGATATTTCATAGCACTTTAAACTTGCCCTGCCTCATTGGTCCTACTGTATCAATAGCATCCATAGGACCTGCCTGCCTGTTGACATCCCCATCAGAGCCCAACCTTCAGAAACGCGGTGGGTGTCTAGCACAGATAGAGCCTCATCTCTGGTGGTGCCTCATTTGTGGAAATCCCTCCCCCAAAACCTGTTTTGCTGGTGCTGACTTTGTGGAATTTGGGGTGCCAGAGGGAAGCAGTTTTCTTTCCCCTTGTGTTTAATGTCTTTCATCACTTTTAATGGTTTCTAACACAATTATTAATTCTACTGCAGCTGTTTAATTTCCCACCCCCATTAGTACTGCATTATTATTTTTTTGTATTTATTTTGCTTTCATGATGTGTTTTAAAATGTGTTGTAGCTAAGCTACAGCAGTGTGTGTGTGGTTTTCTCAGATATATTGGGGGTGCCAGCTACCCTCTGGCTTCAGCAGAATAGCTATACTTGTGCTCCTTGCCTTTAAAAAAGAAATAAATTCTAGCCCAATCCTATGCTATCTTAAGAGTTCAGTGGGACCTTCTCCCAGGTAAATGTGCATAGGATTGCAGCTGTAGCAGAAATGTGCACTGCTGCACTGCAGAGTTGGATGTAGACAACCTTTTTTTTTTTTAAAAAAAAGGAAAGCGGAAAAATCAGAGGAAGGGCACACAAAATGGTGTGTCATCGCTGCAAGAGGGAGGAGGCAGCCCTGCTGGTTTTCATCAGTTTGTTTGTTTGTTTATTTAAAGGACTAACAGAGCATTCTTGCAATTTAGTTGTACAGCAGGGGCTCTGTGGTTTAAATGTTGTTTAGGGCCCTAAATGTGTATGCTTGTGCTCAGTGGGACTCTCTTCTGAGTAATGAAGTATGTGGCATTAGGGCATAAACTGCATCCTTCCAAGAGGGAGATTTAGACTTAGAGTTATGCTGCACACATATAATTCCTAATAAATGTTCACATGGAGCAGAGGAAGGGAGCCTGTTCTCTTTTGTTGCCTTAAGGGCAACTGTTTAGGGTTTAGGCTGCATGCAATCCTGTGCATGGTTACCTGGGAGTAACAAAGTCCCACTGAGCCTCATAAAGCAAGAATAGCTACATGCTTCCCTCCAAATGTCTTGAACTACAACTCCCACATCCCTGGCTGTTGTCTATTCTGGCTGGGGCTGACTGGAGTTGCAGTTCACAACATCTGGAGGGCACCGTGTTGGCAACTCCTGCCATAAGGACTGACCTGCTGGAGAACAGGGGAAACCAGCCCATTAAATAAACTTGTTCCTTCTTCTCTCCATGATCTGTTTGCAATTCGTTAAAGTGAAATATTTCAGAAAGAGTGGCGACAGGGCAAGTTCCTGAGCCTACCATGGTGCAACACCAACAGAAAGTGGAAGTGGCATGATGGTTGTAGAACCGTGAGGGTGGTATTATGCAACTAGGCTTTACTGAGAGTTAACATGACCGGGTTAGCGCCATTAATTTAAATGGGTCTACTCTGAGTAAGACTACCCCTCTTAGCGTGTGCAACAGGTGTGTGTGTGTGTGTGTGTGTGTGGATTAACCGTTTCCTGAGGCCAGGGACAAAAAAACCCCAAACCTGAGCTGCAAGGAAAATCTTCAGATTCCTACAGAGCATCCCCCAAATCATGTTCCTTTTACCTGCCATCAAAATCCATATACTGCCCTCAAGCAATGATTTCAGAGTCTGTGAAAAGCAGGCTTTTCATTACAATCAGGGAAAGCAGAAAAGCAGCTGTCAAGCCCAAGGCGAGCTGAGCACAGCCCATGTAGGCCCAAACCATGCAAGTCAGGGGTGCCTTCACACTACACATTTGCCTCATGTCAGTTGCTCTGTTAATGGTGGGGGAGCATTTTGGGGAGAACCCCCCCTTTCTACTTAGTTGACTTCTGTGTAATTAATAAACTCCCCCCCCCCCTTCTGTTCAGGTTTCATTGGTCATGGCTTATCTGAAAATCTGCCTGATGGACTGGAGCACAGGTATGTGCATGATGTCTTACTTGTCTGTGCAGTGAAGGTTTAAGTCTGTTATATGTTGGACGTGTGTGAGCTGATTACTCCAAAGGGTTGAAATATGAGGATGTGGTATCATCCTTGATACCCGGATGGAGGCCTGCAAATGTCCCTGGTTGGTCACTCTTCTGCTGGGCATTCCTAGGCAGGGGCCTAATTCAACAAACCTGCATACCAGCTCGGCTGGCACCCTTTGGCAGATTCCCCCAAACTTGTGGGCTGCTGTATATCTCCTTCTGCCATTTCCCTTTCTCGTTGGGCTCCCAATGCCAATGCTATGAGTTCTTCAATGAATAAATGACAGAGTGGAATTTCTGACAACTGCCACTAACCTGACTTACTTGTGAGAAGTGAAATCGGCTCCCAAGTCAGAGTCTTCCTGCTTTTGGCAGGGAGTATTTCCCGCAGAGACAGAGCCCTGAGGAAGGGTTGCCTGTCCAGGCAGGCGCAGCTAGAAATGCACAAGAGAGCTGCCTCACGTGCCTAGGCCTGCCACCTCCACAGGCAGCGTTCCTGAGCAGAGGGAAGGGAGAGGCCTCTACAGCCCCCGGGGCAAGGGCGAACCTCAGGGAACAAGGGATCATGGGCAGAAGACAGCTGCCCCCATCCTGGCTTTTAGGGTTTTCAAGTCATCTCCTATATTTTGTACAGAGGCAGAACAGGGGAGTGGTGATGATGCTAGCATCTCCTATATTTTGGACAGCCTTGCGTTTTGTGCAGAGGAGGAGAATAATAACCATAATAATGATAATAATATCCCAGGTGTGGCTTTTACCATTATTGCAGCTCTGTCGGGGGGGGGGGGGAATCTGCACCTTGTGCAGTTCTCATTTATTTGCATATTCCCTGACCTTCCAGCCAGGGGCGGAGGAAGGGGGTGCGGTGGGGGCAGGCCGCCCCAGGTGTCTTCGCTGAGGGGGGTGACATTCGGCGCGCCACCCACCTGCGATTCCCAAGCCTACCCTGAGCCATTGGGGGAAGGGGGGAGCTGTGCTGCAATACCGGTGGCATTCCCCCCTTCTCCCTTTGTTCTGAATGCTTGGGGGAGGCTTGGGAGTCACAGGCAGGCGGCGCACTGAGCGTCTGTCATTGGCGGCTTGCTCTGCCCCCATGGACGGCTTGCTCCGCCCCCAGCTGCAGGGCGTGCGCTCCGCTCCATGCACCCGAGCGGCTTTCCCACACCTGGGAGGGCACCCTCCACGCCTCATGCTCCTAGAGTGCACACCCGCCCTGGGCAGCGTGGGCATATGCTCCACCGCTGCTTCCAGCTAGTGTTATGTTGCTAGCACTGAGCCAGGGCTTCCTGCATCCTGATCCCACCTCAAAGTTGACTGTCTTCTGGGCACAATTGACAAATGCGACTCTAGGCATAACCCAATTTAAGCAGCCCAGTCCTTAGCTGCTCAGGTCCTTGGATGTGGCCAGGAGTGCCTTTGCCCAGCTTTTGTTTTGTTTTATTTATTGGATGTGGCACTTGATTGTAAGGAAACTCCTAAAAGGTTTGCAACTTGGGCTGTCGCACAACTGCGTCTGCTTCTGGAGAAACTGCTGGCTTGGCATATACTTGAGTTACGTCACAGCTTGATTGCTGCAATGCACTCTGCATAGGGCTGCCTTTGAAGGGTACTCAGCAATACTGGGCCCAGAATACTGCAGCCAGTCTGTTAACAGGGACTGTGTGTAAGCAGTGCACAACTCCCTTACTGAAACCATTGCCACTGGCTTCATTTATTTCTGAGCCCATATTAAAATACTGGTGGTGGTGACCTTCAAAACCCTATAGGTTTGGGACTTGGATATCTGAAAGACTTCTGCCTTCTCCAACATGAAACTAGTGAGATCACTATCAGCAGCCCTTGTTTGTCCCAGCATCCACAGAAATACACTTAGTTGAAAGCAGGCAGACAGCCTTTTCAGTAGCTGCACCCAGGCTCTGGAACTCCCCCCCCAACACTCACCTTGGCCCCTCTCTAATGGCATCCTCTAGAAGGAGCAAAGCCTTCCTTTTTTAAGGAAGGCTTTTGGGCCATAAAATGGATACTCCCTTTTTTTTTGAGATGGATCAGATTGCTGTGGTTAAATTGTTTTTGGTTGGTTACTGATACTTTAAATCCTTTCTCACTGTTGTTCCTGTTTTAGTGTTTTATGATCACTTTATATATTGTTAATGTCGAAATGGTTAACAGCATTATCTTATCCGTGTCTATTCAAAAGTATGCCCCAATGATTTCAGTGGGGCCCACTCTCAGCTAAATGGGTATGTGATTGCAGCAGCCATAGTTATTGTTTCAACTTAGGGTGACCTGATGAAAAAGAGGGCAGGGCTTCTTCATCTTTCGACAGTTTTGCAGAAGAGGAAATTTCAGCAGGTATAGCCTGCATGACAAGCTACACCTGCTGGAGTCACCTTCCATACATGGTGAGCCATCTTGGGCTTGTTGAGGAAAGGGCATGGATGTTTTAAATAAGCAAACAAGTAGTTTATTCAGAAGCGAGTCCCACTAGGCTTCTCCACACTGGATCTAAATGTGAATTTGCACCTGCCTGTCTCCCCATCAATGTGGGGGCAGCCACACAACACATTTCCCAACCCAGTGCAGCCAACAGTGTGCCCGCAAGATGTCGTGGACTACAACTCTCATCATTCCTGACCATTAGCCACGCTGGCTGGATCTGATGTGAGTTACAGTCCAAACCACCTGGAGGGCATCACATTGGATATTCCTGCCGTAAATCAATGTCATGGACCATTGACAAACCCTCCCAAAGAAAGCAGGGGTTTAGCATAATTTAACAATGACATTTCTAAGCTATAGAGACATACTCATGTGGTGCATACGGCTCTCTTATGAAAAATGGCTACATGGTGCAACAGTTTCCCATGATTGTGTGTGTGTTTCCATGGCTGCCTTGTTAATTTTCCAGACAGATACGGAAGGCAGGGCCAGACCTATTAGAATACACTAAGAAATTGGTGAGGCCACACCTTGGATTGCTGCTTGTGGGGAACCTATGGCCTGCCAGATGTTGCTGAACATGGCCACTGGCTATGCTTGCTGGGGCTGCTGGGAGTTGTAGTTCAGCAACATTTTCCCACACCAGTTTGAAATGAGCATTGGTATTGTACCTTTTACAACTATGTGGTATAGGAAGGTTTTGCTAACACGGGGATGCCACAGTTAAGAAATTAATCAATCCAGCTTTTAATTTCTGCCTGTGAAGCAGCTGCTAAAACATTGGACTTCCGTGTCTCCTGCCACTAAGGTGACCAACGTGCAAAGGAGGAGGGGCAGCCCCCCTGGGTGCAGCAGGCCCCATCCTTTTCGAAGATATTTTTGCAGGCGCTTTTCTCTAAAGCTGCATCTTCCTTAAATCCCCTCTTCTGCCTCTACGGAAGGAGTCCCACCCCATGTAGCCGTTTCTCTTCTCTTCCTCCTGCTGCGTCTGGTAATGAAAGCGTCTGCACGGTGACTTTCGATTTGGAGACGAAGCAGCCACCTTGGAAATGATTAATTCTCCTCTCTAGGCGTCTTGCCTCCCGGTAAACACCAACGAGGAGCTGGGGCGGGGCCACCTTCTAGGCCCGCCCCTCCTTTATAAACCCACTGCGGCAGGGCGGGCTAGAGCAGGCGTAGCTGCTTCTCACAGAGACTTCGTCGCATCGACTCAGCGTGAGCTCTCAGCCCCGCCGTTCCTCATCATGGTGAGCGGGAAGGGGGCTGCGCGAGGGAAGCGCACCGAGCGCTTGGGGGCTGCTTCCTTAGCGAGCTTCGACGTCTCCCCCTGGCTGTGGGAGCGCGGCGCCCGCCTCTCGGCTTGCGGTCTCCAAGCTGCGCGTCCGCGCAAGCTGTTGGCACGTTCCGCGGCAGGGGCCCGTCGGGGCCCGTCGGGGCGGGTGGGAAGCGCTCCCGCCTTCCTGCGGGGCAAACGCGGAGGATGGTGCCAGGTTGCCGCCTGATCTTAGGGCGGGAATTAGGTGCGCCCCTTCGCCCACAAACATGGCGAGGGTGTCTCCAGGCCCAGGGGCAAAAGTCAGGGGCGCTAGTTGGGGGCTTCCCTCGAAGTGCGCACTGCAGAGCGCGGCAGCTGCCCTCGACGCACGTGTAAATGGCGGTGGGGTGGTGGTGGTGCGCGCGGAGCAGCCGCAGAACAGGATCCGGCAGGCCCGGCCTGAGCTTCTTGATCGCAGTTGGCCGCGTGCCCGGAAAGACTCGCTTGCGCGCTCGGTGCCTGGGCGCCTAGTTTACAGCCACGTTGGTGTAATGAGCAGGGACAGCTGCCTTGGAGGCGCACGGGCGGCCAACTCGTGCGGAGGTTGAGGAGAGGGCTAAGGAAGTTGGGGTCAGCCTCCGATGGCGCGGGGCGCCGCGCTCCGGAGAGTCGTGCGGCAAATGTTCCCGTGCCTCTCGCTCCCTCCCCGTTACCGATCGTCGCCCACAGACTGCGGGGGCTGGGAAAGTTATTAATAGGCAGGTTGCGCAGGAAGGGAGAGTTGGGCCAGGGCGCCCCGCTTCCAGCTAAATCCCAGGGCTGCAAATAGCTGGGCAGGCGGCTGGGCTCCCGTCCAAAGTGGGTAATCGCATCTCCCGTCTCATCTCGAGGGAATCTTCGCACTTTGCGGGAGGGGCTCCTATATTTAGCCGTCCCGGGCTAGACGCGCGAATGAGCGAGGAAGGAAGCCGCCTTCTGCCGCCAGCCCCGATCCCACCCGGGCGAGGAGCTTTGCCTGGCGGGGCCCCGGCGCTTCCTAGCGGCAAGACTCGTTCTCCCACCTTCTGGGAGCCGCTTCCCTGGAGGCCGTCGGGGCGTTTTCACAAGTGACGCAATGTCTTAAAAAAAAAAAAAGAATTTGGACTGCGTCACTTTTGAATATGCGTTTTTTAAAAATGCGTTTGAGCGGAAAGCGGAAGAGAGCCATTTTAAAAATCCGGTGTTAATTCTAGTTAGCCAATAGTCGGAGGGTTTAATTCGAATTTCGAAAGGAGAAGTGCAAGAAGCCGATGTATAAGTGTGGCTTCTGAGAATCCTCCTCCCCTGGGAGGGGCTGAAAACTGTTCGCCCTCCGTGACCACAAAACGCTGCTCTCAGGCAGACAGTTCCTCTCCTCGCTAGCTTGGTCTGTATCAGTGGCTCTGGTGCCGGGAGCCGAAGAGACCCGGCAGTAGGGGAATGAGGTGCACCTCTCTTCTGCCCCTCTCTCTGTTGTAAAGCCAGGGAACCCTTGAAAAAGGGGAGCTTTGTTCACTAGTCGGTTTTTATTTTGGTCAACCTAGCACTTGAAAGTGGTTAGAGAGCTTTCCCCTTAATCCTCTTACCACCCTGTAAGGAAGTTCAGAATTCCTATATCTAGAATTGAGGCTGAGATAAAAGCTTGCTGAAAGCCACCAAGTGCATAGGAAAACTTGAACCTGGGGCTCAGTGACTTGCAGCTTGGTCTTAGCCGTTATGCTCAGTCAGTTTTTGTCAAGCCTCTGGCCATTACAAAAGATAGCTATTACATTGTTCTCAGTTTGCCTGAGGAAATTTGGAGATGCATCTTCTTTTTGCAATTGTTTTTTGTTGTTATTGAGATTTAAGGTTTTTGGTTTAAGTGCTGTCACTTATGGATGCTGTTGGGTTTTTTTTTTTGTTTTTTTAAAAAAAGGAATTAAAAGCTATTGTGTCTGGTGAACTCCGGTAGATGCCAATTCTTGAAATATAAGAACTTCCGCAGAAAAGCACACTTTTGACACATAAAAGTACACAAATTAAACCTTCATCCTTATAGAACCATACCCTGAAGCAAAATAGCCTCAAAAGAAACCCAAGCAAAGTGTTAGTCAATTGCTGTTACTCTAAGGGGGGGGGGAGAGATACTTAAGATGTTCAGCTTCATCTTGCTCAAAAGGGAATCTCTATGGAATTCAAAACTTTGTTTCCAAACTTTGTGCCTGGAATCTTTTTTTCCTGTTGTGGAGCATAATTGGGAATGTGGCCAGACCTTAGCTGTGTGCAGTGTGAATGGCATTGCCTCTGGTGATGATACTCCCTGCAATGCACCACTTTCCCTAACCGTGTGTAAATACAGTGCAGATGTCTGACAAAAACTCTCTTGGGAGTTCAAGTGTACCTTGAATGAGTTGGTTCCCTGGTGAGATATGTGGGGGAAAGGCACATAAAAGGAGCAGCAAAACAGGCATGATTTTATAGGATGGAATGTCACCTCTGGTATGGTGGCAGGTTATTTTTGTCCCAGCGTGGATGTTCCGCTTTGGCAGTGGTTGGATGGTTTGTCCTTCTAACGTGTGCACTGATCTGGTTCCACTTGTGCCCCTTCTGAAATGAAGCCATGGGCTACATACCTATGCTCTTTGAGGGGAAATGTGCCGCCTTTCTCTATTCACCCTGGTAGCAACCCCCACAGTGAGTGAAGCCAGACTCTTCCAACCATAAACGGGTGAAGTGAAGACCTGACAAAGGGGAATCTGTGCTAGATTCATATGTTAGGTATAACTTAATAGAGATGGTCTTAAAGAGAGCCTAAAACCCACCCAGAACTAGCCCACTATCCCTTCTCCCCATTATCTAGTTTTCTAAGTGGAGAGCATGTTGTGGAGAAGCATTTGACCGTATGATTCCCCCATCCACAGTCTAAAGTAATGCAATCTGAAAACAGGTTTACCATGGCAGCAATGTTACAACTGTAGCTAGTTATTATAGGCAGGGAGCCCCACTCCTAAGTGTGGATTTTCCTCCCCCCACCATTCTTGGTATGTAGCTTTCCCATTTCCCTGCCTGTCAGTCTGGCTCCTCTAGCTCTGCCAATATTACTTGCAATGAGCGGCCAACGGGTTCTTTCTCCCTCGAATGTGTATGGACTCTCTCTCAATGGCGGAAGTGGGAGGTGACTGAAAGCAGGGTGATCTATGTGCCTAGGCCCATTCAGCTTGAGTCCTGGAGATGGGCCAAAACTGTCACAGCAAGAAGATTGCTAACTCCATGGGCTGGGTTGCCCAACAAGCTGGGTGGCTCTGTAAACAGCTACCCTCCCTGACCCTGACCTAAATTATGATGGCAAGACCCACACTGCACCGGCTGGCATAAACTCACCGGTCACAGGAGCTCCTCAGGAATTTTCGCTTGGGCTGTTGCCTGCTTGACCACTACAATATGACATGATGATGACTTGCAGTTAGAGTCAGGGCTGCCTTGAGTCAGCAACCTGAGTGTGTTGGCTTCGTGTCCCCTGATCTGGCTATTACCTGCCTTTCCAATTTCCTCTCGCACACCCCAGTTCTGCTTCCCATTCAGTGGGTCTGTGCAAGCCTTCATCAACATGCTGCTGTTTTTTGTGTTATGAATTGCCTCCCACATGCATCCCAAGGTGATGTACAAAATATAACTAAAAGCCAGTTACAAAAAATAACAGAGGAGCTTTACAAATGATACAAAACAGACACAAATGGCCTATTCATCCCGCTGGGAAAGCCTGACAGAAAAGTCATTCTGAGCATTCAGATCTAATTTTGAATAAGTGAGCCCTACGCAGGCCTATCATCACTGTCTTGGCTGCCAGGCGGGAGGTGACTAGATGTCACCTGTGTGGGGATCCAGGCGCCTTTGCCCTGGGGACAGGGAGAGGGAATGAGAATGAATTCTCATGTTTTGATCTGATGTGGTTCCCCAGGTTGGGTGGTGCTAGAATGCGGTTTATGAAATGCATAGAGTAAATATGTGTGCCGTGTGAAGCAGGAGAGAGGAGAGTGCTGAAGAAACCTCTATGCATTTTTAATAAACTCTGGAGTGTGGGCGTAAGAGGCTGGAAGTGCCGACCGAGTGACTGCTTCTGCTCATTCGCCTGTGGCTTCCGTGTGCAATAGACAGCTTAACAAAGCTGCTAAATGTTTTGTTCACTCCAGTCACTGCTGCACCAAATTCTAAAAGCACCACAATGTGACTAAATTAGGGATAGATTGGCACTCTTCAGTGTAATTCACAGCTCAGGTGCATTCCCTCCAATCTACCCAATTTGCTTTGGCACTACATTTTTGGAAGTGGATTGTGATTCTGTCCCATGTCCTGTAACTTGGGGGGGGGGACCTCTAGCAGTCTGGATGCTAGAGATTTGCACCCAGCCAGCATGACTAGTGGTCCAGGATAATGGCAGTTTTAATTCAGTGGCCTCTGGATGGCTGTATTCCTGACTCTCATGCTGCAACGTTGCTGCTGCCTGGTTTGGTTGACTAGAGGCAAAACCACACCTAGACCTGGAGTTATTTTGCCTCTAGTGTTCATTTAAACTGCCACTCTGAAATTCTCTAGGTCACTTGCCCCAAGGTGTGGCTACTCCTAACTGGTGAATTGCAAGGGCAGAAATTGACAACCTGGGGGTCTGTAGATGCTGTGGTGCCCATGTATTTATGGATTACTTTGTAATGGCAAGCACTTCCTTCACCTGTGCGTGTGTGCACTCAAGTATGCTTTATATGTGTGTGATTGAGAGAAAGGGAGAGATGCTGGGGGGCCCTTTTATATTTTTGAACATTTTGGAAGTCGAACAGACGTCCAGAACGGATTCTGTTCAACTTCCAAGGTAAGACTGTATTGGAGAATGTTCCCCGTGGTTAACCAGCAACAGCTTCAGTGTATGTGTGTGGAATAAATATTGTGAGATCTCCACAATCAGGACCAGCAGGACATAGGTGACTTCCCATGTCAACCATGTGGTTGTCTGGAGGGGAGCAAAAAATACTCTTTTAATTTTTTGTTATGCCATGCTCACGCAGCACTGGCTCAGAATTCAAAATGTGCCCAGTGGACCAAAAATGTTGGCAACCCTTTAGCAAGGGAAGGGCATTCAGCTAAAACAGTAGCCTTTGCCAACAAGTGTGCATGAGCTGCCACTGGGGCTTCTGGCTAGGAGTCGTCTTGATGGTTCTACCCCCTTCCTTCTTTCTGCCATAGGCTCACAACTCTTTCTCTCTCCACAGCGTGAGTGTATCTCAGTCCATGTCGGCCAGGCTGGCGTGCAGATGGGCAACACCTGCTGGGAGCTGTATTGCTTGGAACATGGGATTCAGCCAGATGGACAGATGCCAAGTGAGAAGACCATTGGCGGTGGGGATGACTCCTTCACTACCTTCTTCTGTGAAACTGGAGCTGGGAAGCATGTGCCCCGGGCTGTCTTTGTGGACTTGGAACCCACCGTGATTGGTGAGTGCATGTGCAGGAATCTGAGCCTCAAAAGCTCTCTGATGGGCACCAGCAGTTAATCCCCTCATTGGCCCTGGGCCTGGCTTGGGCAGGGATCTGGGCCCACTTCTAGAAGGTCAGGGGAAATACTTGATCCATTTAGCGGCTAAGGAATCCTTGAACACTGAGGGTGGAATTCAGTGCCACACTATTACACCCATCCTGCTAGTGCAAGCCTTTCTATTTGTCAGATGGGGGTCTGCCTGAGTCCCCAAGTCATGGGAGGGGCACAAGCCCCAGTTGCAGCAGCCAGACTTAATTGCTCTGGCTGCTGCTTGCACAACTTACGTTGATTCTGGCACTAGGTCAGTAGCTGGCAGACTTTAGGCCAAATTTGAGTCTGAAGGGTGCAAAATAGGTCTGCAGTTCCCCATCTATAGGACTCTGGGTGTGTGTGGCAACTGTGACAATGGGATCTGGCAGCATGCAATGGAGGAGTTCAACTTACCAACTCCCACTTGATTCTCATAGTGGGATTTCATCAAAACTAGTAACTGACTAGAGAGGCAGACTGTATTAACTTAACCTGCTAGTAAAGTGATTTTGGCAAGGAGCATTCTGGGTCCTGTAAACTTTTGAGGAATTTGGGCTGCAGGTGATCACACTTCCCATTTTGGGTAGGTGTGTCAGGGATCCTCAATTTGCTTGCCCAATTAAAGAGTCTGAAATATCCACCATACTGATAATTTCTTTTGCATTCCAACCTTTTTTTATGCAGATGAAATTCGTACTGGCACGTACCGTCAGCTCTTCCATCCAGAGCAGATGATCACTGGCAAGGAAGATGCTGCCAACAACTACGCCCGTGGGCACTACACCATTGGCAAAGAGATCATTGACTTGGTGCTGGACAGGATCCGGAAACTGGTATAGTCATGGTGTGGGATGGGAATAGAAATTCAGGTCCGCTCACTTTTGTCTCTTGGTTCAATGCACCACTAGCATGTGGCCCAAGGAAGATTCTCTCTGAGGGAATGACACCCTTGAGCTGAAAATGTTCCTCACCCTGCTTTAGACACTATCTGTGTTCTGCTTTCTACTTTCTCTTTGCCTCCACTGCTCACTGCCTTTCACTCATACAGGGGAGAGTTTTTCCACTTCTTGGGCACTTTGCATGAAGTGAGAGGATCACACTTGTGCTGCTAGGATACTTTCCCCATCCCTTCCCCAACCAGAAGAGGCAGTGGGTACACTGCTCACTGCTACAAGTATAATAACAGCAACAGCACCTCCTAATTAAGAGCTACCAGCTCTTCTAGATTGTGTATCTGAGAGAGAGGGAGGTTACCGGGCATGTGTAGGTCCATGCAAAGTTGTGAGTTTCCAGAGGCAAGGAAATACTATCATTAGGCAATTAAGTGGCTAATTGCAAGCTTCAGGTTAGTGAAGTCTGAACTTTATGGATCTAGGAATAGATATCTCTGCTGTGTCTCACGTCATAATAGTACAGTGCACTGCAATCTGAGAGAAGCTAATATTTAGCAACAATTTCTTTTGCGTTCTCCCAACAGGCTGACCAATGCACAGGACTCCAGGGATTCCTCGTCTTCCACAGCTTTGGGGGAGGCACCGGCTCAGGATTCACCTCCCTGCTGATGGAACGGCTCTCAGTTGACTATGGCAAGAAGTCCAAGCTGGAATTTGCTATTTACCCAGCTCCTCAGATATCAACAGCTGTGGTTGAGCCCTACAACTCCATCCTCACCACACACACCACCCTTGAGCACTCAGACTGTGCCTTCATGGTGGACAATGAAGCCATCTATGATATCTGCCGCAGGAACCTGGACATCGAGCGCCCAACTTACACAAACCTCAACCGCCTTATCAGCCAGATTGTGTCCTCCATCACAGCCTCGCTTCGCTTTGATGGGGCGCTCAATGTGGACCTGACAGAGTTCCAGACCAACCTGGTGCCCTACCCTCGCATCCACTTCCCTCTGGCCACTTACGCCCCGGTCATCTCTGCAGAGAAGGCCTATCATGAGCAGCTTTCCGTAGCAGAGATCACCAATTCTTGCTTTGAGCCAGCTAACCAGATGGTGAAATGTGACCCCCGCCATGGCAAATACATGGCCTGCTGCCTGTTGTATCGAGGCGATGTGGTGCCCAAGGATGTCAACGCTGCTATTGCCGCCATAAAGACCAAGCGCAGCATCCAGTTTGTGGACTGGTGCCCCACAGGCTTCAAGGTGGGCATCAACTACCAGCCTCCCACTGCAGTCCCAGGCGGAGACCTAGCCAAGGTGCAGCGGGCAGTGTGCATGCTGAGCAACACCACCGCCATTGCTGAGGCCTGGGCCCGCCTGGACCACAAGTTTGACCTGATGTATGCCAAGAGGGCTTTTGTCCACTGGTACGTAGGGGAAGGCATGGAAGAAGGGGAGTTCTCCGAGGCACGAGAAGACATGGCTGCCCTGGAGAAGGATTATGAAGAAGTGGGCATTGATTCATATGAGGATGAAGAGGAGGGAGAAGAGTAGCTCTAGATGCTGCACATTGTCTGATGGACCGTCATTTTCAATAAAGTATGTTTGGTTTTATCTGAATTTCTGTGGTATGCCTCTTTCTTGAATAGGGTTACAGCTTCACCTTGCTGGTGGAACAGCTTCAAGCACTGTTCGTTGCCACATAATGGCCATTTCCTTCCACACACCGTACACCTTGAAGGATTTAGAAAAGAGAAGGTGCCAGCCATAGCAGCTAAAGCTGAGCAAATTGGTGGCACAACATTGCACCATGGAGACTACATGGGCAAAGGGGGCATGAGCCTGGAATTATTTATTTTTATTAAATTTATATCCTGCCCTTCCCCATAATCTTTAGACAGGTCTTATACCTATTCACCAAGTTAAAACAAATTATGTGGCTAATAAAAGTGATGTAGTCAAATCATGCATACTAGCATATTCTTTTCTCCAGGCTTCACCATCACCACAACCACCCCGATTTGGTACAAAACTTTAAACCAGAATTAGGAAAGTGAAATGAGGTTAACAAACAAGAAAGGGACAAATAAAAGTGAGGAGTCTCACTGACTGTAGGCAGCTCTATGCGCCTCCTTTCTTGGCACTGGAGATTCTGTTTTGCCTCATATATTCTGATAATAACTAGCTTTTTTTCCCACACACAAAAAAGTCCTGAAGATAGCAGAAGTAGGATATCGAGCTATTACAAAACATCTCTCTCCCACCCTTTCCCGAAAACACTGAGTAGCATTTTAATTGCTCAACGATCTTGCAAAGTGGATTGGATGTGACTTTGCCCCAAACAAGGGTAAAACTTTATGCATAGGTAGGGATTTAATTCTGCATCTCATCACAATACTTCTTTGGATATCCACTGCAGGAAGATCCCCTGCAATCTCCTATCCAGGCTGAAATCTCATTAAAGTTAACGCCACCCCTGCCTTGAACGTGGATATATTCTTCCCTGTATTCCAGTCTGCCACCACTGACCCCTCTGCATACTACACTGTGTGGGATAGACACATCCCCTGAAGAGTTTGGAGAAATGCTGAATTGTATTTTTCTAGGCTTCTCAACCATAAAATTGAAGACTGGTGCATGTTCTGAAGATGTTGCTCTCTTTTACCCTCTCCTAGCCCCACTTTCAAATGTTAAGCTGCTTGTAAGCATACCTTGCCTAGAACGCTTTAGGCTCCAGTTCTTAGACAAGCGAGGAGTCATATAAAGTTTTAAAGATAAAGACCAGTGAGATCAGCGAGACAGATGGGAGTGGGCCTCACCTTAACTGTGAAATTAGGGGTAGGATTTATGTACTCCAGATGAAAAATGTTTGCTTTTCCTCTATTGGCTGCTGCTTCTCTGGACAAAGCACTTATTCATTCTTCCAGGAGCAAGGGAAGAGGAGGAGTGGTTACGCCCAACCTGAAAATGTGCTGGCTGCAAGTCAGGTCTGGCAAGGCCTGTGTAAACTGCTTTGCCCTCCATACCAGGCAGACAGCCAGTCCTCTCTCCTTGCCTGCCACCATGGCTGCTTTGACTATACATGGGCTATATAGCATAGGAATCTCAAACTAGAAGCTCCCCTCTTTACCTACTCTCGCAATGGGTGGTGGAGGATGTGTGAACCCCTTTCTGTACAACCCCTACTTCATGAAGGGCCAAAGAATCTCACATTGCTGACACGCTCTTCAGTCTGAATGCCTTAACTGCACTAACAGCAGTTGCCATCCCTGCTGTTTAACACACGGCTAAAGTGCCTGATGTGTGTTCTGTTTCACACGCACAGAAGTTTAGTACTGAGACCAAATACATCATACTGTATTTGACTTTCATCGATGAGAAACATTTCTAGACTTACGTGTGTGTGTGTATCCCCCTGCCTGCATCCATGAAGGCTGATGCAGTAATAACATGAGCTTTCAAGGTCTTTTAAGACTCTCTTGTGAGTTTGCTCCAACAGACTTAACACAACTCTTGTTCTGAAAATTGACGCACACCTTGGTCAAGGTCGACATGATTTCCTACCCCACACAGATATATAGAATCATAGAGTTGGAAGAGACCACAAGGGCCATCGAGTCCAACCCCCTGCCAAGCAGGAAACACCCATCAGAGCACTCCTGACATATGGTTGTCAAGCCTCTGCTTAAAGACCTCCAAAGAAGGAGACTCCACCACACTCCTTGGCAGCAAATTCCACTGTCGAACAGCTCTTACTGTCAGGAAGTTCTTCCTAATGTTTAGGTGGAATCTTCTTTCTTGTAGTTTGGATCCATTGCTCCGTGTCCGCTTCTCTGGAGCAGCAGAAAACAACCTTTCTCCCTCCTCTATGTGACATCCTTTTATATATTGGAACATGGCTATCATATCATCCCTTAACCTCCTCTTCTCCAGGCTAAACATGCCCAGCTCCCTTAGCCGTTCCTCATAAGGCATCGTTTCCAGGCCTTTGACCATTTTGGTTGCCCTCCTCTGGACATGTTCCAGTTTGTCAGTGTCCTTCTTGAACTGTGGTGCCCAGAACTGAACTGTGGTGCCCAGAACAGATTTTTCAGCTCTGAATAATTAGCAGCTGTAGCATAAAGCATATAAAACACACAAATGTTTACACAATGCAGTTTTTCTAGCCAGAAAAGATGGTAAAGCTACCAGGAGTACAACAAGAAGTAGACAAAAGTATAAGGAGTAAGAGAACTACATCATGGTTGCCCCACCTCCCTCTCCCCCCCCCCCCAGTTTATATATTTGCAAATCACATACTAAATATGTTTATACAGCTGAGTATGAAGACTTTATTTGACATGACAGGCCCGGAAGACATGCCTGTACCAAAACAAATAGGACACCAGCTTCTTAAATCATTCATCTAGAAGCTGTACTTGAGTACAGAATGCTGGGTTCTCTTTCCCAGCCGGTGATGAGGTATCTTGGTCCCTTGTAAGAGCAGCATCCTGCTGCTTTGGGGAGGTGGTTGACAATGGCCTACAACGCAGGTGAAGCCCAGTAAGGTGCATGCTAGGCCACCAGTGAGAATGGCAGGAGGACCTTCAAGCAAGTTCCAAGGCAGGCGATGGCCCCACTGCGGAAGAGTTTCCAAAGGAAGGAGGCAGGCACGGAACTGGAATGCAATGAAGCTTTGTCCAGTCTTTCCTGTAAACTTTGAACCACTGGAGGTCCCCCACGTGGGCTTCAGTTCCTTTGCTGCCTCCATGCTTACCCCACACACTCTGGGCTCAGATGCGTGTCATGTCCTGCCCGGTGGGAGGTGGCTGTATCGCTTCAAGCTGGCCTATGATGTCAGTGATGAATGGGCGCTCCTGGGGATTCACCACCATCATGGAGGAGAGGAGGCGTTCCAAAGCAGGCGAGTACCTGAAATTCAGAGGCGCTTTGTACCTGGTCTGCCTTGGATCAAGGACAACCTTCCTTTCACACAGCCATTCCTTACCTGGTATTCTGGGGCACGGTGAGTTGGTTCTGCACCGCCAAGGCCACACTGTCCCCCTTTTGGAAGATCATGTCGTAAGGCCCCTCTCCAAACATCATACAGTACAGAACGCAGCCTAAGGACTAAGCAGAGGCAAGGTGAGAGTAGGGAGAAAGCTGGCTCTTGAATGGGAAGGCACCTCAAGGACAGGATCTCCCTCCCTTGCACAGGGACAAATTGGGGAACTGCATCCTTTGACTTAGGTGACTAAGTGGATTTTTTCCCCTAAATGGAAATGGAGGATCCTTACCCAGATGTCAGTACGTTCATCGATGACGCATTCACGCTCCACAGTGAACAGCTCTGGTGCTCTGTATGAGATGGTGCAACGTTGGGCAGCCCAGTCCTGCAAAATAAATTAGAGGGAAGTCGCTTTGGGCAATATAAAGCGACTGACAAATTTAATAAATAATAAATAAGACAAGAACTTAATCTCAAATACAGTGTGTGAGAGAGGGAGAGGGAAAGAGAAAGAGAAAGTAAACAGAAGGCCTTCGTCTCAACTTTTTTCCTCAGGAACATTCCTGCAATGCCTATAATTTAATGTAGTGGCAGTAGTGTTAAAGTAAATGATTGCAGCTTACCAGAGAAGGAAGGAAGGAAACCTCGGGCTCTGCCTGCCCACAGGCGTCTCAATTCTACATATACTTTGAAGTGATTGACATTATGATTTAATTATGAGAAAGATGATAACTTTCTAAATTAATGACCCATCACAGTTTATATGCTAGTTTATTTGCCTCTTGTTGCAGCCCTAACCACGCTATGTGGGATGGAAGGGGGAATACTGTTAATCTTTTGGAGACACAATTTACGGTGACTTTAGTTAAGGAATAGGTAGCTTCTGAGAACTTCGTGAAGTTTTTTTAAACTGCTCTTTCCTCTGTGGAAATTTTCCATGTTACAGAAGCAAAGATTGCATAGTATCACATGGATCGTTTTGCATGGGCAAACAAGATCACAACTTGCTAACATTCCCTTCCACTCTTCTGTTTAATTGCAGGTGTTGAGGGGACTGGTGCCTGCCTGAGCTCCTTTTACAATTAATCTAATTTAGAGGGTTCTTCACCATCTTTGCTGGAAGCAGCTATTCTCCCGTTTCCTTTTCACCAGGCTGCCCTCCTACCTGAATAGTCATGGCCTCCCGCAAGCTTTGCACCTCAATGCGGGCCTGATTCATAGAGCCCAGGTCCATCAGCAGCGGTTGGTCCTCATCATCCAGGAGAACATTTGTAGGCTTCAGGTCTCTGAAAAAAAGATCCTTGATTTGTCCAGCCACAGAACCATAAGAGCTTTGAAGTCGACTTTGAACCCCTTACGTCCCCAGGCTCTGGCTTCCCCTATTGCAAATACTGCTCCATGTCAAAATGTGTTTCTTTAGCTTTGCAAACTCCTGTGTCGGTGCTGTCAATATTGATCTATAACTGATCACCTACGTCACCCACTTCCTCCGCCCTCCCCAAACATGGGCTCTGTTCCAACGGTGAGAATGCCCTATGCTTTCTAGACCCAGCTTCTCACCTGTGTGCATAGCCCTTGTTATGAATGGCCTGCAGGCCCCGGCAGATGCCATGAAGGATGGCCAGGATCCTCTCCTCCGGCATGAAGGCGTCTTTATCTCTCAGAGTTTCAACTTCCTGCCAAAGGGTCCCTCTCTGCAAAGAGAAGCCCAGGCACGCTGGTGATGGAGATCACACATATTCTCCTCAAAAAATACCGGATGAGGAAGAGATCCTCTATTAGTGCATTTAATGTATTAGGTACAAACCCTCCACCTGCACAGGGTTGAAGGAAGTGATTTCCTAGAGGATGGCACCATCCCCACTCCAATATGACCGAGAAGATGCAAAAAAAAAGCTTTTGGGGACAGCAGCTTTGGAGCCAGCCTGATTGCCTAACCATTCCAAGAGGCACTTATCTCTGCTTTACTATGGGTCACCATGCTTCCAGCTCTGAACTTGCCCTATCACTCTGCTGGGGTCTGCTGTTTTTAGGTGACTATTGTTGTGGAGCTTTCTGCCAGGGCCAAAATGCAAGCATAGCAGAAATTTGGGAGCACAGTTGAGCACAGCACAGTGGAGTAAAACTACAATAAAGACAACCTTTCAGCTTACTGATCTGGGCTGAACTTAGGAAAGGAATGGATGCCTGAGGCTCCAAGCTGACTTCACAGGGGTGCTGCCATGCCCACCACATTAAGGGGTGTGTAGAGAAAAACCAGATCAGATTATCTGATCCCCTGAGAATTGTGGCACCTGCCACAAAATCTCATGTGCTGCCATGTTACTAAATCCTTTCAAACTGAAGCAGCAGTCTGTAAAAGCGGACGGAGGTCCTTTATCACAGAGGACAGCTCTGGAATCTGGTCCAGTAGAAGTCAAGGAGAATAACATGCGCTCTGAGGCTCTGGCAGCCAAAAATGAGATGAATCTCAGGGTTCAGCTTGTCCCTTATACTGTCTAGTAGAAACATGAAAACTACTGGGAAAGATTATCCAAGGATTTGGGACTGGGTACCAACTATATGCTGATGACACCCTTTCCATTCTGTACCCTGGGAAACCTCTATTGGTTTATTTTTTTAACTTGTGATTGCAGGCCACCTGGGGTGGGAGTCCAAAGGGCAAGATGAAAACAATTTTATAAATAAATGCTATGGGACCGATTGCAACTGGTGTAGAAGCAGGGTTCCATCAAGTGGCTCCATCCTGAAAATGGCCTCATGTATCCATCCTTGGTGGGAACCAGGCGGCTGCTGGAAGAGACCAACCTCTGCAGCTACGGTCCTCTGCAGCTACGGTCCCAGTATACAACACCTCTCAGCCTTGCATGATGTAGCCACAAATACTACATTTCCCAGCATGCACTGCTGTATCCACCTGCACCTTACACCCACACTCACCTTCAGGAAAGGCAACAGGAGCCAGGCCTCGTGTTTGGATCCCCTCTCCACCATGGCATGTGCACACAGGGTCAGGATGTTGGGATGCTCAAAGAGAAGGTGCATCTCTACCTCATGCATGGCCTCCTGGCGATCATCCTTGTCATGGCATATGATGCGTTTCAGTGCATAGAAGCGCCCATCGTGCAGCCCTTCTACTAGGTCCACGTAGCTAAAACCTCTGTGTGGGGAGAAGGTATGTCAGGAACAGAGCAGGCAGCTTGGTGGGTGGGGGGGAAGGATTTTTATTCTCCTCTCCTGCTGTCTGTACGCACAGGCCTCTGCTCCTGCCCACCTCTAAGCTAACAAAGTAGTGCCATTACAACTCAGAATAGGAGATTTTTAAAAAGAGGAAATTATGTAACCTTCTTCCTCTCCAACGATCAACTGAGGAATAAGGCATTAATTTCATGCTGTGGCACAGGAATGTATTTGTGCTCCTCTCTATCCATCATCACAGCTGGCAAACAGTGCAAAATTACACAGCAATTTAACAGGCTTATCAATAACAATGAGGGTTTCAACCATACACTGAAAGTGTCCCTAACCCATTGGGAATGAAGGTTGGAGGATAGATCACCCTATATCCTGACGCTTCCTGCAGTTTCATCTGTAACATCAGACATTTGCAGTCATCAGAAAAAAACACCACCACCACCGAGCTGGTCTGACGGCTTAGCAGTTCAGTGTGTTTTAGTTATCTAAAGGATGACACAGAGGAGTGAGGATGTCTGTTTACCAAGACTACTGAGGGAAGACCAGCAGGTTCAAATTGCAGCAAAGAAGACTTTGGTTACATATCAGGAATAAACTTTCCAACTGTAATGAATGAGTAAGCAACGGAACAAGTTGTTCAGAGTAGATTGTAGCTGTCTGCAGAAATATTTGCTGCTTAATCCTAAGCACATTTACTCAGAAGTAAGTTCAAAGGAGCTTACACCAAAGCATGAAAAAAAAAATTGAGGGGTGATTTGTACAGGATGAATATTGCCTCTGCAGTGGATTTGGTAGATGGGGTGGGATGGGGAATATGTGTCCTCCAGTCACAACCAATATGGACAATGGTCAAAGATGATGGAAGCTGAAATCCAGCAGCATCTCAAGTGCCACAGAATCCCCACCACTGGACTATGCGGATCCTAGATGATGTACCTTTCAGCTTTATCTCTTGCTAACAATGACAGTGCTCAATGTGTAGATGAGATGTGTGAAAACTTAGTCCTCAGTTCTCATATACTCACCCCTCCCCAAGTCTATGGATTAAAAGGTAACGTTTGTTATTGATGGTGATGGTTCCCCTTGAGCAGATACATAGGGCTTGGCCCATGATGGTTGCTCCAACATCCTTCAGGTCCTACAGAGGGAAAGAAAGCAATATTTATTCATTTATAATATTTTGTCTCCTGCCTTTTCATACATGATGCTGAAGATGACTAACAGCATTAACAATTTGAAGGGGCTGCATCCAACAAAATCTTTGTGTTCCTGCGAGGACTTCTGCTTGTGCATTAGAATTTCCCCTCCTCTTCCCATGCTCCACCCCACAATCTGCTCCTGAGGATTGGGGGGAAAACCCAGAGGATACGTGTGGGGGATGCAGAAAGAGGGCAAGTTCCATTGCACAAGCTGAAGTTCTTGCAAGAATGGGACAGCTTCACTGGATACAACTCATAATATAACAAATACAATGGAAACTTCAATTAATAAATATGAAAGGAATTAAAGCCAGCAGCCAGCTGAAAACTAAAAACTTGCACTGTAAATAAAAATAAAATAAAATAAAATTGGTCAGTCAGTGACAGTGCATCAGAAACAAGTCAAGATGGGTCTAGGGATGGAACTCCAGAGACTGAGTGCAGCCACTGAGAAGGCCCTGTCCCACAAGAAATGCACCTCAGCTATTGGTGGAACGTGGAAAGGCCTTTCTCACAAAGATCTTAATACATGAGCACTTTCATAGTGGAACAGACCTAACTTCTAGAGTTAAAAGGGAGTACAAGACAATCTAAGACCTTTCTCTTGCCTAAAGATAGGAGTGTTCACTTACCAGTCTCCTGTTCCCTAACATGTGCAATTTAGCGACAGCATCCACAAAACTGGCACCAAGAAAGCAAATGATCCTAGGTGCCTCAAGCAAACAGGTGCTGGGGGAAAACAAATTCTCCACCCTGTCATCATTGAATCTGCTGGCGGATTGAAGAAGAGTATGTCTAGTTAATTTCCCACTTCAAATGTGATGATCAGTCACAACTCAAGATTGAGAAAAATATATTCACTGGATCTTCCAAAAGCAAATAGCCTGCTTATGTGGACATGAGACTGCAACTTCATTCATTCAGGATTCTATGTTTAGTTACAGCAGTCTCTCCCCTCTCCATCCCCAGAGAAAGGGAAAACCCATTTTTTCATCTGGGCAGGAAAAGAATGCATACCATGCAGCAACATGTCTATGATGGCCCATAACTGGTATCACGTTAGGCACAAGTAAGTCCTACTGAATCCAATGTGGCTTAGTCCAAGGTAAATGGAGTTAGGATTGCAGTCTAAATCGTGACACCAGCTGAATTATATACACAGAGAACTCCACTCAGGCAAGGAGAGGAAGTGAAAATGTTTCAGTGAATGGCTACTAAAAGTGTGTTACAGTTTACAGTTTTTAAAGTGCAAGTAATAAATGAAACATTTTGGAAACACCCATGGCAAGCTCCCTATAACACAGTACATGCCTTTGTAAATTAAACAGTTTCTAACATTGGTTGGTATCTGGGGTCTGAGGAGACCTAGTTTTTCCTCTCTCTCCAGGTGACAGCTGGCAACGACAGCTCACTTTACAAACACATGACACCAGCTTCCTACTCAAGTGACCTCCAATTGAATCATTCCGATTTGAACGAGAGGCTGCATTCCGTAGTAGGTGGAGGAGGGGCAGAAATAGCAGAGATCAGCTTCCCCACCACCCAGGAGAAAACCACGCGTGGGCGCTCCTGAGATGAAGGCTTTGTCACCAACATCTCCCTCCCTCCGCAGTGCGGTGCCTAAGCTGACTCCGCCACGAGCGAGGGGGGATACACTCTGTACATGGCTAGAGGCACGTTCGCTTTCGTTGTTATGTCATTTTGTTCCAGTGCTGAGCCCGGACATTCGGACTAGGTTCCCGGAGTTGAGCCCGGGCTCAAAATGAGGGGGAAGGGAGCTGAAGCATTGCCTTGAGGAGCCCACGCGAAGCTCTCTTTCTGGCCCCAGCAGGCTGGAGCCAGGAATAGTGGAAGCCCACGACTCTGTCACTTTTCCTAAGGCCCCGCCTACCTGCGGAGATGGGGCGGGGCCGGGACGGGGCGGAGAGGAGTGCGCTAAGGACTCACCCGTCTCTGTCCGGCGCACGGACGCTTCCGAGGGAGCTTTAGCGCGACAGAAGCCGCGCACTCCGCCTCTCGACGTCATTATTCCGCGCCATCCGCACTGCCGCCCGCAGAAGGTAGCCTAGCAACCGTTCAAGGGGGCGGAGCAGGAGCTGCGGGAGCGAAGGGCAGGGAGCGTGGAAGGGAGGAAACTGTAGAGGAAATGGGGGGAGGGGTAGAAAAAAAAGAGTTACAGGAGCAGAATGTCCCAGTTTAGGGGACAGAGTGTTGTGGTTGGACGTGGTTAGTGGATTCTGGACCTCCATGCGTGTTTACTGAGGAGTAAATGTGTTGAATTCAGTGAGGCTTATTCCCAAGTAAATGCACACCGTCATAAACACTGGTTTACCTCACAGGGTTGTTGTGAAGATTTGTTATTCCTTTTTCCATAAAAATTGCACGCCTCTTGTTTCTTTAACCCCTCCCCTTCTGAATCCCATGTAAGGCTTCAACATTTTATTTTTTTGTTACGTTTTTAACCTAGTACTCCTCTAAAGAGCTCTGTATGCCACCATCCCTCTTTATCATCAACAACCCTGTGAGGTAGGGTAGGCCGGTGGTGGCTAGCCCAAGATTGTTCAGCTAACTTGGTGTTTGAGTATAAGGGAGTCATTGGAGCACCCCACAATTGCCTAACTTTGGCTCCCATAGGTTCAGGTTGGGGGTCACAAGCAAGAGACTTTAACCAGGAGACCCAAGGAAAGCAGCGGCCAGTAGGCCTGATCTTTATTGTTGCAACAAGACTACCACATGGAAGAAGCAGAGAGAAGTCCCAAACAAAGGATGGCTCCCTGTTTTTATAAGTTTCCCAACTTCCCCATAACACCCTTAGTAAAACATCATACATTTGTCATAACTATGTCATAAATTGGGAGGGGTCTTCTGGCAGAAACCTGAGCACCAGGCTTGCCTTGTCCTCACATGACCTCCACTTTCCAATCTTTAGGCGAAACAAAGGTAAGTATTTACATTTGCCTGTTTTCCCAGACAAGTTAAGCACACCCTTTGTCTTGACCAAGACCCCAATCCACTAAGGTTGGGTTTGGGATTGTTCTTAGAATGACTACCTGTTCTGGTACTCAGGTGCCAGGATGCCAGAGATTATCACCCAGGCAGTGGGACACACTGAGTAGGGGGTCTCACCCTTCAGGGATTATGGCTGCCCCTACCCATTTCCGAAGCTCTTCCCCTGCTAGCCATTTTCCCTCTGAGTAGAACAATGTTGGAATGGCGTAAATCTGTCATTGCAGTGATTTTATATAAATTTCTAAAGTTTTCCTATTGACCTAGTACATAGATACATTTATCAGTGAATTGCTACATTTGGTAGCAGAGGCTCTTTGTCTTTGGCTCCTAGTATGGAGAGGCAAGGCTTGTGGTGGTGGGAAAGATCTCTCACCCCCCTTCCAATTTCCCGGTACCATAACAGTTTGGATTTGAATTCATATTTTCTCCCACCAAGTTCACTACACCAGCCACCCACAAGACATGAAGGAGAATTAATTTTACTACCACTATGGATGATGATGATGATAATGATAAAAATAATTTCATTTCCTCAGTTCTCAAATATGAATATGAGAAGGGGGGCACTCCATATAATGTCCAAGTAATCCCTCTGACTTAGAATAAAACTAAGGTGGTATTTCTGGAACCTGATGTGTTTCTCATAACTTGTACCAGTCTGTGACTCTTGATGAGACCCATATTCCTAGAACATCCTATCCCTTTGTGAGGTGGCACAGAATGTGGTGACATCAAAGGTGATATAGCTTTGGTGTGGCAAAGATATGCATCATCCTGCGGGTATACAAATGACTCCTGCTGCTGACTGGCCACAGTAATGCAAAGGCCCAGTAAGTAAAAGGTTCTTTAGATGACAGGTGAGTTCTTGTAAGTTGGATGTATTCTATTTAAAATACATATTAAAATGTCATACACTAAACAAATCTATAATATTAATCATATAAAATGTACCACAGTTGTTCATAGAGTAGTGTAACAAACGGGTAATACTATCTTTATTTTTCAGTAGAATATATCCAAAATGATATTAAATCATAGATGACACTTACTCTTGTATGTTTTATTCAGGTTTAATTCTGGGACTGTGCTTTTGATGCATTCACTGGACTCTGATATTCATGCTCTACTGTGTTAATAAGTATTGTACATCATGCCAAATTTAAACACAGCTTTTAAACCACAAACATGCCACAAACCCAAAATTAACCACAGTCAAGTGATAAGGAGTCAAACCCATTGACAGCATTCCTTAACTGCATTGCCTGCTGCCTAAATATGTGATGTGTTGGATAGAAAAGAAAAGCATTCAATTAGTAGACAAGGTTTTGTTTGTGCCTGTATTTGGGACTGGGCAAGAATCCCCCTCACACCAGTCAGGTTGGTAAGGACCCTAGGAGATTTGAGATTTCCCTTGTAGTGTGTAGCTCAACCCATTTGTGTAAGTCTTTTCAAACTATTATCCCTGCATGCACCTTTCTGCAGTGCACTTGCTCCCTTTTTCTTGGCAAACTATAGTCTGGAACTGTGAGGGGTTGGTGGATGAATAGTTTTACACTGGGCAAGGTGCAGACTGGCAGGCTTTTCAGTCCTCTTGACCTCTATAATTTTATCATCGGTTACTTGAGTTTCTCTTAGGATTCTGTTTTGGGGAGTGCACTGACAGAGCCAGCTTTGCCCACAGAATCTCCCAGGTTTAGTTCCTTGTGACTTCACTTAAATGGGTTTCAAGAAGCAGGGCTGAGAAAGACTACTGTCTTTCCAAGACTATAAACATGCTATAGAGTAAACAATTTCTGGACTGGATGACCAGTGGTCTGACTTTGTACTATAAGAAACTATATGGCTGAGCATCTCATTCCTATAGAAAGGGATCAATTTATGCCAGTGGGGTACACAGAGCAAGGAAGAGAGGCCTCTAAGATTAATTATAGTTAGGAGAAATTGCAACCTGTTTTAGTTTCGTTATGAGTTTGGAAGTGGGTAGGCTGTATGCCTGAGCCCTTCTTTTAATTCCTAGATCCAGCATGGATTCAGTTGCTGAAATAGCCAGGCCAGCCTGGTAATGGCCTTCTAAGGAAGAGTCCTTCAGGGAGCAAAGGGAGTGGCTCTGTGCCAGAGGGCAAATGGGTGGGCCTCCCTTCCCTGGTTGGAAAGACCAAAGGACAGAGCTGAGGGTTGAGTTATGTGAACTAGAAGCTGGAGCCAAAAACAGTGGGTTGGAAGGCCAGAGAGAGCGAGAGAGCGCCAGGCCTGATTTCTGCTGGAATCTAAGGCTGTGGCTATGAGACAAGCAAGGCCTTCTAGGGGTGTTAATGCTGTGAACCCTTCCATTGTAGGCTCAGGTTGTATATATGTGTAAATAAACCATATATCCTAAAGACACTGCAGTCTCTACTGTGCCTCATTCCCAAAGGAAACACAAACCCAGGGTAAATGAACCCCTGGAATCTTGCACTGCTCAGAAACTAGGGTAGCATGCAACAGTATTAAATGTGGGAGCAGGAAGGCACCAAGGAAGCAATGATTATAACAAACAAACCAAAAAGTAAAGGAGACTAATGGAGCACCATCTTGCAGCTTCTCTCAGAAAGAAAAATAAGCACTGATTAATGATAGTGAATTAAATGTCAAAGTGCAATTTAATTGAACAGCTGGAAGTTAAAACCGGATACATCCATATTAGAAGACAGATCCCAGGATTTAGCAGACTGTGCAGATTAATCATTGCAACAAGCTGCTGGTGGGAGGGAAAGAATGTAAATTTTCCATTACTCATAGCCTTCAGACCAAACAGATTATGTGGTTATTTGTAATGTAATAGCCCCCCAGTATTACAATAGATTAGAGCATTCCTTAAATTATCTGAGGGAGGTCAGACTAGATGTTCTCACTGATTCTTCTGCTGTTGTAGACTAGATAGGCATGTCAGGTCCTTGACTAATCACTGCATTTGGTGTAGCTCATTTGGATACTTAATTTAACTTACAAAACATGTCCACATTTTGTCTATATGTATAAAGGAGAATTAAAGTCCCCTGAGACTGCATACATACCATATATTAAAAGCATCTGACTTTCCCCAAAGAATTATGGGAACTGTAGTTTGTCCCTTGTGTAGCTACAATTCCCAGCACCCTTAACAAACTACAGTTCTCAAGATTCTACGGGAAAAGTAACATACTTTCAATGCATGGTGTGTACAGAGCCGTAGAAACCTGCATCCTTTGTGCCATTACCAAAACAACAAGATTGAGGTTTTTGATCCAGTGGTAGACAGCTGTGCAGTGCAGTGCCAACTCTGCTGTCTCTCTGCTTCTATCCACTATATAACTCTGAGCAGCACAAACTACCATTTCTGATGATTTGAAGAAGTTTATGTTTCTCATACTTCAGTAATTTGAGTATGGGAAACCAACTCTGTGTTCCAGTTCCTCTGTGCTGCTTCATAATTCTCTCCCCGGGATTTGGAGGGAGTTTTGTGCCTCATAATTTCCTCCTCTGATTTATAGTCACGGACTCTGTATATAGTTGCTGGAACATTGCCTCCTCTTTTCCACCTCTCTGTTCAAATAAGGCCTGTCTTTACTTACTTCCCTCCTCACAGGGACCAACCAGAGGAAGCACCAGGCCTGCCCACTAGCTTGTCATGTGATGACTCCTTGTGACTCTCTTGTCCCGGGCTGAAGCTGTAACCAAAGAGATGGAGCTGCTGCTGTGTGTTTTGATGGTGGTGTTGGGAGGCCTGCAACTCCAGGTAAGCAACAAGAAGGAGAACTGCAGGAGGGTTTTTCTTTGGAAGAAACAGCTGAGATGGAACCATCTTAGACTGCCTAGGGGAAATTTAAGGATTTCCTTTTCTGTTGCTTTAGATTCCCCACTTCCTCTCCCCCCAGTCAAACTGAGGTCAAGCTTTTCCTTACCTCTTCTTGGTTCCTTTCCCCCATCTATTATTTTGCCTGTTGTATAGGAATGGGTTCATATTGGGAGTTCCCCAATATGTAATCAAGCCATGCTGCTTTAAAAAAAATCCCATTCAGCCAAAAAAATGGCTGCAAGGGAGAGAGAGAAACTGGCTACATTCCCAACTGTCAGGTTCTCGGTGAATTGGCCAGTAATGATGAGCAGTCTGTACTAGTGGAAACAATTTCAGGGGCAGGACCAAATGGCAAAAACTTTGTGTGTGTGTGTGTGTGAATATTTGCAGAGGATAAAGCATAAGATTGGAAGCAGAGAATTGAGTGGCTTCAAATTATGATTTAGTAAATGGGCCACACGTGAACCAGTGATATGTGTGTGTGTGTGTGTGTGTGTGTGTGTGTGTGTGTGTGTTGGAGTCCTGGAGGGAGTGGGTCAGACTTGAACCTCAGGTGCAAATCTTGACTGGGATCTTAGAATTGATCTTCCAGGATCTGGAGAGGGATAATGTCTCATAAATCTAGGAGGATTCTTTTCAAAGCAATCACATTGCAGACTTACCCACAAAACAGTCCGTGTCAAGCTTACTACCCAGGTTCCATAGCCAGGGAGATGACATAAATATCTCTTGCTATGGCAGAGGGGAAGAGGATGGCATTCTCTATTTGATCCTCTCAGCAGGAGATGGGATGAAGTTTCAATTTTATACAAAAAATAATAATACTCTCTTTCCCCTCCTGTCCTGAATGCCAGGCCTCCTCAACAGACCGTTCCTTCCGCATTGATTATGTGAATAACTGCTTCCTCAAAGATGGTGCTAGATTTCGCTATATCTCAGGCAGCATCCATTACTTCCGTGTCCCACCTGCCTATTGGAAAGATCGGCTCCTCAAGATGTACATGAGTGGCCTCAATGCTGTGCAAATGTAAGTGACCAGAAGGGGAAGTGGCTCTTGGGACTTATTCTGTGCCACAGTGAAGGACAGAGGCTAATGACTGCGCACAGGTGCTCCATTTTTCTCACTGTATAGTCCTCACTGCAGACTCTGGTCAACATTTAGAGCAGAGAAGCTTATGCTGTCTGAAGGTGGAGCTGGCCCAAGTTCCTTACACTGAAAACGTGCGGCCCAGATGACAAATACATGAGCCTGTTCCAGTACAGCTTTCTTTTAAAATGGAATCACCTCCACTCTCATCCCAACCTGAAAGCTGAGGGAGAAAGATTTCTGTTCATGTCCCCTCTGTTCCTTGTTATATTTAAATGTTTGGCCATACTAGGCTGAGAACCAGTTGTAGATGAACTGCAAAGAAGGAAGATGGGTGGTGTTTCTGGCACCTATAATAATTACATCGCAGAGGAAATGTCAGTGGGGGTAGCTTATTATGCAAACTATACCTACTGAAATTCCCTCTTCTGCACAACTATTAAAGGTGCAAGAGCTGTGTCCTCTTTTGGATCTGGTCAGCCTAGGCCATAAGTGTGTGCACTGGTGGAGGAAGAGGATTGCAGGGGGAGTGCACCGCCCCCGGCAACGCGATCCCGGTGGGGTGCCATCATGGCTGCTCGCCTGCTCTGGGTGCCACGCCCCCACAGGTGGCATGCCACGCCTCCAGGATGCGCTCCAGCCCCGCCCCCGCCTGCTCTCCGTCCCCCAGTGCCAGAGCATGAAGCTCCACCACTGAGTGTGTGTGTGTGTATAATTTTTAAATTTGTATACCAGCCTTCGTTTGTATGTCTCAGAGGAATTCACAACATAAAATTACAATATAAAAAGAGTAACAAATTCTTGCCCTGTTAATCCTCAAGTATCTCTTGGGGTGTATCCTCCTTGTCTCACCTTCTTATTTCAAACTGAAATATGTATTTTCACCCTTCAGCTATGTGCCCTGGAACTACCATGAGCCACAGCCTGGTGTCTACAACTTTTCTGGTGACAGAGACTTGGAAAAATTTCTGAACTTGGTAGCCGAGTTAGACCTTTTGGTGATCTTGCGACCTGGACCCTACATCTGTGCTGAATGGGAGATGGTGAGTGCTGGGCAAAAGATTCAGATGGGCTAAGACTCACTTGCAGTACCTGAATGCTGCACAATTCACCTCTCTCACAATTCACACAGGGTTGCTAGTCACTGATCATTTTATCCTCTTTAACTCCTTACCTTGCCTTATCTCTCTGAGTTTTCAGCTTTGTCTTACCTTTCTAGGTTTTTAATCTTCTACTTTTTCTCTACATTATCTTTCCCAGTTCTTGATCTCTACACATTTTCTTGCTCTCATGGCTTCAGCACCTTTTTTATGATAACAAATCTGAAACCTACTTTTCCGACCCTGGATTCTTGCCTTCTGACCTTTCCACCATTTCTTATTGATTTGGAACAGGAGAGGAGCAACTACGGGCCCTGACATTATTTGAACTGTTTACCTCTTGACCTTCTTTCCTAGGGTGGCCTTCCATCCTGGCTGTTGACAAAGCCAGATATTGCCCTGCGCACAACTGACTCAGGTAAGATAGAACTAGAGGGAGGGGGCAGACCCTCTGGATCTCGTGTTCAATTCTGTAGATTTATTTATTTCATAAAATTTATATACCACTTGACTGTAGAAAACCTCAGAATGGTTTGCAAAAAGATCAGGGGTTGCATTTGCATTCCATTTCCCATCCACCCCAGCCATCATTGTTCAGGAATGATCGGAATTATAATCCACAAGATCTGGAGGGTTGTAAGTCCTAAATGGTTGGTGTCTTTGTGTGGTTCTGGCTGCTTCATATCAAGCTGTTAGAGGGCCAGTCATCTGGGCCTTCCAACTTCCATGTCTCTTCCACAGAATTAAAGCAGCCCATGTGAGTGGTATATAATGGCCAAGGGGCACTTTCAGACCTTTTCTCTGTACACAGTACCACAATTACCAATTCTTGTCTTAGCAAGGTGTTGGAAATAGGGAAAAGGAGCCCCAGTTGTTGCCTGAGCAAGCTGATTCATGCTCCTAGATTACCTGCAAGCTATGGACAGATGGTTGGGAGTCCTGCTGCCCAAGATCAAGCCTCATCTCTACCACAATGGAGGCAACATCATCAGTGTCCAGGTGCGTGCAGCATAGGCGCATTGTGTCCCTGGGCCTCTGGTTGCACCTTCAGAGGTTCCCTGATGTGAAACATGTACCATACTGAGCCTTAGGTAACTTATTATTGGAGTACAAGTGTATATAGACCAGGCTCTGTTTGGTGGATCTCAATATTTCAGTTAAAAACAAAGACAGAAGACTGCTCACTCCTGCCTTAAACCACTGCTTTGTGCCTGCCTCCCCCTGTCCAGTAGGAGGGACTTGTAAACAATAAAGCCCTTCAGGCATCCTTGGAACTTTCAAGAACAGTATTTTTCCTCCTTTACAAAGAGCAGAGGTGCACCTATTTGGGTGACCAGCAAATTGGGTTGGGCATCATCCTGCAGATCTAGTGCTTGACAAGAGAGGCTCTATACAAAGACATACCACACACCTTTTTCTTTAGGCAGGGTGTGGGCTCTGAGTCACCTTTCTTTAATGCCAGCTGTTCCCCAGGCAGGTGGAGAATGAATATGGGAGCTACTATGCCTGCGACTATAACTACATGCGCCACCTACTGGGTGTCTTTCGTGCCTCCCTGGGTGAGGAAGTTGTGCTCTTCACCACAGATGGCACCTCAGCATCTGAACTCAAGTGTGGGACACTGCAGGGCTTATATGCCACGGTTGACTTTGGACCAGGTAGAGTGATGTTGGGTGAGCTCTGATGCGATTGGAAGGAGGTAGGAAGGAATCTTGCTTTGACTTCTGCTCCTTTCTTTGCCCTTTGACAGAAGAAAACGTGACGGAGGCATTTATGCTGCAGCGACTGTATGAGCCAAAGGGACCACTGGTGAGAGCCTCTGGCCTTTCCGTGTAGAAGAATGGCATCTCATGCCTTAAATTATGCTTACTCCTTCCTTGGCACCCATCTCCAAAAATAATCTGGCTGCATCTTAACTGAGCCATCTTCTGTTTTATTTCCACCCCTTATACTTGACTGCCATGACCCTTCTGTAGCAGTTTCCAAGGCAGCCAGAGAGTCATGCATGCGAAATCCTCACTTGCCCCAGCAGTTACTGAGCTATGAGACCAAAGAGCTTGTAGTCCAATGCTTTCAGGAGTCTCTTGATAGGCTATAAACTGGCCTGTCTTCTTTGCATGAAAGCAAATTATTCCAGAGCCATAATCCCATTGCTGTGGACCTTATCACACAAAAATTGGTTGGAAGTTGCATATTGCCCAGTGTTGCAGTGAAAGCTACAGTCACACCACATAGCCTGTCCTGGGCATTATAGGTGTGAGGTCTGGTACAATGAGATTCCAACACAGAGGAGGGAGCAAACTTGGTATTTCCTATTCCCAGTACTTTAGCAGAAGTGATGGAACTGACCTGACTGCTACTGCTCCATAAATGTTTTAATTCTGCCTTCCTCCTAGGTGAATTCTGAGTTCTACACTGGCTGGCTGGATTACTGGGGTGAGGCACACTCCACAAAAAGTGCTAAGAAAGTGGCTAACAGCCTACAGAAGATTCTAGAAATGGGAGCCAACGTCAACATGTAACCGTGAGGCCATAGGGGAGAGTGGGCAGTGGGGCACAAGGGATGGTACAAAGAAGCAAGTGCTAGTGCCAAAATGCCAATCCATAGCTCTTTGCTTCATCTTGTTAACTGTGAACCTCTCATTTTGCCTTAGAGGTGTGTGCATGCCACATTTTCACGTCTTTTTTGGCCATTTCCCTAGCAGACAAAAATTCCCTTGCAGAACAAGAGTAAGGTGCATGGTCTTAGACAGTGCCCTAGGCCAAAGACTAGCACACTTCTATTCCAAAGCATTCCCCAACTGCTGCACCACATTAGTTCACATATATTTGTTTCCTATTCCACTGCCTGTCGTTGCCCCTTTATTTAAATAGGAGGGTAACTCTTCCTGTGATATCTGACTTTCTTCCAGGTATATGTTCCAAGGTGGCACAAACTTTGGTTACTGGAGTGGTGAGTTTCTAGCTCCTTAGGGCAACTAGGGAGACTTAGCTTCTGGCCAGATGATGGAGGTGTTGGGGGGCACATAAGAGGCACTTGCTTTTCATACCTTCTCTATCCAGGTGCTGATTACAAGGATGGTTACAAACCCATAACTACTAGCTATGACTATGACGCACCACTCTCAGAGGCTGGAGACCCTACTGACAAGCTGTATATCATCCGCTCAGTCATTAGCAAGGTAACAATACAGCCCTCTTCTATCAGTGGGTGGAATGCAGTTACTGAAGACATTTTCGATTGCCCAGGTTTTTGGTTCTTAACCTATATTGTTCTTTGGGTATGATTTATGACCTATTTTTGGTGCTAATCTTTTAATGAGGTGGAATCCTTTTTATTACTGCTTTTGGAAAAAGATCTTCATACATTTTTATGCATATTTATTCTGTGATTTTAAATGGTTGACAAGTTGTTTGGTATTTTGAAATATTTTGTAAATTGTTTTGAGACATTTTTGTAGAAAGTGATGAATCAATGCAATAAATAAAATAAGCAGCCACCAGCCAAGCAGCAGATTTGAGGAGGAAGAGGGAACAAGTGTTTGAGAGACTGTGTGCGTGGGCACGCGCACATGTGCATGTAAGAGGCTCTAACAGTATAACATCTTTACTCAAAAGTAAGTCCTACCCAGTGGGGCTTATTCCCTGTTGCATCCATGCCATACATGGTTTGGAAGTTGTAGATGATGTACTTTAGCACAGGCACAGAAATACAAGGTACTTTTAGTTTTCATTATTTATTATTTTATCCTATCCTTTCTCTAAGCTCTGGGTAGCTTTGCAAGGTTCTCCTACCCCCTTTATCCTCACAAGATGCTGGTGAAATGAGTTAGCCTGAGTGATTGGTCTGCTGGTGTACTGCTTCTGACAGCAAAATGTTTTGAGCTGGCTTGCTTCCCTAACTACCAGCCCAACTCCCTTGACATGGTGTTTTCTTTTTTAAAACTTCAGTTTCAGGAGCTGCCCGCAGGACCAATGCCACCCCCTACCCCAAAGTTTGCATATGGATATGTATCCGTACCCCAGGTGAGTGAGAGCTAGAAACCATTCCCTTACAAGTGCATGTCTTTAGTTGGATGATGGAGTGACTTTGCTCTCTTGTGGGCACCTTCCTGAACTTTCAGTGTGTTGCAGCTGAGGTGCAAGTTGGTAAGGCAGGAAAGCAAACTGGGGAGAAGCCTGAAGGAAGTGAAATGGGAGCTGGTGGAAAGCAGAGGAGCCTCTGTGATGATTGTATATGAGAGACTGCACATGTAAAGATAGGTACAGGGCCTTCTTGGTGGTGGCCAACAGACTCATTTTTAGATTGTGATTAAAGTGGTTTTTATTTCTGAAAACATTTTATGATTGACTCTACAATCTTTATTTGTTTTCTCCTGGTTTTAGTGTTGCTGTATCCTTAGCTTTGGGGTGATAAGAAAATTAACAATAGCCATTTGGGTGGGTTGGGGGAAGCATACTTGAATAATTGAACAATTTAAAGGCTATACATGAACCCATCATCTTTTCTGTAGCGTGTGGCCTTGCTGGATGTTCTTGCCATTCTCTCGCCTTCCTTGCCATTCTATTCCTCCTATCCTATCACCTTTGAAGCTCTGAAGCAGGTAAGAAAGTAGATTAAGAGTCTGGGTCAGCAAAGGCCCATGGCTATTTCTGCTTAAGAGTCCCCAGTGGGATTGCAGTTGACACCTCTTGCGGATTCTGTTCTGCATTCCAGGCCCATGGCTTCATGCTCTACCGGACCCTTCTACCGCAGGAAATCGTGGAGTCTGCCTTGCTCAGTGCCTCTAGGAATGGGGTCCATGATCTTGCCTACGTTCTGCTCAATGGAGTAAGGTGGAGAGTGGGGCCCTTCCTAGTGGGTAGGGAAGATTATTACTTAGGTAAACTGAAGGGTATAACAAGTCCTAGGCCCACACTCTGGTTCACTGCATTTTCATAGGATGGGTCAGAGCCTGGAGCACACAGGAGCTTTGCTTCAGCTCTGTCTTGGAGCACCAGCTAACCTTATTTCTTTCCTGCTTCAGGAGTACCAGGGGACACTGGAAAGAGACAGAGTGAATGGGATCAATATATCGGGCCAGCTTGGGGACACATTGGACTTGGTGGTGGAGAGCATGGGTCGCATCAACTTTGGGGCCAATGACAGTGACTTTAAGGTGCATTTGAAAAGGGAGCCTGGGGCTACTACTGCCAGAATAGTTGGCTGAAGGATAACACTTCCACTACTGTCCATTGGAGGCATGCATGGTTGGCGTGGACTTAAAGGCTGCTGTCTCATACGCATACGGGAGTAACTATGGAATTCAAACTGTAATACTGTACGATCATAATCAGCACATTACTATGGCAACCACAGGAAGAAAAGTCATTAAGTGGTCCACCAAGGCACTCGGCAATTTTCAAGTTGTCTGTGGGGAACCACTGGACTAGAGTCTAATGAAAGAAGTGAGGGCCTTCTCTGCTTTTTGGAATGTTGTATTGTGCTGCCTTAGGAAATGGGCTACAGTAGAGCTGAAGTGGGGCAGTCCCACTTTTTAGCTGCTGCAAGATCTGATGTGACTTAAGTCAATAATGTGAATGGCAAAATAGATCTAAGAATGAACACTCAGGGGTGTTGGGGTGCACTGCTGTGCTAGTTATTTGCCAGCTATCTACTCCACCATCTCCTCCTGTGGGTGCTTTTCTAACCTTATTCTCGACTGCACCTAACCTACCTCTAACTTATCTTTGTGCCCAGGGTCTGATCCACAATATCACATTGGGTACCTCCATACTCAGTGACTGGATCATCTATCCCCTAGACATAGACACAGCTGTAGCCCATGCATGGCCGCCAACTGCCCAGTCAAGCAGTGGGCACACGGGACCTGCTTTCTATACAGGAACATTCACAACACCGGGCATCAGCGAGGACTCCTACTTGAAGCTCCCAGGTTGGACCAAGGTACTGAAATCCTCAGATTAACTCCAATTTATTCAATTATTAAACGGATACCTGCCATAAAAATTATTCAATTATTAAACGGATACCTGCCATAAAAACTCCCATTGTTCTTTTGTGACAGGGAATTTCATTAGCGCAAGCAGTTTCTGCACTCTGGGCGTAGTACTGCACCTAAAATTTCAGATTAGAACTGCAGAGTGGAAGGAAAGGAGGACCATTTTCTGCCTCCCCACTTCCAGCTATTCTCTGAAGACTGGAGAAGAGACCCTCTTAAGAATATTGGGGGCAGGGGGCAGGGAAGGAGTAGACCATGTTAAAAAATGAACATATTTTAGCTGCAGCTCATTCATTTTCAGCTTTGTATTCTTGTTATAAAAAGGGTGCCTAGACATTCCGTTGTTGCGCCCATAACCTAGGTTTTAGGTGCCATTTAGCTCCTAGCTTTCATCTCTGTTTCTAACACTAATACCCGCCCTTCCTCCTATGGCATCATAATGAGTAGACCAACCTTCATTGAGACAGCTATGTTCTTTCCCTCAGCTTTTCTGCTGTGTCTAGCTATGGGCAAAGGGGCCCCTGCCACCCAAACAGCTAGTTGCCACTCTTACACATTGATAATCTTAAAACAGTGGCTGGAGAAAGGGTAATAGTATCAAACTAATGGTATATTAAATGTTAAGGCCATGGAAATAAAGTCAGTCTATGTCCACCTACTCCCTAAGAAATTGTGCTTAAAATCAGTGCAACGTGTTTTGAAGGAAACATGTTTCCCACTGCACCCATCAAGCTGTGTTTGTTTCAAATGATCTAGGCATAAATAACAGTAGATAAAAGTGGCTGTTGGAACCAAGAAGAGTAGTGTTTCAGGGTGCTCCAAAAAATGTATTGTTTTATAAAAGCCCCTCTCACGTTTTCACCCAGGGTCAGGTCTGGATCAATGGTTTCAATCTGGGCCGGTTCTGGCCAGTTCGTGGACCGCAGCAAACTCTCTATGTGCCTGGCTCATTCCTCAGTGGCTCAGCCATCAACACTGTCGTCGTTCTTGAACTGCAGGAAGCCCCAGATAATCCCAAAGTGCTTTTTGTTTCCCGTCCCCTTCTCAATGTTACCTACAACTACACCCACAAAGACAGGAAGTGAGAGGAATTACTGTCCAGCTACGAAGTTGCTGAGATCTGCACGTGTTACTCCAAGGGGAAGACTGAAACCATCACAATGTAGGAGGCAAATGAATAGAGGGCACTGTCAGATGAAGGTTCTGTGCTTTTAAAGAGTAACCCAGGTAAAAAAACAAAACTAGAAACAGATTGTAAGTATTCAAAACCGTTCAGCGGAGTAGCCTTCACAGCTGCTGCTGTATAGGGCACATTACCATGGACAGACTCTTGGTGCCTTAATATGGTGTTTTAGGTACTGGACCTTGGATTAAATATTCATACACCTACCACAGTTCTGCATTGTAGTTGATTCATTCATGATACTTTGAGAGGCTGGGGCAGGGGGAAGAGAAAGGTATGGGGAAAGGCAAATAAGAATGGCTCCGGTTGGAAGCTGCCCAAACAATGCAATGAAAATAGTGGTGGCGGCCATCCAAAGGGTGGCAGAGATTGATGACATGGCACAACAATACCCCTAACCTCTATGCAACATTAGAAGCAAAGGGAGAAATTCTCTGCACCACCTTAAAAAGGACATTTGTTGTATCTTGACTCATAAGCCTTCTTGTATAACTTGTTTTGCAGTAACTTTTAGACATAGTCAGGGCTAGAGATAGCAGCAGGTCCATGTTACTGTAGCTATTATTTTATTTGAGGAATAAAATTTGAGGAACTGATCAAATAGTTCTTTTCCTGGAAAAAATTTCTCACGAGGATTCTGTTAACATTGGTATACTTGGAGCTAGCAAAGAAACCAGTGCCCCACCCTCTTTTCTCCAGTCTCTAAAAGGAACCTGTACTCCTTTCCTAATGGAAAGCAGTCTTCCAATGCCTCCTCCAACCCCATCTCCCACACATAAAATCCTGCTTCCAGTGTAAAAAGGAAGAAAAAGACCTTTTAGAGGTGTCATTTATCAGCCAGTAAGGTACCAGCTGCCCAGGTTAGCCTCCTCTAGAGTACACGGAAGCAATTAATATGTTTTTGCTGCACTTCCTCATCTAAGTGACAGCAGTCATAGACTAGATTTTTTATTTCCATTCAGATTCCAGGAAGTAGATCATTAAGGCCCAAATTTAAAAAACTCTAGCTAGGACAGGGCAGCATTTGATTGTCGATGAGTTCGCAGACAGTTCGTGGAGCAGAAGGAGAAGTCAAGGTAATGGAAGGGAATGCGTCCTAGTAGCGACTCTCCACATAGCCAACAGCGCCTATAGATACCAAAGAGACAGCATGAGCTTGGAATCATTGTAGTTGGAGGTCATGCCAAAAAGGAACACACCACTCACCCACCTTACCTGGTATTGGTAATAGTTGCACTGGAGTCTTTTAGTTGGGAAGCAAGTCTCCTCTCAGCCGCCAACGCACGCTAAGAAGAAATACACACATACTATTAGGAACAACAACAAAGAACTGTCCCCCAGGGTCTATAGGGAGAAGTGTCTTCATCCCATTGTACAAAATCCTATGTAAAACAAGTGGTTCATTTAGGAGGATGTGCAAGGATGTTCCAGAGCTGGGTCAAACTATAAAAGCAATCTGCTTGTATGTCACATACTAAGTCCAGAGTTAGCCATGTTCCTTTTATTCAAGGGAGCTTGTGGAAACTAAAAACTAAACAGATTTCACCAGAGATCTTCCTAACAGGAGGGCGTAAGTATTTTAGTAAAATGCAGCAGAAATGCCCTATGATATTTAAGTCCATCAGAATAACACAGGCAGCTTACAGAGCAGGAACAGACTGGTTCAGAGTAGCAGCTTCCAAATTCCTTTCTCAAGGTAACTTTGGCTGTATAGCAAAGACTCAGGAAGTAGGACAGATCTGTGAGTTATTCTCTATCTCAGGAGGCCTTTCTTAAATATAGGTCATGTCCATGGAAAAGACAGAGATGCCTACCTAGATTCAGGACATATCCCAGCATGACAACATTAAGTAGATCTTCAAGATCCTCATTACATTTTAAAACAAAAAACCCATTCTGGTTGTCTTGCAAAGATGGGTTCAGAAATGGCAACAAAAACACTCCAAAGTGGCCGATGTTGCCTGGTTCAGGAAAAACAGTATAATAAGTCTTATCAAGTGTCTTTCTCAGGAGATGCTAGAACTAGAAGGATATCCACACCAACAGGGATGACCCAATATAACCAACTGTCAGGATAAGGAAACAGCAAAATCTTTTCTTTACATGAAACCACAGCTTCTCTCGGACAACATTGGTCAAGTGAGCTCTCTGTGATCAGCACAGCAGATGATGCCATGTATCATATCAGGAAACTTGTAGCACCAGAAGTGATGCCATCATCTGTTAAGCCGCCTTTTCTTCTTTGAGTCACCTGAGTCTTAGGCTCTCACCTTCTCACGATCACTCAGCAGGGCAAAGCACCGTTTCTCGTCCTCTTCTTGCTCAAGCAGCTGTTGTGCCTCTCGTTTCTCTTTCTCACGCTGCTTCCGCTGGGCCTTTTGTGCTTGGCGGCGTTCTGCCTGTCTGGCTTCCATTTCTGCCGTCAGGGGTCCAGGCACCTGCAATTACACAGTAGATGTGGATCCAGCAGAAAAGGGCCTGGTCCCAGCAGCAGGTAGCCAGAAAAGACCCTGAAAGGGGCTTGAGTCTCCCTTTGTTCTGTGTATGCTGCTGCCCTACTACATCTCTGGATGCAAAGTCCCTAGACACCATCAAAATTCATTTCCTTCCCATCTCTGCTCACTCCAATAGCATATTTAGAGCTGGGAGATTTAAACAAACACACACAAAAGTCCTTCATACACATTCTCAAAGGTATCTTTCACTTAAATCAATGCCTGCTTGAGCGAGCATTTGATTAAGAGAAATCCAGGATGCCTTTTGCACTGAGTGTGAGATTCCAGAGAGATATGCAAAGGATGGGTACAGGTGGCAGGGTCTAAAAGAGCCCCCCACCCCAAATAGTTAAGTTATGTGGGAATTAGTGGAAGGAAGACAAAAAGGACTCTGGAATTCTTCTTATCAAGCCTTCCCTTATTAAACTGCAAGCTGTGCAACTCAAAAACTGTCCAAGGTCAGTAACATACAAGAACAGATAAGGAGTCTTCTGTGGGCAGCTGGCTTGGCCCAGGATGATCAACTTGCACTTGCTTTCTATTTATTCACAAGTGTAAGCGTCCACACTAGACACTTTCCAATTCTTCATACATGCATCCAGAGCATTCTTCAAACATACATCCACCCACCTGAGCCCGGTCGTAGTCATATTTCTCAGGCTGTTCACCCCTGAACCTACGGAATTCATTACGAGTTTGTTTATTGGCAGAAACACAGTATGGAGGCTGTTCCTGTCTGTCCCTGGGGAGGAAACACAATGTAACTTTAGGTCCAGATCTGTGACCTACACCACAGTTAGGCTGCCATACATCCAGATTTCCCCAGACATTACTGGGGAATTGACGTCAGGGGGGAATTTCCAGAAGGCAGCGCTTTGCCCTGGATCCTAGGCAAGTCAATCGAAAATTCACTTTTTGGGGGGCTTTTGGGGTGCTCTGGTTTTTTCTTTTGGAAATATGGCAACCCTAACCACTGTAGAAGATGACACTGCTGGGAAATGAAAGCAGCATGTGCCACATCACTTTTGTTGCTTCTACGACTGGGTACTGGAAGTGAGAGAGAAGCCCAAACCATCCCAGGCTATGAACAGATTTGAAATTTGTCCCAGAGAGTGGAATGTCCTCCAGCTTCCTATGCTTGCATAGGTACTTGGACAAAGTGGCCCTCAAGTGCTCTGGCCCTTTGAGAACAACTAATTCTCAATACCTCTGAAAGACCTGGGCTCAGACTTAATGTGTAACTGAGTCAAGGACAGCTGACACTCAAGAGGAGCAGCTTGAATTTCATGGGGTCAGCAGTTCTGACTCAAAGAGCAGAAGTGCAACTCAAGAACCAAGTCTTAGGACTCTAGGCATCAATATAGTCTTCTCAAGCTGGGCATTACCTAAGGGATGGATCAGCCCCCATCTCCAACAGCAGCCGCACAACTGTACTCCTTCCAGCTGCTGCCGCCACATGCAAAAGGGTCCAGCCACTCTCATCCAGGGGTGAGTTGAGCAATTGCTGCGGGGTGATACCATTGCAGTCATCTGCTTTATCTGCTGTGCTATTATCTCTCCCCAGAAGATGCTGTAGTGCCTTCAGGTCTCCCATCTTACACGCTGTGAACAAGGCATCTTGTAACGATGTGCTAAGACCTAGAGGAAGGAAGGAAGAGTCTCACATTAACCATGAAATATCCATGTTACCTCTAAGGGTAAACAGAATGTCAAGTCTTGGTTTTGCCACTCCCTTAACCAGCACAGGCTTCCAACCTACAATATTTGTTGTAGAACCCCTTATTAGAAAACGGAGTGGGGAAGTGCAGATCTTGCTGATGCTCACACAACCACCCCCAAACTCACCATCATATTTCAGACAATTCTGGGTCTTGGGTGACTCCTCTGTTCTGGGCAACAAAGCCTTGGGCTCTTTCACACCTCCTGAAGTCTCAGTGGAGGACTCTGCTTCAAAAGAAAGAACATGCAAGGTGTTGTTTCCTGTCCAGTTCATTTTAGTCTATCAGTACCATTCTGATCCCCGTAACTTTGTCTGGAATGACCCAGAAATGCATGAATGATGGATTCAGATGAACTAACCAGCATGCAGGACCCATGTTCTAAAAGCCCACCCCTCTCTCCCAACTTGCTCCAAGTGTCACTAACATCATGGCTAATAGGATGCAGCATGAGGAGAGCAGTCCCAGAGAACCATCAGTTTTGTGATGCTGATACTGTTCCACACAAACAGAAAGACAGGAGAACTGCGGTTCCCTTTTTCTGCATGGGAACAGCTGATCATCAACGGCACTGCTCTGACTCCAAAGCTGCAGCAGCAGCTCCTGCTTTTAACCTTAAGACTAGAGATGGATGCAGTCCAACCTATAACATTGAGATGATGCAGATTCAGAAGGGGTAATTTAGAAGGGTGGTTTAAGACAACCTTCATTTGCGGTCTCTTAAATCTTTGGAACCATCTCAGCTGACACTGACTTCTCTGGGTCTGCGGTGGCTCCTCTTCAGCCACACAAGTCATCCCATGAAAGGCAGGTAGTATAATGAAATCCAGCACACCTATCAGATTTCACTTTAAAGCCCCAGTCCTCATGAGTAAAGAAAGCAGAGCAAAGGTGTGAAAGCACTGCCTCCCAGAAAGTAGAAGAGGGTGGACTCTCTTGCGGCAAGTACAAAACTGATTTCCCCATAATGCAATGTCCCCTCCACCTCACCTCTGTCTACAGGAATCCTATGTGTTCTATTTTATCATGTTGGTTGCCATTCTTCTATTGCACATTTTTCACCTAGAACAGATTACCTAACAGAGACAGCGGTGCTTTGATCAGGTAAGATGTTGCTATTTCTGCAAATGCTGAATGCAGTTTGTCCCAGGGGTTTGCTTTAATGGAATATCCAATGCTTGCACAACTTTCTTCCCAAACGGACTGTATTTCAGTTTCTGGGTTGTAGCTTCTGACTTTCTGTGAACTAAGGTCCCTCTAGATTATGGCCCAGGGCCCATCATGGCTTTCTTATCCTGGGAGCCTGCATCTTGATAGGAAGCAGCTGCCAAGGACACCAAACTGTGGGGCTCTGGTCGGTGTCTCTCAAGGCAGGCAAATAATTTAGCCATTCTAGAAAGAGAATGCACCCACTATCTGTACCTAATAATAGGTCCATTACCTCAGCCACCTACCCATCAGTGTTTTTTGTTTCTTCCTTCTCTTCTTGCGATTTAATTTTGGTTCCACTTCAAATTCTCGGAGTTCCAGTGTACTCAGTGTCTGCTCTACCAACTCCAGCTGCTGTAGACTTTTCTCTTCCTCCTCCTTCTCCTCCTCTGGCTTTGCTGCAGAGACTGTAAGAAAAACGGGATCGTGGTTAAGCCTTTCCTTCTCAGCTTCTGATGAACAAAGTAGGGATCATTCAATGAACTTGAGGATTGGGGTATGGAAGGTGATCCAAATCAGCCTATCAGTCCTCCGTCAGCTGAACTGCAGCCACTGTTAGATCACATCCTACACATTAGCAGCCACCATCGTGATTTCAGCATTTTCCTGCCTGCAGCCCTCTTTCAGGGCTCTCCATAAAGCCATTTCCCAGTGGAGGCAGAATCCCCTGCTTTACTGCTTTCAGCAGCCCATAGTGGTCTTTCCACCCAATAGCCTAGGTAATTATGATGGTAAAAAGTGAACATAGCATCTGCAGTGGATGAAGGATTGCTACAAGGGCAAGGCTCTCCAACTCACTAGTGTCTTGACTCTGTGAAGATGCTTCATCCAAAGGAAGGACCTTTTTCCAGCTCTTCCGAGGGGAGGAAATCAAATCTGCCACTGCTGTGTCTTTGCCTGCCAAAAGAATCAGAATGGTGTTTTCTAGGATGGAAATCCTCTTGGTTTCATACCCTCCACTCCCACTCCTAATGGCAGATTTCTAGATAGACAATTCACAGTGGCCCAATTCCAGCAAGAGCAAAAGAGCTAAAAGAAACAAACAAGGTCAGAATAGAGATATGGGAGGGAAATGACACACACACTCCAATACTCCACCCCATCCCTGGGCCTCCACATCTCTAGGCGAGAACCAAGATTATAGTCTGAAACAGTATACACAAAGACTTTGGAGCATCATTTCAAGTACTTGGGGACTAAAAGCTGTGCTCACCATACACTTGCAGACTGCTCAGAACCCCATGCACCCGCTGCACCTCGTGGAAGGTGGCTCTCCGGGTGCTGAAAGGAATGCCCCGGATACGGGGATCATCTCGCTGAAGAGGGCTATTTTTGCTGCCAAAAAACCGAGCTCGGTTGGTGCGAGGGGCACGAAGGAAGATACACTCTGCTCCTTGCAAATGCCCTGTCCAGCTGGCCAACAACTCCTGAATATCCTGCAGGAAAAGACAAGTATAACAGGTAGGCCTTTAGTGCAGCCGAAGTAACCACAATGAAGGCTGAGTTGCATAGGGTCTGAATGTAACCATTGGTCACCTATTTCCAAGAGATCCCCAGTGCCATTTATACATAAAATATATCATTTCAAAAGAGAGAATGCAGAAACAGTCTGAATGGTATGGAAGAGCTTCATTTCTCAATATGGAATCTGCAACAAGAAGGGATTACTTAGAGATACCCAGTGCAATGCCTTCCAGATGTGGTTGGACTCCAACTCCCATCAGCCCCAGCTAACAGGGCCAATGGTCAAGGATGATGGGACTCATTGATGGACTGCATCTGGAAGACACCACATTGCCTGCCCTGGTCTACATCATTGGGACTAGAGTGGTCTATCCTCCTCTTCTGTCACTGTTTTAATGCACAGACTACTGACAAGAACTGGCATAGACTTGCAGTAAAAGTCAACTGCATCTTTCCTTTGTGAAGGCAGAACAGCTGGGACAATCTTACTCAAACAGCAAAGCTCTCAAATAGCTGTCACCTTTTCATTTTGTGTCTTCACCCTTGGTTCTACTAGGGTCCGCACTCACCTTGAGCAAGGCAGCCTCATTGTAGCGCCGCAGTGTGGCCCCAGCTGATTTTGGCATAGACCCTTGAGCATCTCTCACTCCTTGGGCTGTCCCTCGGCGAGCTCGCACTGTATACCGATGGAACGTCTTATGCTCCAGCACCTCATTTCTGGAAAGAAAGTGACGGTAAGCCTACAGCAAAGACCGACATCCAGAATCATCATCTTAGCATGAATGTCTTCACTAGGAACCAAGTCTAGCCAAAATGGACTAAGGTTTTATCCATACCAGGAACATGGAACCTGAGGCCTTCTAGATGTTGCTGGACTCCAACCACCACTGGTCCCAACTAGAATGGCCAATGGTCAGGGATGATGGGGCTCTGTAGTCTGACACTATCCGGAGGGCCACAGGTTCCCCACTCTTTTGTAGGCAATATTGAGATGGATGGATCAGATGTCTTCGTTCGTGTTAGGCTGAAGTGGCTTAGGAAAGGATGAAGACCTTTTATCTCACATCCTCAAGCTCACAAAATGGGCTGCTTTATATTGCATGCATCCATGAAGACCTCAAGTTTCTCCAGGGAGGAGGTGCTGGTGAGTCAGTATTGAGTGGAGACTGTTTTTGCACACACACATTATGTGGTTGTTCTTGGCTGAATTTGCTTTGCCTCATCATGATTATGCTTTGCGTCCACTTCTAGCCTTCCTGCCTACTGATAAACTCCTTGAATCTGGGGGATGGAGAACCTGTGGCCCTGCAGATGATGTTGGACTACAGCTCCAACATCCACCTGAGCATTGGTCATGTTGGCTGGGGTTGATGGGAGTTGGAATCCAACATCAGGAGGGCCACAGGTTCCTCATCTGATTTGCACCTTGAATGGGGTCCAACAGATTACAAATGTAAAGCACTCTACATTCCCCACCCACCCAATATCTCTCTTCATGAACTTTCAGGAAACTGCTTAGTGGAGACCATGAGATGAGCATTAACGCTGGCCTGGAAGCACATGTGGGATCATGGTTTATCAGCCTTCTGACACAGCCACACTCTTAAGGCAGATGTTACAGCTCGCAAGTTGACCCGCATGATAGACATGCCCCTCTGCATTCTTACCCCTTAAAGACAGCTCCTGCAAAGTGTCCCCCGCCAGCCATTAGGATCACCCAGGAGGTTCCTGAGCTCTGTCTCTGAAGGGACACCACTAGCTCTTCAGGCTCCTCCACACTGCCCTGGATGGACAAAAGACCCCTTCAGTTAGCAAGAGGTTACTGACTGAGCAATGAGAGCAGCTTTCAGCCTGGCTGTTAAATAGGGATGGGCAGGGTGTTAGCTGGTCCCAAACAGACAAAAGGATTTCAAGGGATGTTCCCTTCCCACAGAGTTTTGGAAGTGGGGGAAATGCTTCTTTCATCCTGCAGAAATTTAGGTTTTTTCTAGGAAAGCATCAGTTACAAAACAGAAAGCATAGCTGTCAACGTTTCCCTTTTTTTAAAGGGAAATTCCCTTATTCCGAATAGGATTCCTCACAAGAAAAGGGAAAAGTTGACAGTTATGAGAAAGAGTAATATCAGGAAAGCAAAATGGGCCAGCTTGATGTTAAAAATTAATGGGCAAGGAAAAGTCAGTCAGGTGACTAGAGGAACTGTGCAGGACTTAAGAGAGAAACCCACACATTTATGGCAACAAGCCAACACAGTCCCAACTGGCTGAAATTATAATACCTGCTTGGGAGGAAGAGTTTGCAATTAAAGCAAGACAGTAGGTTGGAAAATTAAGACCAACCGCTTTTATGCTTATTGCAACAGACACTAGACTTCCTTTAAAACCTGGCCACAGCATTATCCTCTTGGTGCGTGTGTGTTCGTGACAGGCATTTATCATTTGGTGAGAGACAGCTGGTAACTAAAACAGGAAGAAAAGCTGGTAACTAAAAAAGCAAGAAAAGGAATGAGGTCCAGTAGGCTCTTTGCTTTGTTATCCTGTGACATGCCTTCATAGTGTTCAGCACACAGCGATAAACTGAGATGAGCTGGCCTTGGGCATTTCTGAACAGAACCCGCTGGGAGCGTCGACATGGAGAGGGGCTCCGATGACTGCCTTCACTGTTGGGTGGTTCAGATTCATTGTCCAAGTCAGAGTCACTGGAATCCGACCCAGAGATGCTGGAGACATCACCTGTGGACCAAGGTAGTAACAGAAAAGAAAATCACACAGTCAAGAAGGAAGTGCATCATGTAACGGATTCCAGAGATCCTATTTCTGGAATTTTAAATCTGAAACTCCTGCCCACAAGGCAGAAAGACAGAGCATTCTCATGCAAAGAAGACAGTCTGGACTGGTAAAGCTGGAAAATTATCTACTTAAGACAGCTCAGGACCACAGCAGGGAGGAAATATATGTGTGGATCTAGACGACTGAGCTCCTTTGGACATACATTTGACTAATGGAGTATGTTGTCATAGCTAGAGTCAAACCAAAGGGGTCATTATAGTAATAAACTGAAATGAACTAGCATCCCATGCTGGATGAGACTGAGTCTAAGGCACCCATCTGAGACTTATTCTACCCAGTCTGTTAATGAATGCCTGTGAAGCTGGATGCTTGGAATCTTTGTTAAGGCAAAATGGAGCTCATTAGGACCATCAGAGCTCTTGAGTAGTATTCATAGAATAATAAATTTTAGAGTTGAAAGGGACACCAAGGGTCATCTAGTCCAACCTGCCTCAATGGAGGACTCTCAGCTATTGAACCCATATCATGTGCCTCTCACCTGCTTGAGTCTTTGCCTCAAATTCTTCAGCTGTGAGCATGCGGTGACCCAGGAGCCGCTGCTTTAGGTTGAAACGATGCCAATCTAGTCGATAATGCTCAGTCTGAACAGGAAAAGAAAGGGACAGTGGGAGAGCCAACATAGGCCACAGTAGTAACTGGTTCAGTGTTCGGCATCTATATCTCAGGCTGCATAGGGAAGGCAAAAGCACCTCTTTGCATTGATCATGAAATACTGAGTGCTTAATTAAGGACATAAAACAGTATCTGGGTCAGTCCAATATGGAAGTTGCATATCAGTTATTACTATGAGTTTAGGGACTACAATTCCCATCATACAAAATCCTATTTTTGTTGTGATTTGGGGGACTTGAAATCTTAGGAACATAAGAGCAGCCCTGATAGCTTGGACCAAAGGTTCATCTTAGTCCAGCATTCTGCTCTCACAGTGGCTAATTAGATACCTATGGGAAGCCTGCAAACAGGACCTGAGCACAACAACTCTCTCCCCACTTGTGATTCTCAGCAATTGGTATTCAGACATATTGCCTCTGATAATAGAGGCAGAACATAGTCATCAAGACTGGGTGCCATTGATAGCCTTATTCTCTATTACAGGGGTGGGGATTCTTCAAATCATGGGTCTAATTGGATCCATGAGGCTGTTTTCTTCAACATGCCCACTTCCAAACCTCACTTCATATGTGACATGAGATTTGGGGCAGGTAAGCAGATGCTTACAAAAGAACAATTGGTAGCTTGAAGTGAGCGCTTGATTGTCCCTTTGCAAGTGAGGTTTGCTGACAGTCCTGAGCAGCACTGTTAATGAGCATCTTTGAAGGCATACTTTGACTGACAGCGCACCTTAAAAAAGCCTTGCAGCAAGTCCCTTTGAAGTCCTTTGCGGGTGCAATTTGAATCCAAACTGCACCTGCAAACAGACAACAAAGAAGCTTGCTACAACCACAGATTAACTGCCTAGCAGTTACAGCTTGGTTAAAGAAATTAGCCTGGGGAGGATGGCGGAATTAAGGATCTGGCCTGCAGACTGGATCCAGTTCCCCACCCCTGAGTTTGTCTAATCCTCTTTAAGGCCAACCAAGCTTGTGGCCCTCACTACATCCCAGGAGAAAAAATTGCATAGTTTTAACTATATGAAGAAGTCCTTTTGTCTGCCCTGAATCTTTCATCAATCAGCTTTATTAGGTGATTCAGAGTTCTAATATTACTTTTTTAATTTATATTTTTATACTTTGACATTCAAAAAAGCAAAAATGCCAAAAGGAAGAGAGGGGAGAAAGAATGTGTTATATCAATGAGAAACAATTTTATGTAGAAAATTATCTATCACTTTTTCATTCAGTACTGAATAAACAAGGGCCATCTCTTGATAAAACAATGTTGCAAGCTGTTACTTATAGCTTCCCTTTTATATATTAACTGTGGGAGTAATTCAACACTGGTTTTTCTGTCAGTGCAAACATTTCAGCTTTGAAGTCCCAATGACCAGCTGATAAGAGTGCAGTGTACAGGATCAAACTACACAACACTTTGAAGCCCTGATGATCAACTGATTGTTGGAACTTTAAAGCACTATATCACCAGTCATTGTGAGGTGACTGAAAGGAGAGGTGGCTCCACCCACCTGTCAAATTTGGCCAGTGCAGAGAGTAGGGTAGGTTAATTTGGGGAGGGGTGTTGTTGCGTTGTTTTTGTTTTAATTATGTATGTTGTGTTTTTATATTGTGATTTTATCCTGTGAACCGTCCTGAGACCTGCAGGTATAGGGCGGTATACAAATTTAATAAATAATAGTAGTAGGAGTAGGAGTAGTAATAGAGATAAGGATCTGTCCCACTGGCCATATCCAGATTCATGCTGTTGATCTACTGGATACTGCATTTCATCTGAGGACAAGAGACAAATGGATTTTTGCACCATCCTGTTCCCACAGAAAGCATTGTTCAAAAACATTCAGCAACACCCACCTGCTCCTCTCTATTGTCAAAGGCTTTTGAGCAGGCAGAGCAGTACATCCTGTCTGACACTTCTAAGATCCTACTAGGTCGATCTGGTCCCTTAGTCACTGTAGTGAACAGAATGAAAATGAACACAGTTACTGGCACAAATACAGTTATGTATGAAGGAATGTAAATCTTTATTTAACACAACTCAAATGTATAACACCTCAGCAAATTCTGAGGGACTTAAGAATGTGAAAATCCTGATACAGAAGGCTGCAAATCTTAAACATTAGAATGAAAACCCAAAAAAAGGAATCGAGAAATATTGTGTGTGAGAGAGTATCACTAACACCTCAATAGGAAGAATCCTGGATGGAATACACAAACAGCCCCAGTATTTAGTTTAAACATAACTGGTTTAAACTAATTGACAAAGATGCAAAATTACTAAAGCGGCACACTGATGATGTCATAAAGTGACACACTAACAAACACAAAAGGAAACCATGGTTTCTCATTACATGAATAAGCCACAGAAAGCCTTCAGCTTCCTCTTTTTGTGGTCATGAGGATAAAATCAGAAGCATTTGATTCCCATTTTAAACTAAAAGTTTTCCAAGATGTTTGAGCTTCGGGAATTGTTGCTTGGTTACCAAGAACAAGCCAAGATCAAACTGTGGTTTCAAATCCTTATGTGTTTTCACCAACCGTAGTTTTAAACTCATGAGTCATGAACTCCGCAAACCTGGTGAACCCTTGGCCAGAACCCTTTTCCAGATATATGGCCCTTTAAAAGCAGTACCTGGAATGGCCACCGATGTGACATCTCCTGATGATTCAGTTACAAGGCAAAGTCCATTCATTAAAGCTGCATTCTGAGCTGCATCAAACACAGAAAAGGTCTCAGCAGGCTGCATGATCTGAGGGAGAAAGAGAGAGAAAATCAGCAAGCTTTTTTGGAAAGGGACCCTCCACTCCTACGGTTAACAACACATCCAGCTGTTATATCTCTATATTCAATGAGGAGTTATGAAAAATCTCCTTTGTCCTCAAGGGACAAATGCAAAAAACAGCCCCCACCCCCCAGGGTTGGATTTCTGTCTCTGTAACACACAGAAAGTATACTTTTTACAATAGGTGCAGCTTTCTCCTATTTCTCCTATTGACAGTGAAGTTGCACCCTTTATTCTCCTTTCCATGGGCAGCAATTCTTAGGGGAACATATGATTCCGAGCCTATACCAGATATGACATGCAGTGATACCTCGGATTAAGTACTTAATTCATTCTGGAGGTCCGTTCTTAACCTGAAACTGTTCTTAACCTGAAGCACCACTTTAGCTAATGGGGCCTCCTGCTGCTGCTGCGCCGCCAGAGCACGATTTCTGTTCTCATCCTGAAGCAAAGTTCTTAACCCGAGATAATATTTCTGGGTTAGTGGAGTCTGTAACCTAAAGCGTATGTAACCCGAGGTACCACTGTATAGGCTAAAGGCTTCTATTCCTTATTATAAATACATGGTAGGGCAGCAAGCGGGTTGTTTTGTAAACAGCTTTGAGGGTATGTGTGTGTCTGTTTTAGCAATCAAGCAATGAATACATTTTATGAAATAAATAAAACAAACAAGCACAACCCTAAATTTGCCCGTTTTAGGTCAAGTCAATTATTCCTGGAGACACCTTTTCCCCTCAGGTTCATGAAAGTGCACCTGCATACACAGTTACCTGGGAAGAACATTGTGTGGATAGTGTCACTGAAGTCCTTTCTAAATCAGGGCTGACTATTCTATTACTGTATTGAGGCCCCACTCCTTTCATATTTTAATATCTTTTGGCCCTGGTAAAGGTAAAGGTACCCCTGCCCGTACGGGCCCGTCGTGTCCGACTCTAGGGTTGTGCGCCCATCTCACTTAAGAAGCCGGGGGCCAGCGCTGTCCGGAGACACTTCTGGGTCACGTGGCCAGCGTGACGAAGCTGCTCTGGCGAGCCAGCACCAGCGCAGCACACGGAAACGCCGTTTACCTTCCCGCTATAAAGCGGTACTTATTTATCTACTTGCACTTAGGGGTGCTTTCGAACTGCTAGGTGGGCAGGAGCTGGGACCGAAAGACGGGAGCTCACCCCGCCGCGGGGATTCGAACCGCCGACCATACGATCGGCAAGTCCTGGTACAACACTGAAATAAGAAGTTGCTGGGGCAGAAATAATCAATTCTATTTTACAACAGCATAAGATACTAAGCTCTGGGATCAGATGACCAGCACACAGTTGCTCTCAAACTTCCTGTGTCCCAACTAGTGTCCAAAAGATCCAAAATCTCTTGGTGCCTCTATGATATGTCTCAATTTCCTAGTGGTGCTTGCAACAGATATTATTACAGTATCAAAAGTCTTTAATGGTTAGTCAAGAGTTGGAAAGAGTTCGTCTGAAAAGCTATGCAATTCTGAAAAGAATTGTGCAGTAGTTCACTCACAACTGTACTGAGGTGCAACTGTGCATTAAAAATAATGACCAGGTCAAGGAAGGTCAGAAAATGAAGGATACGTCAGCTGTTTCAGACTGACTGATAAGTCAGCCATTCACTCCACCAAAGGTGAAGGTGGGGCAGAAAGGTCACCAAACCAGTTGTGCAGGCTCCATACACAGTCCCAGGGTCAAGTATAAGAAGATAACATCATTTGTCTACACTGCAAGCAGCAACCTAACAACAGAGCAAGAGACAGGGGAAAAACTTCTCACAAGTCATAATCGAGACACAGAAACCACAGGACAAAACAGGCTAGCTATTATTATTATTTTAATTACTTAAGGCTAGCTATTGAGTCATAAGGATTACACATGCACAAGAAGTTACAGCAAAGGAGGAAAAGCCCAGTGCGGGTGGGGGCCGACATGTGTCAAGAAAATCAATCGCCTGAATCTACTGGTCTTTAACTGGTGGATCTGGACCTGCAAGTGAGCAGGTTCAGGGTATTTGTCAGGGTATTTCCCCCCCCTCGGAAAAAAACAACAACCAACAATATCCTTTGACATGCTATTAAAGTATTCCAAGAATTCTTTAAGTATTAGTCCTGAGAGCAGAGCCACCATTCACTGCCAGGGGTTCATATGACGGGGTGAACCATTGTTCAGGCGCCGTTCCTGCTAGAAGAAACCCGTGTCAGCTGCCACGTTCAGCAGGGTTGGCGGAGAAATGCAGCGGGGAAGATGCCAAGAGAGATAAGCAGCGCGACCCCGAGTGTTTCAGGAGGCCCCGGGGATGCTGTCGGAACAGGGGGCGCTTACCACACTCCCGGCTGGAAATCACACGAGGCGCCTCTACTCCTCTCGCTGCGGACCTTCGCCCTCTGGCTTACGTCACTTCCGTTTGTCACGGACCCCGCCCCCTCCCGTCGGAGACAATCCTTTCCCCGCCCCGCCTCCTCCTCTTCCTCCCCCCACCGCAGCTTTCCCATTGGCCCTCCCCGATCCCACCTCCTCGTCCTTTCCCGGCCTCCCATTGGCAGCGGAAAGCGCCCGCCGGTCGGGACAAGGGAGGAGGCGAGCGGGGCGGGGAGAGAGAGAGAGAGAGAAAGTGAGTGACAGACAGAGCCTGGGAAGTCGCGGCGGCGGAGGAGGCTGAGCCCCGGGTCCGGTCACTAGGGGCGACTGTCCTGGAGGTGAGCCGCGCAGCCGCCGCCGGGAAAGGGATGGCGTGGGGGGGGGGAAGGACGGGGACGTGGGCCTCGCCTTGGAATCCCCGCCGCGCCGCCTCCCTCCCGCTTCCCAAGTAAACAACCTCCGAGGAAGGCCCCTCCCGGCCCGGCTCAGCCAAAACAAAACAGCCTCGGAGGAGCTGCCTGGGGCCGCCCAAGGAAAAGACTCCCCCCCGGCCCTCTCTCCGCTGTGCCTGGCAGCGCTGCCTTTCCAACTCGGGAGGAGGGATCCGGCGAGTGGGCTGGCTCCCCTCCGGCTCAGTCCATCCCAGGGGGTGAGAGGGTTAAGGTGCAACCCAAAGGGGGCCCTTCCTCACCTGGCGGAGCAGGCCGCCTCTCCCTGGATTCCCTCTCCTTTGATTCGCGGGCGCCGGGGGAGCAGAACCAGCCCCTTCTTTGCCAATCAACCCCACAAAAGGGGCCTGAAGCTGTTCCTGTTTCGGGTTGGAGAGTGTTGAGTGGAACCAGTGCCGGATTTACCTATAAATTTTGGGGCCCCCAAAAAATTTAAAAGGAAAAAACACCAAAATATAAGATGAAAACAAATAAAACCCACATACAGCAACAGTGTTTTGTGTTGTGTAGGGACCTGTTAGGTCCATAAATTACCATATAGCATATATTCAACACAAAAAACAGGAACAATTTGTTGCTGACAGCTGGACATATAAAGGGCCCCATTACCTTCAGTAGCTTAAGGCCTCAGCAAACCTAAATCCGGCCCTGAGTGGAACCAGCAGCCTCCAAGAGTCATCCTGCCAGCCGAACGGCCACATGCCCCTTGAAAGTCTCCATCTCCAGTGTACATCCTGCCTTTTTTCTTTTCAGGCGGGGGGGAAAAGCACATTGGGGATCCAAGGCTAGAGATGCCAGTCAGATGCCCAGAGAACAGCACAAGCAGGGGGTTCCTGCAGCACTAGGAGTAAATGGAGCAGGTGAGTCTCTCGGTGTGTGTGTGTGTGTGCCTGCCATGTGCATAGGTGTTGCTTCAAGAGGGATTTATTTTGCCATTTGTTTTTGTCTGTCTGAATTGTAGTAGCTTACACCAAGTAAGATGGGTGTGCCCTTCCTGTAGCTGTAGGCACTGCATCTACATGAGTCAAAGTACAGGGTAAATAAGGAGAAATAGTTAAAATGGGTGTGGTTGTTTTTATTTGCAAAAGTGGCAAGAATATATGTACATGCTCTGAATGAAGAAAAATCATTTGACATGCTGTTACAGTATCCCAAGGATCCTTTAATCCAAGTGTGGGTTGAAACTTTGTAGTAGTCCATGGGTGAATCACTGATTTCTGGTTGGCCTGCTGGTTGGTAGAATTCTTGCCAAGAATGTGGGAGTAGGCTAACTCTGGTCTTATCCAACAATACATGTCTTATCTACTAAGGCAAGAATGGATACGTTGGATCGCTAGTTGAAAAAAATAGAGAAGTCACACGTGACTGTAGTCCGCCCATGTTCTAGTCATGACAGACAGTTAAAATTTCTAAATATCCTAAATGATTGTGCTGTAGAACATTTGGTCATGGAACTTATCTGAGACGCGACCCTGAACTTACTTGTAAGTGGTGCCAGTACTTTGTGCAATATTTAAGTGTTGTTCAACTAGTTGGAAACAGTAACCAAAGAGTTATCAAATTCAACATATATGTAAGCAGAGTAGAGAATGGCTAAGGATGTCCACAGTCACATATGACTTCAATAAATGAAATCTCAAAAATGAAATGATTGGTTGAAAGTCAAGTTGAAAGGGAAAGACTAGAGGGTCAAATCTCTCCAAAACATATTGGTGTTATTCAGAATCACAAGAATAGAAGCATAGCTCGAATGTATACTGCAAGTCAGGGAAGATGCTAGTGTAATAGAAGCAAGGAAGCTGTTACAGGCAATAAGGCTTCTTCCTTCCTTTCACAAAATGGGAGGTCTTGCTCAATTAAGGAGAACAAAATGAATACATGCTTGCAAAACAAATTCAAAAAAGAAAGTAAGTTTTGAGGTGCATATAGCTAAAAATATTAAGATCAACAATAAAAAATATTAAAAGTGTGTGTGACAGATGTGAAAAGGGAAAATTACGGGCCAATGATTCTGTCTGTCACATCCCATAATAGGATACTGTAGAGCTGGAAAGTGTGGAAAAGGTAAACCAAAAACATTGAGTAACTTTTTTAGTTTTAAAAAAAAGGTGAGTAAAGGGGGAGCATGTCAGAGGGAGATAAAATTATACATGATGTGAAGCAAGTGGATAGCGAGAACTTTCCTCTTGCTCTGTCATAGTGCTGGAGTCTGAGGCCATTCAGTGAGGTGGGAGATTCAGGACTGATAAAGGGAAGTACTTCACACACCTGCAAAATTGAAATTTGTTACCATAGGATGTAATGGAAGCCATAAACTTAGAGAGCTTTAAAAAAGGATTTGACAAATTCATGGGGATAAGGCTACTATTCACAATGTCTATATACTACCACCTGGATCAGAGGCAGCAGGCCACAGAATACCAGTTGTAGGGGGAACAGCAGCAGCAGAACATCCCTGAGTAATTGCCCCCTTTGCCTACTTTTTCTGACCCTCTCTAGCAAGTTGCTGTGTGGCAGGAACCTTAATGATTAAATAACTGAAAATGCTGAGTTGCAATGATGATGAGACTAAAAGACAGTGAAGATGAAAAGGTCACTGAATGCAAACCTCAAAAACTTAGTTCCTTTTCTTGATCCCTTGAGACAGAAGGAGAGTCAACCTGAGAGAGAATCTCTCTTGATTACACTCCCTCATGTACACACACACCTCCAAGAAGGGTAGATTCTCCCACTGATAATTGCCTTTCACTCCACCTAGATGTCACTAAAATCCTCCTCATTATATCACTGGACCCCTTCCTTGTACGTACCAGACTAGAGATCTCCAGACCTTACTTTAGGGTAGTTTGAGCATCAGTCTGTGTCTTTCAGTCACCCCTCCAACAACTGTCCATGCAACTCCATGTCACTCTCAAGGTACACCTTTAACGCAGTGCTGGGTGCCAGATCAAGAAGCCTGATAAGGGTTCTGTCACCCAGTAGCATGAAGTTTGGTTCCCCAAAGAGCTGAAGTCACTAGGGCATAGAATTCCTGGCCCTAGTTATGGTCTTGGTCCTGGTCTTTACCTCAGCTGAGCCTCAGTAGATCACCTTTGGCAAATTCTCTCTATCTTCCCGGGGTCTCATAGCTCCACCACTTAATTTTACACCTTGTAGCATAGGAACTCTTGCTTTTCTCTAGACTAGAAATTTGAATGTGTTAGAATATTGGCTATAAAATGCACCTTTGAGTTTGCATATATGTTGTGCTTTACTATGAATCTGTTTTGAAAATATGCATGTGAATGCATGCATACACAGGTTCTCAGATACACAAGAGCATGTGATTGTGACCCCATGGGTACAGAATACTAGACTAGTTTTTTTATTTCTCTTTTTTCATTATATTGCATTTTTTACTTCTGGTATAGAAAGAAAGCTAGAACAGTAGGCTAAAATGAAAGTGAAGCTGAAGTTCTTCTAAACCCCAACTAGATAGGTTTCCTTTAGTTGAAACGTTGTACTTTCCTTTGTGTGGGGGAAGAGATTGATATACTTGCAACGGTATGTATCAAGTCCCTGCTCTGCCTGTTCATGAAATTAAATGTATTATAATAATAATAATAATAATAATAATAATAACAATAACAGCAACAACAACAACTTTGTTGCAGACAACAGTTTGTAAATATGATGTAAAGCAAAGTCTCAAAACCCAGAATAGGTTTGGACAGGATGTTTCATGATCAGGCAGTGTTTCCTGCAATGCTCTCACCACCAATAATTATTTCCTACTTCTTAATTTGTGCTGTTTTGTCTCCTGCTGCTTTCCTCTCTCCACTCTTTTCCTTCCTTGCCCTCTGTTATTTGGTCCCCACCAGAAGCTTCCAGTTCCTTTTAAGGGTAAAACTAAAATGAAATGAGTCTCCCAACCCAACTGATGCCTTCTAGTTATGTCTTAAATGCTACTTTTTTTTATACCCTGTCTTTTCCCCCCTCAGAGCCTGTGTGACGTTGGATGAGGCCCAGCTCAGTGACAACATGGCTCACTTTGATACAGAGTATCAGCGGCTGGAGGCCTCCTACAATGATTCTCCCCCAGGAGAAGAGGACCTGATGGTTCATGTTGCCGAGGGCAGCAAATGTGAGTACAGCTGTGAGCGGCCAGCCTTGGGGCCAGGCACCCCACAAATCAGTGCTGATGGTGCCTGGGACTGGTGAAAGACTAATCTGAACAGGAAGTGGAATTGTGGGATTCTGGCTCTGTTTCTGGGGAAACTGCATTTGCTGTGCAGCATGTTTTCAAGCATGCCTGTTCCTGGGAAGCAGCAGGAGGAGGAGAAGGCAGTTGCATTATTGTATTGCTTGTGGATTTCCCAGAGGCATGTGACTGGCCACTGTGGGACTAGACGGGCCTTTGGTCTTATGTTCTTACTAAGTTCCCACGAAATTGAGCAAGGCTTTCTCTCTAGAAAGTGTGTTTAGGGTTCAGCTTTAAACTTTTGTTCTTAAAATATTGGGCTTGGATGGTGCAGTGGGATGCTGTGTCACAGCTCCTTCTCCCTCTGGCTTCTTTCTGGTGTGTTGAATTTTAGGGTTCTTTTTTCACTTTGTCTGTCTTGCAGCTCCCTGGCACCACATTGAGAATCTGGACCTCTTTTTCTCTCGTATATCCTTACCTGAAGGGCAGGGATAGTTGTATCCCAGCTGTCGGGATTGGGGGTGGGGGCTCGGTTGCAGCAGAGCTGGGAACCCTTTACAAGGTTCCTTGTGGCCCATTAAACACTCCAAGAGGCAAAGGACCTTTCAGTATCAGTTCAGGAACAAAGGATAGCATAATAAAGAACCAGCCTCTGGAACCCATACAGGTTTACAGGCCAGACAGCAACAAAAACAATACAAGGAGATTTGCAATCACCCCCTCAAATTCTTTACGGCAGAAAGTTTCTGACTCTTTCCTCCTGATGGTGGCTAATCGTGACTTAATAGCATGGCAGGTTGAACTGGAAAAGGAGATGCTTCCTGCTAATGGAAGACTAGTCTCTGGTGAAACTAAGGGTACTGCAACCAATATTCTGAGCAATTCTCTTTGACTGTACCCCTCACGTCTATAACCTGCACCAGAAGAATGGCTTCACCTGTATGCTCATCAGTGAGATCTTTGAATTAATGTGAGTATGAACTCCATGTCTCTTCCCGTAAAACAGGATTGGAAGTGGACATTCATTGTATTTCCATGGGCACCTTGTCAGAGATGAAAAAAAGAGTTCTGGTTTCCTGCTGGAGCTAGTGATCCTTCCCTGGCCCCAATTCCCTGTCATTCAGGTTGATAGGAAAACAAATCCTACTCCTGATTCTCTTTATGCAAGATGTCTCTGGTATGAAGGATATAGACAGCTGGCGCCTTTTGCTGGCCCAGATAATTTGAAGATGGGAGCGGGGAAGGGAAGGCTGAGTGCCTCCTAGTGTGACACATCTCCTCTTCTCACAGGCAGTTCATCTTTGTTGTGGCCTTCACCACATTCCTTGTCAGCTGTGTTGACTACGATATCCTGTTTGCTAACAAGCTGGTGAATCACAGCCAGCATTCCAGTGACCCTGTCAAGGTGACCCTGCCAGATGCCTTCCTGCCTCCCAATGAGTGCAGTGCCAGGTAAAGTTAGCAAGGGCTATCCTTTCCTAAAATTGACCACATCCTAGCCCATCTTGGTCGGGTCTAAAATCCAAGAGGCCTCCTGGATGCCTACTTTGCATTTTAAGTCACACTCAATCGTAGCTGTAGGCTCGGAAATGTAGTTCTTGCAAGGTGAGCGTTGCTGTCAAAACTGCTTTCAGATGTTTACTTCTATATCTGCCAAATCTGGGGTCTCCAGCGTTAACCTAATGTCATTGATAAGGTCGGGCCCCTGATGAGCCAGCTGGACTTTTAATATACTAGACAATCTTTGGCCCCTTGTGGATTAACTGTGAGAGAAAGCTTTGAGTTCACATTTGTAGCTGTACCCATCTTCTCTCAGATTTTCCAGCCCAGTTGCCCATTAGTACAGTTTAATGCATCTCAGCACTGCATAGCCTTGCACCCACCTGAAGTGCCTGAATTCTAGCAATCTGAGAAGGAGGGGTTGGCACATGCTTTGGAAAGAACTGTAACGACCAGAAGGGAGGTGGCTGCTTCTTCCTTTCGGTGAATCCATCTTTCTCATAGGATCCAGGCCAATGGCTTTCTCATCTCTATCCTGGTGATTGCGGGGGTCTTCTGGATCCATCGGCTGATTAAATTCATCTACAACATTTGCTGCTATTGGGAAATCCACTCTTTTTACATCAATGCTCTCAAGATTCCCATGGTAAGCTGCTGTGCTCTGGGAACTGTTAGACATGCATGCACAAATCTACACACTGTGCTATTGATAGGGAATGTTGACACCTTAGCAATATAGTTCTGATTACCTGATTACAAGCAAATCAGTACTGCCATATCCTGCCCCCACTTTTTGTTTGCAACCTTCCCAGGAGCATTTGACTGACTGTTACTGGAGACAGAATGCTGGAGCAACATGACTTTTGGTTTGACCCAGAATAACATTTGGGTTGATCCTGCAATTCAGTTCTTAGTGTCTCATGTTCTTTTCGAAGCAGTGAGAAGCCTGCAGATAATACCTATTGCTTCTTCTCCTTTAAGGGAAAAATCTTTCACTCCTGAATCTTCCTCTGTCCCTTATTGACCTTCCTCCAGAGTTGTACACTGCTGCTGATCTTTCTGGTCTGCTGCTAATCCCATGGTTGCTCAATCTGACTTGCTTGGTTGAGTGGCAGGGCTAGTATGTTCTGCAGCTGTCATTGTCTGGTTTGCCAGTGTTTGTTATTTGGTCCTTGCCCAAGAGTGTTAGAAGTTGAGTCTCTGCATAACCAATTCCCTTCCCCTTTTTCAGGAGTGGGGAAAGTTTTTGTTTGTTAAATTTGTTAGTCACTTTATCTTTCCCAAGACAACTCAAAGCAACAAACAAACAACCAAATGGACAAAAAGCCCCATCCCTAGATACATCAAAACCATTGTGGGGTGGGGGGAGAAATACATTAAAAACCTACCCACTTCTAAAAGGCCACAGATAGTCAAAGGCCTGGATATGAAGGAAAGTTTTTGCCTGGCACATAAAGATATATAATGATGGCGCCAGGTGAACCACTCTGTGGAGAGCATTCCACAAATGGGGAGCCACCAAAGAAAAGGCTCATCTTCATGTTGCTACCCTCTGGACCGCTTGTGGAGGGGGGACATGAAGAAGCACTTTAGATGATGACTGCAGGGTCCAGGTTAGTTCATATGGGAAGAGATGGTCCTTGAGGTGTTGCGGTTCTGAGATGTTTGAGGCTTTATATGTCAAAATTGGGCCCAGAAACTAATTGGCAACCAGTACAGTCAGGCCAAGGTTGGTGTTACATGCTCAAACTGTCCTGCCTTGTTGAGCAACCTGGCCACTGAATCCCGCAACAGCTGAAGTTTCTGAAATGTCTCAGAGACAGTCCCATGTGCATTGCAGTAATCTAACCTAGAGGTTGCCAGAGCATAGACAAGAGAAGTTAGGCTATCCCTGTCCAGTTGGGGTCACAGCTGGGCCACCAGCCAAAGCTGATGGAAAGCACTCCATGCCACTGAGGCCACCTGAGCCTCAAGTGACACCAATGGATCCTGAATTATCCCCAAGTTGTGTACCTGCTCCTTCAGAAGGGAGTGTATCCCCATCAAGAGGATTAGCCTTGTCACAGCACTAACCTCACCATCCCTCTCTTTGCCTGCAGTCCAATTTGCCCTACTACACATGGCAGGAGGTGCAGGCACGGATTGTCCAAATCCAGAAGGAACACCAGATCTGCATCCATAAGAAGGAGCTGACAGAACTGGACATCTACCACCGCATCCTGCGTTTCAAGAACTACATGGTGGCCATGGTGAACAAGTCGCTATTGCCTATGCGCTTCCACCTTCCCCTACTGGGCGATACAATCTTCTATACGCGTGGCCTCAAGTACAACTTTGAGCTCATCTTCTTCTGGGGCCCTGGCTCACTCTTTGAGAATGAGTGGAGTCTCAAGGCCGAGTACAAGCGAGGCAGCAACCGCCTGGAGCTGGCTGAAAAGCTGGGCACCCGCATCCTCTGGATTGGCATTGCTAATTTTCTGCTCTGTCCGCTCATCCTCATCTGGCAGATCCTCTACGCCTTCTTCAGCTACACAGAGATTCTGAAGCGAGAGCCAGGAAGCTTGGGGGCTCGTTGCTGGTCCCTCTACGGCCGCTGCTACCTGCGGCACTTCAATGAGCTGGACCACGAGCTGCACTCACGCCTCAGCAAGGGCTACAAGCCAGCCTCCAAGTACATGAACTGCTTCATTTCACCTCTGTTCACTGTCGTGGCTAAGAATGTGGCCTTCTTTGCTGGCTCCATCCTCGCTGTCCTCATTGCCCTCACAATTTATGATGAAGACGTGCTTGCTGTGGAGCATGTCCTCACCACAGTCACCATCCTGGGTGTGGCTGTCACTGTCTGCAGGTGAGTTGAGATTGGCTGCGAACAGAAGGGTTTTTGTTTTTGTTCTCTGAGTCTTGGCATCAACGGGGTGGTTGCCATTATTATGAGGAGCACCCAATCAGAGAATTGACAGGTGGAAATTAAAAGCATTCTGCTGACCAAAAATTGCATTAAGCTACAAAAGTTTTTCTGCTGGGTCTCCCACTGAGGAAGTTACTGGGAGATGAATTGCCTGTGCTGCCTTTTCCTTCTGTGGCAATGATAGCTAGGACACTTGAGGAAATTGATTAAGCTTAACAACCCACGTCTTTCAGCTCTGCAAAACTGGTTGCTTCCCTGGTTTAGTGATCTCAGTGACGGTGGTGCCTTGGAGTTGTTTAAACTGTGAAATCTGCAATGAGAGGGCCCCTGGGATGGTTCAAGGCAAAGCCTGGTTTTTCTAGAATAGTGCAACCTTAGACTTACCTTTCAGTTTTTGCCTGGATCAAGCAAGGACAGAGCTTCTATCTGTCCATGAAGAATGTGACAGGCACTGCTTGAAGGTAATACTCTGGGGTGAGTCACAAACTAGGGTAAGCGGACAGAAAAGGAGAAAAAGGAGTTGGAAACATCAGCTCAGCTTGATATCTGAGAGATGAAACAACGGTGGGGGTGGTATAGCAGGTATAGCTGCTGGTTAAACAGAGTTAGCTGTGCTGTATATTGATGTGCAGTAAAAATCAACCTGATACTTCCTATGTTGTAATTGATAGTTGATCAGCTTCTGACATTCTAGATTGATGTAACCTGCCACTGACTTAATGTTGAATCGGAGTCTTAAGAAATCCAGAATCTAGGGATTTGGCTGATCACTGAGTCTGTGAGGAATTGTTGCAAGGTTGCTTTAGAGGCAAACAGGCATCACACATTTTATTACCCTTTTATCAAAGGTAGTCTGAACAGGTCTGTACTTCAAATAAGGATATAAATAAGTACATAAATGTGTGAAATTATCATCTTCCTCCCCAGTGAACCAGTTTGTTAAAGCTGAACCTGCTATATCTGACCCATAAATAGTTTATCTCACTACACTCCTCTGTTTTCATCTTTCCATGAAGAGGGAACATGGGGCTGGGGACCCCTAGAACATAAGGTGCCTGTCTGCTTGCTTTTATGAAGGAATGTAGCTCTCCTTGACACCTGTCCCATCTGTCTTGCAGATCCTTCATCCCGGACCAGCACCTGGTCTTCTGCCCAGAGCAGTTGCTTCGGGTGATTCTGGCGCACATCCACTACATGCCTGACCACTGGCAGGGCAACGCCCACCGCTATGAAACCCGAGATGAGTTCTCCCAGCTCTTCCAGTACAAGGCGGTGAGGTGGGGCAGGGCAGGGTGGGAGGAAATCATATAAGAACTGCCCTTTGCATAAACCCTGACTAGATCCAAGCATGTATTGTCCGTAGAGTTCCCCCCAAAATGGGGGAGGTTCTCTGACCCCAGGGCATGTGGGAGGAAAGAATCACTGGTATTTCCCCCAGTTATTCTCCCCAGTGCCTGCAGTCATGTCTTGAGGCTGTGCTGTGGTTTCACAAGTGATAGACACCCGTGCAGTTGTTGAACTTAATGCCTTTGTCTCCTTTACATAAGGTGTTCATCCTGGAAGAGCTGCTCAGCCCCATTGTGACTCCCTTGATCCTCATCTTCTGTCTGAGGCCCAAAGCTCTAGAGATAATTGATTTCTTCCGCAACTTCACTGTGGAGGTGGTGGGCGTGGGAGATACCTGCTCCTTTGCCCAGATGGATGTGCGGTGGCATGGACACCCTGCGGTAAGTCCCAGTGAGGGGCAGCATCATGGACCTGACATGCCTTGGCTTGTCCTGGGTCACAAACACCCTGCAGTGCCCCTGTCCTGCCCCAGTAGGCAGCTGTGACGCTGCTCGCAGGTCAGGTCTGCAGTGCCCTTGTGTCTGCTGGCTGCTCCTAGTCCCATTGAGGCAGCTGCATGGTGTGCACAAAACACCCTGTCCCTCTCTTGTTTTGCAGTGGATGTCAGCGGGGAAGACGGAGGCTTCCGTTTACCAACAAGCCGAGGATGGCAAGACGGAGCTGTCCCTCATGCACTTTGCTATCACCAACCCACACTGGCAACCTCCTCGGGAGAGCACGGCTTTCATCGGCTTGCTTAAGGAACGTGTGCACCGCGACAGCAGCCTGGCTCTGGCCCAGCAGGCTGTCCTGCCTGACAACGCCCTCTTCACCTCCATTCAGTCCTTGCAGTCAGAATCAGAGGTACTGGGAACTAGTGTGTGGTAGAACAGGACATAATCCTGGTTTATCATAGGGAGAGATTTGGAGTGAACTGTTTCTTTTTGGTGGGATGGGGATAATGTTTCTATGTGGGCTTCTGGGCTCCGTGGAGTCATTTGAGTGCCATGGTAGTATGGCTGCCACTGTCTCATTGTGACCTAATTAGACTACCTTCCTCTTGCAAGCATGCTACTTCTGTCTCCTGTTATCTCTTCAGCAAAAGTTAGTCATACTCCCCTAAAAGTTGGAACCTTCAGAGTCTCCACGTTACCCATCCTCTCTCCCCACTCCTTTATTTCCCAATTCCTTTTCCTAGGATATATTATTGCTTTTCTTTCTGTATATTTTTATTGTGAAAGTCTTAAGCTTACGGAAGACTCAAAGGTTGCAAAATGGAATTGTGATGAATCAATGAGATTCCTGTTGATATGAATTGATATTGGAATCAATATTATTCAATAAGATGCACAAATAACACTCAAATGTAAATAAAGTCAGACATAAATAAGCACCATCCCTCCCATCCACCCCCAGAAGGTCCTTGGTGTCTTGTGGTTACATTGTTTCAATTTCACTTATCCAACTGCAATCAAAAACCTAAGGTCCTTTTGTGTTTAGGATCTCTTAATGTGATTAACAATCCCCTTCTCACTGAATCACTTGTCTTTCCTATAAGAAAGTCCCCCAACACCTGTAGCATCTTCTCTTCCAAGTGTCACCATTTAGAAAGCATTTGAATTGCTGGGGGCTGGAGATGGGTGGGCTAATTTTCCAAAATGTGGAGAGAATTCAGGATCCACACTGCAAAGGCAGAGGTGAAGTTATTTATTTTTATTACAGTATATAATTTCTAGACCGCCCTTCACCCAAGAATCACAGGGTGGTTTGCAAAGTTCAGTTGTGGTGGTGAAGTGTCAAATGTAGATAGATGGGGCAGACCTTGGATCTTCCTGCCTGGGTCACACCTCCCTCCTCTGTTCTCTCCCTGCAGCCACACAGCCTGATTGCCAATGTGATTGCAGGCTCCTCAGTCCTGGGCTACCAGGCAGTCCGTGATGGGCAGGCCTCGCGGCATCTCTCGGCTGTGTCTGAGGTGGCATCTGCCCTGCGTTCTTTCTCTCCTCTTCAGTCAACGCAGGCGGCCCACAGGAGTTCCCACACAGAAGGTTCTCAACATCGGGGTCCTGGCACAATGGCAGGCTCAGGGTAAGAAGCTGCATGTTGTAAGGGGCTAGAGGAAAAAGCCAAGAATTGAGCACCTCACCAGCACTTTACCCAGAGTGCTCTGAGGACTATTTCATGAGGCTTTTCCCAGCACAGCTATACATTACTGTGTGTTAGAGCAGGAGGCAGCCTCCTAGATGTGCCTTTGAAGCAGCAGCAAGAGCTTTTTATGCCTTTTATTACCTCTCTCCTATTGGACTCCCAGTTCCCATCAGTGCCAACTAGCATGGCCAGTGGCAAAGACTGGTCACAAGCTCCCCACCCATGGCTTGGGGTTTCCTTGTGTTTGGAGCTGAGGTTATGAGGGACAGCAGAAAGCTATCCAGTTCTGCAAGGCTCCCCAAAAGATTGCTGTGTGTTCTAAACATTCACTTTTAGTTGGCAGGCTACAGCTGTGGTATGGTTGATGTCACCCTTTCTAGGCTCAGAGGGGGGAAAGCTGCTGCAATCATACTATTGGGGTGTGGAGTGGCAAGAAGGTGCCTTCTGGACTCCAAATCGCTCTTTCTAACACATCTTGACTTGACTCTTCTCTCCCTTCTGGCTTGCAGGGTTGATGCCAGGACAGCTAGTTCTGGCAGTAGTGCCTGGGAGGGCCAGCTTCAGAGCCTGATCCTTTCAGAATATGCCTCTACTGAGATGAGTCTGCATGCACTCTACATGCATGAGGTGAGCTGAGCATCAAGAATCATGCAGGCCTTTGCAATGGGCCCTGAAGGTTCTGAGTAGACCTGCATCTTGAGACATGTGTACCTGAATGAGTACAGCAAAGGAGGATCGAATAAGCCTCTGTACTGTGATATAGCTCCTAACTTAAGAGAAAGGCCCTTCATTATACAGAAATCAGGCTGGTAGCAAATGCCCCCTTCACTGGGCCATGATTTATGACAATTTGTGCATAACTGAACATGAGTGGAGAGTATATAGGCTTGCAGGATGTGAGTGACACTTGCATGGATGCAGGTGACGACTTGCATAGACCTGTGTAGAAGCATGTGAAATTTAGGCTGTAAATGTGATATTTATGTGGAGGCCTGTGATACTTGGATTGTATCAGGTCCCAAACTGGGCTTACTTGGGACACATGTCAATGTTACCATAGGGTTCTAGCTGGCTGCCCATTAATACCCCCTGCCATTCTCAGTTACACAAGCAGCATGCCCAGTTGGAGCCTGAGCGGCACTTGTGGCACCGGCGAGAGAGTGATGAGAGTGGTGAAAGCGCCCAGGAGGAGCCCGATGCTCATCAGGGCACCCCAAGCAGTGCCATGCCCCGTTCAGCCAGCTATCCTTTCGCCTCACCTCGCCAGGCTGGTGATGAGACAGCTGCTCTGCAAGCCGGCTTCCAGCGTCGATATGGAGGTGTCTCAGGTATGTTTCAGGAACGCCAAACTCAAAGTGCTTCCATATTCCTTAGCCAGAAAAGGCTTTATTTCCTGCCAAACCCTGCACATACACATGCTGGCATTTCTTGTTAACTACAGGGCAACGAGAGAAAAGGATTAGATATCAGTCTGACATGCTGCTTGGCAGTTTTGGTGAACCTTTTGATGACATGGCCAGTGCATCATATGTAAGAGGCAAGCTTTTACCTGTGCTGCCTACACTCTCAGATTGCCTCAAGGCCAACCTCAGTGCCTTCACTCCTTGCTGATCAGCAGGTTTGGAGCACTGGCTAGCAGTGCTACAAGAGTGGCATTATAAGTTTGGGAAGTTCAAAAATCCATTTTGCTTTCATTGCTGCCGTTTCAGAAGGCACCATTTTCTCTGTGATTTGGGCTCTCATTTTCTTTAGTTTCGATTTCCAGAAGGCTCAATTTTCTTTGGTTATGATTTTCCAGAAGGGTAACCATGTCAGTCCATGAAAGCATGTGCTACCTTAAAGACTAATTTATGACATATTCATACCTCATCAGATGGAGTAGACTATGGTTCATAATAAATTTATCAGTCTTTAATGTGCCACAAGACTCTTCGTTGTTCTGGTCACAAAGCTATCAATATATTTATTTCTTTCAACAAGGGGCATAGCCAAAGCTGGCAGGGTAGGGTGTTGCTTAATGGACTTGTTTAGAGGAGCAGGTGGGAACAGAAAGACCAAGAGTACTTGCAAGATATTATATTTCCACTTACGCCACTGCTTCCCAGCTACTGTATCTGTGTTGGGTGGCTGGTAATGGGGAACAGAGCAGACTGGAAGCCCCAAACAGATTTTGCAGCAAAATTTAACTTTGGCTACCCCATCCGGTGGTTATCTTTTCCTCTTTGTTTTCCCACAGACCCTGGCCTGGTGCACAGAGCCCCATCACACTTTGCTCGGCTGCCACTTGGGGGGTGGGCTGAAGATGGCCAGACTGCTCGGCACCCAGAGCCTGTGCCAGAGGAGAGCTTGGAAGATGAGTTGCCACCTCAGATACACAAGGTACAGCCTGGTTGATACTTGGGCATTGGCAATGGCTGTGTCATGAAACCAGAGGAATCTGCAGTCTCTTAATGCAGCTATATGTATTACTGCACTATCATCACCAGGAGCTACCTGGCCAAAGACTAGTTAGTACAAAAATAATTTGATTTTGTGTTTGGGAAGGCTCTACTGATACGAACTAGTCGGGCTTTCAGGAACTCATACACAAAGCAGACCAAATAAATCAGGCAAGGCTATCCTGTAAACTGCCCCGTGTTCCTTGGTTGAAGGGAGAAATTTTAATTTATAAATTAAAGAAAGAAAGCCATGTTTGGGTAGACTCCCCCCCCCCCCAAAAAAGTGTCATCTCAGGGTAATATTTAATGCTGTATTGTTTTTAACACTCGATTGGAAGCTGCCCAGAGTGGCTGGGGAAACTCAGCCAGATGGGCGGAGTATAAATAATAAATTATTATTATTATTATTAAGAGGGAAGAGAGTAATATGAGAAGCTGAGTGAGTAAGCCAGGCTTCCTCAACCTTGGCCCTCCAGATGTTTTTGGCCTACAACTCCCATGATCCCTAGCTAGCAGGACCAGTGATCAGGGATGATGGGAATTGTAGTCTCAAAACATCTGGAGGGCCGAGGTTGAGGAAGCCTGGAGTAAGCTATGGAGGGACAGAGAGCAATGGCAGGCATTCTGTGAAAGATCTCTAGCTTCAGTGTGCTAGGCACACACAAAAGTAGGCTGGGGGCATTTTCTGCCTTGGAAAGGGGAATTTCAGTATATGCAGCATTTCTTCCCCTCCATCAGCTGTAGCTGTCAAAATGTTCTCTTCCATATGGGTTTTAGAGGTGGAGGATCCTTATTCTCCTTTGCATGTAGTCAGCTGATATTGCTAAATGGCCTACAACTTGCTTAAAAATAAATACTGAAGGTTTCAGGAGGTGGGATCTTTGTTTGGCACAAAATCTGGAGTATTCAGAGCTTTGCTTTGACCCAGTCTTTCTCCTCACTGTCCCCCTTCCCAAATAACTTCCTTTGCCTTCCCAATTCCTTCAGGTGTAGCTGTGAAGGCTGAAGATCCTGTGTGGGCTCCACATCGTGGGCCCGCCTCAGCTGGTGGGACATTGGGTTACCCTGCCCTACAAAGTATGGGTTGGCTCAAGTCTCCATGTCCTGGACGTCAGTGCCAGAGTGAGGAAGGTGTGAAGACAGCAGTGCCTTCATTGTGGGCGGAACTCTATCCAGACATGCATCATGCCGGTGGCACGCTAGCTGGGCATGGGCTGGATGTGTGTGTGATTACATATATTTGTCCGTGTCTGCATCCGTGTCGTCCATGTTGGAGAACCATCCAAGACTTGCACAGTATGCCACGGAGCGCACTACAGTGCAGGAGACTGGCATCCAATCTTGCCCTGCCTGAAATGTCCTGTTGTAGCAGGAGGAGGACCTGCTGTGTGGACCCCCGTTCAGAGGCAGGAAGAGCTGTAACACTGTCCAGACTACAGCGTGTAATTAAAGATGCAATCAGGCGATAGATTTGGACTCAGGAAAAGAAGGGCTGCAAGAGATTATTTTTGTAATGGGAATGGGGCACAGGCTTCCTCCAGTGGCAGAGCCTAACTTGGATAGAAGCTTTTCACACACAAGAAGGGTGCGTATCTTCCTCCCTGCTTTACCATTCACTCACAAACTTTGAGGCCAAGCCAAAAGAGGCACTCTTGCAGTGCCATCACCACTCATGCCGCAGGATTTTGTCTTCCTGTGGGCACAAATGATTCTACTGTTTGGGGCCACGTTTATTTCGCATCCCTCTTGCAGTATCAAAGCACAGGCTTCGCAGGGTATTGCTTCACAGCCCGTACCAGGTTTTGCTTGAGGCAATATCTGAAATGACCAAAGTCTCCTTCAAACTTACCAAATGGCACCCAGCTCCAGACCGATGGCTCCATTCTGAGGATGCCCCTTGCTCTTACCTTGTTCATCCTGCTAGGATTTAGAATCAAGTATGAGGCTCTGCCCCAGGTGCTGTACTTGTGGGTATGAGGGATGGGTGGAGGAAGGCGATACTTGTCTGCCCCCGTCCCCATTGTTCTATTTAAATATTTCCCAGATTCCCCATACACTTCCTGTGGGCACAAATGTTTGGGTTCTTCTCCAAGCTAGTGCTGCCCTCCTTGTGATGTCTCTTTTCTATGGATGCCTTAACGGCAAACATCCAGATCTTGTGGAAGTGCCAGCAAGAGAAGAGTTCCTATATGCCAAATATATTACCTGTCACAATCTTAAGAACTGGGGTGGGCTTCAGGTTCTTGTTGAAAGGGCTGAACCTCTCGCCTGGCTAGACAAGGCGTTCTCTTGAACAGTCTACAGAAGTTCTGCTGGTTCTACTGGTTCCCCCACTTTATTACTAAAGAACACCATGCCATCGGCTCCACTGTCGTCCTCTAATTCTTATGGGCTATGTGGTCTTAGCACAACAGCAAAATACTTTTATGGTTTGCATAGCAAACATCACAAAGAATACTTTCTGGACTGCCCAGTGAAAACATTGCATCCCAAGAGGGTGTGGTACAATCCAGCCAATCATTGCTTAGGGTAATGCTAGCGCTCTCATCAGAGCTACAGGTCCCAATATGTCTTGGTTAACCCTGTGGTTTTGACTCCTTTGTCTTCTCTGTGGGGCCAGTTTTAATTTTTTTACAGTGGCTGCTGCAACCTCCAGTAGCTGTTTGTCAAAGCTCCTGTTGTACATAGGAAAAGCAGCTTGCCATTACTGTCACAGATAAAATATGCATCCTTCCTCTCTGTGGGCACAGGCCGGGTTGCATGGAGACCCCTATATGGCCTTGGAACTGACATTGTAGGTCTTGGGAGCCAGGACTCTTGGGATTTCTTTTCTTCTTTGCCCTCTTTCAGAATTGAAGAGATTATTTGCACTCAGCAATGAATTGATTACAGCTGGTAGTTCACCTGCTTTAGAAAGGAGATTATGCCCAAAAAGGATACTGTACTTCCCCACTCCCTAACCTAGTTTAACAAAAGGGTGGTCATTGGTGGTGTGGGGTACATGCTAAAAGGGAAGTTGGTGAGCAGCAGCTTCAAACTGTCAGTAGTTTAGATGTATGGCTGGTGCTGGGATTTCCCCCTGTTCTTCAGATTACTGGTGCATTTTAAGGAATTCAAAACAACTGATGGTAAAGTATTAATTTGCTGTCTTTCCTGCAAAATACACATCCCCTGGAGTGTAGAAAGAATAGCTTCATAGACTGCAACTTTGATCAGTGCTGGTTATGTACTGTTGGGATGGGGAACCTGTAGTTTGTGAAACTTTACTATATTACAACTCCTATCATCCCTGTCCATTGAGCATGGTGGCTGGAGCTGATGGGATTTGGAGTCCAACAGCATCTGGAAAACTACAGGGCCACAGTCCCTGCACTACAGCGATCAGCTGCAGAGCAGCCCCATTGGCAGAGATGAGCCTGCTGCATCCTAGTGGAAATGTTACTGTACCCCTGGTCTAGCAGTGAATAAAGGGAGCGTTCTCAGCTAAAACATGGGGTGGGTGGGAATTCTAGCTGTCATGTATTATGCTTGTCTTGATTTTGCCCCCATCTTTTTGTGCATGGTACAGCCACCTGTGGCCTCCTGTTTCGTTTGTGACACTAGAGGCTGGCCTGTGAGTTATGTGGAGCACTGCAAGTGATTTGTAAAACAGAGCTTATGTCTGACATCCTGTACAGTACTGTATCTACTGAATAAAGAGGGGTGTTCCATTCTTTGATTGCTGTGGCCGTGCCTGTGGAATTGTCTTTCATTGTGTCTGGTAGGATAACAGCCTGCTACCTACAAGATGAATCCAGGTGGATCACAGGGTAGCTGGCCATCATCACAATGCTTGTGGCACTAATGAGGTAGTTACTATCTACTGGATTTTTGTACATATCAATACATGCACTGCTACAGTGCTATTTTTCAAAAGAAATAATGTAACTCATCATGAACACTCGTGTTCTCTTAGAATGGCAATGGCGCCCACCTGAGAGGTGCCAGAACTGCGTTCCAACAAGTTCCCTCAGAAAAAAAGCCCTAGACTTCTATAATATCCAAAGAGGCACATCTTTTCTGGCCCCACTGAATGCTGAGAAATGAGTGTGTCACGTCTAGGAACAAAAATATATTTAGCATTTACCATGTGCTTAGAAGCTGTTGTTATTTTTTTTATAGGGAATATAGCACCAGTTTGGGTACATTTAAAGGTGCGTGCTAAATACATTCTGGTACTTTTGGGTTTATAATTCTATAGCCAAATACTGCTAAGAACGCATATGTAGCAATACTGATTTTGTGTGTGAATGCAATTTTAAAATCTATTTCATTTTTTTAAAAAAAAAGTCAGGACGTGAGGGCAAGGAGGATCAGAGGGCATCTATGCTAAATGTTTAAGAATTGTGGCCATGACCTGTGACGATGCTCTTGACCTAGACAACTTTCCTTATCTCCATCCTTAATCTGAAGGATTAGACTGTCTTTTCTGAGGCAAGCCACAAGAAGGCCTGCCAATATAAGGAAAGAGCTGTGTGTGGGAGTACATATACTTTGTGTCATTATTAAGATTTAAAGCTCTGACTTCTGGTTCTGGGATGCTCCTTTTTGTTGATAATCTTAATGAAACTGTATTTATAGTTTTAATATTTATTGTAAATTGCTGAGTTTTCACTCCAAGCAGTATATAAACTTTGTTAAATAAAAAGCCCATAATATCTGCATACAATGGAACTGTAAGACAAGCTGATTTTAATACATAACTAGCAAATTAAAACAAAACAAACTAGTCATTTTTACTGCTTAAAAATAGTCCTAGGAAATCCTTGTATCAGGGTTGCATCAGGATCTAAAAAGAGGTATAACCCAATACTATGAATATCTATTCAAATTTAAATAATAATAATAATAATTTAACTAATTATTTCAGTTAAAGTTTGCTTATTTATTTATTACAACATTTATATCCTACTGTATACTGGTGCCAGGGCACCACTCTGCAGCTGACAGCTTAAAATTACTGGTTTCATAAAACTCAGGTAGTTAACTTGTCCAAGATGAAATTCATAATGATGGATACATACTGGGTAGTGACAGCGGCAAAAGGCACTCCTAAGGCTCTCACGTGCACTCTGTTCCTTTCACGTCTTAGATATTTCAGAGCAGAGACTTTATGAGCCTTGGCTCAATTAAGGTTTGAATGGAATGCGACAGTCATAGTCACAGCGGTGCCCCCATCCTTCTCTAAGAAGCTCTGCCTGATATCCTCACAACAACCTTGTGAGGCAGAGAAAAAGTGATAGACTCAAGTTCGCACACTTTCCCCCGAGGCTGCTTTTTTTTTTGCCGCCGCCGCCGCCGCACCTTTCACAGCAGCGTTAGCAAACTGAACCCGGATTCAAAGCCACACTCGGACGCACGCTCGTTTGCGATGTGTACACACAGGCTTAGGATTGTGCTGACTCATTCCAGTTCGGTATCCTTGTTTTAGACTGCGGAGGTACAAATGCGGAGGAGCGGGATCGGGGTGAAGCGCTGGCCCATGATAAATTTGGGGGCAGCACCTGCCCTCGATCGTCCCACCTTCGCAACCCGCGTCGTGCGCTCTTGCTCGGCGGGAAATAAATAAGAGCAACGGCCCGGAGCTTGAGCGCTTGTGTTGGAACGCGCGGGCGCTAGGACCCAGACGGAACCTGCCTAACAGTGTTGGGGAAAGGCGACGCTAGGACCCCGCGTGCGCCGATCGGGCCTGCCGCGGCTCCCGAAGCTCGGCTGCGGATGCGCCGCTGCACATTGGCCGAGCCAACCGGGCGGTGGGGAGAGTGGGTGGGCTGGACTGACGAGACCCGAGCAGGCAAGTAGACGTTGGTGGGAGAAGGGGGCAGGCGGGTGGGACAGAGGGGAAGCGGGCGGCGGCGGCGGCAGCCCCTTTGCTGCGTTCTCGCCGGCTGGCAGCACAGAGAGGCGGCAGGGGGCGGGGGTAACACAGCCCCATGGCTTGATCTCCACCTCCTCCTCTTCCTTCTATGCCCGAGCCCACTGCCAAGCAGCCAGGCCTGTTGCCCAAAGTGTGTGGGGTAACAGGCGTAGGCAGCGAGGGTGGGTGCTCAGCACCGTCGTCTCCTCGCTGTGCTCCCCGGGGTGCCCTTGAATCAGGAAGCTGGCGGCTTCTGCCTGGGAAAGTTCACCGCTTGGAAAGTGGGAACACACAGCAGCTGGACCCGGGGAGGGCAGGAATCCAAAGCGCCACTCGAGGGCGCGGAGTGTAGTCATAACAACACGGTGATGATGTGCTATTTTGATATCGTGCATCAGAAAGAACGAATTAAAACCCACGGAGAGGTGTGGAGGAAGGCACCAGAAATATCCGCCGGGGAATTTTCATGGAGGAAAAGGCTATATCAGTGGCCCTTAAAAAAAGAAGACAAGCTTCTAGCATTTGGGAAAGTAGCTCAGGGTTTATTTGTGTAGTAAAAGCTGTGGGGCAGAGAGAAGATAGCTGAGCAAAAACTTCAGTGCATTGCATCCATTCTAGTAGCACCAGCACTGTAAATTATGCCAGCCAGCAAATCGTTGCAAATATGTTTAATTTGTTTATTTTATCGAAGTCTCAGCTACCAAATCATACGGGTTGGGTTCGGAGGAGGTTAAACATTAATGGAACTCAAACCCAGGAGAAAGCAGTAAGGTGCAAAAGGTTATGGAGAGTGGCAACAAGGAGTCACACAGTGCACGTGTTCTCAGAAGTAAGCCCCACTGGGCTCAATGGGATTAATTCCCCGGTTAATGTGCATACTTGCTACCATAGTTGACCTGTGAAACTCAATGATCTTGGATCAAGCTATTGTACGCACACAGCAGGCTTAGAGGTTCTGTTCTGTTTTCAAAGGATCAATTTCATTAGAAGAGTCTATCAACATCTATGAAACTGCCATCCTAGAATAGACTTGTGAGGGGCCAAATGTCTCTGTGGCAACCCACAGCACTAGTGCCACACGTGACCCTGCCCCCCAGTTTCATGTGTGTGACAAGGGGGAGGGGGCGTTGGGATTGCAGGAGAGGGAAATGGGATGAGCCCACCTACCTATGACCCCACCTACTGCCTCAAATAGATCCCTCTTCCCCCAAAGCAGCCCTTGACATATGCCCTTGATATATGTAAACCCTTCCCATAAAAGAAGGCTATCTACTTGCCAGCCAATGGCAGATTATCCCAAATATTCCAGAGCACTGTGCCATAAGCACAGAATATCTGCACCACAGAAAGTGTCTGCACAAAAATTGCTGCAGAAGACTTAGGAAAGCAAGCCATATTAGAAGGAAAAGAGGAGTGGGGGGCAACCTTCCCCATGGCTACCGGAAAATCTAAAATTGTGAAAAAAATCCTACCTGACCTAAACATGAGTAAACAAATAGGCCCTAAATATGAGCAAAATCTATCCACTATTCTGAAAAGAAAAATGTTACCAAGATTCAGCTCCTCCCCACGCAGCTGTCACTCTGATTTTAAGTGTGACAGTTCTTGATGCCTTGTGCTAAGCAATTCCTTAAACTAGGAGGTGGGGTGAACAACAAGGTGAGACCTCTGCCCCAGATACTGTGTGGTTTCTTTTGCATTTCCCTACAAAGTGTCTCACCCTGCCTCTTTTGGTGGGATGGCATATTGAGCAAGAAGGATTAAAAAAATTGTCCAAGATTGGTGACTGCTCTCATGCCTGCATAGTATGTGTGTGTGTGTGTGTGTGTGTGTGTGTGTGTGTCTGTCGCACCATGTGGTATGTTTACTTCTGCACTTGAATTTAAGCCTGTGAGAACATCATATGCCTGTGGGTTTGCATATATTATATATAACATATTTGCAGACAGCATTGAAATATAAAGCCAGTGTGGCAAAGCAGTGTGTTGGACTAGGACCTGTGAGACTTGTGAGACCATGGTTTGAATCCCCACTTAGCCATGAAGCCCACTGGGGGACCTTAGACCAGTCACTCATTCTTAGCCTAACCTATCTCACAGGCTTGTTGTGGAGGAGGAGGAAAATTATGTATGCCACCTTGAGCTCCTTGAAGGAAAGGTGGGATATAAAAAAATAAAAAAATAGTAGCCCAAGCATATGTTCTAATTTCCTTGTTTCTTTCATCTGTGTTTCTGCAGCTCCCCAGCCGACAGGATGGTGGTGCTACAGAGCTACTGTGAGGGGAACGATTCCCTGGCACGTGCATGGGCTCAGCAGGGGCTGTACCCCTGTTTCTACTTCACGCTGGTGCCCTCCGTGCAGCTCAGCGTCTGCATCCTCTTGGGGGCCCTGCAGTACGCTTGCTATGCCCGGTTCAGCCGCACCATGGAGCCAAAGTATATCCCACGTTCCCGCCTGTACCACATCCAAGTCCTCCTCTCTCTGCTCCTTGCACTGCTGCCCTTTGTCACCTTTCTGTGGCAGGTGTTGGGCATGCAACAGCTTTATGGGTACATGGTGCTGTACGCCTGCCTCTCTGCCGCGAGCTGGACCAGCTCGGTTGGGCTGCTCCACCTGGAACGCACCAGAGTTCTGGCGCAGGACCGGATCAGAGGCCATGGTGCCATCCTCCTCCTTTTTTGGGCTCTGGCTTTTGCAGCCGAGAACCTGGCCTTCATCTCCTGGAACAGCCCACTCTGGTGGTGGGGCTTGGAAAACGCCAACCAGAAGGTAGGTCAACGAGGGTTTGGCGACAGGTAGGAGCATATATATATACAGTGGTACCTCGAGTTACAAACGCCTCAGGTTACAAACTCCGCTAACCTGGAAGAATTACCTTGAGGTGAGAACTTTGCCCTAGGATGAGAACGGAAATTGTGTGCTGGCAGTGCAGCGGCAGCAAGAGGCCCCATTAGCGAAAGCACAGTTTCAGGTTAAGAACAGTTTCTGGTTAAGAATAACAAATTAAGTTCGTAACTAGAGGTACCACTGTATCCTGGAATTTTTTGGCAGGGTGGTGGAATATTTGGAGATGGGAGAGGATTAGAACCAAATAAACCTGCTGATTTCAACACTTGCTAGTTGTTGCTCTTAAGTGCCAGCCACTGCTTGGCGCCTTCTTCCCAGCCCATTTTTGCTGAGTCACTGTTGTTTGAGCTACAGAAAGCTTTAGACATGAGTGGTGTGTGCTCCTCCCCCTTTTCACACAACCACACATGCACACACACACAGAGAGGGGATTGCTGAATAATTTGCAGGGGACTTTGCCCAATGACTCAGCACAAAGTCCTACCGAAAAGGCTTTCCACCCACAAGCTGAGATTTCACATTTCTTTACATTGTTAACTAACATCCTTGCCCTCTGGCAATACCCTTTAGTAAGAGACTGGAAAGGAGAGAACTTATTCCATGCCACAGATTCCATGTAACGATTAGGGCCTGACCACTATTCCCCCACCCAAACTGTACAGCTGAATTGCCCACTGTCTACACACCTGCTTATGGGACTCCTCATATGCCAGGGTTTTCAAAATGTGGCTGAGGTTCATGCGAGTTGTAGTCCAAGCACATCTGGAGGGCATCTGGCTGGGGAAGGCTGGCAACAACTGTCCCCCAGCCCTACCTGGAGATTCCCAGATGGGTGGGATATAAATAAGCTAGTTAAGCCTAGCTTAACTGTGGTTTGTTTGAACATGTGAATCCAGCGTAGCAGACTAGCCAAGATTTGTTCTTTTTGGGTGGTTTGCTTGTTTGTTTTTGGCCAACAAACAATGTGAAGCCATTTTGCAAGTGGCAGCCTACCTTTTTTGCGTCAAGATGTCATCTCGTTGCAGTGATGGGTGTGAAGGCCCCTCACTCTTCATCCACAGAGGAACCAAGAACTCACATTTAGGAGCATCTACCTCCTCCTGCCTTGCCATTCCAGACAGCTTCAGCCTTCTCCCTTTCTACCTCAGTCACATGACCTAACTTCCCCTGCTGGCCATCTGATGTAACTGCAGGCATCTTCAAACAGGAACAGGCTTCAGGAAGCAACAGGAAGCAAATGCCCCCAAGCCATCTTCACAATTCTCTAGGGGTCAGGACCATCTATCACCAAATGTTCCTTAAAGCTTCTGGGAGGGATTGTATCCTGGGGTTTTCTGCAAGGAATTAGATTATGTGATATGGGATAATTATCTGTGTTCTAGTTCCAGCGTTTTTACGTACTTGGCAAGTCTTTGGTCAATTGGCTCAAATCATGCTTTTGGCTAATGAAATGCCTAAAAAGATTTTAAATAATAAATCAAGTTTAAAAATACCACCCTTGATGGGTGTTTCCCTCTCTCCACTCCAAGCCATTTGACTCTTGGTTTAGATCTTAGAAAGGAAGCACTGCTTGGTTTGTAGCTTTCAGTGGGGAGCAAAGCGGGGCAGGTGGGTCGCTGCGAGACACACATCTGACATGAGATCAACCTCCTCCAGGTACAATTCAGCCTGTGGTTACTGCGCTACTTCTGCACCTTCGCCCTCTTTGCCCTGGGGATAAAGGCCCCAGGGTTGCCCCGAAAACCCTACATGCTGCTGATCAATGAAGATGAACGCGACGTGGAGCACAGTCAGGTAGGTCTCTGTTCTCCTAAACAGCCCAATTCTTCTTCTACGTCTGCCTGTCTCTGTCTATCCTGTTAATTCCACCCCTGTGAACCAGTTGCAGGCTGTGCAGGGAGGGAACTAGAATAACATTATTGGTGCCAGAAGCACTACTCTGTTAAGAAGAGCCTGTAGCTGCGGTTTCTCTCTTTAAAATAGCTGCCATTTTGAAACAGTATTACCTTTCCACACCAGGGGCCACATTCACACCATATATTTAAAGCACTGTGACGCTAAGCAGTCATGACTCCCCCCAAAGAATTCTGGGAGCTGTAGTTTGTTAAGGGTTCTGAGAGTTGTTGGGAGACCTCTGTTCTCTTCCCAGAACTACAGTTCCCAGAGTGGTTTTACAGTCAATCCCTGCATACAGATCAGGAGCTTTTAACCAATGATATGACAGTGAAAAAAATCAACAGGTGGATGCTGCTTTTATGGGCCTGGAGCTGCAGTGGGGTTGGGGTGGGGAGCAGCACCTGTTGAATTTATCTGAATTTTAAAGATGTTAAAATCACAGGAGCCTCAGTGGCTAACCTCTGGATGGAAAGAACTGGCAATGCTAGAATGCACCTTCAGAGTAGATTGCAGGCTGTAGGGAAAAGTTCACCAAAGGTGTGGTTTGAGGAGGTTTGGAAACAAGTGCGCCTAGCTGGTTCAGTGGCACGAAACTTCCCTGTGAGGTGGAGCACTCAGAGTGCCCTGAGGCAAAACTGTTGACTAACCTTACCAGTGGCCCTTTTTCAATGGGCTGTTGGGCTAGTGATAGATTGAGTACTTGTGTACATTTAGGGCTGTTGTAAAGGTTACTGAGAGGCAAGTTAGATATGGATGTGTCAATCAAGTAGGGTGGGATCTGATTTTTTTAAATCAAAATGAATGCCAATCATCTGATGTCCAAGTTGGCCTCTGGGGTACAGACAGATAGTGATCTGGCCCGCTGGGTGGTCCTAAAAGATTCCCCACCGCATTATAGACAAAGATAATACCACAGGGTGAGTGAGTTATGGAGCTGAATTTTCATTGCTCCCTTTTACACTGGTGGCTAATGAAGGAAATTTTGCAACTGTGCAAAAGAGCTTTGAGTTCTATCTAACATATATTTTAAATGTTCATCGTTGGAGAATCACTTTTGTTGGTTTAAAAAAAAAGAAAAAGAAAAAAGCTGAAGGTGAATGTGAATAGGCTCCAGCAGGTGGCACTGTGGATATTTCTTGTATATGTTCTCTGCACTAATCAATAAAAAAATAGAAGTTGCTGCCCATGCCATCAGTGCCGTTTCTGCAACCAGAAAATCTGATCTCTGTGACCTGTATCAATTATGCAATTTAAACAGATGTTCACAATGTCTTGTATTAATTCTGCAATATTAAAAATTAGCTTCTGCAATGTATTTGGGTTTGGGGAGAAAATGTGATTAATTAAGGAAGGGGAACTGTTGGCCCTCTGGGTGTTCATAGACTCCAGCACCCCTCAGCCCCAGCCAACACGGCCAATGGTCAAGGATGATGGGAGTTGTAGTCCAGCAACGTATGGAGGACCACAGGTTCCCCACTCCTGCCATAATAAATTGATGGAGGAGGGCAAAACCAACAGCTGTTTGCCATGACACCAAATCTTGTGAATCTCCTGGAACATCTAGTTGACCACAGAATGTTATACTAGAAGGACCTTAATGGACCTTAACTGCTTGAGAATACTGGGCCTGATTGGAGGTCACTGTAGTCCTAGCGCTGGGGTGGTTCTGCTTCATACAGTAAAATCTGGACACCATGGACCCTCTGAATATATATTTCATTTCATTTCTTAAATTTATATCCTGCTCTTTCTTGTAAAGGAGTCCTATTCAAACATTTAAAAAAAGATTTTGCAACACTGCGCCTTTCTAGTCCTATTTTTTCCTGAACACTTCCTGCACCGAACCCTCAATTTCTGTGACTCTCAAGGTTTTGCTTCCCTTTCCAGTTGTGTTTACTTGAAATGCTCTCTGTGCCCTTTGCTGAGAAGTGACCATAGCCCCCCCCATCTTGCTCAGTTGCCCCCTCCCAGGTGTTGGCTCTCATCTTTGCCCAGATGCCATTTGACTAGGTTGTTGTGGTCCCCTTCCCCAAATATTCCCTGCCAAAAAGCAGAGTCCCCTTCCCCTACTCACTGTCCTTTCTGTGTCTCAGCCCCTGCTTCCAGATGCCAGACAGAATCGCTCCACCTGGAGGGATCTGGGCCGGAAGATAAGCCTCCTCATACAGTACATGTGGCCCAAGGGGAGCTACCCACTGCAGGGGCTGGTGATCGTCTGCCTGATGCTGATGGGGCTGGAGCGTGGCATCAACGTCTTCGTGCCCCTCTACTACAAGTACATTGGTAAGCGGAAAGGGCTGCTTCCAGGGAGGCATAGTGCTGCCGCCCCTAGCAGAGGTGGATGTGCAATGGGAGAGGGCCTGGCATTAATGCCAGGGGTTTCTCTTAGAATGGGGTTTGGGGAGAGGACAGAACCTCTGTTTGGACAAGTATTCTGAATTGACCAAGAGAGGGCGCCCTGATATAGGCATTGGCAAATGTGCAGAGGACTTACAGGGAAGAGAAGGGGCCAAGGGCAACCTTTGGGGCTGCTTAAAGGTAAAAGTAAAGGGACTCCTGACCATTAGGTCCAGTCGCGGATGCCTCTGGGGTTGTGATGCTCATCTTGCTTTACTGGCCGGGGGGCCGGCATACAGCTTCCGGGTCACGTAGCCAGCATGACTAAGCCGCTTCTGGTGAACCAGGGCAGTGCACGGAAACATCGTTTACCTTCCCGCCAAAAGCCAGGAGGCCTTTGGCTGGATACAGATATTGCAGCCAAATGGAAGCTCTCCAGGAAGCGGGTCCTTATCAAACACTTGTTTCTAAGCACTAGTTTTGGAGGCACTCGCTCAATGTGTAATGTCTGAAGAGGCCCTTAAGCAGCCTGGCTCCTTAAGGCCTGCAGAGCCCTTGACACGTTTAAGCGACAGGCTTGGCACGTCCAGCACAGCATGAGGGCTCAGGGCTGCCAAAGCACGCACCATCAGGTGCGAGAGAGAGCCCCAGGGCCTGAGGTGGTGTGGAGCTGCTTATATAGATAACAATAATTTTATTATTTATACCCTGCATATTGTGCTGGGTTGCCCCAGCCACTCTCCTTGTTGTGGCATGGGGAAAAGCAGTTTTTAAATAGATTCCTTGCCTGGTACTGGAGGCCGACTACCCACATGAGAACAAACTCTGGTTATTATTATTATTGTTTTAAATACTGGGACAGTGTGCTCAGAGCATGATCTCTTGAGGTGCAGCCAGTCATAAGAAGTAAGCAGGGCTGTTGAGTCCGTCACACTGACTGACCACATTGCTCCCAGTTCCTCTTGCCCCTTAGAACTAGGGTGGACAGCCAGTGTGGCCCCCCAGACCTCTCTACTTGGCCCTCAGAACTTTCCCCTAGCCGAGCCCCTCACCGGCCCTGCATCACGTCCCAAAGCGTTGTTGCCTGTCTGGAATGTGTCCTTGAACTCTGGGAATGCCTCTTGCTTACCTGGATGGAGGACAGAGGAGGGTGTGTGAAGAGAGTGGGCTGCTGTACAAAGCTAAAATTTACATTTGTTGCCCAGCCCACTTTTGCCTCTGGCCCCGCCCAGCACTGGCATGTGGTCCTTGGAAGGTTGTCCAGGAAGGAATGCAGCCCTCAGGCCCTAGAGGCCCCTCAAGCCTTGTGAAGAAGAAAGAGGCAGTGCACTGAGGTTGAGGGTGAGGGGAGTTCTTTGCTGTACCACTTGGGACTGCAGGGGTGGAGGCTATTATTATTGTTGTTGTTGTTGTTGTTGTTGTTGTTGTTGTTGTTGTTGTTGTTAATTTTATAGCCTGCCCATCTGGCTGGGTTTCCCCAGCCACTATGGGTGGCTTACAGCATATCTAAAACATAGCAAAACATCAAATATGAAAAACTTCTCAATACAGGGTTACCTTCAGATGTCTTCTAAAAGTTATGCAGTTCCTTATCTCCTTGACATCTGAAGGGAGGGCGTTCCACAGGGAGGGCGCCACTACCAAGAAGGCCTTCTGCCTGGTCTTATTTTTGAATGGTTTCTCATATAAAAATAGCTGATGATAGAAGAAAGCGAAGGGAGTTGCATTGCCTCTCCCCAATATGCCAGTTAAAAAAATCTGGCACCCCCTCCTGCTTGCAGTCTCTAGAATGCTACCATCTCATTTTTGCAAACTAGATAGAGCAGGAATTGCTTCTGCCCCTGTGTTTACATTCCTCCATTCAACCCCATTCTTCTTCAAAGCCTTCTTGTTTCCCTTCCTCTGCCAAGCTTGACTCTCCCTACGCACCTCCAGGATCTCATCCCTGCTCTCCTGTGGCTTCCCTCCCTCCTTCCCAGCCCAACCTTCTCCATCAAACTTACATTTTGAACTTTGTGGGGCAGGATGCAACTTTCCTGTTTGGGAACGTGTTTAATAAGAGTAGAGGGAGACTTGCATTTCCAGCTGAACCTGCGAAGTCATATGGCATTAGTTTGGGGGATTGGGAGAAGACTTTGGTACAGGAAGACTTGGGGAATTTAGTGACCCTCTTGGATCTCCCCGAGGCTTCTGCCCTGAGCCCTGCGGTGACCTCCTATCTTGCTTACTCCCAGACTAACTCCGCATTGAGCTTCTGGGGTGGGGGGTGGGGAAGAGGTGGGCAGGCCGTGGAGGAGGGGCGCTGCCTTTGTTAGCAGAAGCCGTTGGTGTGTGCCAGGTTCCCATGCCCCGGTGGGCGGTGCAAGTGCCAGCTCAGGGCAGCTATTGAGAGGTGTCTGAATAGGGGAGGATGGACTCCGGACCTGCCTTTCAGCCCTGACTTTTAGACTTTACAAAGGAGTCATTGCAGGCGGGAGGCATGGAATTGCGAACTGCATACCAAATCGCTCGATGGGAATGGATTCGGGAGTGGGGGAAGCTCTCTGCCCTACATGCTAAGCAGCTGCTGAGCAGATATATTCTTCTCCGTCCCACCTGGGGGAGATGGGTGCACCCTCCAGATCTCAGCCAGATCGCCTAACCTGCCAGCAACCTCGGCACATCGAGCTGCTGTTTCTGCCATTCCTGGGCCCAAATGCTCTTACCTGCAGCACGGACTTAAGAACAGGGGCAGGCCATGCTGGTCCAGAGCAGTGCTCCATCTAGCTCTGTGATGGGCGAACCAGGCCTCTGTCAGGCTGCTACATATGGCCACCAACCCCCAGGTAGCTTTGCTGCGCTTTCCTTTTTGCCGTTATTGCCAAGGCATGGAAGGAGGTGCAATGAAGCAGAAGTGGGTGGAGAGATGACACACCTCCAAGTCTGGGATTCAGTCTGGAAGATCTGGGTTGAAATCCTCCCTTTGCCACAGGCCCGTTGTGCGGCTTTAGCCACCTCCCTGTTGTTCGGCCTCAGTTCGCTGTGTTTCGGAATGGGAACAGCCTACCTCGTGGTAGTTGCGTAGAATAAAATATTGCAAAACAGTTATTTTAAAATGAAAAGCACCCTGTGGGTGATATGTAATGACAGCAGCGAGGTCTCTGTTCCGGGTTGCCCGTCCTCATTGCCTCCCCCCACCCCGCAAGGATGCCAACCTCTCTCCACGCGTGAGAGTATAATTTCTACCTGTGCTTGGGAACAGGGTGGATTAACACTCTCCACCATGTGCTGGGTAAAGCAAGTTGGGATGGGGGAAGGGGATCCTCTCCCCCCCCCCCAATGTAGAGAGAATGAAAGGCAAAGGAGGGGCACTCCCAGATGGGGTCACCCACCCTGCCAGTTAGGATTACCCAGCAAAGTGCCGCTGGCGGGGAGCAAACAAGGAGCCTTTGTGTCCTCTGCCTGGTCTCCCAGCAGCCCAGCAGTGGGGTGGGAGGGGTGGGATCTTTGTGGCTGTGTGGTGCCTTGAAAGAGAATAAAGGAAGCCAGGAGACTCCACCGGTGGTGTCTTTCCCAGCAAAGGATGGGGCAGGATGAGTACGAGGTATGCAAAACAAGGAGGGGGACTATCAGAGGAGAGCTCTGTGGCAGGAGAGCAGGATCTGACCCAAAGTGGGAAGCTTTCAGGCTATAATGCCTGGTGGGGTTTGGGGGCGTGAGGAAACCCCAAAGCTGGTGCTTGGAAATCAGGATGATACAGGAGTGGGAGATGGCCACTTTCTGCTTATCAAGCTATGTGCTGCCTGTCCACCACAGTCCAAAACTGATGATGAAATCCCCTACCCACCCTAGCCCAATCCAAACAGTTTTGCTCAGGCTTTTGCCTGTAATAATATCTCTGTTGTAATGCTGCCTGTCTGGCACGTTTCATCTGTGCATAGAGGAGCCTCTTCCCCACCTTCCTGTTCTGTGGCAGCCCTGCCTCCTCCTAAGGCAGCAGTGCCCTATAGGCCTGGGCAGCCTATGAGATTCAGGGGATGAGACTACAACAAGTAGGTGTTAGGCATTTCCTTGGCACTCGCAGATACAGCCATCATTCTCAGGCAGGAACGCAGGGGGGCTAATTGTAGGCATTTTTTTCTTGATCCGCTGAGGTAGCTCTGTTCTTCTCCATCCAGGCCAGCTTTGAGATCTTTGTTGCCTGGGCACAAAGATCAAGTTTCATGGTGCTTTTTCCAAAAAAATAGCAGCATCTCAGTATTTGGGACCTATTGCCTGGGGTCAGTGCCCTATTTTGTGACTGTGCATGGCTTGAGACAAAAGCTGGCGTAAAGAGGTGTGCCTTCAGCATTCACCCAAAGCTGTGTAATGAAGATACCAGACTCACCTCTGTGGAGAGGGAGGCGCACAACTTAGGGGCTGCCACAGATAATGCCTTCTCCCTGCCCCCCCAAGTTTTGAGGTAGGATGAGAAGTTCCATGCATTTACTGCATGTATAACACAGGGCTCCCATGATGTCTTTGGGGATCAGTTTCTGTGGGTAGCATCTTGCTGGAAGCAATGTGAGAACGTAGACTCAGAATTCTTCTTCTGAGTGTTCCTTCCAGCAGAAGTCTGGAGCGTCTCAACAAGAGACAAAGCCTTTTCAGTGGTGACTCCTCTCCTCACAACCCTTCATTCCCTCCCTTCATGGAACACTCTCCCCAAACAGACTTGGCCACATGAATGCCTTTTCATTGCCTGGCAAAACTTTTATCTTTCCCCAGACATTTCATTCTGCCAGTTTTGTGGGCTTTCCCTGGCTAGTTAATTTTAATAGTGATTATGTTTAGACATTTTGTGCTGTGACTTGTCTCGAGACTATTTTGTATGAAGCAAAGTCACCAACATTGCGGCAGAATTAAGGCAAGGGTGGGGAATGTTTTTCAGACCGAGGGCCACTTTCCCTTCTGGGCAACCTTCTAAGGGCCACATCTCGGTGGTGGGTGGTGCCAGGGGCAAAGGTATGTGGAGCAGTGCAGATCGTACCTTTGCACAATAGTCTAGCTTCTACAAACACACACCCCATTCTGTCCTCCATATGGGCAGCCAAAGCATTATCAGAGCCTAAGGGCACATTTCAGCCAGGCAAAAACACCCAAGGAGGGTGCAAAGCGGATCCAGTATGTGTGTGATAACCGAGAGTGTCTGAGAGCAACGTAGAGAGGCTTGTGGGACTGCATTTGGACTCTGGGCTACCCCCTTGGTTATGGCCTTCAAAGTGACTATTGTTTCCTGTCCTCCAGTGAATGATCTGACGACAGGGGCTAGTTGGCGTATCCTGCTTCAAACTGTCTGCATCTATGCGGCCCTCAAGTTCCTCCAGGGAGGTGGTGCTGGTGAGTCAGTTGTTGTGCATACACACCTGCACATGTGTGCTTTGGCTGAGGCTGTTTTGGGATTACCTGCGTCCACCATCGCCATCCGTTTGTGCTTTCTCTCCATTTTTAGTCTTCCTGCATACTGAGAAAGCAGGTGGTTCCCTTAATCCGTTGTGAGGAGCGTGTGGCCTTTCGGATGACTTTGGACCAGAACTCCCACTGTTCCTGGTCACAGGCCATGCTGACTGGGTCCAACAGCAACCAAAGGGCTACAGGACCCCCACCCCCAATTTACCCCAAACTTGACACCCTCATGAGCCCTCAGCATTCAGTAGATCCCATAGGCCCCTAAGCATAGACCCTTTGGCCGTTTTTTGTTTTCTTTTAATTTGCAAACGAATATATTTCTACATACCCGGGAGTCCCCTGTCTGCTCCCAGGAAGGTATAGTTGGCAGTCCTCAGCTCCAGCAAAAGCAGCCCCTAGAACAGTGACATTCAGAGTGAACTTTGCCTGCGCTCAGGGATGCTTGAAGGCTCCAAGGTAGTTGCAAGGCAATAGAAGCCATTTGCCAGATCCTTCTGGGTTACAGTTCTTGTTTAAGGTGACAGCGGTAGGAGGCAGGTGTTCAACTGGAAGCAGAAGACAACCACAGGAGCCAACCCCCGCTCTTCTCTCTCTAGGCTCCACTGGCTTCATTAGCAACATGCGCACTTTCCTGTGGATCCGCGTGCAGCAGTTCACCAGCCGCGAAATCCAGGTCCAGCTCCTCAGGCACCTCCACAGCCTCTCCCTTCGGTGGCACCTCGGTCGCAAGACGGGCGAGGTGCTGCGCAGTGTCGACAGAGGCACTAGCAGCATCAACAACTTGCTCAGGTGTGCTTGTGGGCCTGGCCAGTGGAGGGCTCTCCATCAGTCCTGGCTCAGGGGTGCCTGCACTCACCTGTTTTCTCCTGGTGATGTTGGTGGCCCTTGCATGCCGTGTGACCTTGCCTATCATGTGACCTGACTTGCCCCCCCCCTTCTATCCCACAGCTACATTGTCTTCAGCATCTTCCCCACGATAGCCGACATCATAATTGCGATTGTGTATTTCACCACAACCTTCAGTGCCTGGTTCGGCCTTATCATCTTCCTCTGCATGAGCTTTTATCTCGGTGAGTGTTTGCAGCAGGGGACCCCAGGAGGTAAGGCGGCCAGGGAGAAGGTTTCCACCACTGCAGCTACTCTAGAAACCCGTTAGCATGCCTTTCACTTGACAGGTATTTGGGACTGTAGGGAGAAGAGCGGGCCAGGAAGATAAAGGTGGTGAGGGTGGCTTGGACTGGTGGCGTCTTGAGGTGGACTAAAGTGTGGTCATGGTCAGATGTGCATTTGTGGAGTGGTGGGCAGCTGTGAGTAAGGTTGTGGGAAAGAGAGAGATGGGATCTGATGGGGAAGACTGTAAGTGTGGGTTGGGTGGTCTTCATTTGTTACATTTGTGCCCAGAAACATATTCCCAAGACTGATACAGTATAGGTGAATTGCATTATCATTTATGAGCAATGTGATCAGGTAATAAAAAAGATCTTTTGACAATAGCAGCATGCACAAAAGCAAGAGGATAGCTTCTGAGGATTGGCTTCTGCTCTGGTGCTTTATCATAAAAAGCAGCAGTTCATACAGCTGAAGACAATTCACAAGGGAGAAGAGTCGGTGGAAGAAGATTGGAAGAAATTTAAAGACTATTTACAGAAATATTGTAAAATTAATGAATGTTAGAATGATGCTGGATTGAAGTTAAGTGGTTTCTAGCTGTTTAGGTACAAAAGAATATGGAAAAATTGGTTTTTAATATGTAAAAATCTAACGTTACAATATATCAAGACTAAGGATTAGGATTAAAAAGGAGGGAAAGGAATTTAATTGGAATACAAAAGAGGGAGGTATGAGGAGGTCCGGGAAACAAGTAAACGTAAAAGAAGTGAGGAAAAGATGGAATTGTTTTTAACTGTTTTTTCTTTTTTTTCTACTTTGTATTTTTCCTTTTTATTGTTAATTTTTTTTATTAATGTGATTTTTTTCCCTTTGAAACTTTAATAAATAGTATTTTGGAAAAAAAAAAAACAAGTTTTATCTCAAATACAAATTAGTGTTCTGATAGTATTGCTCCTGCAAGGTTAAGCATATACTTTTGGTTGTTAAAAGTTGTGTTACAATCAAGCATATTTTTGTCCTGCATGATGGATTCACCTTAGTGCTCTCCAGTTTACTAGTCATCATTAAAAAAAAATCTACGAAATATCTGGTGTAAGGCTTAGATTTTATGTTTTAACCTTGCTTTTGAATCATTTTCGAGGTTATTTTCAAGGGGCTATTGAATTATTGCTGCAGAATAGCCTAGGTGCTGCTAAAAATCATGCGAACTCATCATTGGCAAGCTCATTGTGGCATGATTAATTTGGGGTATCTCTGAGGTAACTAAATTGACAGATAAAGTTCCTTTGAAGCAATGGCTTAGGTGTTTCTGTGGATGTGACTGAAAAATGGTTTCCGTTCATTTTGTGTGGGAGTACTCGATGTGTAATCCTGTAAATTTATATTGACATTTGTGGTGATAATAAATGCTTGAAATGGATCATAATTTTGCTTGTATTTGAGGAACAGTTTTTGTCTGAGTACGTCTCAGTGATTCCAGGCCTCTCTTTTTCTCCATAGCTTTGACTATTATAATGACTGAGTGGCGAACAAAGTACCGCCGTGAAATGAATACCCGTGACAATGAAGCCCGTTCCCGAGCTGTTGACTCGCTTCTGAACTTTGAGACGGTACTTAAACCCCCACCCTAGTGAGCCTAGTGTGAGGGGAGAACAAGGAGTAGCAGCAAGCCTTTCTGGGTGGTTTACTGCCTAAAACAGCTCAGGCTCCAGGTTTTAGTTGAGTAGAGCAGGACATCTGCCGGCTGATCTGAAGCTGAATCCCCAGGTTGGGTGAATGTCTCTAGTTTGTGGAGGGTTCAAGTGGAGGGGGACTCGCCTGGCACTGCCTCATCCGTGTCATGATTTTGTTGTAGGTGAAATATTACAATGCCGAGAACTATGAGGCTACCCGCTTCAATGATGCCATTGTCAAGTACCAGGTATGGAAGGACCAGGGTGTGGCAACTGGGCTTGCATCTTCCATTATCTTTGGGGTACACTCTCTGCTCCTCCTCTTCCCTATTTCTGCTCCTCCATGTACATGGTGTATGTGTTTGTACTGCTGCCTGTCTTGCAGTGGAGCAGGGGAAGGCAACTGGGTTCAACAACGCCCTGCTTTGTGGAGGTAGGAGGGTTCAGGGATCTGCTGGGTGCTCTCTGTGGGCCGCAGGATGGTTCTGCAGTGGCCCACTTTCTTCTCTCCTCCTGGCAGGTCTCCGAATGGAAAGTCAATGCATCACTGGCACTGTTGAACCAGACCCAGAATCTAGTGATCGGGGTGGGGCTGCTGGCCGGATCCCTACTGTGTGCTTACTATGTGACCAAGAAGAGGCTCCATGTAAGTCCTTGCCCACTGCAGTGCCAGAGGGGCATAGATGGTGTGGGCATCTCTGAGTACACACATCTCTGTATATTTGTGTGATTTTTATCGCATGTGTGTGCTTTCTATTTGGTTTTCAATTGTATTGCTTTGTATTGTAACCTGCCGTGGGACATTAGGGGGTAGGGTGGGTAATAAATCTAATTACTATTATGAATAATAATACATGGAACCTGTAACTAAGAGCCAGGCCACATGCCACTCTTTCTACGTGGAGGCAACAGCATGTGGAGCAGCTGACTACATGGGGCTTCCTTCACTACAGGAAGAGTTTCCATTCTGTTGCCAGCCAGCCCCACAAATCTACGAGTGGCTTGGGCCTCCTCTACAAAGTGGGATCACTCTGCTTCGAGAAATGTAGAGCCACTCTCCCCATTGTTACAGCTGCCAGGCAGAGTCTGCTGGCCTTCCTGAGGCAAGGGAAGCCTCTGTAGAGGCCCTGAATCTCTTTGTAGAGTGTTCTGGTGCAGCTTGAACTAGAGACAGACAAACAGACAGAAAGACAGAAACAAACAAACACAGGGGCACATGTTTCTCAACACATTTTGGGGGGATATTTGCAGTGTGTTTTTCGGTTCTGTGAAATGCAACAAAGGCAAGTGAGCAGGAAAGAGGCTGCAAGGAGAGCTGTGGAGGCGGACAAGCTTGCGCCACCTAAGAACCCAAGAGTGGAGGTTGCAGGACGTGGTCTGGTTAAGTTACGGGAAGGGAAGGCTGGGGGGGGGGCATAAGAGCTTGGCAGTTTCTCAAAAGTCTTTGTGAAGAGCTAATTAGCCTTTGCTGAATTTCAAAGTTGTGTGGAGACCGAAGGGTCGCAGCGCTCAACCCATGCTGAGAAAAATGGGCAGCCGAGGGTGCAGAAGCTTAAAATGAAACCAGATTGGAGAGCTAGACCTCTCTTTGAGAACAAAAGCAATCACAAGCAAGAGGCAAGGCTGGAAAAGGTTTGTCACCAATTAAGAGATCTAAAGGGGAGTGGGGGGGAACCTCACCAAATGGGAGCTAGTTTCCACCAACATCAGAAGAAAGAGACCAGCATGTTTTGGGTTTGTACTCCAGATGTGAAAACACACATTCCCACATGGAGTGCACTCCTAATGATGGTGAGAGAACAAGGATGTATATTCTGTATATTAAAGTGGGGAGGAGGTAATGGAAGGGATGCAGTATTAACACATAAGATGAGGAAGCCCTTTCACTCCTAGATCTAAGGCAAGTTGAATATGAATGACAGGAAAACAGAGCTTGGTTAAGTATAAAAGAAATCAATTTGAATAATAGACTTTGCCTTGGCCACAGTGCTGGGCTTTAGCCTGCAATCTGGCCTGTTTGCCCACTGTATTTGTGGTTTCATGAAGTCCTGCAGATGCAGTACTCTGTCAGGTGCACGTTGGCTCTGAAAACAAGGTTTAGGTCTGAATTGCACAGAGGTTCCACAAACAGCCAGCTCAAACCTGATCTGTAACTGGCCCCGCCTTGCACGAGCGAGTTGAACACAATCTCCCTGGCAGCACAACAACAAACAACAAACTATCTTCTTTAGCCCGTTTGTTCCTAGCTCTCATGATTCGTTGGGCCGTGGGAGGAATGTGTGTGTCTGAGTTTGTAGTAGGCTTATAAACCAAAGAGGGGCTTAATGGGGCTTTCGTTGGTCAGGGAGCAAGAATTTATGTGCTGCACAAGTCTTTGACCTTTATCAGCCTTTATCATTCTGCTTCACCAGAATCACCCAACAACCAGCTCCCTCTCGGATGCATGTAGAGTTACGGCTGACTGGGCTCTAATGGTGGGCTGTTGGACTTGAGAAGTGTAGTGCAAATCTATCGCTATACTCTCTCTCAGAAACATACCTTATGTCTGAGAGGGAAAATTGGGCACTGGAGGAGAGAGATTGTGGGGGGTGAAGGTCCAGCTTTGTGTTACAATAAGACAGCTACCATTTTGCTTTCCCTAGTAAGGGGTGAGGGATCTCTAATGCAGTTTTGTACAAAGACTTGAAGAGCTGCTGGACTGTTAAAAACAATATGATAAAGCGCTTCCACACTCTGCCACAGGGAGACATCATCATTTTGGCTCTGACTTGCATCTCTGTTCCCTCCAGGTGGGCGATTATGTTCTCTTTGGCACATACATCATCCAACTGTACACCCCACTGAACTGGTTTGGCACCTATTACAGGTAACCTACTCCATAGGCTATTTTGTTCTGTAGTGTTGGTTAGGCATTTTGAGAATGCAGAGAGGCGTGTGTTGATGAAATTTGAGGGACTTTGTCCACACACAGAGAGATTGCAAAATTGGAGAGTGTTACATGAAAGCCTCTCCAGTGCCGCGTCTCCATGCTGCTACCTCCCAGACTGCGGTTTGCCTAACAGTAAAGTGCCACCACATAGAGGGCTACAAAATCTGTGTCTGAAGGAAACCATAATCCATAGAGAAAACCACTTGTCAATTTATTGTTGTACAGAGGCTGACGAGGTAATGTGAAGCAAACAGATATGGAGACAAGATGTGAGAAGCCTTAACCAGAAGGAAAAAGGAGCACGTAGACTGGTTTCTGGAATTGAGATTTTACTTTAAACAGCAGATTAAATCAACCAGGCCTGCTATCCCATAAGACAGAAAACTCCCAGGGAATGTATTAACTCTTTACAGATGCATGAAATGCAGGGCAGAGCCCTGTTTGAGTTAGGGCATCATAGGCAGAGAACAAGCAAATGTCCATTGCCCCTTCATATTTTGCTTGAAAACTGTAAGGAGGATTTCTGAGTATGGTGAGAGCAATGAGCCCCCTCCCCTTTTTTAAAGTGGGACAGATATATTTCTGAATAGAAACTGAATACCAGAAGAGAAGGGCTATGTAAGATGAAATTTATACGGTATGGCTGTTTGCACATTACAGTAAAATGGTTCACTGTAAATGCACCTAAGAGGACTCCTTTGCTCCTCCTGGCTTGATTCTTGGCTTACATTTTGAACAAATAAGGGATTGCGGTTCATTTTGCTCCACAGTCAGTAAGCCAAGAAGAAACTTTGGCTACTGATCGTGGGAATGAAACAAATAATCGTCCCTGGTTTGTTCATAATGGTAAGCCAAGGATTATGGGGTTTTTTGGAGAAGAAAAATCTGGTGCAGTTTTGCTTGTGCACAGAAAGTCTCACTGTGATATGCAAATGTGCCCTGTATCCAGCATGTATTAAATATATTAAAATCATCATCATCATCATCTGACTGGGTTTCCCCAGCCACTCTGAGCAGCTTCCACCATAAATAAAAACATAGTAAACCATTAAACCATAAAAAGCTTCCCTATCAGAGCTGCCTTCAGATGTTTCCTAAATGGTATATAATTGCTCATCTCCTTAACATCTGATGGGATGCGTTCCACAGAGTGGGCGCCACTACCAAGAAGGCCCTCTGCCTATGCCAAGTGCAAGATAATGAATAGAATATTAAATTCAATACGAAACTGATTTCTCAAAAGCTAAGTCAGTAATGAGCCACATTTCCCTCATACCACTATATTGAGCCAAACGCAAATGTTTCTCTCATTGGTGCAAAGGTGATCCCTTTTGCATCATCTCTTTACAGCCCTAGCAACAAAGATAGAACACCATAAAGACTAACACAGTCCTAGGAAGTTGAAATAAGACTTGAAATTGAGGCCTGCGTTTAGTAACTGTGTCATGAGACGTTCCCCCACCTCCAAAGAGTTTGGGTTGCCCCTTAGCCTCCCCGTCCTCTGAAGTATGAGAGATGGTTACAAAGGAGGTGTGATATCATTTAGTGTGAACATGTGTTAAAGGTTTGGGAACATTTGCTGGTGGGGGAGGTGTGACAGATGGAGTTTGCTTTCATGCTTGTGGTCTAATTGATTGCCATATTTGGAGTGCAAATACATGGCTTCCCCGGTCCCTTCTTTTTCCTTACCAGAGAAGAGAATTAGACCCACACCCACTTCAGTGACACCTAGCAGGGGGTGCCCAAAGGGCCCAGCCTCAAGTCTTTTGTCCCAAGCACCCCAGATCTCATCCTTATCAGTTTATTTGTATGCTTCTTTCACACAAAACCTGCGCCTAAAGTAGCTCAGAACATTATCAAATGAACAGTAACGATAACATTTCAAAATGCATTAGGATAGATAGATAGATAGATAGATAGATAGATAGATGACAGAAAAAATATTATATCAGTAAGTACAAAACCTCAATCCATATGTAACATTGTATAAAAACGATACATTAACCTAACCTAATTTAATAATGTGAGCTGAGCAACACTGAATAAAACAATATGAATAAACTAACACAATAAAATAATAAACTAAACAAAAGTGAGATCTTCAAAAACTTTGCTTACAGCACCACAGCTGGGGGCACTTACAAAGTGCAGTCCTGGTGAAATGCCCGGTCATTTAAATTTGCTCAGAGGCAGCTTAAATACATATACATTAGCACAGGGGTCAGCAAACTTTTTCAGCAGGGGGCCGGTCCCCTGTCCCTCAGACCTTGTGGGGGGCCAGACTATATTTGAATGAATTCCTATGCCCCACAAATAACCCAGAGATGCATTTTAAATAAAAAGGCATATTCTACTCATGTAAAAACATGCTGATTCCCGGACTGTCCGTGGGCCGGATTGAGAAGGCAGTTGGGCCGGATCCGACCCCCAGGCCTTAGTTTGCCTACCCATGCATTAGCATATGCAAATATGATTCACATTTGTGCCACGCACCCATGCCTGAGTGCTTTTTAGTACCTTAAGCAGCACCCACACTACCTGGCCCTGGGTGGTCCAATGGAGTCTTCTTCTTTTTCAGAATGATCCAAAGCTCATTTGTTGACATGGAGAACATGTTTGAGCTCTTCAGCGAGGAGCAAGAAGTGAGTTCAGGCCACATCGATGCTTCTGTGAATAGCTGCTAGCCTATGCTGTCTTAGATACTTCTTCCCTTCCCTCCAGCAACTTAAGGGGTTTTTTTGGAAGTGGCTTCTCTCTGATTGTTCACTGTCTGGACTGGGTGATAAGACAGAAATGAGAATAGTGATGCTGAATCCTTGTTGTGCTCAAGCACCGAAATTCAAAGGCCACTGTGTGCTTGGAAAACAAAAGGCAATTGCTCTTCACACAGCTTGCAATTACACTACGGGGCTCATGCCTTCAGAGTGTTGCTGAGATGGCCATGTCCTCTCAGGGAGTGTGTTTCTCTGACTGCTTGTAATATTTGCGGGGAGGGGGATTTTTAGCATAACCTTCATGCAAACCACATCCTCTACCCACTGACCCTACACTCCCCCTAACCCTTTCAGGAGCTCCTGTGCTTCCGCACACACGGCTTGCCTAGTTAGGCCCAAGACCATGCATGATGTCACAGATTTGTTTACCTGCAGGTGAAGGACGAACCAGGTGCTGCAGACCTTCGGTTTCTGGCAGGACGTGTGGAATTTGAAAATGTCCACTTTGGCTATGTGGAAGGGTAAGGGGGAAGGTCCAGAGAGCTGGGTGGGTGGGTAGTGAGTCAGGAAAACAGGGGGTGGAGAAGATAGTAAAGAGATTGTGGTAGGTAACGGGGGGGGGGGGATGCTCAAAGGATGAAGGAAAATGTGGTGGGCCTCAGCGGAATGTTGGAGATGCTTTTTGTTCACTTTCCTCACAGGAGGGAAGTCCTGCGTGATGTTTCCTTCACAGTGATGCCTGGGCAGACCCTTGCACTGGTAAGGAGAGAGTTTTGCCTAGAATGAACGCCGTTCCCTCTTTTGATTCTGCTACAATGGGAGCAGTGGCAGGTCCCATGTGCTTTTCCCTGCTTACTCATTCCTCCTGCTGGCTGTACCCATATTGACCCTTCCTCACCCCCCTCTCTCCGCCCAGGTGGGACCCTCTGGCTCAGGAAAGAGCACCATCATTCGCCTACTCTTCCGCTTCTACGATGTGTGGGGAGGCTGCATCCGAATTGATGGGCAGGATATCTCCAAGGTAACGAGGCCATTATGTTGTGGCGATAGGAGAGATGGGATTCACCTAACCCGCCCCCTCAGTGGAAGATCTGCACAAAGACTTCTTTCCCTCTCCTCGCCCCCACCCCACCCTGCCCCCTGGAATTAGCTTTGGAGGGTGGTCAGAAGCACCCCCAGTACAGTGGGGAGGGGGGAAAGGGGGAGAATAGTTCCATCTGACAAGTAGCAATGCTTGCACAGGTGAAATGAATGGAAGAGCACAATGTTGAAATCCTCCCGACGGCTTCATTAGTGAGGTACCAGAGTCTTCCAGCATGGAATGGAGACAAGGCTCTTGGCATGACGAGTGGGAGGAAGGAGGTGTCATCCAAAGGAACAAGCAGCTGGCATCCTTGGAATCATGTTATTCTGCTTAAAACAAGGAAGGGGAACCTCAGTCCTGGGGGGGCCAATTCTGGCCCTGTGCACTTCTCTGTTTGTCCCTCAGAAGTCTCCCCAGGCAACAACCCTTCTCCTCAGGCCATATCCATCACTGTCTTTCACTTTGCACCCTCCATGAGTGTTTTTGCCTGACTGGAATATGTCCTTCAAAGGCTGAGAAGATATTTCTTGGTTGCCTGAATGGACGACACAGAGGGGAGTGTGGGAGTGTGTGGAGAAACTAGAGTATGGTGGAAAGATAACATTTAAATGTGTTGCTCAGCCCACTTGCATCTCTGGCCCAAATTGCCATTTGGCTCCAAGCTTAAAAGGTTCCCCCACATTGGCCTAAAGGGCTAAAGTAGCCCTTGAATGGCTCTGCCACCTTCCACTTGCGTACACACACTCACTCACTCAGGCGCATACATTTCTCCTTCTGCTCCTCAGGACTTTTCCTGCCCCAGCCCAGATGCTTAATTCCTGGTTTCTGTTGGTTGCCCCCAGCAAAGCAGAGACGTGTGATTCCATTTAGGGACGGATGAAAGAGCTGTGCTGGGGAAGGCACAGCTGCAAACTGCCTCCACCTCTCCTCTGGCCACCCAGGCTCACTGGGGGAACTGCTACAGGATATCTGGGGAGAGTCCTAGGTGCCCCATCTGGGTGCCAGGATTTCATGAGGGTCTGAGGTTGGCGGAGGGGGGGGAGAGGATTGAAGGGCAGCTGCTCTTTTCATGTCTGCTCCAGCTGCTTGCTGTCTGCTCTTTTGAAATGTGTGGTTCCCCTAGCCTCCCCCACTAGGGTTTTTAATTTTTTAAAAAAACCTATCCTGCAGGGTTCTTATTTTCACTGGTCATCGGAGCAAAATATCTCTAGGAAACAATGGATGCTGATATGCAGGGTAGATGGCACGGGAAACAAGCATGTAAGAGTGTGGAGGGAAGCTTGAAAGATGCATCCCTTCCCATGTTGTGTGTGTGCACACACTTCTTTTCTCCCTCTGATCAAACCATTCTCCCCCCCACAAACCTCCACCTATTTTCCCAAAAATAGCAAAACATGTTTACCAAAAGCAACAGAAGAGCAGGTGTCCACATCACAAGTGGTGATTTGCTCATTCAAAGTGCCTTCAGCTCTTTGGATTAAAAAAACGACTGTGTGACTCTCATTTGCCATCATCTGCCTTTCTCCACATCTCCTATAGTGAGGAAAGCCCCTGACATGGAGCTCTGTAGGGTATAGATGATGCTCATCTCAACAGAGATTAATAACAGAATGTGTCTTGCACTGAAAGGGTTACAATTCTAATGTCCAGAGAATGGCCAGGCTGCCCAAATAATAATCCTTCTCTAAGTTCTACCCTGGGATTTGTGTTACTGGGCCCTCTAGACTGGTGACTCATTTTGCGGGTGTATTCTGCAGCGTGTTGCTATAGCGTATTGGCAAGAGATTTACCCTGGACTGTACACATACCATTTATTCGTCGTTCTGCAATGCTTCCCCCGTTGCCTTCAGGACGGGCAATTCTTGCGCTAAGGCGCAACGAAAGCAGGACAAAGGACAACAACCCAGAACATGAAGAATTTGAAAAGTTACATGATTTCAGCAGGAAACTACAGGGCATGCACCAATGGGAACTGAAGCCCTGAAACGTTTGCAGGTGTTATGGAGAGCAAGATCATGTATGAGCAGTGGCAGAGCTTCATGCTCCGGCACCGGGGGGGGGGGAGGCGGAGAGCAGGTGGGGGCGGGGCTGGTGCGCATCCCGGGGATGTGGCGCACTGCCCACAGGGGCATGGTGCACGTCCCGGGGGCGTGGCAGCTGCCTGCGGGGGTGTGGCACCCAGCAGGGGCGGGGGGGGAGCAGCCAAGATGGCACCCCACCAAGATCACGCTGTCGGGGGCGGTGCGCTCCCCCCACACTCCTCTTCCTCCGCCAGTGTGTATGAGCAGAAGTCATCTCATCAAGAATGGACCATAAAAGAGGGCATTGGGTTGGGTGGTGGCTGCTGTCTAACCTGGGAAATTGCCCCCACTTCAAGGTGTGACATCATGGTTGTTCATAGTGACAAGACCCACCTTGCAGATGCCTCAAGCCAGACTCTCCATAAGGCTGTGATAACACCACACTGCTTTGGGGAGGGTGTGTGCGTTTGTACACTATTCCTAGCTGGGCGATGTCTTCCTTTCCCTTCTCTCTGCCCCCACTTCAACCCACCCATTTCCCTTTCTCCACAGGCCAAGCAGGCTTCGCTGCGCTCCCACATTGGTGTGGTGCCTCAGGACACTGTCCTCTTCAACGATACCATTCGCAACAACATCCGCTACGGACGCATTGATGCCACCAATGAGGAGGTGATTGAGGCGGCGATCGCGGCTAATATCCATGAACGCATCCTCACTTTCCCCGATGGTAAGGGGCTGCTTGCCACCTTTGGCTTATGCTTGCTGTGCCATCAAGCTCGTAATTTACCCTGCAGGATGCTGTGAAACCCAGGATGCTTCTATCGGGATGCCTCCTCTTCTGCTGCAGCTCACTGGTGGAGCACATGCCTTGCATGCGAAAGGCCCCGTGTTTCATCACTTGGCCTCTCCAGGCCGGGCTGAGACAGAGAGGCTCCTACCTGAGACCCAGGAGAGCAGCAGCCAGTGAGTGCCTTCTCTCACTTGGCCAATGGCCAGGGAGGGCAAGAGGCACCAGACTGGGGAAGGCAGGTATGGGCAGTGCTGAGCTAGAGGGCTTCCTCATTCGGCAACTTCCTGTGTTCTTATCTGAACCGAAAGGACCTGCCCCTGGCTCTTACCCTCTCCCTCTCGGGGTCTTCCTTACAGACTCTGGTCATCTCAATGGGTCGAATTCAGTGGGATACGTGCACAGGGAATGTGCACTTTTCCTTCTCCCCCAGCCACATACACTCCTGGTCCTTCACACACACACTGAACCCATCACAAGGTTTACCCCCACTCTCCAGAGCAGACTTTGGGGGCAGACAGCATGAGGAGAGGGGAGGAAGTTCTGTTGTGTGAGTGGACGTCATCCAACACACACAACTTAGTGGAATCCTATTCAATGTTTTCTAAAAGCTTTTTTAGCTCTTCAGTTAACATGAGCAAGGTCTGTGGCAGTCCAGACTCCCACCCCAGAAACCTCTAAGAGCAGTTGATAGAAGCACCTTTGGGCAATGAGAGCAATCAGGATTGGCTTCTGAAACTAGATATTTGCTAAAAGTGTCTTTATCAAATCTGTCTTGGCAGTAGACCTGGGAGGTGTAGCAAGATGCTGTAAGTGGCCAAAAGATCCAAGGCACTCACAGTGCCTGAACAGCAGAAGTCACAGGTAGTTACTCTCTATTACACAGCATTTGATTTTGCTTTGTCCACTTGTACCTGGCAGGTTATGATACACAGGTTGGCGAGCGAGGTCTGAAGCTGAGTGGAGGGGAGAAGCAACGAGTCGCTATTGCCCGCACCATCTTGAAGAACCCTCAGATCCTCTTCTTTGATGAGGTGAAGAAGGCAAATAATCAAACACACAGAGCAATCTCGGTTTTCCGATTGCTGGTCCTTACATTGTCAAAACTCTATCACCCACACAAAAGAGGGGGGAGGACTTGGCATGCTCAGGAGAACCACCGAAGTTTGCATTAATACGGAAATCATTTAGGAATAAGCAAACAAAATCTGAAGGGGAGAGAGCATGCCAGAAATAACTGAATTCAGGACTGAGCCTGCAAAGTCAGCACAGAATGCTGGCTGACTATTGGCGAATTGGAAAAATGGGGTGGGGGTGGGGAAGGGAACTGGAATGAAGTGACGGGAGCCTTGGTCAGAGCCTTCCCAGTACAATGTTTCTTCCATCTATTTCTGAAATTCATGCATGTGTGGCTCTCCTTATGTAGCCAGAACTATGCCACCCGTGCACAGGAGGGGAGGTATCAGCTTGCCTGGAGGAGACCAAGTAGGCCTGTCGGGATAACCATAAGGGAACAAAAACAAAGCACCCCAAAACATGCTCAGTGGCAATAAATGCTGGCTGACTGTTTGGGTGAGGAGGGATGGACTGAACTATCCATTTCATGCTGCAACATTTTGTTGTGGGTCACACTTGTTTCCTTGTTCCTAAAGCTAGCCTTCATCTGCCCTTTGCCCCCTTCCGCATATGCTCTCCTTTCTTGGAGCTGAAACCCTGGAAATGGTTGGGAGAATGGGTAGCACTCAGCCTTCCTGAATCTGGGAGCCTCCATTCACCGCCACGATGCTATTCAGCTACTTGGAGACCTTCTTTACCATTTCACCTGACCCAAGGGATCTTCTCTGCCATTCTTGGCAATCAGTGTCAAGAGTCCCCGACCTTCATCCACCCACTGCTATGCCTTGAGTTTGCAACTGATGTTCTGGTACATTTTGAACCTGTTTCATAATTGCAGCGGTTTTAGAACTGTATAATTCTATTGTTGTAATGCACTCTGGGATCACTTTCAGGCGACATCAGCACTGGACACCAAGACTGAGAGGAATATCCAGGCATCCCTGGCTAAAGTGTGTGCGAACCGCACCACCATCATCGTGGCTCACAGGTATGGGCAAGCATCCTGCCACAGGAGCTTTCTGTTCAGGGCTTCAGCATAATAGCAGCTAGAGGGATGCTGCAGCCTTCGGAAGAGGAGAGCCTAAATACTAGTTCCTCACTTGCATCGATTTCTCCAGGCAGACTCCTTTTCCCTCTCTGAGGAGCTCTAACGTGGTGTGTTATACTGAGAGTCCTGAGCTGGGGAGGGATCACTACTGCATTCTGCCCTCTTGATAACAGCTTTGGTGGTTGTGCTCTCTCTGCAGGCTTTCCACGGTGATCAAGGCCGATCAAATCCTAGTTATCAAGGATGGCCGAGTGATGGAGCGAGGAAGGTAAGCTCTTAGCCATGCCCAGTGCTAAAAATTATAAAGTAAGATTTATAACCAGCAATCCAGCCAAGGATTTTTTATTTTTATTTTTGCAATCTGTATAAGTTATGCAGATCGCAAGCCCTTTAAGGCCGTCAGAATTTTACAAGCAGAATGGCCACAGGGTTTGGCTGTGTATCTTCAAAAGGATCCACAATGAAGGCGAGCAAATTGTGGGTCTGTGGATGCTTCTGAGGGACGAAGGGGGCGTACCTGGCATGGAGCCTTGTGAAATTAACTCTCTCTGCCCCTTTAACAGGCACGACCAGCTAGTGGACAAAGGTGGCATCTACTCTGACATGTGGCTGCAACAAGGAAGTGACACGGAGGTGGAGAGCAAGATCAGTGCTGAGTCAACTGCAGAAAGCAAGGCCAGTGCTTCGACCAAAGCAGGAAGCGAGGAAGGCTCTGCCTATGCAACCAGTGAAAAGACAGAGGAGAGGGAGCAGGAGGGGGAGACAGAGGAGGGGGAGGGGGAGACAGAGGAGGGAGAGGGGGAGGAAGAGGAGGGAGAGGGGGAGGAAGAAGAGGCAAGCACAGAATCATAGCCAAGCAACGAGAACTACTGAGCAGCTGACAGTGACAACAGCAAATCCTGCAAGGATGTGGCTTCGAAGCCAAAAAGGCAGCAGCTGCCACCTCTGCTGTTAGATTTCTGAACCTCCTCTGTATGGCATAAAGGGGGAAATGCTCAGGCACCCAAAGCACACAGATGATCCACCAAGTTAGCAGTGAGGCCATGGAGACCAAACTGGAGGAAGACTACAGGCTGCGTATGGTTCCCAGCATGCAGTTCTTCATGAGCAGGACCTGCACGTAGTGCTAGAGCAACTTCAGAGTATATTCTCCAAGCTACTGCCAGCGTTCCTGGGAAAGCTGTTGCTTGGTGATCCAGGTGTATTATCAGGGAATTGCGAAAGGGGTGGGGGGTGGGGGGAGGCAGGGACCAGGGCTGCCTTGCCCCACTGTTCTCCCCAACAAAATGTCTTCCCTTGCAAAGATGAATGGAGTGTGGAGGTGGGGGGCATGCGTGAACATTTGCCAGCACTTTGTATACAACCACAGAGGGAGATGCCTGCAGAATGGCTGTGTGTGTGTTTTTGTAAGTTCTGATTTTGAGGTGTCCCGTTTTAATTTTCATAAACTCGAAAAAGTGTTTTCAGATCCCTGGATCCCGTTTCTAGTTTTGCCTGCGGGGGAGAAAGATTCGAAAAGGGTTAGGGTAATGAACCCCATGCCCCCCCTCCAGATGTTGGCAGACTACAACTCCCATCATCCTTATTGGGCCATGCTGGGAGCTTGGAGTCATGCTGACAACAACAGGATCCCTATCTCAAAGGAGTTTTGGCTGGCAGGCAGATGGGATGGAGACCCTTCTCACTTCTGCACAACGGAGAGCACAGAGAGAAAGTGCTTCTCAAATGGGTCTGGTTTACTTGGATCCCTTGACTACAAGGACATGGAAAAACAAGAGGGGACCTGGAGTCACGGAGACAGGGTAGAAAGGAGGAGCAGGGCACAGAAAAACAATAAGAAACGCCTCTCTATCTCCTACCCAGCCCAGGTAGCTGCTTTTCTGTTTGGTGGCTCTATGGAGGCCGCTTTCAGAAGGACCTAAAGGGTTCCTACTGTAAAGCTATTCAGCTCCAGGCAGTCTTGGGTTGCGTGGGCAAGCGATGGTGGCCCTGGCCAAGACTCTGGGAATTCTGCCCCTAGATCTTTAGATAGAACTATCCATGGACCTAGCGCTGGAGAGAGTAACAGACACAGAGGGGGAAAGGAGCCAATCCCTAGTTCTGATCAGTTTCAGCTTTATCTTTGCAGCGTCAGACATGAGTTTGTTGCCTTACTGCTTCTAACTCCAAGAAGGCACCACAACAAGTTAAAACAGCAACTGAAGGAGGAAGCCAAGAACAGTGGCCCTTTTATTCAAGGGGCTGGTTGTTTTACAGCACATTCCCCATTCCCACAATCTTTCTCAGCAAAGGGTGCTTTAGAGTTCTTCAACTTCAGCTCCCAAGTGAAAAAGGGGGCGGGGGAGGAAACTGCCATATTTGGGGGGGGGGGGTGTTTGTGCAGCACAGTGTCTGCATTAGGGCAGCTGCTGTTCCCCACTTGCTCTTCCCATACTTCTGTGGTGCTCTGACTTGCTAGTCTAGCAATGATTGTCACCCTACTGCTTCCGTCCGCATGCTTGGCCATATCTGAAGATGCCAGAGTAGGCTTGGCTATATATATATTTATACGTGTGTGTGTGTGTTTGTGTGTACCTGGCTTCTTTTAGCTCTGGCTGCCGGAAGCGGCTTTAGAGGGTCCTGTGTGGCAGTTTGCACAGCAACAATCCTGTCCGTTAGGTATCGCTAACGCCACCCATGTCCTCCGAAGCCAAGAAGAACCTCATGGGGGTGGGGGAAGGGTCAGTTGAGGAAAGTCCCAAGGTAGCACCCCGCTGAGGCTCAGTCGTCGTCCTGTTGCAGCTGCTGGTGCCTGCTCTGGTACCACAACATGGTGGGAAGGTTCTGGCAGCCTTGGTAGCGGCGCTGGCGCTCCTCTTCCCCCAGGGGTGGCACAGAGTGGCAGGGCGCCCCTGCTAATGAGACGTTGAGCAGCTGGGCTGGGGTACCTGAGCCAAAGACTGCAGACCATGGACCCACCTGCCAGGAACGAGAGAGATTGCTTCACTTAAGGTTGCCCTGGGCCACAACTCAATCCATCGTCAGCATCAATGCTTATATAGCACTTCCAACGCATCAGTGTTTCAGGTACATTATCTCAGTATCTTACACAATTGGCCTGTAAGGATGGCCAGTAAAGCAAACTGAATTAAGCCTGCCTGGCTGGCTTCCACAAGCTCTAAAAAATGGTAAGTTTCAGTGACTTCCTTTAGTTTGTTGCATCCATTAATGTACCTTGAATATACACACCTTTTTTCCTTTTAATGGCAATGGTCTGTTTTTGAGCAGTAAAACTAATTGGGATGTAACAAAACACATGGTTTTCTTTCCAAAGGTGCCATATTGCACATCAAAAGACTCCTTTAGTGCAAGCTACCTTCCACAAACTTCAGATGTCATTCTCTAATTGTCATCACAGATGGCCTGTGTGTCAGTCACATGAGCAAAGGTTGGCTCTGGCCATTTGCCAAGTTCTAGTTTCCAGCATTGCTGCCTCTACACCTAAGCATTTATTTCTCAGTCTGCCGTGCTGCCCAGCTGATTCCCAACTCTTTCCCTACACACAGAGGAGAAACCAAACTGGTTGCAAGATGGTGCATAAGATGACTTGGCCTTACCAGGAGCTGTGATCTGCCCTGAACTTGCTGCACAGCTCAGGCCAGTTTTCATCTATGTTAATTGGCTAAGCACCAATGTCCCTACTCCCCGCTCCCCTCCCCTGGAACTGGGAGTAGAGCCCAGGGAGTGTTGCCACCCAGTTAGTGATTCTGCCACTAGAAGTAGCCACTTTGAACTGGAGAGACACCTGTTGCTAATGCCACCTGCCAAAAAGCAATTTGAGGACAGGGGCTTCCTAGTCACTATTTTGAGCCCCCTGGTATTTATGTCCAGAACAAACAAATGCATCCTTGCCATCTCTTGAGGGACCATAAATTGGTGGCAGAGCATATGCATGCAGAAGGTACCAGGTTCGAAACCCAGTGTCCCCAGTTAAAAGGACCTGACAGCAGGCAACATGAAACCTGAGAGCCACTGCCAGAGTAGACAACATTGGACAATTAGCCTGACTCCTTATGTTCCTATGCTCTGCAAACACCACACCTTGGACTCCGAACAATCACTGCCCACCTTCCTTCCATGGCACTTACCGGCAACAAATGCTGGAGGAGGCACTGGTCAGGCTGCAGTCCGGCCCAGAACTCGGCAAAAGCCGACCCACCGCTGGCGGTAGTGGTGGCAGTGGTGGTGGTGGTGCTACGTATGAGCACCATGTTGGGATGGCGCCGTGATGCCCGCAGCTTCTTTGTCAGTGGCCCCGGATAGCTCTGGTCAAGGAAGAGGAGAACCCGGCGAGCGTTGCAGCTCTCCAAGTCTGCTAGCAGCTCCGAGATGGGGTACCGCTCCTTAGGATCTGCCTGTTGCAGGGAAGGGACAGCTCATCAGCACCTGCCCCTTGGTCACAGACACACACGCACACCCCTCCCCGCTCCACAGTTGGGAGATCAAGGGGATTCCACTGCCTGGGAGTTAAAAGGAGCGGATTAAATGGGAAAGAGCAAGACAGGGCGAGCACCCACTGCAAAGGCCGGTGTTGTTTTCTCCCTGCAGGCACACATGAAAGAGCTGGACGGCCCTTTGAAGGGAACAGAGGAGAGGAGAGGGCTGCAGCCTCCACCTGCAGTTCTGTCAGCATCTCTCCTTCCTCCAGTCGGGCTTCCCAGGACATGCTGGGACAGGTGGGATGACCTCCTCCTCCTCCACCAGCCCACTGCCAAAAGTGGCTCACTTCACTTTCCATTTCCAGCCTAGGAAACCCCAAAGGAAACCTGGCAAATGGCCAAATGCAGGCCTTTGAGAAGGGCTGGTGCCGCTTTGTATGTGTGCACAAGCATCTTAGGCAGCCGCCCCGCATTTTCCTGCCCCAGTTGGGTTTACTTGGCACCCCGACTTCACTGCTCCCTGCCAGCAATTGATCATGGCTTACCCCCATGTGATAAATGCATGAGTGAAAGTCTCCTTTATACCGTTAGCGTCCCCATTCCCTGCTTGGCTAGGCAGGTGACATTAGCATCAATAGCCAAGGTCCTTTTTTGGATGTATCATGATGAAGTAGGAGTCATTCATTCAACAAGATGCATATACCGCTTGACTGTTGTAAAACCTCCAAGCGGTTTTACTTGTAAGTTAACCTGCTGCTGCTGCTGCTTGCTTCATTCTGCACCAACCTGTAGCTTTTCCCAACAAGCAACATTCATCAGTGCTTGGCTGAACACTGGGCAGGAGGCCTGTGGCTGTGGCTATTGTCACAGATTCAAAATTCTAACTTTAAAAGTGAGGAGCAATGAAGAACACCATGACAGGTTTCCTATTGGATTTCTATGGGTCAGCGTACGGCTGTCTCAATTCACCTGGAGACAATTCTTGGGCAGAGCCACAGACTCCTTGACAAAATAATATATTTAATAGCATTGCTCATGGGGACTAATTTAGACCATTTCCTCGATGTATTTCTCCCTCTGATCTCTCTCTTCCTCTGCCTAACTTACCTGGTGGGTTACTCCCCCCAATAAATTGGCAAGAGATATACCCCAAGAGATGATATCTCTGCTGTGAAATAAGCAGCACCACTTTGTAACTTGTGCGGTACTGTATTTCTTGTGCCCCCACACGTTAATTCACATATAGAGGTTGTGCACCAGAGGAGGGCTGGGAGGGAGAGAGGGAAGAGGCACATACCCTTCTCTCCTCCTACAGTGATGTTATACCTATATCCATCATGCCACCCCACCATCCTTTGATAATACACACCCCATCCATCCTTAAGCTCTGGAGGGTTTTGTCTGCACATGCAAAATTCCGCTAGAAGAGGGTTGATATCAATAGTGGGGACAGAGGATGGGATAAAACCTTCCTCCTATCATAGCTAAGGCCAAAGGGCTAAAAAAAACTGGACCATTCCCATCATACCTGAACAATGATGATAGATCAGCTTGGTTTGGCAATTTTTAAAAATATCCTCAAAAAAAGAAAACAGCAGCAGGTTCATTTTGTCTCCTATACCCTTTTGAAACGTGGCTCTTTTGGGGGAGGTGTTATTAGGTTATTGTACTTATTTTGATTTTATATATTGTGATCTTTTCTGTTAACCGCCCTGAGACCTCTGGGTATAGGGTGGTATATAAATTCACTCAATCAATCAATACAGAAATGGCTTGTGATGTTTCATAACGGGAGTAGAGAGACGAGTGCCTGGGACAGCCAATGTTGGTGGCTCCATGGGCAAGCGCTGCCCTGCTCCTCCTAGACAGCCTCTCCCTGGCTTCCAGCCCTGACCCCCCCACTTACAATGCCATTACGGTTGGCATCCCACAGCAGCATGGTGCCATCGCTGGCTGCTGGGCTGTTGAGGTAGAGCACCAGCGAGTCGGCGCAGTGTAGGCTCCTGCAGACCAGGGCCAGGTGGGAGCGAATGGCCAGCTTCTCGGTGGCTGGGTGCACGTCGCCCATCTCCACAGTCACTGTCCGGAAAAGAAGAGGGAGAGAGGGATCTGCTAATCCCATGTCCCACAAGCCTGTCTCCTCCCTCCAACCCACTCCAGTCTTGTACACCAAAGCAGCAGTCCCCCCCTCCCACAGATCACCCAAAAACCATTGGTCTTGGCACACCACTTAATGTTTTTTTCTCCCTGTTGTACCAATTAGAATATACCATGCTAGATGCTGCCTGATTTTTCAAGCTGTCCTCCTTATACGTGTTTTATTGCGTTCTGTCGATTCAAATTGTAATGTAATAAAACGCAAGGAAAGAAAAATGAAGAAGCATGAAAATACAATTGAGTATTTAATGCGAACCACCTGAAAGCAGCTTGACCACAGTTTGGGAACACCTTCCCCGTGGCATCCTCATTCCTCCTACCGCCACTTGCTCCCTGCCACCACATCCTGCTCATCTGGGAAGGGGCCAGAGTTGGGAGCAGCATGGGAATATTTGCTAGGCTCCCTCATTAGCCCACTCTGCAAAATGCCCCACAGGTGGTTTGGTCCATGCCGTGCAGGCCTGTAATTTTTGCAGGGACGTGTAACCCAAAGGCGAGATTTCCCCAGGGCTAGATTACTTATGCATTCACACCCAGCATTTTCTCAAGTGGGATGGACAAGTAGGGTGACACTCTGAAATGCAATACACCCCCCCCCCCAATGCAGAACCTTGGTAGCAGGGAGAAGGAAGTGCCAGGAACAGAGTCTTGCCTCTGAAGAGCAGCTCATGGCGTCCCGACACCCCTGAGTAGTGCTGGGGGGATATACTGATATATCATTTAAAACCAGTTTCTGGCCCCATTGTGATAACTGTTTCAAAATAAATGACCCGGCAATATATCATGAATTACATGTGTGCGTGAGTGTACGTATTATGCAAAAATCACAATATTGGAAAAACCAGGAAACCACCCAGTGCTTCTGTGTCTCCCTGAGTTGAATGAGCAGGTGCTCTTCCCTCCCTTTTCTCTCTCTCTCTCTGTGTCTGTACGTGTGCCTGCGCCTGGAAGCAGCCAGCAGAAAGCACAGTTTTGTGAAGCTAGCTGATGCTGAAATTTAAGGAAGTCCCTCCAGCTCGAGTGAGCAGGAGCGGCATTGGGACTTGCTCAGCTGTAGGGCCGGGCAAAGTATCTCGACTTATCTCCTCCTTCCTCCTTATTTTAGACATCATGAGATATCAGTCTATCACAATATTTAGCTGGTGATATATCACAATGTTGAAAACCAGGTTATCGCCCAGCCCTATCAATGGGCACTGAAAAGTCACCCCCCCCCCAGGAAACCAAGAGCCCCATCCCACCCTTGCAGCCGACAGCTAGCTCTCTTTTGTGCTGGTACCTGAGGCCTGCCCCTCGCTCGCGAAGAAGGCCTTAATGTGCTCTTGGCGGAAGCCATTGCGTCGAAGCATCTGGTAGAAGAGCAGCAGGTTCTGCGCATGGCGGGGGTAGGTGACCTGCTCCTGCCAGCCACCTGGGGGAGAAGCACGGTAAGCAATCCAGGGGGAAAAACATGGTGGAAGAGAGGCTGAAGCTGGTTGCAAGGGGCATAGGAGCACTAACACTGCCCCTCAAGGAGAAAAGGGGCCCCTTAAGCTCATGCCCAGTAGAACAAAGCTGTAGCTCAGTAGCAGAGCATGTACTTGCACACAGAAAGAGCCGGGTTCAATCCTCGGCATCTCCAGATAAGGTTGGGCATGTCCGCTGTCTGAAACCTTGGAGAGCCACTGCCAATCAGAGTGGCCAATACTCAGCTAGGTGGACCAATGGGCTGACGCAGCACAAGGCTGAGCCTCCAATCAGATTCACCCTCATCTATCCGCTGGCCAAATGCAATGGCTTGCAGTGGTGTGTGGTCAGTGGACTGGGGGACTAGGCTAGTCCCCTAAATGTCCCCGCTAAATTAGAATATTGAAGTATTAAAGTCTGGAGCTTCCTTCCCAAAGCCCAGGAAGCTTCTGCCATCTTAGGGAGGGAGGCGCGATGCTCTCTCTCACACAATGTCGCCCCCTCCCGCTATCGCCCTCACAAGCTGGTGCCTCTGGCCCTAACTGTTACCCTAGGAAAAAAATCACCTCACACCGCTGATGGCTTCAGATTCCCAGAACCAGCAGCTCCTCGCAGCCCCCAGGCACCACTTCTCACCTGCAATCAGCACAGCATGGTCACATGTCTGGTACATGCGGCAAGACTTGTACAGCGGAAGCTGCTGCCGGTGGCATCGCCGCGTGTTCTTGTTGAGTTCGCAGTAAGCAGCTGTGGAGCTAGAGCTCGCAAGGGGCAGGGGCTCCGGGCAGGGGCTGTATCCACGGAGATCTGGGAAAGAAAAGGAAGTGTAGCAGGAAGGCAGGAGGTGAAAGAATCTCAGGCCCATGGAGCAGACCCTGACAGACACTTGAACTGTCATGGGGGCCCCTTCACAACAAGGTCTGGGTAACCACTGTTATCATCTGCAATGGGGTCATTCCACAACAGATTGCCACACCATTACAACATCTGCGCTACGGACTCTCAGACCTTGGGATTATTGAAATATAGACAACAAAAAATGAATCCACTCATATGGGGTCTAAGAGACCCATTTTTTTTAAGTGATGGGGACGGAAGTTACTTCTGGGGCGCTGCCAGGATTCGAGGCCCTGAAGCTCAAACTTCATTAGTTTCAAAGTAGATCCACCTCTGGACACAGGAAATAAGAAAATGATTGGTGAGTTGAGGTGCCCTAGGCCAAGGGCAAACTTGGGACAATTAAGTTCTAGTTCTGTGGTGCTCCCTTCCAGCTGAGATTCCAACACCTATTGAAGACCTTTTCTGTTCCAGCAGGCACTTTAAGAAAGTTTTCTGCTTTTTTACAGTTTTAACTGATTAGTGTATCTTTTTAACCTTACTGTGCACTGCTTAGGGACTAAGGTGTTAAGTGGTAGAAAAACGGTTGAAATAAATAAATAAATAAATAAATAAATAGGTGGTCACATTGTTCTCCCCCTTCCCATTTTGTCCTCACAACCAGGTAGGTTAGGCTGAGAGACAGTGACTGGCCCAAGGTGCCAGATATGAGCTTCAAGGTGAGTGGGGATTTGAACCTTGGTCTCCCAGGTCCTAACCAGGCAATCTAACCACTGCGCCAGACTGTCATCTACCTGCTGCATCCCCTCTTCCTCCACTGCCCACGTTTGGACTTCCTAAATCCTGAAAGTGGGGAAGTCTCCTTTGTGGTTTACAATCCTGATCCTGTAACCCTGCCCCCCTCCACTCCATTGCCTGTCCAATCCAGGGACTTACCCACGCAGTTCAGCCTTTGCAGGTGTTTGGGGTCCTGTGCCACCACTACCATGGGCAGGAAATGGATCTCACAGAGACCGACGGGGGGCTCCTCACGGCGGATGCGTCCCGCAGACCGCTGGCTCCTTCCCTTGCCACGGCCCGGTCGGCGCTTCAGCTGGTTCTCACAGCGGCTCCTCTGGGCTGGAATCAAGCATTCGTAGCCGCCTGCAGGCAAAGAACAAACATGTCTGGAATAAAACCTGCTGAGAAAGTTCCCTATACAGGGTTGCCTTCAGGTGTCTTCTAAAAGTCAGATTATTGTTTATTTCCTTGACATTGTTCCACAGGGCAGGTGCAACTACCGAGAAGGCCCTCTGCCTGGTTCCCTGTAGCTTCGCTTCTTGCAATGAGGGAACCGTCAGAAGGCCCTTGGTGCTGGACCTCAGTGTCTGGGTTGAACGACGGGGGCGGAGACGCTCCTTCAGGTATACTGGACCAAGGGTGTTTAGGGCTTTAAAGGTCATCATCAAGACTTCAAATTGTGCTCAGAAATGTACCAGCAGCCAATGGAGGTCTTTCAGGACCAGTGTTATATGGCCCAGTGGCCGCTCCCAGTCACCAATATGGCAGCCGCATTCTGGATTAGTTGTAGTTTCCCTGTCACTTTCAAAGGTAGCCCCACGCAGAGCGCATTGCCGTAGTCCAAGAGGGAGATAACTAGAGCATGCACCACTCTGGCGATACAGTGCACAGGCAGGCAGGGTCTCAGCTGGTGTACCAGATGGAGCTGGTGGACAGCTGCCCTGGACACAGAATAATAGATATTATATTTTATTATATATATACATTAATATTATTTTATTTTAGTGCATGGTTTAATTTTCTTAATTTCTCCATGGGACAAGCAGAGTTCAAAAAGGTTCCAAGATATTATTAGATTCTGTGGAACAGATGATGGGAATGAATCTTTGCTTCAGTTGTGATCGATGAGCAGTTTATAGAGCATTCATGTGCAACACCCTCAACCCTGTGGAAAGACCAGAGAAAATATACATCTTGTTTTTCTTTATTTTGTCTTATTATATACTGTTTATGACCATTTGTCTCCTGGTTTGCTGGGGGTTCACAATATTTTTTGCATTCTTGTTTGTATATATTATCTAAAACGTCAATAAAAATATTAAAACAACAACAGCAACAAGCCATAATTTCCTGTGCATACTATATCTCTACTGTAATCTGTGCAGAACCAAATCAGAATCTTGTCTCCCCAAGCAGAATAAAAGAGGATTTCCTCCTAGAGGTGTAAAGTATGGGGTATAAAACTCCCTCCAAAAAATGGAGAGGATAGGAAAGGAGTTGGTTGCCAGTTAGGCTGCAATGCTTGGCCAATTAATTCACAAGGTTGATGGATTAAAACACATTTCTGATAGGCTAAAAAAGGACTCCATGATTAATCACACTAAAAAAAAAGTTAATCATTTTAAAATAATGAAGGTTAGTTATTTTTAAAAGAAAGAAGATGCATTCCTCCTCTGTTGTCTCAGCCACATGAGTGAAAATCTCTTCTAATATGAGACTTGCAATATACAGTAATGCGCATAAATATATTTCTTTTAAAGGATGCTTTCCTCCCTTCCAGAATTTTTTTATTTCCTCATTTACATAGAACAAATCAATTAACTAAGCATGTCTAACTAATACTACTATGTCTACTCAGAAGCAAATCCTATGGAATTCAATGGAGTTTACTCCCAGGTGAGACGGTTTAGGACTAGAGCAACAATCCTACTTTTCAACATCAGCAAGAAAGACTGATGCGAAGGAAATGCTCCCTGGGCTCAGATAAACTGTCTGTTGTTTTCAGCGCCTAAGAGCAAGGAATTCTCCTTGCACAATGTAATGCTTTCTCCCCTTTGCACACCCCCAAAATCTGTTCTGGGTGTTCCCCTCAACCCTCTGGATCAGATTTGGGGATGGCACAGTGGAGAGGGAATCCTATTGCACTAGCACAAGTATTTGGCTGATTTCTGCCTGTCACATATCTTATATCACAGATTCTGGGATTCCTGTGTTCAAAGGGCTAAACCCTGATTCATACTAAGCCCTGAAAGACACCCTGAGTATTAGCCCATCAATGACAGTCATGCCGGAGAGATTCCACCCAACTGAGCCTCCCACCTGTCACCCTTTGCACTGCAGCACCTTCTAACTTTCCTGCACCAGACTCTTCCGCTGATGCCACCTCTGCCTTGAGATTACAGAAGCTCACTAGACTCCAGAGAGCCCCTCAAGGCTGTAGGGATGGAGTTTTCCCCAGCGCATCCCAGGATCAGGAGGGAACTGGAGATGCCCCTCCAGCAGTAGATCCTCTCTCTTGGCTATCCCAAATTCTCCAAGTAACCCCTGCAGGCTGGTCTCAGGATGCCACTGCATACAGGACTGACACAAACACTGAGCTAGGGACAGCGTCACACACAACTCACTGATGGAAAGGAGACACTGTGAGAGCCCCGACAGTCCCAACTGCACTTGCCAATTGCAGTTACAAAAGCATGTGTGTGGAAGGCAGAGATGAGAACAGGAGCATATGTGAAAGGAGGACGCTGGAGAAGCCAGGCAGCCTTCCTTCCAGATTTCACTGGCTCATAGGATCAGAGGGAACCCAAAGATCAGTCTGTAGTAAGCAGGTGCTCCTCACATCTCACACCAAACCCCCTACCCTGCTTATAGCTCCTACCATGGAAATCAGTGTCTGGCAAAGAGGAAGAGCCAGAATTACTGCAGAGCAGGCAACTAGATCCCTTGAGCAACTAAGACAAGTCACAAGATGGAGACCCCAAATCACTCCTCAGTCTTATCTGGGAGGACATCATCTTGCAACCCCAAACATTGCTCCTACATTGTGGAATGTCTCTCCCTCTGCCATACCTGAAGTATCATCCATCAGTTGATTTTCTTGAAAAGACATATCTTTTCCTGAATCCCTGGTTCTATAATAACTGTTTTCCTGGGTTGCTGTTTTTTAATGTTCTAATCTGTTTTTAGGATACTGTCTAATTTTCTTTTTTGTGGATTTCTGTATACTGTTTAGAGGTTTTTTAATATTAAGCAGCCTAGAAATGTTTTCAATCAATCAATCAATCAAATATAAAAACTGCTTTTAATTAATTCCAGATTAGCCCATCCTCAGTGGACAGTTTATCTCCCGCCCCAACATTCTCTTCCCTGTCTTTTAAGATACTGGGGCAAAGGGCACTCTGCCCCAAGCGATGCTGAAAAAGAAGCTACAAAATATCTGAAGAGGTGATCCAGTGCGTGAGGAAGAACACCAGGAGGAGGATTAAGGTGCATAAACCAGCCAGTAATTTTCGTGAGAAAAGAATGTCCCGAGGATAAGGCGGGTCACAGGGTGCAGCAGTTGGGATACTGAATCTTGGGGAAGGGTAGGCGCAAGTGCCTGTTTTGTAAACCAGAGCGGCACTGGGCCTCAGATATGACTAGATCTCATATCTAACCGCTGTACAACGTTTATTTAAACCACCTTATTTTATGCCGGGTCATCTGATGTGGACGCCTTTACAGCGCAGATCAGATGCTGGGTGCGGTTCTGCATATGCGTTCTGCATATGCTTAGGATCAGGCTCCTCTATAGGATTGCTCCTTGTGGTTTAGGGTTGAAATGCGGGCAGATTTGAGCACAAATGCCAGATCTGATCTGGGTCCTGGCACCATGGAACGGGAGGAAATAGGAAGCCTGGGGTGGGATGGGCGCAAGCCAATATGTGGTCGTCCACGGGGCGCGCGTGGCCCGAGGATGCGGCATTCACTCACCCACGTAGAGGCTGTCGCGGCTCCGGCACCGGCGCGGGCTGACGTGGAAGTCGACATAGAAGAGCAGGAGCGGGTGGCCGAAGTTGGCGCCCGGGGTGGGGTCCAGCACCAGGATGGCGTCTTGCGCGGAGGGCGCGCCGGTGGGGCGCAGCGGGCTGCCGCTCTGGTTGCGGCCGGCCACGAAGGGCGGAGCGCCGGGCCTGTCTCCCCAGCCGTCGGGCAGCAGCGCCCGCACCTTGTGGCCCGGGCGGGCGGGCTCGGAGACATAGACGGCGGGCCCAGGGCCCTGGGAAAGGCGCGCCAGGCGCTGGCACTGCGGCCGCGGCAAGAGCCCGCCGCGCTCGGGACACTGCGCCGCCGCCACGTGCCGAAGCGCCGCCGCCGCCCAGCGCGCCACCCGCGCCTCGGAGAAGCGGTTCCCCGACGGGGCGGCCGCGCACGGCCAAGCGAGGGAGGCAGCGGCCAGCGCCAACAGCAGCGGGGCCATGGGGCGGCTGGAGCCCTCGCCGTGCGCCCCGCAGCAGCTCCGCGCGCTCTGCCCGGCCAGCGGGGCTCCGAGTCCCCGCCCTGCCCCGACAGGAGGAGGAGGAGACGGAGGTGGCTGCGGGTGGGGGGAGCCAAGGACTGCGTCCCTCCCAACCCCGCGTCCCCTTTTCTGCTTCCTGGGCAGCTCCTCTTGCCCCACCCTGCTACCCCTGCTGCTTCTCTCCGACGGGGCGGCTCGTTCCTCTCCCGGCGCCCTCGTCTGCTCTCCACACGGAGAACGACAAGAATCCACCAGGACAGATTTAGGAACCCCCCCCCCCGCCAGTTGGGCGCCCGCGGGTCAAGAGGAAGGAGGCAACGCAAGGAAAGGCATAAGCACTTATTTTTCAAATTTCTAAACTGCCCCAGCCCTGGAAAATGTACAGAAACAATGAAGAAAAGGGCCTCCAAACGTATGGAGAATGTGTTTGCCATCATTAACCATCGGTAGGACGTGGACAAACACCCAGGAGAGTCAGCCAGGTCGACCTCTCCCTCCCACACACACAAAAAGGAGAGTCGATGTAGAATCTTACGCAAGAATTCCCACCTGGCCCGTTGAATTTTCGAGGGTTTATATCTGAGTAGAAGTGGTAAGGCTTAGTGTGGCTTTCCTGTTTCCCGTTCCAATGAATGGAAACATCGTTCCATGGGGCACAGAACTCTTGAGCATAAGCTTTCATTTGAAGCCTGTCTCCAGCTCACACCCGGAGGGGCGAGACCTCGCGGGTGGGATCCGTGTTACTAACTTCCCTCATATTAAACCTGAATTGAAATAATCCACGTTCACAGTCGGTATATATTGAACACTGCGCTCCTGAAGGCAACAACGGCCTCTTTCATGAATGAATGAAGGTGAGCATGACTTGGACGGAGGCGCGCCCTGTGCTGGGGAAAACCGAATTATTTGGGTTGCCGAAAGAGCTCTCCCGACTTCATCCCCCGACGCTGAACTGTTCCGTACTTTGCTCGGTCCCTCTCTCGCTGTTATTGCAGCCGGTGGCCCGACGGGGCGGGAAGAAGGCGGCTGCCCCAGAGTGCGCGCGCGCACTCGTGTTTTTGTTATCTGCAGGCTTAATTGGGAGCTGCTGCTGCGGCTGCCTAAGAGCGTCATGCGCCGACCTGGACTCCCTACGATGGCAGCAATAGAGCCCTCTCCTCGGTTGCAGGCCCCACGCTGGACGCCTTCTGACCCGTTCCGCACCCTGATAGAGTGCAAACCCAAGCATGTTTACTCGGAAGTAAGTCCCACTGTGTGCCAAAGAACATCAGTGTTGCAGATAGGGCCGGCCGTGGGGCCAGAGTCCAATGCCCTGAAGCTTGAGGGGAGGGAGGACAAATGACCATCCCAAGAGTGGCAGATGGGGGAGCAGCAAATCGGCCTGGCATCAGCATCTTGGAGGGAAAGGGGCACGATGGAGCCCAACAGGACTCATGCTGGTTATACTCTGGAACTCAGAACGCAAGGGAGAAACTTGCTAGGAGGAAGGCACGCTTGGCAAATCCACACCGTGATCAACTCCTGCCAGGGAACCAATGTCCCCAGTGTGGAAGGACGTGTGGGTCCAAAATTGGCCTCCACAGTCACTTACGGACTCATGGTTAAAACCGTGTTTATGGAAGACAATCTTACTCGGCTATGAGTGATCGCCAAAGAAAGACAGGATCCTGTCGTTCTTCTTACAGAAAGATAAGGGACTGCAGGCTGGGCATGACATGATTACAGATGCTTGGCTCATTATTATTCTTCTTTAAAAACACATTATCCTTTTCTTCAACAAAATGCTACTTATTCATGCATGAATGTGCTTACCATTTGAGAAACAGAAGCGACACCTGTTTTATTCTTGTAGTCATGATAGTGCTATGATTTAAGTGAGTTTAAAATGTGAAAAAAATTGGAGTTACCAAACTCTCTTGTGTAGGGCGTCCAGGAATGTAGCCATTGTAAAGCATGGAATTAAGAGCAGTGTGCAAGAGAGGAGGAGAAATGTTTATTTCTGTTGTGAGGAGTACATTAACACTTTGTTGCAGCACTGCTGGCTGCTGAGGGGGGCATTAACAAAAGTAGAACCTCACTTTCATAAATTGAAGGTCACCTCCAGAAATCAATAGACCAAGAGCATTTCAGCTTGACAGAACATCACAGCACAAAGGGCAATTAGGATGCAACAGGGCTGGATTTTTTTTTCAAGTATCAAACTCTGGTTTTTTTGTTGTTTAGAAAAGAACAAGTACAGCAATGCCTCTGAAGTTAATTGGTCTATTGCAAAGTGCAATGAACTTTCCTACCACAAATGCAATAAACCACTTAGCCTCTAAAGTGAGTTGAAGGGCCCCCCCTTTTCTTTATTTTCACATCAAGAGATTACCACTGATAACTGATTTGTCTCAGTATTTAAAATAAAGATTAGCAGCAGTTGTTTCTGGTACAACAGAGATCAAATTATTGCTCATTAACTTAAGCATTGGATTTGAAATGTCCAGTGTTACAGTAATCAGAGTTGACCCTGTCTTCCCTTGATCTTTAATTCTCACCTTGTGATGTTGAGAAACCTGTGTGTGTTTATAGGCTTATCACCTTCTGTCTCTATTTAAGTAATCTGGGACAGTTGTTGGCCTAGGAAATTAGAACAATTTTGCACCCAACTTGAAAGTCCCTACAATTGAGAAGATCTCTGTCCTTCCTGTTGGTTCAAGTAGCAATTTTTCACTATGGTTGCTGCTGCTGTTGCCACCAACATCCTATGACTCAGTCCAGTAAATCCAGGAGAGGCCCTGCATTCAGTCACAGAATTCTTGCATGTTCCATTCGCAAGTACTGCAGTAATGTACTGAGAGCTGGATGTCCCAGCAGGCAGAGCCAGGGTGGACAATGGTCAGGGATGATGGGAACTGTAGTCAATAACATATGGAGGGCTAAATATTATTATAGGATGAACACGCGAGCAGGATTTGAACCATGGGCAACAGAAGGGATTAAAGATTATAGTAGTTTTGTTAAGGTTCAAGAGACAGAAGACAGTGCAGCAGAGCGAGAGAAACAGAAACACCATGGAAAAGTGGGTAGGAAGTTTGCGGTGGAAATGGTTTTATTATGTGTTGAAATGCATGTGTGAAATTTTGGAAAACTTCAGAAAAAAAGAACATATGGAGGGCTACAGGTTATCTACCTATGGCATAGAGCTATAAGGGAAGTCAGATAGGCTTTTGGATACATAGGGGTCACCCCCCACTTCATACAGTGAGGGGGCTTTGTAGATAATGTGATGTATGAATAGTGGTGCAAGTGAATCTGGCAGCATTAGAAAGTGCTGCATCAAGTGCCCAAATTCACCCCACTGCAAATATGCACTTCCTTTATATACAGCACTGATGATGCACCTGACGTTAGTGTATGAATCGGACACCTCTCAACGTTTTAGGCCAAACCTGCACCATTTATGATGCAGCCAGCCAAACACAGCCCATCAACTGCCTATGGCTGCCTCCCAAGTGTTCTGCAGCCTTCCATTTCTCCCATCTCAGGAAGGTAGGAAATACAGATTTCAGACCTGCGAAGGTTTGCCTTGGATGGCAGGTGGGCTGGATTCAGCTTGGTGCCTGCCACGTCCTGAAGGCTTGTTTTAGCTCAAGGTCATTTTCTGTTCTCTAGGCAGTTGCCCTAACTAAGCTGCAAACGACAGCTGCTGGGACCATATCCCTGCATCCACCTGCTCCATCCTCCGATAACATTGCTATGCTGTTATAGTTGCTGTAAAATATCAAAAAGCTTTTTGTTTAATCATTCCCCATTCCTGGCAATTAAAAATATTGAGAAGCTTTATTTTAATTCAATGTTTTATATGTATATTGGCTAAAATAACTTTATTAACAAAAAACTTGAGTTCAAAATAAAAAACTAAAATGTTCAAAGCTTACAACTAAGTTGCACCAAACACAATGGGCCAATCCAACATTGCACTATTAAGAATGTTGTCTGTGCAAGTGTATCAGCTTGCCAGATGGAATGATCCCCCTCCCCTACTGTTCTGGGGGTTCTCCTGACCATCTCCAGTGCCGATTTTTGGAGGCACAGGAAGGGAGTCACATTGCTGAGAACTTCTGTTGAAGCGTTTCACTAGGTAAATCACACCCCCAGAGCTATGTAAGAAAGAAAACCAAACACAGCTGCCACCTGATACTTCAGGTGCACATCTATGTAGAAAACAAATATAAAAACAAAATATTGCATTGATGATTGTGGGCTTCCTACTGGATCCAGGGTTATCTAAGGCATGAGGAGCCAAGAGATGCCATCCTAATCATCCACTGAGCCATTTTCCAACTGCATGCTATCCAACTATCTGAGCTATGCAATGTGTTCAGTTTCAAGTTATGAACACATACAACTCTACCACTGAAAGAGCATTGAGAGCTATTGCCCAAGTCCTGAATGAACCTCATCTTGCCCACTATGAGCCCTTGCTTATGAAATTTTAGAAGGCCCTTGCAGCCCGATACTATCCATGCCCTTTTGTTCAATTCTAAAAATTTACTTTCAGATCAGCGTGCATCAGCCTTTAAGCAAAACATCTTCCTTAGTATCCATGCATGCGTACAGAGAGAAGAAAAAGAGAGCAAGTCTGGTCTTTCAGCATATAATATTGGGTTGCATGACCAAAGGATTTGAACTAGGCTTTTAGGTTGCATAAAGGCTCTCTTTCACTGCAAATCAATTGATTTTATTTCTTTTGGCAACCGGATAACGTGCATGCTTGTTCTGGAAGTGTATGCATTTCAAAACAGAAACTTGATTAAAAAACAAACAACTAGAAAATGTTGTTACCATAAATCATGACTCAAAAATTGCCTGGCGCGAAGTTAATCCCCCTGGACTAGTCTACACGCTTTGCCATGCTACTCCTGAGCAGCACAGGGGGACAGTATGCTAGAATTGCTATTCCCACTCCCAAATGTTGAGCATTTTCTTAGAGAAATCCAAACTCCTTCCCACCCACAACCATCTGGAAAGGATGAACGTACTGTGTGCTCTCCAGAAAAACAAAGAACATGAAAGCAAAGGACAAGCTGGTTCTATCTGTGACTTTATTGGCTCCCACCAGCTTTCCCACAATGCCCTGCCTTCACATCTTTCCTCCCACCACACTGGAGGTGATAATAGCAAAGGCACAGACTGCTGGATGATGCAGTGGCCCCTGCAGAGGGAGGGACTTTAATAATTGCTGCACAGCATAAAGCTGAAGCCCAAGGCTGTAAAAAACAAACTTTTTTTTATACATCTGGTAGAAGACAGTGCCTGATCAAAGCATGCATCAGACAGAAGAAAGACATCCATGTGGTCACTGAGGTATGGGTGCAGCTTGGGGCCAGCCAGCTTTGCCAACATGCAGTCTAAGAGAAGCTGGCCGTCTACTGGAAGCGGAGATCTCCCTTCCCTAGCATTATAGGGCAGCCGGTGGACGATCGGTTGGTCAAGGCTGATCTTTGGCAGATGTTCGGAGAAGGGTGCTGGCAGAAAGAGCCTTAGTCAGGAAACACAGAGAAGGGGAGAATCCTGACACGCCTTCTCAGCAGGGAAAGGGATTGCATGGAACAGGTCCCAGAGATCTCGTCCTTTGCTCGCTGTGACTATCACGAATCCCGCCTCTTCCTGGAGGACTTGGGCGTTGCATTGTGCTTCCCATGATTTGAATGTCCCTGCTGTTGCTTCTGATGCAGCAGCAGCGCCAGTATTTGACAGAGAGCAGCTTTAGAAAGACATCTCCCCACCCACAGCTTCCCCTAAACAGATAGGTAGCAAGAGGAAGCCCAGCAGCACCAAGAATAAGGTGGGGAGAAAGCTCTCTACAAAGCGTTTAGCACCACCTACTGTCCAGCTTTGGGACTGCCACAGGCTAAGAGAGTGGGGGCCTCTCTTTCAAACGCCCCACAGCTGTAGGACCTTCCCCTACACAGCTGACAGTTTGAGGTTTAACCTGACTGATGCCAGTGCTGCCGGCCACTCCACTCCCCCTTTCCACTGCTGTGACCTATGCCAGCCACGGCTCTGGTGGAAAGTCTGGGAACCCTACCCCAGGGCTACCACTTGCTCCATCCAGGGGGAGAAATACTGCCAGCTACCCCAGAAGGTGTCTGATGGTCACAGTGCAAGGTGACAACAGCTGTGTATCAATGAGAGAGAGAGAGAGAGAGAGAGAGAGAGAGAGGGGACTATGAGGACCAGGCAGGGAGTTCAGCCTTTGGTTCATTGTTAGTAGTCCTGAGGGAGCGGCAGAAGGAGGTAACCCAGGTGGGGACAGAAGAACCATGGTGACCAGGCACGATCCACGTGCTGATAGCGTCTCATTGTGCTCAGGACAGACAGCAGTTGGAGGGCTTTGTGCTTCGAGCCTAGGACACAAATATCATGAGGGTAAGAACAGCCAGAGAGGGCAGCACATCCTTCCCTCCCTGCCCAACAAGACCGGACTGGCCATTTTCTCCCAGAAGAACCTTACACCACCCCACATGCACAAAGCACACTGTTTTACATTCTATGATTATATATAAAATGATGGAGGAGGGCATTATTCTCTCTCCTGTTTTGTTTTAAGCTATGAAATCATGTTGTCTAAAACAATACAAATAAACCAAACTTGTATGGATATACTTATTGATGATATTATTTCTAATATATATATATTAAACGGTTATACTTAATTGTTCACTTGATATTTTGTGAACCACTTTGGGCACCGTTTTAAGGGCAAGTGGCATAAAAGGCAAGCGGATGACGACAATATATTGCAAGGAGAGAGGGATAGGGCCATCGTTCTGTAATCCCAACTTGCAAACAGGACTGGTGGCCAAGGGTTAGATTTAAATCTATGTGAAAAAATCTGCAGTGCACAAGTCTGCCTGACCTTTTGGGATACCTGCTTCTCCCCAAGCTGGGCAGGACGATTCAGTGTAGTTAGTTAACCTACTCCTCCCTGCAACTAAAAGCATTTACCAAACCTAGCAGCAGAGTTCTATATACAATAAAAGCTGATAGGAAAAGACCCTATAGGCGGCTGATCTGATTTGGGCTCTAGTTGGCTGGTTTGGCTTTGGACTTCCTTGATGAGACTGTCCTCTTTTACTCACAAGGAAGCCTTGGTAGATTGGCAGAATCTATGTGCAGGAGGAGGATCAGAAGCGACTTTGTGGGAATCGCCTCATCTTGCTCACCTGTTGCTGCTGCTGCTGCCGCCGGTATTCCTCCTCGCTGGCCGACAGGGCCCGAGCCAGTGCAAGATCTTCCTCTTCCTGGGCACTGTTTGAGACACAGGACTGGATGAGTCAGACATGCTGCACAATTTAGAATCTGTACCCCCCAGCAATTTCCTGGCACATTTCTCCTGAGATAGGGGAGTGGTTTATTTTAACAAGAACTTGCATTCCATTTAAATAATAAAAACCTCCAAGCAGAGGTCAGTATGTTGGTCTGCACACAGTGATCTCACCACATTTAGATCTGTATTTAATGCTTTGAAAGCCTAAGCAGCACAGACATCTATGCTCTGCCTCCACAGCTGCAGGCAGTAATGCTACTCAATACCACTTACTGGAAACCACAGGAGGAGAGTGGGGTCAAGCTCGGGTCCTGCTTGCCGGTTTCCCACAGGCATCTGCTGGACTAGATGGGCCAGTGGCCTGATCCAGCAGGCTCTCCTTACACTCAGAGGACTGGAATTGATATCAACAGTCCTCTGGGCACATGAATGTTAACACAGCCTCCCCCATTCTCTGCCAGAGAGTCTCCCATATATGCAGATTCCAAGCAGGCAGCCTGGCATGGTGGCACCAGTAAGATCTTGAAGCCAGCTGATCTCTGCAGGGCTGGCGCAACCGTGCTGTACCTGCGGGGTTGTGGTTGGGTGGGCACTGCCTCTGCGAGGGACATCTCCAAGGCTCGCTGCAGCGCTTCCTCCTCACTCTGAAACACAAAAGCAGATTCAGCCTGCTGTGGAGGAGCAGCAACTTGCAGCTTATAGGTACAGGGCAAAGCATATGCCAAGACCAAACTAAGCCTCCTGATGTATATTGTACCCTACGAGACATAGTTTGGTCAGAATTCAGTATACACTTCCAGAGTGAACACTAAAAACATTACTTCTGGTAAATGAGCCACTACAGCCCCTAGAGGGCCATGAACATTTGTGCCCCAGACTTTTTAGACTCATCTACCCATGTACTATCAAACCAAAGGGACGCATTGGTTGCAAGGTGTGAATTTTCTTTCAGCTCTTCTACCCCACTGTGGAGGTTTTCACTAGAGGGAGTTTGGGTGGGGGAAAAGGAATTTTTACCAGCTTTCCCCTTTAGTCCCAAATACTGTCTTTCCAACCCTCTGGAGCAGACTTTCTCAAGACCTACGGAAAGGAAGAACTGCAGAAAATCACCTCCCCCACTTCTGGCCTTGGGTGCATCCAGTTAGCAGAGTGCCACAGGGGACAAATCTGGACCCAGCCCACCCTGTCCCACCACAGTGACCACTCACAGATGCATATTAAACGAAGGACATGAAGCGATATGTCCACTTGTAAGCTGAGACGAGGCTTACAAGTGAAGGCACCCACAAGATAATACATTATCTTTCTCTCCGTTTCCTGACTTCTTGGTTTCATTTGTAATTTGGCTTACAATTTTTGTTCTCACTTTTGAAGCTCTTACTTATTTGCCTCTCCTCCTGATCTGTCTTTGGCTCCCCACTGGATTCCATTCTGAACACTTATACACGACTCTTCTCCTTGTTACGCCCAGGATTTCTTGTCCCAACTACCACCATCCTTTTTCTCAGGCTTCTTTTTAACACTAGAATGTTTTTTTCCTGCAAATATTCATAGTTTGTTGTTTCTTTACAAATAATAACTTCTTAAAATGCATTTCCCCAGTTTCTGCCTGTGTGCAATGGAAAAGGCAACAGCCTGTGTTTAATGGTGTAAATGCCCAGTTTGTTGGCCAGGACTTACCAATCCATTCTGCAGGGCAACCACCGGAGGAGATATGCTTTGTGGCGGAGGAGGTGCTCTTGCCATCTCACTGGCTCTGTGTGCAAAAAAAGATGTCAACTGTCACTACTTGTGAGGCATGTAAGATGGAGAGGGAAAATCCCCAGGGATAATCCACCAGGGTGCCTTGGAACGTAACCCCTGCGTCCATTGGGAGTTGTCTGTGCAATGCTTCCTGAAGCTGTACGGTAGGCTTAGCTGCTATAAGAAGAAAGGGTAGGGGACAACGCAGACTCGAGCAGTTATTGTACCTGCTGGAGGTTGGCAGAGCTGCAGCAGCTCTCGTGGCTCCGTTGCTGGGTGTAGTGCTTGTAGGTGCTTTGGCAGGTTTTTGAGCTCTGGCGATCGCGGCACTCCTGAAATGGGAAAGGCAACTCTTAGTAACAGGAGCACCTCTCTCGCCATTGCAGCAAGCCCTTCCCCCTTCCCCGGAGACTAGCAAGAATCCACTCCAGCACTATCCTTTCAGGGACAATGTGAACTGTTGACCATCAACATCTGGAGGGCCACAGGCCCCCAACTCGTGTGCTGCAACAACCAAGGATGGGGAAGAAACCACTGTCTCCTGAAGGATGCACACCAGCATTACTGCATGGCTGCAGGTGTGTGTCTGGCACATGCCAAGCGTTTTGCCCAGCCCAGCCCTCTGTCCCGCCTTTACCCTGCCTTGGAGAGGGAATGCCCAGGGCCAGCGCAATCATGATCCAGTGGGTGTCGGTGCTTGAGGCAGAAGTTGCCGTGACACTGGTCACACAGAACCTTCATCATCTCTCGTTGCTTGCAGCCAGGCCTCTGACACTTGTTGGTAAAGATCTAGGCAGATGGACACAGTTGTGATTCAAGACAGTTGGGGGGGGGAGGAAGGCACCCAGTACACAGCTGCTTTGTAAATGCATACAAGAGACCTTTGCTCATTGCGAAGTGACCTCTCTGGGGCACAAGCCTGGGCAGTGTGCATGGAGGTCCTGGACTGCCCAAATGACAAGGAAATGCCGAACTGCAAGCCTCTAACCAATGAGAAATTACATCCGAATTACGGTAATCTCCAAGAATGGGCCTCCAGATGCTGCTGGACTACAACTCCCATCATTCCTGACCATGGGCCATGTTGGCTGGGGTTGATGGGAGTTGCAGTCCAACAATATTTGGAGGGCCAAACATTTCCCCCACCCGTTTTGAAGCTTGCTCTTCTAACTTGGCTGGCCCCAATTTGGCTCGTAGCCAGTCTGAACTCTGCAGCCAGACTAAACTCACTAGTGCTACTCAATTTGGATGCACAGCTCGTCCGTTATCCCAGCCCTTCAGATACGCTCCAGAGAAAGACCCACAGAAATCCCAAGCTGTGGGTTGCTCACAGTTCTGCCATTGAAAGGACCCCATACCATCTGGACCTCACTGCATAGGAACATAGCAAGCTGTGTTATATCACAAAGATTGGTCCATCTAGCTGATTGACTGGCAAAGACTCTGCAGGGTTTGGGACAGGGGTCTCTCCCAGCCTGACCTGGAAATTACAGGTACTTTTTTGTAAGAAAACACACTTTCTATCGCTGAATAATGGCCCCAAACCTGCTTGTGGAACCCAGGGTCCGCTGGGACACACAATCCAAACTTCAGGGCATATCAGATTTTGTGTGTGTGTATGTTTTAATATTATTTTATAAGGAAATTATATTTCTATATGCATAAAATATTTCTATATGCATAGAATATTTCTATATGCATAGAAAAACACAAAATTAAGGTTGCATCCAACTGTTGTATGTCTACCTATCTGATTCTGATGGACTTAAAGCAACGTGTCCCACAAGAGGCAGCAGAGAGGACGGATGAAGCCTCTTACCTTGCGCTTGCGCTGAGCTGGGTCCGATTTGCAGTCCTGGTCAATGTGTGCTCCCACCACAATGTCAGGCATCTCTCCCCGCTTGACAGGGATCGGGATGCTGCAGAGTGGGCACACGGGGACCTGCACATCCTGGGGACAGAACAGACAGAGAACAGGTTACACAATGACCCCTGGCCAACTCAACATGAGAGCATACTAGATGCTGCAGGGTCTCCTCATCTCCTAAGGTGTGCTCCTGTTCATGGTTCCAGAGGGCCATGCCTTCCAAGGAGAGTATTCTGTTCTCCATCCGCCCCCCACCAAATCTCCATGTTTATTTTCTAACTGACATTCAAAATTCTGTATCTACTGAGCAGGTGCAGTTTTCACTGGCTGTTTGGGGAGATTCTTTTGCCCATTGGGAGATAGATAGATAGATAGATAGAGCTAAGGTAAAAGTAAAGGATCCATTGATGGTTAAGTTCAATCAAAAGTGGCTCTGGGGTACAGCACTCATCTCGCTTCAGCCTGAGGGAGCCAGTGTTTGTCCACCGACAGCTTTCCAGATCATGGGGACAGCATGACTATACTGCTTCTGGTGCAACGGGACACCATGACAGAAGCCAGAGCACATGGAAATGCTGTTTACCTTCCTGCTGTTTACCTTATCTACTTGCACTGGCATGCTGTTGAACTGCTAGGTTGGGAGAGGCTGGGAAAGAGCAATGAGAGATCACCCTGTCGTGGGGATTTGAACCACCAACCTTCTGATTGGCAAGCCCAAGAGGCTCAGTGGTTTAGACCACAGCGCCACCCACATCATACGCATACACTTATGAAATCTTCCGAGTTCCCCAAATAATCTATTTTGTCCATCAGTGGCCCTGTTTTGGCTCCATTTCTGTCAGCACTCACCACCTAAGTTCACTATTAAAGAGAGTGAACATTGTCCCATTAAAGTGTAACATCCCATTACAGCCACTAGGAACCACTTGGTTGGCACTGACCCATGACAGGGCCTGCTCAGTGGTAGGTCTCCACTTGTGGAATGCCCTCCCTGGTGAGGTGTATTTGTTTCTATCATTACTAACCTTCAAAAGGAATTTTTAAATTGTCCTGTTCACTCAGCTATCTGATCCTGAAAGCTACTATTCCTGGCAACCCTGAAATTATTGGCTGGGAGAATGTTGATGGTTTCTAAACAGCTTTCATAATGTTTCTAATTATAATCATTTAATGATGTGTTTGCTGCACAGGGAGCCTTTGAACGAATAACTGAAGTAACAACAACAACAAACCAACAGTCAGTCCCATAAGAAGCACTTCCAGAAAATGCTCAGATTTTGAAAAGAAACAGCTTCACAGCAGGACAAATTTCACCCTTTGGCGTAGACAAGGTCAGTGTGTTTCATGAACGTGGAGAGGGCATCTACACCTGATGTGTCAGAGTGCCGCAAGCGACCAGACTGTCCCCTCTGAGTTTCACTTACCTTCTTGTAAGCCGACGTGCAGTTGTGATGAGCGTAGGCAACGTGGTCAGTGCAAAACAGCTGTTCACAAGCATCACATTTCAGGGGGAGGAAATCTGAGGGGCAGGAAAGGACAATACAGTGAAGAGTTGCAGCTGTCTTCTCTGCAGCCCTACACGGGACTTGCTAGGTATCCTTTGTTTTAAGGGTACGTGCCAAGAACACACTGGATATGCAACCTCCCAAGAGCATACGGGAGAGGGAAGAAAAGATCTGAGCACAATGACGATGCCATAGTAACTGATGACTAACACAGACTCAAACAGGTATGCAACTAGGAAAATAAGATCCAGGCTACCCCCTTCAGCAGCCCCTGACTGCTGGGCTCAAGTAACAAGCTAATATCCAATTCTCCCCAGGACTCTTCAGATAAAGAGAACTAGGAAAAAGCTTCTACAAATAGGACAGGAAGAAAGTGCATTTATTTTTGTCTTATCGAGAAACTGAGCCAGAGCCAGATTGCATGGCAGGTGGCTGAGTTGGTAGAGAAAAACCTGGCGTGCAATAAAAGATTGTGGACAACTAAGCAAAATGTTCTCAAACATTCACACACACACACACACACACACACACACACCAAGTTCTACACAGTAGGAGGGCTTCTACTTCAACAAACACTGGGGTGTGTGAACCCCATGTCTAATCTTAATTGGCACAAACACAGTGGGACCTGTTTCAAAGCCCATCTGCATAAGAGGGCAGTTTACATTTCATGCTAGGTAGCACCCCCAGAAGGATCCCAATCCCTGACCATAGCAGTTTCTTGCATCAGCATGATAGACTACAATCCCTTCTGTCTGAAGCATGCAAACACAACTAGTATTTTCTAGCTAAAAAGCACCAGTGTTAATGTTATTACAGTGGGACCTCGGGTTAAGAACTTAATTCATTCTGGAGGTCTGTTCTTAACCTGAAACTGTTCTTAACCTAAAGCACCACTTTAGCTAATGGGGCCTCCTGCTGCTGCTGTGCCGCCGCTGCACGATTTCTGTTCTCATCCTGAAGCAAAGTTCTTAACCTGAAGCACTATTTCTGGGTTAGCTAGACAGATTGGTCTTCTTGTATGAGAGAGCGTGGCTGGGTAAGGTAGAAGTGAGGAAACCTGCAACTCTCCAGATGTTGTTTGTCTCCAACTACCATCCCATCCCCAATCAGTGTAGCCAATGGTTAGCGGTGGTATAAGTAGCGACATATGAAGGACCATAAATTTTCCATTCTTGGCATAAGGGATGTGTGTTCATATGAGACAGGTAGCAAAGGAAGCTGCCTTTATACTGAGTCAACCTAGCTCACTGAAGGGCAGCGACTCTCCTAAGAGTTCAGTTAGAAGTAATCTTTCGCAGCCATATCAGAAGATGCCAGGAATCAAACCTGGAACTTTCTGGATATTTATTTAAATAATTTATACAGTGCTTAATCATTAGCATTACTAATAAACCATACAAAGAACAAAACAATAAAAATGGATAATAAAACTTAACATAAACCCAAACACTACCTTAAAGGATCTGATGGGATGAGAAAGTTGCAAACATATGTTTGTAACAGGAGCAGGAAACCAGATTTTAAGAATTTGTATTAAAGTAATTTGGTTCGATTTGTAATAATTTGGAAAAATAATATTTTTAAAAAAGCAAGTTTGTCATATGCCTGAAGTTCAGCAAGAAGAGTGTCTATCAAATCTCAGTTGGGAGGGAGTTCCATAAGCTTGGATTCACTACGCACAGCTTCTAGTAGTTACGAAACATGCATCTGAACCATGGAAGACATCCAACAGAGACTCCCTGAAAGATTTCAGTGATCAGACAGGGATGTAGGGGACCAGCTAATCCTTAAGATATTCTAGACCCAAGTAGCTAAGGGTCTTGCAAATTAATACAAGAACTGTGCACCTGACCCAGTAACATGTAGCCAGCTAGTACACATTTTTTAAGCACCAGGGTTATGTTCCTGCCTCCATCAACAGCCCACCCCTAGCAGTTTGCAGCAGCTGGAGCTTCTGAACCAAGCACAAGGGTAGCCCCACAGGCTGCAATCAAGAATTGAGGTTACCAGTGCATGAATTAGCACAGCCAGGCTATCCCTATCCAAGAATGGCTATTGTTGATGCACCTGCCATAGCTGGTAAAATGTACTCCTAGCCACTGAGGCAATCTGAAACTCAAGTGACAAAGATGGATCCAGGAGCACCCACAAACCTGTTGTTTCAGAGGGAGAGTAACTGGCAAATGGCTCATCTCTCAAACACAGGAACCATCTATCCACAGTACCTCCATCTTCTCAGGGTTTAAGCTCAGTTTATTTGCCTTCATCCATTCCACAACTGCATCCAGACAATGTTCCAGACCAAACACAGCCTTTTGTGACTCAGATGTTACGGAGAAACAGAACTGCTCCAAACAGCTGCAGAATCAGGCCCTGTGGCACAGCATAACAAAAGGACCATGGGACAAAGATGCAATCTCTCAGTGCTATTCACTGGACATAGCCCTGTACGCAGGAATGGAGCCAAAGTAAAAAGTGCCCCCAACACTCATCCCACCATGCTGTTCCCAGAGGACACTGATCAATGGCTTCAAAAGCCACAGGCTGGGAGGCAGAAGCACAGGCGCATTCCACTTGTCCTGCTCTCAATACGGATCATCTATCCAAGTAACCAAGGCTTATTCAGTCCCAAAACTGTGCCTGATTCCAACCTGAGATGGATCCTGATCGTCTGCATTCTCTAGGAACTCCAGTTCTGCTCTGCCATCACTCTCTCTGCCACCTTGATCAATAATAAAGCAGTTGCTCTGCCACTAAGCAGTTGCCTTTCCCTTAAAGGTAGAGCTAATGAAAACAAAAACAAAGACTGTGCAGTGTGCTATGATCATTAGCACTTGCTCGATTTCATCTGGGAATGAAATTTATGCCATTACTTTAAGCACTGAAGCAACTTGGGACACCAAGATCATTTATAATTTGGAAAATACCAAGGGTGCATCTCCATAGAGATGCACCTACTCACCTGTCAGCTTTTTACCAACACTAAGACACCACCTAAATGGAGGCAAGCCCTTTTAACATGCTGTGCTCCACATGTAAAAGAATATGCTGGAGCCATCACGACATGCTATCCAAGCTGCAACATACTACCAGCATAACTTGTGCATGATGACAGAAACTATTTCAGAAATTTTCTAGCTAGTTCCTAGAAGTCATCAGTACTTACCAAAACAAGATATGAACTGTTGAGAAAACAGAAGCCCTTGAAAAAATCTGCCTGCTAACACTTTCATGAACTACAGCTCCACAACATGCTCATGGTTCATTTCAGTGGAAAATTTCTGCGTAGTGTGCTTAGCTTCAAAACACATCCCTTGGCTGAAGGGCAAATCTGACTCAAAAACAAGAACTTTGATATTCAGCTCCAGAACACACACTCGTAAGCAGACCCAGAAAATCCAGGCTCCCACACTCAGTAGTACAACCTGTTATGCAACACCACGCTGCTCTTTGTATTGGGGGGTAGAATGGAAGAATTCTGATGACTAGTCTGTATTTGTGTCACAGCTGCAAACAGAGTTTTGCTTCTCACCCTGTTTTAGTGGCTGTTGTTTACTGCCTACCTTGGCACAGTATTTCGTCCCTCCTCACCCCACCCCACCCGTTTTTACCTTTGTCCACTTAGCTCAGAACTGTTTGCACAAACTTCCAAAGATTCTCCACGATCTGACAGGAGCCTTTCCCAGCCCAGAGTCGAGGGACTGAACACGAGAACTTCTGCCAAACTATAATCCTTCCCAATCCAAGTCCCTTGACCTCAGTTTAGTTCCCCAAGGAGATAGAAACCAGGAAGGGAGTCCATGTGAGGCATGCAGCTAAAGACACATTCTCACCAAGGCGCTTGCAAGACGGTTCTGAGCAGTGGGCACCTAAATCTGGAAACTCCATGGCGCTGCAACGGGGCTGGAGTCAGCGAGGGATGAGGGGCAATAATCCTACCTGCTGGGGAAAAAACAGGGTTAGAAACTGCGGGATGGGAGCACAGGAGGGAGTTTTCACCAGAGGAGGGAGGAGATGCCGCAGCACCCACGGGGGCAGAGTGAGAAGAAAGAGGAGGAGGAGGAGCTGCAGCACCCATGGGTGCTTCAGCAGCTAACGAAGGGGCGGCGGGCATAGCACCCAAACGGTGTGGAAAGAGAAGGGAGAACAGCATTCTCGGCTAACGATAAGCCACATAGCAGGAAGGAGGAAAAATAACCCATGAAGAAAACAGGAGAAAGCAGGGAGGGGGACAGATCAGTACCAAAAACAGCAGGTAGACTCCGCCTTCTCTGCTGCAAACAAGGAAACCTCTTCCCACCCCACCCACTTCCGCTCCTAGGCTCGGTGACGTCATTTTGCAAGGCCCATATGGCCATGCTATGGACATTCAAGAAATTCAATCAGACATTCCTTGTCACTAGCCCCGCCCCCCGCCCCCGGGAAGGAGCCCCGTTTGCCTTAGCACCGTGGAATGTTGGGAAATGTAGTAGAACGCTGGACGCGCTTCCTGGAGCCGAAGCCGCCCTCTACTCGCCTAGAAGTGGAATGGCGCGGTGTATGATGGTAGCTGAAGTCACGCGTTGCGTAGTTCCCGCTTTTTCCTTATGCCGGGCGGTTCCGTCAGCGTCCCTCATACGCTTGAGTGAGGGGCGTGGGGCGGGGTGCGCTCGAAGCCGCCGCACGCGGCATTCTGGTCCCGCCTTAGCCGGAAGTGTCTCTATGGTGACGGCGGGAGGTTCGGGTTGGGCCAGAGGGGGCCAAGCCACCGCCCGCCCCGGAGCCGGTAAGTGGGGAATGGGGCCCCGTGGCCACCAGCGCCGGGTTACCGCTCGCCTGTCCCTCCCTTCCCGTCTCCCTTCACTAGGGTGTTGGACTCCGCGCCCAGGCTTCCCCATGTCCTGCCCTAGAGCGAGAGTTACGTGCCGGGCTCTTGTTCTCAGGCGCTCACACGAGGCGCGAGACGACACGCGCTCCGGCGACTGAGCTCACACGAAAGGCTCGCGCCCTCTAGCGCCTTTTCTTTTTGGCCCCAGGCAACGTCGACACGTGGGGACCGCCAGTCTTCCTCCCCACATCCCCGATGGCGGGTTGGGGAAAGTTATATTTCTTTCTTACTACTTATAGGTTTAAGGAATGGGGGTTTGAGAGGAATTCATGGGGGCAGATTTGGGCGCAGCCCTTCATCAGGCTCAAGACAGAAAAAACGTGGCCATGTGAACGCCTGGCCTTGGGGGGTTTTTCGTGGCGAAGCGTTCAATGACTGGTCTTTCGTTCTTGTGCAGGTTTTATCTCGAAACATCAGACCCGTGTTTGGAGTTCACAGCCCAATGATAGACTCGTTCTGCTGGTGAACTAGTTCTATTCGTGGGTGGGCCTGTTCACATGTTACATGTTGGCAAGCATTTTACCAGTGTCTCCATCTTGTCAGTTTTTTGACTGCTAGTTTGATATAATCAATTGTTTATTTTTATGCTACCGCTTGTCTGCTAATAAAGCGGTATTCTCTCAAAGCACGACCGGTTTTGTCATAGTCATCCCTTGGTCTGTTAGGTCATTACATCACACACACACACCCTTTAGACAATTGCTAATGGTGTGACCTTGATTCCATTTGCTTATGCTAGCTGCAACATTTAGGGTTTTGAAACAGATGTAGTTCAGTATATTAGTGGCCCAATCTCAGAGTTTGAAAAGGAGGTGATTCCTGACATGTGCTGCACTCTCTTTCCTGAATTATGTCATCTGTGCAAAACAGCTGAAATAATATGCACCTTTGCTTCCTAGTCAGGTAACTCTTAACAGTTGTGGGTAGTACAACTTGAAGACATTCCATTTTATTGTATTGAATGACATATTGCTTTATTTTGTCATATATTCCTAGTGCGTCATTTAGTAAAATGTAATTCTAAAAACCAAGGTTCCCTTCCTCTGCATTTTCTGCTGTCTTGGACTGTCCCAGTCATTGTCTGTGATGTGTTCAGGATTCAGTTTTTTGCAAGTCAACAGTTACACAGCTCTGCTCTGATTGCTGTTTTTGTACAAGGATTTTTCCAGGTGGGTTGTGTGAAAGTCATTTTCCAAAGCTATAACAATGCTTCTCCATTTCATCCAGCATGTTTGTTTCTTACACATTTTATTTCAGTTTTAAGTACTAAACCTTATTTTTTTCTGTACAGTAGTCAGTGCCGACTTCCAAAACCTGTGGGGACTTCCAAAACCTATGGTGCCCCTCTATGAACAGAAGTGAGTCTTTCCATTATTTTTTTTTTTTTTAAAGCAATTTATTGGGTTTTACAATAAGAAATAAACATATTAAACAATATAACCTTTGTCTTGACATAATTTCACATTTTCTTTGGACTTCCTCACATCTCCCGCTCCCACTTTCATCGTTATAACATTTTGTCAGCAATTTATCATCTTATTTAAATTCTTATATCGCTTCTATATTTCATAATCTTATAATTTTCAAAGGGAGTTAGATTTTCACAGTCTTACTTATTTTCATAGAAAACTTCTAAATTTAGTGGTGCTCAGTTATTTTGGTCTAGCATCTTATTTAGCATTCACTCAAATTGCAATATTTTTGTAAATAGTTCTTGAATTTCTTCCAATCCTCCTCAATCCTTTCTTCTCCCAGGTCACGGATTCTGCCGGTCATTTCAGCCAGTTCCATGTAGTCTATCAGTTGCATCTGCCATTCTTCCAGTGTGGGTAGATCTTGAGTTTTCCAATGTTTTGCAAGAAGTATCCTTGCTGCTGTTGTTGCATACATAAAATGTCTGATCCTTCCTTGCCACCCCTTGGCCGACAATACCCAAAAGGAAAGCCTCTGGTTTCTTAGTGAAGGTATATTTAAATACCTTTTTCAATTCGTTATAAATCATCTCCCAGAACGCCTTCACTTTAGGGCAAGTCCACCAGAGGTGGAAGAACGTTCCCTCAGACTCTTTACATTTCCAACACTTATTATCAGACAGGTGGTAAATTTTTGCAAGTTTGACTGGGGTCATATACCATCTATAAATCATTTTCATTACATTTTCTTTCAGGGCGTTACATGCAGTAAACTTCAATCCATTACTCCACAACCTTTCCCAGTCCTCAAACATAATATTATACCCAATATCCTGTGCCCACCTTATCATAGCCGATTTAACCGTTTCATCTTGTGTATTCCATTCCAGCAGCAAGTTATACATCCTTGAAAGTACCTTAATCTTTGGTTCTAACAATTCTGTTTCTAGTTTCGATTTCTCCACCTGGAACCCTAATTTCTTATCGTTTTTAAAAACTTCTTTAATCTGAGCGTAATGTAACCAATCTCGCACTTTATCTTTCATTTTCTCCAAACTCTGCAATTTCCAATTGTCTCCATCCTTTTCTAATATTTCCCAATATTTTGGCCATTTAGCCTCCATATTGGGTCTTTTTTCGGGCCTTAGCTTCCAAAGGTGAAAGCCACCTTGGTGTTTTGTTTTCCAGCAAGTCTTTATATTTTGTCCAGACATTAAACAGTGATTTTCTGACAATATGGTTCTTAAAGGCCTTATTTGCTTTAACTTTGTCATACCATAAATATGCATGCCATCCAAAAACATTGTTAAACCCTTCCAAATCTAACACATCAGTGTCTTCAAGAAGTAGCCAGTCTTTTAGCCAGCAGAACGCTGCGGCTTCATAATACAACTTTAAGTCTGGCAGGGCAAAGCCCCCTCTTTGTTTTGCATCAGTTAATATCTTAAACTTAATTCAGAAGTGAGTCTTTCCATTATCAGAAGGATATGTGAGTCAGCAGAGGCCTCTGCTAATGGAAGATAGAGACTATTTTCATTGATTTCCCCTAGTAGCCCCCACATCACCTTCTGTGCTGTTCCACCTTTCCATTAGCAGAGGCTGGATCAAAAACTCTTTCACAAATGGAAAGGCACTACTGTTGAATACAAGCCATGGTATTTTAATCACCTTTTCTTTTAGCATGAATAACAGAATCGTAGAATTGTAGAGTTGGAAGGAAGCTTGAGGGGTCATGCCTGCAATGCAGGAATCTCAGCTAAAGCATCCATGACAGATGGCCACCCAACCTTTGCTTAAAAACCTCCAAGGAAGGAGAGTCCACCACCTTCCGAGGGAAACCATTCCACTGTTAAACAGCTTGCTGGATCAAGCCAACATGGTCCATCTAGTTCAGCATCCTCTTTCCCACAGAGTCTAACCATTTACCTCTGAGAAATCCGGCAGCATGACATGAAGGCAAAAGCCCTCTTTTATTGTTCCCAGCATTCGGTATTCAGTATTCATGAGTTTAGCAATGCTTCTGGTTAAGAAAATATGTGTGCCTATTTCTGGTTCATTGATTGGTCTGCCTGACTTGTCTGCTTTGGGATTTAGTTTGCATACTTCTCTTGTGCAATAAGTGTAGTGCTACCACTGTTACTATTTTTTAACATTTAGCATTTACATTACACCAGCAGTGTACTTAGTGCTAAGCAGAATAGGCAAAGGATAGTCCCTGTTCAAGATTTTACAGTCTACATTCCATGAAGGACACTTGGGTAGGGACATGTACAAATAGTAAAGATGACCAAGAGGAGACTAGGAGATACTTGTTGAAATACTTTATTGCAGAGGTGGATCCTGAGGAAAGACTCAAGAAGGGGGAAGTGTCTTGACACACTGAAAGGTGGAAGTTGCGTTTGGGTGTTACGAATTTCATGGCTAGAAGAAAGAGCATGAGTTAGAGTACTCTAAGGTAAAGAGAGGGGCTAAGGCAACTTCTGTGATGAAATAACCAAGTGGCCTTAGGCAAGCTGTGATTTCTTGGTCTCCCCATATCTGCAATATTGGGAAAATAATACTGTCCTATTTTACAAGATGACTGTGAGACATTTCATTAAGATAAGGTATGCAAAGTGTTTCAAAGCAACATAAGAACTTAACTACAAGTGAATTCATGATCTGCTTTAGAGACTTCAGTACCCTTCTCCCAGGGGTTTGGCCAAGAAACCTTAATGGTGTTTTAAGTAGCATTTGACAGGGTAAATAGTTGGAAGTATGCACTACTAGTGTGGGGCTGATGCTGGAAAAGACAAGCAACTCAGGAGAGAGTTACAGGGGCGATATGATCATAGGGAGGTGAAATGGGAAAGGTGGCAAGGCAACTCAGGACCAGATAGCTACTTGTTCTTAATGACATACAGATATAGGTTTGTATTTGGTATAAAAATGCCCAGACAGGTGAGTGTTCTTTTACTATCAGCTGGGGTGATGGAAAATGCAATCCATCTTCAAAATTCATTTGTCTGTTACCCAGTACCCTGCATTGTACAGTTACGTTGTGCACTCATATTAAATTATAGATGACTAGGCAAGTTGGGACATGTTAATAATTTCAGATATATACTTTTCAATATTACTGTGAAGCAGCTTTCCATATATTTTATTAGCTTGTTGTTGGAAGCCATTGCAACAAATGGAAATCCCTGGTTTTCTTGCTATGTTTTAGGAAAACTCGCTCATATTCACTGCTTCTGCATCTAGCGTTTCCACCTTAACAGTTTCTCCCATCTTCCTAGTAGTAGCATAACCCGCTCATAAATGACATTCTCAAATATATTTCCTCCTGCTCTCCTCCATTTCATTGGTCAGGACTCAAACAAGCAATTCCAAGCAAAATCCCATTACAGGCTTTTAATGTTCTGGTGGCCTGATGGTGAGCTTTTGCCATTGCTTTTAAACTAAAGTGAAAAGCACACCACTCCTATAAATCTTTAGTACAGTCATAACAGAAGAGGGAACCTTTGGAGTAGCATTTGTATTGGTAGTTCATTGGATGGAGGCAATAGAAGGAATTAATGCACCCTTATGTTGTTTTTGAACACCGGGGGCGCGGAGGGGGGAAGATGCTGGTAGCTCTATTACTAGTCATATTTAGATTTTGAAGAGCCAGCAGCTGCTAATTGTGCAACTCTTCTTAGAAGAGCTTTCGGACCAGTAGGCAGTTCTGAGAACTACTATGGTGAGAGTACTCCTTGGAGAGCTCTTTGCTGTGAATAATAAATGGGAATTGAAGTTTTATTTCTCTTGTAAATCAAGCTGGGCTTGATTTGCTTGATTCGAGTACCTCTATTATGATCAAGGGAGTGGTGTGCCACCCATGTGCGAGACTGGGGCAAGAACTGTGCTTTCAAGAAAAGAAGAAAGGTGGTTCTGTGCCAAATTCAGCAGCTGTTGTTCAAATCCTGTTTGTAAGTAACAAGTGAAACTTTCCGGGGTTGCCATGGTATGCATGGCATACAATTTCACATAATCGTAGCTGTAGCTGTTGTTTGGCAGTGGGCCATATTTGCATCAGTGCTATAGCTAATCTCTTTTAAAAGCCAAGTTATGAGATGTGTGGAAGAAAGTGTTGTTGAGAGCATCCTGGTATATTGCTCTGGACCCATAATAATACTGAAGACAGGGAGATGCTCAGATATCTTGATAGGATTCTATGCTTTTGATGTGCCAAAATTATTTAGGCAGAATGCGAACTGATTAGGTGATGAGAGAGGGAGGAGGAGGTGTTATGGCATTTGATTCAAAGTTTGAAACAACACACTTACCTAGGAGCAAGCCCTGTTGAACATGTATAGTATGTATAAAATCGTGTTCTGTGTATTTTTTTAGGGTGTGCTTTTTTGTCCTGATGCCCTTTTTCAAGGTGGTTAAATTATTTAGTTAGTTAGTTAATATCCCACTCTTCTTCCCAAAGGAGCATAGGATGGCAAACAACAAGTGATAAAACAATAAAATTAATTCCAATATGGATTCGGACAGCGAAATATCTCAATTCAAAAGGCTGGTTGAAAGAGGAAGGTCTTGAGTGGGCATCCAAAACACAACAGAGACAGCTCCTGTCTGATATTCAAGGGGAGGGAATTCCTAAGGGTAAGTGTCACTGCACTAAAGACCACCTGATAAGATGGTATTTGTAGGAGGCCCTCCCTGGCAGAGTACAGTGATCATTTGGGTACATAAGAAAGGTAAGACGATATTTCAGATATCCTGCTCTTAAGACAGTTGCTTGCCTTTTAATGTCGCATCAAAAATTATCACTTGAAGTGGACCATTTCCCTTCATCTTAGGGCCTGTCCTTCATGGATCTATTTTGATTGAATTTTTAACTAGGTTGGATGAGCCTCCTATGGAAGATCTATATAGGAATGGTTCTGGAGAGGGGATAGATGGGCCCTGAATAATTTTCTGTGTTTGAAATTGTATAATCTCATTTCTCTGCTTTTTCTGTTTTTGGTCTCTCAAAATACCTAGAGGATCAGCCTTCAGAATTTGCCTGAGGAACAGTATCTGGTGGATATCAAGCAACACGTTTACAAAATGAAATTCTATCTTGCCAAGTGCTAGTAACTCAGTGTAGTCTTTGTTTTTCCCCTAATCTGTGTGTAGGGTTTAGATGTCACTACAGATTGGAGATTGTTGTTGGGTGTCGACTTTGTAATCCAATACAGTACATGCAGTGTATCAAGTGCTGCCTTCTGAACTGGAACACACCATCAGAGCTGTATCAGCAATTCATGGGAGGGAGGATGGATGTGTATTGGACACAAGGTCCTTTTGCAATGAGTAACAGTATCACTTCCCACCTCTTGGTTCTCAAATACACTAACCTTTGATAAACTTTACGATTTTAGGATAGGAAGGGGGGGGGTTCTAGGATGGCCCTGCAGGGTGGTGCTTTTGATGTGACGGCTCACCTGAAAGAGGGCAGGAGTTGTGCGTCACACTTCAGCATGTAGCCTGAATGGTAGACAAAGTCCTGTTCTAGAATGTTATGGATGTTGACAGTTCTTTTGGCAGAGAGGCAGTTTGCTTTGAGATAGCATAGAAGCTTGTTGTCAGAACAAAGGTTAGTACTGTCCATTGGCTCTGTACTGGTGGTAGGAACAGAACATAATAACGGTGAAGTGAAACTTCAGGGACAGCAATATTTTTGTGAGAGAAGTCAACTGCTAAGAGCCCAAAGTATGTCCAGCCAAAAGAATGTTTTTTATTCAAGTTAGAGACAAGATGTCTGGTATAAATCCTTTTCAGGCTGTCTAGAGGACCATGCAACACCACGTCTGCATCCTAGTACACTGGAGTTCCACACTACTGCCAATTCTGTGAGCTGCTACTGGTTGTACAAGGTCAGCACTGTCCCCAAATAACCTAAAGGGCTTATCACATGAGCAGTCTACTCTAGGGTGGCATGTCTTTATAGCTGAGCAAGTTCCCTTCTGTTTGAGGGTATATTAGATCCACTTATTTTGTCATCTAATGCATAAAATACCAGCCATTTTACAAGGAAATGGGTGTGAATACACCTTTCTGGCTCAATAGGTGCTGTAGGCATTTTAGTTTCTTTCATATGTATGCTGTGACATTTTTCTTCCTCTCCCTGCCTTCAAATCCACTAGCATCTGCTTAACAAGATTGCCTGATAAGCATCCTAGCACAAAAGGTGAAAGGGGCATATTCAGCATGTTGAGGGAAGCCTCATTGCTAATCCCCTGCTAGTCAGGTTGCTGGATAAAATGGGTGAATGTTATTTTAGAGCCAGGATTGGACTGTGCTTTGCTTGTGCCTCCTGCTGCCTCTCTTGGCTCTTTGTACAAGGGACTGTTTGATTGAAACCTAGACTGAATTCTTTCGGCACTGCCTTGATGAGTCAGCAGGCATGTGCTGTGAAGAAACAGCCAGCCTCCAGTAGGAACCTAGCAATTTAAATGTCAGATTTTCTTTGGGTAGGAAAGCTGATTCCCAATATTATAATATATATACTATGTAATGAAAAGGGAAAGGGCAAAGTAATCCATTTAACCTCAGAACATAGGTTAGCAAACACCCCCAACACTAGGTCTGAATATTTTCAGGAATGCTTTCTAGCATGAAGTTTATCACTGGTTCAATACCCCTTTGGCTATCAAAATGTCACCTTGCTGCTTATCAGCACCCCATGTCATCCTCTGCAAAATGTAGCTTGATTTTGTAGACATGCCTATTTTTCAAACTATGCGTGTGCTCTTGTTCCAACTGCTTGCTCTGTATTCTGGCAAGACGGGTGGAGGACAAAATTGCTTAGAAAAATGACTGAATTATCTGCTCATTCTCCTTTTTGGGAACCAAACTCTGAACCTTGGGACTTCCATTCCCAAGCTCTTCCGCAACAGCTCCAGAAGGATTTGTTGCCTGGCTGGGTAACCAAGTGAAGAACCTATAGTGCTGGAACTAGCTATAATAAACAAAGTTCTGCTGTTATGTCTAGTTCTGTTCTTGGTTCTAGGCTTTCTGTGGTATAAGATGTAAAAGAACTGGTGGATGGAAGAATCCTGCATGAGAATAAGAAACACAAAGGTGCAAGCAGGAATACTGAGCAACTATTGCTAGCTTATTTGCATTATAAACAAGTGTTTATGTTGTTAACCTCATTCCCCTGCCATCCCCTTGCGCAGGAGAAAAAGCCCTTTTCTGGCTGTTCTTCCCTGTAGCACAAGCCTTCCTGGTGGTTTAATAATAATAATAATAATAATAATATAATATGCCGCCCATCTGACTGGGTTGCCCCAGCCACTCTGGGTGGCTTCCAGCAACACACACATAAAGTAAAACATCAAACATTAAAAATTTCCCTATACAGGGCTGCCTTCAGATGTCTTCTGAAAAATAATAATATAGGTCCTTTGTATGCTGTAATCTGGTCTTTTTCTCAGCCTTGATGGCACTGTCTTTCATTAGTCATCTTACCAACGACAACAGAGATTGACTGGAGTGCTTCCTTTGGGCCTCGTAAAGTTCACATGTGTGTTTCTTTCAGGCTGGTCATGGTGAAGATGCCGCTCTGACTCCGGTTCACCAGCTGTACTCACTGAGAGTGTGGGATGGCTCTACATGGCCTCTGTAGGGCCAGAAGCCTATAGCCTTGGCCTCAAGAGGGGAAACCAGTTCCAGGTGGGCATTGCACCAGGGCTGACGGTGCCGCCACTCACAGCAAAGCTTCACGAGAGTAAGGCCTGGTACCTTGCTAAGCAGCAGGTGAAGCCCATTTGGCAGCTGGAACAGAAACATGTGACCAATTTTCAGGACCTCCAATCGGTCCACTCAGGGATTTCTTCCCAGCGTCCCCGCCTCTTGTACCCAGAGTCATTATGTAGTGATACAGCGTTCCTGACTTCACCTCCACCTTTGCCCCACGCTCTCCCAAACTTCCTCGGAAGCACCCTGCTCTACCGACGTTCTTACTTCAGACACAAGCCTTATCGGAGGCTTGAGTCCATCTGTTTGCAGCCAACTTCTTTGGAGAAGAAACCTCTTTGTGCTCCACTCCCTGCCTATCGCTCCGTTCTCAACAACACCATGACATCCTCAGCCATAGACCCATTCTTTATGCCGAATACTGCTGCTGACTGTTCCAATCCAGTGTCAAAGGGGTTCCCCCTAAGCTCAGGGAAGCAAAACTCCAATTCATACAGGCCAGTGCTAAACAATAACTCTTTCCTTCGGCCAACTAGTGCAAAAGTGCCTTTGCAGCAGCAGTACCACCAACCGCTGCCACCAGAAAATAAGAAGCTAAAAGGCTTGTCAAGACCTATTGGCTTCTCTTGGACCCACTCTGGTGGAAATGGAGATGGCGCTCCTGCGAACCTTGAAAGAAAGCTTGGGAAAAACAGTGGCATAACTCTTGAGCAACCCAGTGCCAAATCTCCTCGCTCGGCCATTCACAATGGCGTGGTTCTCAAAGTGGAACGGCCCTCCTGGCGACTCGAAGATGGTGAGAACAGGTCTCAGAACCTGAAAGAGCAAGATGTGCGGTTGACGGAAGCTATGCGGAAGCTGACTGCAAATGGGATCCGGAAGGTTAGCACCTACAACGAATTTGGTCACCGCATTGACAGCTCTTGCCTTATGAATGCAAACTTCCACTCTAGTCTTTTCAATCGATGGAAGCCACACATAGTAGCACAGATCACCCCAAAGGACGTACCAGCTGCCACCTCCCCAAATCTGGAGCCTGGTAGCCGCCACCAGAGCCTTATGGTCACAGAAGCTGCCGATGTCTGCACTAAACGCATCGATGTTCGTTTCTTAGCCTCAAATCCTGAACCTTCCAACCACTACGCCTTGAGTCAGACTGTCAACCACACCTCTGTAAACGCTGGAGAACAAGTGGTAAAAACAGAGCTGTCCCCACGGACTACAGTCTCTGAGGTAGAGACCAAAATTTCCTCTCTTCAGTTAGGCACAGATACAAAATGGGGGAACCCTGTTACTGTGAAAGAGACCGAGTAAGTACTCTGGCAAATATGTCTGTTGGGGTGGGTTAGTGTTTCCCTTTCAGTACTCTTTGTGGCAATAATTGCCAACCTGTAGCCCTCCAAGCGTTGCTGGATTACACTTCCCATAATCCCTGAATCATTGGCCATGATGTCTGTCGGGCTGGGCGATATCAGCTTTTCAACAGTGCGGTATATCATCAGCCAAACATCGCGGTCTGGTGCTATACCACATTGTTGAAAAAACAAGCTGCATTGGCCTCGGCCAGTGAGGCACCAGGTGAAACTGCTGCATCTCTCACTGTGGGAACTGAGGCAGTTTCACCCTAGTGCCCAGCGGGCTAGGACAACACAGCTTGTTTGCATGGCTCATCTGGGGTGCGGGAAGGCTCCCAATCCAACAGTGCCCGCCCCCACTTGTGTGGGAGCCAGCACTGGGCTGGGGGATCCTTTAACTGCTCGGCTGAGCAGAGCAGCAACCACACATGCCTCAGCCGAGCAGTTCAAAGATGCAGAGGGAGGAAAAAGTTGTATCGACGCCTTGCCAATGAAGCTTGTTTCTCCCTCTACACAATATGAGGGCAGAGTGGGATGGCGGTTTCACTCAGCGGTATATCACTGGTGAAACCACTGCTCCTCCTGAGTCCCTCTGCTGGCAGTGCCTACTGGAAGGAGTCAAGAGTCTTGACTTCCTCCAGCGAGCGTTACTAGCAGAGGGACTTGGGAGCGATGGCAGTTTCACCAGCGATATTCCGCTGAGTGAAGCCGACTTTGTGGTCTGCTCCTCATACTGGCTCTGGGCGATATATTGATATGTCGCCCAGGCCTAGCTGGCTGGGGCTGATGGGTGTGGGAGTCCAACAGCATCTGGAGGTTAATCACCCTTTTCTTATGATAAGGACTGTGTTTGATATAGTAAAATACGCTAAAGAACTTAGTAGCAAAGTGTTCCTGTGATGTAAGCATATTTAAGCTTGGTCATCAATCGGTGTTTGATACGCCTTGGATGGTTTTGCAGCCTTCACTGTCTCCAAAACGTTTCTCAGATCAGATGACCATTCTGCTTTACCACTGGTAGCCCATTGTTTTGACAAGTGTGCCACAAGTCAAGTCCAAAATTTGCCACTTGAACTGTTCCTCCCTTTCTCTCCATACCACTTCTATCACTAACATGGGTTAATGTTTATACTAGTTATTTGGGATATCTTGCCTTGTCTGTGATCTCTTGGTCTGTTGTTGGGTGTAGAGATCTTTTTGCTTTGCTAACTGAGAGGAGTTACAGAGCTTCACTTTAGGGCTGTAACCCTTTGTGTTGTAGAGCTGCAGTCAACCTCCCCCTGCTGGACCAAGCGGAGGTGGAAGATGTAGAGGAAGAGCTCCCGGACGGCTTGGAAGATGCCTGCAGTCAGGATGAGGAGGGAGAAGAGGAGGATGGGGAAGGTCAGCAGTCACATTTATTTCCTCTCTTCAAAGTACAAACAAGCCTACTCACCACACATAAAACAGAGAAGGGTTTTCATACACTGATTATTCTGTTAATACAAATATACTAATTACTGTCATTTCAAAACACAGCATGAATCTAGTAAAAAGCTAAAACGATTCCTGCTATAGTTGTCCATGCTTACTATTAGGGCATGGATATATTGCAAATCACTCTATAATATCAAGAGAGAAAGAACTGTATTTCAACAAATAAAATTGCTAGCTTGAATACTATAATTTGCCTTGTGGGCACCTTCAGCCTATGCACTTTCTACACTTGTAAAACTTGTTTTGAGTGATATTTAGTTAACTGCTATTGTAGGCAGAGCAGCAGTGTGATCTCCATTTACATTTTACTGGTGTATTCTATTAAGCATTCAGTTAATTATTTTCTGGTTACCCAGAGACAAACTTTTTAAATCTACTGTCTTGAAACAGTTCAGAGTGAGATAATTTTACCATTGAATGTACAAGGCCTGACAATATTTCTAGATCATAAACAGCAGTAATAGCATTCAGTACTGAGGCACTAATTCACTGCTGCTGGAAGGGCTTCTGTATCCTATGCAACCCAGCCAGAAGGGTGGGGTATAAATAAAATAATAAGTTGTTGTTACAACTACTACTACTACTCAGTCTGAGTAGGGAGAGCCCAACCTCCCGATATGTGTGATGCTTACAACTGTGCCCCAGTTTAGCTGTTCCACCAACAAATCTGTCATGGTGGTGGCATATCTTGAATTCTGCAGGCATGATACAGCTTTTGTCAAATCCCATTGCCCCTCAGCTAGCAGATCTTAACTACAGGACTTCATCTTCAATATTCCTGCTAGGAATGTTCTGATCAAACCCAGTAAATACTTGTGTGTGGATTTATTATAATTGTTGCTGTCTTGCTATGGTTTGGGACAATGCAACTCACCCTGAGTATTGACCCATTCTGTCCCCCACCCCTAATCTTCTTGCATGAGAGTTTGGAAGAAAGCTGCACTTAGGGTGATGACTGTAGTTCTTGCTAACATTGTGATGTAGCAGCCTGACATTTTCAGCTGTGTTTTAGTTCAACCATTTTATTGCTTTAGTATATTGCACTGTGGTTCAACACTCTGATGATATCCTTTTGTAAATAGAAGGCAAACTTTAACTTACGGGGAGTGACATAGGGAATGATATTCTATCCTCTTCTAACCTTACCATGGGGTCCTTTATTACGGTGTACAAATAAGGAAATTGATGGCTGTGTGGAAGAGCAGGCAAATAATGGATATCCTCTCATTGTCAAGATCCGGAATCTGATTTGAGGTCATTGTGCAGAAACTATGGTGCCCTTTAAATGTAGCTGCACGGGGGCACTTATCAGTAAGCGGCTCCTTTGCTGCTGGGAAAAGTCTGAAATTACGCAAACACCTCTCATGAGTAGGGGCAAGAGAGGTGGTTTGTTATTTAAACATTCTTCCAGTCACGTAACAGTTGCTTGTGGATTAAGTTCAGCTATCTGGGAGAATGTCTAAAAGAGGTTGAATTTCTTCAGGATGTTCATGGAGTGTAGCCAAGATTTTTCACTCATTAAACTATTTTTGCCTTTTTTCTTTAGGTGAATCAGATGGCTCCTCTTCATCCGGATTATCCCCCAATGGTTCTGTAGCTATTATATCCAGGTTCGTTTTAGGAATGTTCTGTCTGTAATGCATTGGATCCTTTTGTTCTTGGATAATCCCATGGGATGGCCACCTGGAGACCCTGATCTGTTTGCCTTGGTGAAATCACTTGGCTTGCACTTGCTGGCTGTGCCCATCTGCAAAGAGAAACAGAGATGCTAAGCAGTCGGGCTGAAAGGCAGCTTAGTTTTCATTCTGGGTTGGTGTTTCTCAGCCAAAGCAAACCTCACTTTCTCAGTCAATGTGTTGGTCAAAAGCCTCAGGAATTAAACTGAATGGCATATGATGGAAACGGATGTCCCAGAGAAAGTGTTGTGCTGCTCACTTCTCCAACTGTGCCTGGTATTCTTTTCCTAGGAATTGCGTGGAGGGATTGGTGCCTACACTAGAGGGCCAAGAACGAATTCTCAAGCCAGCTCTTACATGCAGCCTGTTCCCCAATGTGCCTCCCACAATATATTTTGGTACCAGGGATGAGAGAGGTAAGGTGGATCCAAATTCATTGCACGAAACAGGCAATGCCAGAAAACCCTAGTGTACTATAGTGGTGGAGTGGATTCTAGGGTGGGGAGGTGACGGTGGGATGCACGTGGTCATGTCATTTAAGTGTGTGGTGTAATGACGCCTTTCCAATGGAGTTACTAAGGTCTCCAGGTGATGTGAAGAGAAAACCTTAAATCTAGATTTATATCTGTGGAGCTGTAGGATTTCGAGATCACCAGCAAAGAGGTTCAGAACTGAAATGGCTGAAACAGCAGCTGAGATGCTGGAAGGTACAGTAATATTTGATGGGCATTCACTTTGACCCTCAATCTTAATCCCACCATAGGTGGAGCATGTATCTTTCCTGCCCTGCCCTATGATGGGGTGAGTGGACATCCAGATTCCCTTGTAGCAGAGATGGTCCCATTTGTCGTATTTTGCTCTGGCCTGGGTGCTTCCATAGTGGAGAGCAGGCATTATCACAGCACCACAACAACCGTTGGTCTTTGAAGAATTAAAGCTGGTCTTAACCTGTTGGGATGTGCACATAGACCGACTCAGCATGCTTCTTGCTATATATAGCATAATTTCTCAAACTTCTTGAGCTTAGTTTCGCTATCTGCCTTTTAAACTTCTGCCTTCCCCCTCCCCAGTTCAGAACTAGCCACCTGTCCCATTCATAGCATGGAGATCAAGGCAGCAGCTCTTCCCAGATCAGACTGGCATGATACGGCAAGTAGGGGAACAGCTGCACCCCTGTCCCCAAAATAAATTAGGATCCTCTGTTAGAGGGCATTCAACCTATCCATTTATTCACTGATGAGAGGAGGGAAGTCCCACCTGCCTCAAAATCCTGTTCCTCCCAGAAACTTTTCACATTGCTTTAGGTGTGTTGTGCTTCTCAGATTGAGAACCACTGTTCTATGGACAAGTGACAGAGCTTTTGCCAAGGGTTTTCTTTCACTTGGTGATCTGATTCTGTTGAAATTCATTGAATAAAAATCTTACCCTTCTAGCACTTCATGACAAATTGATGTCCTAGTTCTAGCTGAGAAACCTGTGGAAAATATTTCTGTCACCTATAACCAGCGGCCCCTGGCAGAATTAACAACATGCCACCAAGACCAGGCGCCCACTTCCAAATATACTCAAACTGAACTGAGTGATGGCCATCTTCAGGCCCATTTCCAAGATATAAATATAGACCTTTCCAACATAAAAATTACTTGACAATAACAAATGGGTTATTGCTGACCCTTGTGGAAAATTTTATTCCCCAACCAAAAGAGACAACAGCAACCGATGCACCCCAAGTGCATAAACCAGATGAACTTGTGCATAACCCAGATGAACTAGTGAAGATGAGACAAGCAGTAACAACCAAGAAATTGCAAAAAATAGATCAAAAGTCCGGGAAAAGAAAACTAAGAACATTAAAACAACAAGGAAAATAAAGATAAGCCGACATAAACAATGGCAGAAATTATTTAATCTACTCCCATTGGACTCAAATAAATCTGCTGCACGAGATAAAAAAGAGAATGGCAGGAAGGGGAAAAGAAGCCATCGCCAAAGCTAATGGCTAAGGTGGCATCTCTGAACCAGAATTCAGAACTAAGTGGGAGGACGGAAGCAACGTCCCAGAGTTCTGGTAACAGTTCACTCAGCGAACCAGATTCTGGGGGAGAAGTGGTCCCTAACAATGAAGGCAGCAAACCGCTTAGCAAATCGGGAAATGGGGACGATGCAATGCCCAATCGCGATGATAACACTATACAAGATGGGCAAACCTTTATTCAGGCAAGATGTTGGAACCTGATTTTAAATCCCTCAATATTAGTGTTCACAAACTTCCCAAAATCAAAGGGCTTCCTTACAGGGAAAGAACGAAGAATGAGCTCCTTGAACGTTCTGAATGATATATTGCCAGGAGCAGTAAAGCCATATGACATTATTTCTGTAGATTATTTGCATCATGATGGTTGTTCAATGAGAGCAATGATCACATTTAGAGACCAGAACCTGGCCAAGTTTATCTACAGATCAAGATATATATTCTTAAAGGCCCAGATAAAAATTCTCAGATTTTTGAAAACAAGGCACCACCGAATCCCCTTCTGGAAGCCAAGCACGCAAACCCTAGTAAGGAGAAACAACCTCCCAAAACCCGGCCTGGTCTCCAGAAACGAGAGCTTCAAAAATTAAAAAGGAAAGATGCCCACCTGCAAGACCTGCAACTTCAAGAGAATGAAGATGAGGATCTTTTTTCCGCGGAAGAAAATACCTTAATTAGGCAATTTCGCCATTTTCCATCTCCAATACAAGCTGAAATATTAGAAAGATTGGATATGCTAAGAATTAAGCTGGCTGGGAGAGATACAAACAAGGAAATCAATATGGACGCCCTTAAAAGGACCAGACTTCCTATAATTTGAACCCTACACAAGAACCAAACCCAGCGGCCTGTCGGCCATGTTACCTTCAGACAATGGCTGAGATTAATTTACTCCCAATTAAGGAAGCCCAGCACACTGAAGAGAACACTACACCACCTCCAATAAAGAGAACCATCCCGAAGGTGAATTCACCAGGCTCTTGGGACAAGCTGAGGTATCTAGATGAGGCGGAATTAGGCCACAATCAGGTTCCGGAAAAACACCTACGGAAAGAGATAACACACTTCAAAGGCCCGGTGACCACTAATGTCAGTATTCAACAGTTAACAGCCGAAACTATAGAACATTTGGCTAGTTTGCCATGTATGGAGAGCAATGGGCCGGCTCATAAAAAGTAATCCCTAAAAGCACCTTGGGAAATAATTGACAAAGATTAGACCAGAGACAAACACCAGCCGGCTCCCTATCTCCGCGGAAATCCGATATCATTAGATACGAACAGACTCAACCCTCACTCACAAATCAAGCAAAAGCAGTTGTTTCCTTGAAAGACGCACCCAACCTACCCCAGAGCCTTAAAATTGTCTCCTGGAATGTTAACGGCTGGGCGACAAAGCAAATGGATCCTGAAGCAATGAATCTCATCTCTTCTTTCGACATTGTATGCCTCCAAGAGACCTGGTCCCAACAAAGTATTGTTCTCCCAAATTATTGCTCCTTTAGCTCCTGTGCTCGTAAACTAACCAACAGGGGTCGCCCCCAAGTTGGCCTCGCCTGTCTTATTTCAACCAGCTTACCCCTCACTATTTGCGAGGAAATTAAATCTTCCCCTTACTTTCTCACCATAAAGATTCATCTCCCAAAGACCAAAAGCCCATGGTTGATAACTACAGTATATCTGCCCCCAGCAATTAATGATTTCGACCGCAATGAAAGGTGGTCTGAACTTTCGTCTTGGCTCCATGATCTCCAAACAACTAACCCAGGACTCCCTCAAATCCTCTTAGGCGACTTTAATGCAAGAATAGGTCCCAACGACGATGATATAATATCTCCCGCAGCACTCCTGGACAATCCCCTGCAGCCCCCCTGGGGAAACAGATGCTCTCTTGATCCTATAACAAATGCGTCGGGAGGCTGATGGCCCAACTGGCCATGGAAAACGATCTCTGCATCGCAAATGGTAACATTACTCCCTTGTCCTCGCAGCAATTAACGTGCATCACTTCCCGGGAACCAGTGTTGTCGACTACATTTTATTGACGCCGGAGCTATTCTCAATTTCTACAAAAATGGAAGTGGCTGAATATTTTGGTGGTGACCACCTTCCATTGACTCTAATGTTAAACCTAATAGAGCCACTCCCAGTCTCCTCAAACTATAGAACCATGGTACAAAGCCACCCTGTATACAAAACAAAGAAATGGACAAGCCTCAGCTCCTCTCTTGCCCTGGACATACAAAAATCATTTGATATGTCTGCAGTTCCCTCTGATCCAATCCTGCCCGCTGACCAATACCGGAAATTACTTGATGCTTTCTCAACAACTTACATAACCACCACCTCGCCTACTTACCAACGCCTCTTCTCTGAATCGCCCTGGTTTGACAAGGAATGTAAAGCCCTAAGAAGGCGAATTAGGAAAATGGTCAGAATCATCAAATCTTCCAACGACCCCCAAACCCGTGCAAAGCTCATAGATATTAAAAGGACATATAGAAACATGATTCATTGCAAGAAACAGCAGTACATCTTTGAGGCTTGGTCCACTCTTCGTTCGGCTGTAGAGAGGCATGACTCCCGCTCCTTCTGGCGCCTAGTTAGACCTTCGGCACCATTCAATCCAGCTACCCAGATTTCCGCGGATGAATGGATTGCTTATTATTCAACTAGTTTCGCTTCTCCAAACCATCTTACAGATCTCCTTCAATCCCCATTGGACCTCAGTTCCTGCTCTCTTAGTCCCACTTCTTCAATAAACTTTACTTCAACTCGCATTTTCAACATCATAATGTCAATGCAAAGGAATAAGGCCCCGGCCCAGACATGGTCCCGTTGGACCTTTTCCTGACTGATCCTCTTTGGTGGAGCGAACACCTGACTCCTGTATTCACCGCTATCTCCTCCGCCCTAGACATCCCCGACTCCTGGAGAGAAGCTATAATAGTTCCGATCTTCAAAGGCGGCCAGCCAAACATCCCTAGGAACTATCGCCCCATCAGCTTATTATCCATCCCGGGAAAATATTTGCCGCTGTTTTACTGGAGGAACTTCTCTCATGGGTCCAGGAGAGGAACATTCTACCGCTAGAACAGATTGGTTTCCGAAAGTCAGCGTCAACCATGGACCATTGTCTAACTCTCTTTCACCTTGCCAGTAAATACACTGCTCCAAGGCAAGGCCACCTATTTGCCGCTTTCATGGACCTGGAGGCCGCCTTTGATTCCATTCCTAGGCAGAGATTATGGTCCAAACTTGCCCATCTGGGAATTGATCCGCACCTTCTCTCCCTAATTATCTCCCTTTATTCAAACACCACAGCTCGCGTCCGAACTAGTCCAAACGGCTCCCCACTACTCCATTTCCAACGGCCAAGGGCGTCCGACAAGGTTGCCTCTTGGCCCCTTTACTGTTTAATCTCTATCTTCATGATGCAATTTCCACTTTGAAGCTAGCATCTAAGTATCCTCCTCACTTAGCAGGCCACCCCGTTGCTTCCCTTTTCTATGCTGATGATGCCGTCATCTTATCCAGAACAGCTGCGGATCTAGCAAATGCAGTTAATGCATTTATCGCCTATTGTAAGGCGGAAGCTCTTAATATTAATTATACAAAATCGAAAGTCCTCCACTTCACTCGGTCCCGCAAACTCAAGTTGGAGCCGCTTAAGATCACAGGTGGCTACTTAGAAAAGGTAAAAGCCTTTAAATATTTAGGATTAATATTCACCTATAATCTCTCCTGGACCACCCATCTACAATCTGCCTTTCTCGCTGCAACCACGACCTCTAACGCCATTGTCCGATTTTACCACCAGAAGGGCGGCAAACACCTTCCAGCAGCAATTCAAATATTTAATGCCAAAGTCGTCCCTAAATTATTATATGGATGTGAAGTATGGACTACAGCAATATCAGGTAACCTGGATCGTCCACTTCATATGTTTCTGAGATCTCTTTCCGGCGTCCCGAGATGTGTCTCAGGTGCAGCCCTACGACTCGAGTTCGCCCAGCCTTCAATTGCTAGACGAGCATGGAGCCGAGCCATTTCCTACACCCTCCACCTATTAGCATCGGATGCTCGAATTAGAGGTGGCTTTTCCAATCTGATCCTAAGAGATATTCATAATTCCCCTTGGAAAACTACAATTAACCTCAAATTCCGCTCTCTTCTCAATCTGAATTGTAAAACTGTTCTTAACTTAGAGTGTATCAGCCCGGTGGCCCTACCCCTAATTAAAAAGAAACTACAGCAACTTGACTTCTCCAACACAGCTTCTTGTGCAAGAGGACCGTGTTCAGGCCTAGCCCTAGCTATTCCACCCCCTGAAGGGATCCCTCTATACTGCTTCACAATTTCTTCGGAGACTAAGCGAAGGGCTTTTACCTGTGCCCGTCTCAACTGTTTTCCTACAGCAGTTCTGTCGGGTCGTTATTCCAGAGTTCCCATCGCAAACAGAACATGCTCCTGTAATGACACGGCCCTGGAGACTATGGAACATGTAATGCTCTTCTGTCCCAACTGGACAGATGAAAGATCTCGGTTTTTAACTCCCCTCGTGAATAAGTTCCATCTCCCAATCCAGCCTTGGATAGTGTCCCTCTTTTTGCAGGATTCTGATTGTTGGATTACTGAGATGACAGCTAATTTCCTGCTTAGTGTGATGAAGAGGAAAGCGGCACTAACTTCTTCCTTAACACCACAGATGCAGTCGATACGCCGCACAACCGAACGAAGTTCCAAGTAGCCTTATTGTACAAGGACAATCGAGTTAGGACTAATCTGAGGAGCTGAAGGACCCTTTAACGGTCCTCCTCCAGCCTCAGCAGCTTTTGTTTTTTTTGTTTTTTTTTTCACTTTCTTTAAGTATTCGCCCAGGACGATGTCTACCTCTACCTCCCCACCCCCATTTTATGTTGTTATTTCAATGTATATCATGCTATGGCCACTCGGCTAATGCAATAAATAAAATTGATTGACTTAAGGATGTCCTCAGCCAAAGGAGATGCTCCTGTGGTTGGGTTTTCCTTCTAACCTTAGGCTTTCTTTCTTTCCTAGTGGAGAAGCTCCCTTGGGAACAGAGGAAGATGCTACGATGGAAGATGAGCACAGTGACTCCCAACATTGTAAAGGCAACGATCTCCAGGTCCCACTTCAAAATCAGCAAGAGTGAGTTGTATTGTGGGAATGGTCTGTGGGTTCATGTTGCCTCCTGCCTTAAATACACCCAGACTCACAGCTTTATCTTGGAATATTGCTAATGTTTGGAAATGAACTGTCCCACTTTCAGACACAGATCTTCAGTAGCAGAGCAACAAACCTCCCATAGAATTGATTACTCTAATGCACCTCCCTTGCATGGAGAACTCTGAAAGATGCTGCAAATGATGAAGCTGCAGATCTAATTGTGGCTCTTTCGCTGCTTCCCTCTTAAGTCTTGGGCAAGCTTCATGGCACTTCTGCCTGTGTGTTTGCCCTTGGGCAGCTCTTGTCAAGATGGATACTGACCACAAAGTGCTAATGTTTACTGCAGAACAGCAAGAGCTGCAGCATGGTCTGTACTTACAAACTGGGGAAGAATGTTCAAGACATGGAATAAAACTCCATGTCCTAGCAATTCTTGTAGAGTTTGCTTATACATCTGATGATCTGTGTCTGGTAATGCAGAGCTGTAGCTGCTCTTTCCAGTAGGCTGTTTGATAAATGCAGCAATCCTTCACCCCCTACCCTTCCAATAAGAGGAGACTTGGATAGATAGGGATTGTGGAGGCTTTAATTTGACATCTCCTGCCTGCTCACCTGTAATTGAATAGGCTTTGATGTCGCAGTATACCCTGTGATGCTGATGCTACAATCTTTTTAGAGTTGTGTACAGTTCTCAATAGGGTTTATTGTGGCTGCTCGTATGAGGCCACTCTTGGTTCATGTGGAAGGGGAAACATGGATAAGGCAGGAAAATTATTTCCAATTCATATTTTCCAAACTGAAATTCTTATATGCCTGAGACTGTTGCAGTTCTTGAGCATAAACAGAATATATATATATATATATATATATATATATATATATATATATATCTCAATGTGACGTTCAGAGAATAGTCTGTGAACTGCCCTATTGCCCACAGGAAACAATGACTGGCTGGGCTGCTGGGGCCATCACATGAAATCTCCGGGGTTCAGAGTTATCAGAGAACACCAAAAGGTATGAGATATGGTCATGACTACAAAAGGACATATTAAAGAATATAATACAGTGTGGGGAAAGGGCATGAGATGCATTTCACTCTGGCCTTTTCTGCCATTTTCTCCATCTGAGCGCTGCATGTAGCTGATACTTTCCTGTTTTCTGCTGCAATGTTCTCTTTCCCTTAGTCCCTTCATGTTCTCTTGGTGGCTGTGCCTCTGAAGGAGGCAGCCTAGGTTTGCAAGACACTATATGGTAGAAACTTCAATGCTGGCATGCTTCCTTCATGGGAACTACCTGTTGGGAGTACCAGCCCAGGGGCTTTTGGGGTGGGGGGGTTGTATGGACAATCTAGGTTCTTGCAGCTATCCCTGAATTTGGAGAAGGTACCCCCTTGTTGAACCTTTATCTTACATTTTTACCAGCTAGAATACAGCAGGAAACCTCATTACTCCTTTCTTGTCTCTTACTTTCCCTCCTGCAGTTGAATCATTTTCCTGGTTCATTCCAAATTGGTCGGAAGGACCGTCTGTGGAGAAATGTGTCCAAAATGCAGTTGCGCTTTGGGAAGAAGGAGTTCAACTTTCTGCCCCAGTCCTTCATCCTTCCTCAGGATATCAAGCTGCTCAGAAAGGCTTGGGAAGATTGCGGGAGCCGACAGAAATGGATTGTGAAGCCGGTGAGGGAGGGCACAGATAAGGTTTGACCTGTATAGAGATAGGGGTGTGTCCTTTGTGTGCCTTCTGCCATGGCATAGCCATGCTTTCCCTTGCCTTGCCAGTTTCAGGTTTTCTTGGATGAATCTGATTTTTCTTGATGCATTTCATTAGGCTTTAGCACTTGTGTTGGGACGGACTGCCTTTGGGATGAGCTCTGTTCTGTTTTTGTATTGTGTGGTTTTTATTCTGCTTCAGATTTTAGGTATTCCATTTCATGGTTTTAATCTCTGTAAACCACTCAGAGAACTTAAGTAATTAGATGGTACTGAAGTGCAGTTAACAATAATTAATGGTAATGTTAACTACACCCCCAACACACACCTTCCACTATAGCAACAATGCATATTCTCTTCTTATAGATGGACAGTTTCTACTTGTGTATTCTGGTTCCCTCTTGACTATATCATAGCTTTAGCCCAATAGTCTCTTTGGCTGTCGGTCTCCCTCTTGCTGCAAGTAGGACCTGTACCAGTTTGAAAACCCACCTGTCATCATCTTCTTCATTCATTTCCTTGATATTGGGAAAGACAGGCGTAGTCCTCCCTGGTGTATTGTTTTAAAATATTCTGGGTTTTTATTCTTTGCAACCTCGTAAAGGTTGCGAATAAAAGTGCATCACATTTGCATTTCCCCATGTCATTGAATCTGAGGTGTTTGTGCATTGAATGTTTTAGGTGAAAAGAGGCACCCTTAAACATGTAAACGAGGAGAGAAGACTGGGAGACAGGCAGGGGGTGCCTCCTTCTGTTCCTAGGAGCCTCAAACATTTCCTAAAGAGAGAGAAAGGCGCCCCCCCCTTTTCATGAGGACTAAAGTATTTTCAGAACCCTAGATATTCTCAGACTCGACAGGTGCCACAGTCTGTACTGTACTGCATGACTACAGCCAGACGCGTTTTTGAAACCTCTAGGGAGTTAGCTTATCAGTCAGTGACAGCAAGGAACTCAAAGCTGCTATACACCAACTTGTGAATGTACAAAGCCTTTATTGACTTAAAAAGCCTTTGCTGACATGCTCAGTCTTTGAAAAAGCTGTCACAGTAATTGATTTTAACATACTGCTGAACTTAAAATTACATTGAGATTTTTGTGAGGCTGCTTCTTTGGAGGCTTGTCTTAAGATTGATAGTATTAAAACAAATTCCTTTCATGTACCCCACCTTCCCAGACTATAATCGGATGTTCCAGCTTTGAATTGTAGGATAGCAGCAAATGGATGCAATGTGAACATCGCTCTCTGTCTTTCACTCACTTTAGCCAGCATCAGCTAGAGGCATCGGCATTCAGGTCATCCATAAGTGGAGCCAGCTGCCCAAGCGCAGGCCACTGCTGGTGCAAAGGTAAGCAAGTCCCCCTGCCCTGCTGGTCTTTCCCCACCCTGCTAACAAAAGATTGGCTATCTTAAGGTATCAAAGAACCAACTTGTTTCTGATTATGTTTTCTGCCATTGTAAAACTTTACATTGTTCTGTGGGGTTTGTTTCTTTTGCTTCTGCTTCCAGCTAAAGAGTAGAGTAATTGTGGAATTGCTACGATTTTGACATGGGTTCAGAAATATGGCTAAAGGAGACCTTTTGCTGTGGCAAGGAGTAGCATTTGTTGAGAAAGTTGGCATTTCATCAGCAGTCTCTCAAACCCCTTAGGGACAGAAACCATCTCCATCAAGCCTCTTCACTGGTGACAATATCCTGAACTTCTTGAGACTAAATCTCTGGGCTACTCTGTGATGTGGTTCCTGTATCCTCACCTATCTTTCTGTTGCAGGTACTTACATAAACCCTACCTCATTGGTGGAAGCAAGTTTGACTTGAGGATTTATGTTTACGTCACATGCTATGATCCACTTCGGGTTTACTTGTTCAAAGATGGACTTGTTCGTTTTGCCAGCTGCAAGTAGGTTTCCTATGAATTGGTAACCTCAGAAAGAGGGTTGGGTTGACTGCTTGTCAGTAGACCAGCTGAGATTCAGGAATAGCAGATATAATATGTTTTCTGAAAACAGTAGACTAACTATTGGTTGCAGGTGTCATTTGTATTACAGCCTGTGCACATCCTTTTGGTTTAAGCAGTGACTATTGAGAACCAATTATTTGCTTGCACTGTGTAGCTGAGTCTGTGTGCTTTTAAAATAGCAAATTATTAAATGATTTATTTTATTTTATTCATTTCATAAAACTTATACACTGCTTGATTGTTAAAAAAAACCTCAAAGTGGTTTACAAAAAGATAAAACAAGAAAATCAATTTAAAAATTACAGCTGCACTTTAAAACATACAAAAGTTGAAATAATAAGACAGATTATAATTACTTCAAATTCCTAAGCATCTGGATGTTTAGTTAACTGACAAAGTTGGTGAATAACTCAAGTCAGAGCAACTCTTGATGATTAACAGTTTGAATTGTTAAACCAGTCATATCTCTGTGGAGCACACACATTCATTCTCATTGTCTCTCACACACACTAGGCTGGAGCTTAGAGGAGATACTTAAAGATTGGTGTGTGTGCCTCTGTCTTTTAGCTCCCACACTGCTAGCATTCCTCCCTCTTCTTGCCATTTCATTTTGATGAGTGATGTCTCCTTACTTAGTGTAAACTTTTGTTCTTCCTTCACCTCAGATATTCCCCCTCTGTGAAGAGCCTCAACAACAAGTACATGCACTTGACTAATTACAGTATCAACAAGAAGAATATTGAATACAAGGCTAATACAGATGAAACTGCATGTCAGGGTCACAAGTGGTGGGTACTGATGAGCAGGAAAGAGAATCTTTTTGTATATGTTATGTTCTTGACTGGCTTATGTTTTCTTACCTCTCTATCCCTGAGTAGCCCATATGTGGCCCTACTGTTCCCATAGGAAAGAGACTTTATTTTCATTTATTAAACAAAATGTATAGACCACTTAATCAAAAAAAGAAAGGTCTCATAAGTGGTTTGTATAAAATTGCATTAAAAACATAGTCGGTACTGGGTTCATGTTGCCTTTTTCCTTCAGAGATGGGGGGAGAGGAGTTAATAACACTATCTGGGGCAACCCTAATGCACTTGTATGCTCTGTTCTGTCTCCACAGGGCACTGAAGGCACTTTGGAGTTATTTGGCCCAGAAAGGAGTTGACAGTGAAGCCATCTGGGAGAAGATAAAAGACATTGTTGTCAAAACCATCATTGCGTAAGTCTCAGGATCTAGTTGTGTTCCCCCCAGCCCTTTGCTTTCAGGAGGACCTCTTTTTGATGGGTCATCTTATCCATTAGCTAGAGATGTGTACCGATGTTTGCAGATGTTTTGAGCAAGTGTGCATCTCTGCTGATTTGTACTTCTGGAATCAGATTCTCCTACTGTGTTGTTTCTCGAGGGTTGTTGATTGTTCCTTGGCCCCAAAAGTATCTTGTTTGGATCTTAATAGCCTGAAGCAAGGAAGGGTCATGTGCTGTCTTCATCAGGCTCTCATCTGAGCCATGTGGGGAAGGTATTGCTGAAGCCCTGTTTTTGTGGCATGCTTGTACCATATGCCTGGCTAGAGTGACGCATAAGAGGCATAAGATGATGCATAAGATGCTAGTTTTGCTGCTCAGGAACAACCTAGCACATGTTTCATTTTCTAGATCAGAGCCCTACATAATCAATCTCGTGAAGATGTATGTGAGACGCCCTTACTGCTGCCATGAGCTGTTCGGGTTTGATATCATGCTGGATGAGAACCTTAAGCCATGGATTCTGGAAGTCAATATTTCCCCCAGGTAAGTTGTGCATGGTGCACCTTTCAGCTTGCACTCTGACTTGGTACATTTCACTACAATTTCAAGAACACCCTTTACCTCCAGTTTGTCCCACACATGTATGCTAGGCCTATATGCACAGATGCATGCGTCTGTTTTGCCAATGCCTTACTTCATGTGCTGATGGCTTCCATCTCTTAATGTGAGGGAGGCAACATTACATTGAACTGTATCACACAGTGTGTCTCTGATTAGTAGGTATGTCTGTGTATTGTGTATGCATGTGGGTATGAGGGGGGAGGGGATACTAAAAGAGAGAGATTGTCTTGCCTTGGAGTTCCTCCTTTCTCTCTTTTGGAAATCAAACTTAACAGCTATCTGAAATGCCAGAGCTAGGGCCAAAGACATGAAGATGGGCTTGTCCAATCAAGGTTTTGTTCTCTCTGCAGCCTTCATTCAAACTCTCCTCTGGATGTGAGCATCAAGGGTCAAATGGTCAGAGATGCCCTTAATTTGGCTGGTTTTCTGTTGCCAAGCACAGATGATGTGGCTTCACCCTCTGGAAGTGCCAGCAGCTCTACAACTAGGTTAGAGATCAAACTCAGAAAGAGACGTTTTACTGGGCATCTCATCTTTTGCACTGTTCTTGTTCAGTAGGGGAGTGAGGAGGCCTGAGTTGGAAAGACTGAGATGAAAAGTTGTTGTGGTAATAGTATGTGTGGCTATAGCACAGAAGCATAGCTGTAGCCTGTATATAGGACTATGCATTTTATTCAGTCACACTATTGGTACAGAAACTGAATTAAACATCCAAAGAATCTCTGCTTTTGTTATTTTTAAAGCACGTTTCTAGTCCATGTAATTGCAAGATGGGCTTGAAAATACCCAGGCAATACCTCATGCAACCTTGGAAGCTGAGCAGCGGTGGTGATCTCAGACATATTGCCAGGAATACTGGGCTTCGGTATCTGGAATTGTGTGTTGCTCCCCAACTCAGCTCAGCCACAATAGCTGTCAGGGATGGCAGCAAACACCTGGATGGCACCAGGTTGGGGAAAGCATGAAGCAGGCTGGTGAGGGATGGGGCCTGGGGAAGGGAGCATGGCCTGGGAAGAGTCTTGGGGCCCAGATGGGGGGGCTGGAGGGTTGCACACTGCCCCCATGCCTAAGGTTCCCCATCCTTGATCTATGTCTCCATGGATCATTTGAGGCTTTTTTCCTTTCTTTTGGCTTAACAGAGTATTGCTTATGATTCTGGCTATAGGTGGCTGAATTGAGGGCACTGACTAACTCTCTCTGAACTAACTTTAATTATTGCTGTGCCCAGCTTGAATAGTGTCGCAAAGGAGAAGAGTAAGTCATCCCTGGAGCTGTTCACTTCTGAGAAAACGAAAAGAGCTTTTTATCTGACCTCAAAAGTGCCTGATCAGGTAGGCGAGAACACGCCTTCCCCAAATACTCTGCCCTCATTCTGAGATCTCATGCATGTTTGGGCTGGAGTTCTCCGCTCTTCTTTGAATCATTTCATTAACTGTTTAATTAAATGAAACCATAAGTAGTGTGCATAAAACAATATAAAATCATCAAACAAGTATACATAACTAAATTATGTTTCTCGCTAGGCTTGCTGAAATAAAAAAAAGTTTTTAGCAGGGGTGTAAGGGTGCCTACCTAATATTACTAGACAAGGAGTTACAAAGCATAGAGGTAGCTACACTGAAATATTGACTCGTGCTAGCAGATGATCATTACAATCGCTTGGCTTGGGGAGTGCTTAAGAGTTCAACCAAGCTCTTTTTCTGACAGAAAATGTGTCCCAACAGGTAAGATGCATCAACACACAAGGAGGAGGTGCTTGTTTATTCACTGAAGGACTGGTATCTGAAGGAGGTTGTATTTGACATATAGGATATGATTTGGCTAAGTGTGGAAGTTATAAAGAGCTGTATTTCAACTGTATTCAGAGCAAGGCTAGTGTCAAACCTTAAGCCCATCAAACACACAGCATAGCTTAAGAAAATGTTACAAACTGCAGTGGTACCTGGGGTTACATACGCTTCAGGTTACACACTCCGCTAACCCAGAAATAGTGCTTCAGGTTAAGAACTTTGCTTCAGGATAAGAACAGAAATCGTGCTCCGGCAGCCCGGCCCCATTAGCTAAAGTGGTGCTTCAGGTTAAGAACAGTTTCAGGTTAAGAACAGATCTCCGGAACGAATTAAGTACTTAACCCGAGGTACCACTGTATAGTTAAGACCCAATAGGCCATAGCCACTGGTTGCCATTGTTATAATGGGTGTGCCTTGAAGCAGTAAGATTTCCCATTTCTTACTTACACACATGCTTTTTGGTTTAGTTTGTTCAAGGGGTACAAGAAGCATTTGGGAACCATAACCAAGAACCCTGCCTTTTCTTCTTCACCCCCCCCCCCAACAAATTCCTATTTGAATATCTCTCTTCTGTCTTTCCACTGCTGTCACAGTGGGAGGGGAATATGTGTTGCGTGGCCACCATCCTAGAGTGGCAATCATAGTGGTTTTAGAGAACTGAAAGTGGCATGCATGTAGACTTGTGCAGTTACCTCCTGGAAAACCAAGGTGTTTCCCTGTCCCTCTTGGCTGCAGGAGTTCTATTCCACCATCCTAGATGTTCTAACACCAGATGATGTACGTGTCCTAGTAGAGACAGAGGATGAATTCGCTCGACGTGGACAGTTTGAGCGAGTTTTCCCCTCGCGCTTCTCCATGCACTACCTACGTTTCTTTGAGCAGCCGCGATACTACAACATCCTTACTTCCCAGTGGGAGCTGAAATATTTCGTGAATAAGGTCAAAGGTAAAAAAGTTCCCATCACCGCCTTCTTGCAAGCTCCCTTCTAGGATAAGCAGTTAGTTGTTTGATCCAGCCCTTTATAAGTAGACTGCATACCTTGCTTTCTAACCCAGAGCTGTCTGTGCTCTTTCACATAGCATTATTATCTGTCATCCTTACAGGCTGCTAGTGTGGTTTGAGTGTTGCTTCTTGTTGGGTCATTTCTGTCATCTTCCCCACTTCCCCACACCTTGCAGCCACATCTTTGGCGTTAGGGCAGAAGTCTTTCTTTATTCTTGCCCACCCCTTTGTCCTTTCATTGGTTTCTGTTGGCTATCTTTAAGCCCACACCCTCACCCAGAGCCTTCCTGTTCATCAGTGTTACCTGCTTCTCTTGAGTGTATCCAGATAATTCCATAGAAAAGACCAGGAAGTTCAGCATCTTCAAATGAGCATCATACCATTGCAGCTTGATTTTTAAACGTGTGTGTGTGTGTGTGTGTGTGTGTGTGTGTGTTTGGGTTGCTCAGTATCAAGGCCCTGCATTACTTGTACCCACTGCCTTCTTACATCCAGGGCAGTTGCTTAGTAATAGCCCTCAAAATTTCACATGTGAACTAGCTTTCGTTCTGTGGTGTTCCTTTCTGCAGGGGTGGATCTGCTCAGAAACTGGTGTCACAAAGGCTTTCATAATGGAGTGGTGACAGAATCCACAGTGATGGTAAGGGTGGGCCCTCTTTGCCTTTCCTCATACCTTAGATATGTTCTGCTTTTTCATGAGGGTGCCCATCAGAACTACTTGTTACTAATCAAGTGGCTCTATATTGGTGGTTGTCTTACTGCCTGAAGCACCTTCTCTTTGCTTCACTAAGTTTGAGGTATGCTGGGAGCTAAGAAAGGAACATTCACTAGCTGTCTAACTCTGCACTCTCTCAACTTCAGTGGTCAATTCCAAGATCCCACCTCTATATGAAGAATGAACTCCCTGTGAATGGCTTGAGCAAGATGGAATTAGGCAGAACCAGGTGAGATTGCAAGAACCAGCCGCTGTTATATCTCAATACATTTCCAGTTGGGGTTTGTCCATGATTTTTCATCCGTTCCCTTATAGTACAATTCTTTGCAAGTCTGCTCTGAAGTAATCCCCACTGCATTCAATGGGATTTATTCCCAGGTGGTTGTGTGTAGGATTGTAGCCATGGTTAATATATTTTAATGCATGTTAACCTTCTCATGAATACATGGAGAAAAAGGAAACTCTTCTTTGTTACTTATATGCCACCTTTATATTCCTTACTTCCCTCCCCTGATATATTACCCTTTTGACAAGCATGATCTTAACCGTTTATGTGCTACTTTCTGCCCCTGTTAGGATGTGCCAGAGGATTAAATTAGAAGCATCTGCTTCTGGGTTTAAACTAACTGTGGTTAATCATTATATCCAGTAAGGGCAAACTATAGTTAGTTTCAACTGGGCTTTTTCAGTGTGGTGCCCACTGAGGCACTCTGCAGTGGCTGTGAGACTTTTCTGCCATTCTGACTTGCAACTCCTTATTTTAAAAAAATCATGGAGGCTGGATACAGTGCCAATCTTAATTTTCCTTGAGTAGCCCTGAGCCCATGTATGGTCAGGCAGCTTCGATCATGTAGCTACAAGCTAGGATTTCGTGTTAAGTTCAAACCAGGCCGTTGTCTTAGCCTTTCTTATTTTTACTTCGGTATATATCTGACATAAATAATTATTTGTAGCATTTTTATACTAACCTGTAACACTAAGTATTCTGGGCAGTGTACTTTAAAAAAACATGTAAAAACAACATGAACACAAAATCACAAACAAAACTAAATAAAATAAAATAAAACCAGCAACAGAGGAACCAGTAGTACCAAATGTCTAAAAAAAACTTTTGACCATGTTTTTAAGTAGGAAAGCCTAGCTGAATAAAAGGCCTTGACCTATGGCTACTGAAAAGTCGGCACCTGCCTCACCTCACCTCACTTGGCAGGGGTGGACTTTTAAAGATGATTTTCAGGTTGGGCTGTATATATGGGAGGAGATAGTCCTTCAGATAACCTAAAGGTAAAGGTAAAGGGACCCCTGACCATTGGGTCCAGTCGTGACAGACTCTGGGGTTGCAGTGCTCATCTCGCTTTATTGGCCCAGGGAGCCACCATTTGTTCGCAGACAGCTTCCGGGGCATGTGGCCAGCATGACTAAGCCACTTCTGGTGAACCAGAGCAGCGCACGGAAATGCCGTTTACCTTCCCGCCGGAGCGGTACCTATTTATCTACTTGCACTTTGATGTGCTTTCGAACTGCTAGGTTGGCAGGAGCAGGAACCGAGCAACGGGAGCTCACCCCGTCGCAGGGATTCGAACCGCCAACCTTCTGATTGGCAAGTCCTAGGCTCTGTGGTTTAACCCACAGCGCCACCCGTGTCCTTCAGATAACCTAGCCCCAGGTTATTTAGGGCAGGAATGGAGAACCTGCAACCTTCCAGAAGTTGTTGGCCTTCGTCTCATTCTAGCCAGCATGGCCCATGGTCAGGGATGATTGGCGTTCTAGTCCCAGAACATCTGGAGGGTCACAGATTCTCCATCTCTGTTTTAGGGCTTGAAAAGTTAGTACTTGCACTTTGAATTGTCCCCTGGAATAGATTAGAAGCCAGTGTAGATAACAAAGCACAGGCATGATTTAATTTTTCAGCCACTTCCTGTTAACAATCTTGCTGCCCTATTTTGGAGCAGCTGAAGTTTCTAGACTGTTTTCAAGGCAGCCCGAGGTACAGCACATTGTGGTAATCAGGCCTAGGCAGTGGTGAGCCATAAGCCCTAAATCCTTCTTTCCCATCAAATACAGGGATGACACAGTAGTAATAGAAAGACTGCCGTTTCCTTCAGACGGGTGAAAATGATATGCTATGGAAGTGGTTCTCTCTGTGTGTGCTCTATTCTGTGCTGCAAGACAGATCTGCCTCTCTCTCAGGTTCTGTCTTCTTCCCAACAGCAAAATCCTTGTCCAGCGAGATGGGGAGGAGCCAATCCGAAGCTCTGAGCCAAACCCTTGCACTCAAAGCTTACCTCAGATTAAATACACAGCTGGAAGTCTCAAGAAACCCACAATCCCTCGGACCCTCAGCAACTCAAGCCTAGTGAAGTGACGGGGGACTAAGTGAGTGGCCAACTTCCCCTTCCTTATGGTCTCAGGAGGGGGCGTACGTGACCTACCTCAACGGAAGCTAGGAGAGCCAGCATGGAAGGATGGGAGGACCTTTCGTCCGGCACGCCCACGTAGAACTATTTTTTTGGAAAAGGAATTGGGTTGAAGAGGAGATGTTTAACTTGGTTAAAAGGGACAAATGCTCTGTTTATAGTTTTTTTTTATGACAAAGGAAGTTGCTAAACACAGAAGCTTGGAAAACCTATTTAACTTTTAGTGTGAGTTCCTTATAGTTTATTGACCTTGCCATGATCGTCACCACTTGAGCCATAAGTGCCTCTCGCTGTTAAGTGCCGACATACTAGGTTTCGCCAGACACTGACAACCTCAATGACCATTTGTGAAATGAGCTGCTACCATGAGGCAATTGCATGTTTGCAATTGACATAACCCATGTCTTCACAACATGACACAAATTCCTTATTAGCTGAACAGATGGGAAAACAAACTTAAGAATGGCTTAACACCAGTAAATCAGGCAGATTTTTTCATAAACTCTCTGGTGCATGGCCATAAGAGAAATAGGCTTAAACAGTGAGGGAGGTGGTGGGGAGTCCAAGAATATTCTTATTCTCTAGGTACACACCCATGTTTACTTAGTTCCTGGGTACAGATTTCCTGATGGACTTTAGTTATGGAAGGTATTTTCTACTTACTTTTTACTCGGGAGAAGCAGATTTTGCAGTGTGCTGGTCCAAAGCACAACTGTGTAGCTTAAGCACTGGTGGTGGTTTCTTAAGACAGGAGGAGCATCTCCTTTCGGTTTTAGCTTTGTGCTGGGACTCAGAAAAAGGTGTGCTAAGGTGGCTGCTTCTTGTTCCTCTCTGGTTTAGGGTCAGGTGGTTATCTGTGTTAATCCTCCTAGCATTCATATATACCCTAGAACACTCTCCAGTTCTTTACCCCTAAAGAAGACTATAATTTAGCCCAAGTGGTGCTTGGCTGTATAATTCTTGCTTTAAGTACTGCAGCCTCAGTCAGTGTTATTTCTGATCAGTCAGTGCCTTCTCCTTACTGCTGGAGAATTCTGCCTTTTCTCCACTTGTTATACTTTACTCCTAATCTGAATCTGGTACTGGATCCCAGCTTTGGGTACACTTTTCAGTTGTGTGCGTATGTCCGGAATGTGTTAGTAAACTTGCACTTACAGCCAGCAAGGGCCGTTTGCTGTCCTGATCCCTGGGCACTGATAAGATGCATCTGTTGCTCTACTTGACTCCTGATACCTTGACACTTAGGAGCATTTCCTGCCTGTACTCAGACACCACGTGCAGGAAGCTGCTAAATTCTGAGCCTTGAGGGTGAACTCAACAACTTTGGCTGCAAGAAATCTTTATTCTTAATGAAGGATAGGAGTCCTTTTGTCTCATTTTACACACACACACACACACACACACACACACAGTCAGATGCTATGGACAGCATGAGGCATGCAAGTCCCCTGATGCATCACTGTGCAGTCTTCTATTTTTTCCATGTAGCGGTAATGATATTCCAAATGCCTGTAAGTATTTCTCACTATGATGGAGAGATGTGTTTAGGTGGCTACTTGTGATATAAATGGCCAGAAAAAGGAAGGCATCATTCCTACAGTGCATCTCTCCAAATAGATTGCTTCTCCATTGGTCAGGGCAGTATTTATGAATCACACAGTCCTGGAAATCTCCTGGATACAACTGGATACAGCAGCTGCAATCTAGAATATAGATGCAGTGTGCATTTATTGTTAAAGTGGTTCAAGTCATTGCAGAGGGGTGTGAGATTCCCCAGAGCACATAACACCAAAGCAACAGGGCACCTCTTTCTTACTACAACTGTCATTTGCTTATCCTAAGTAACCTCAGTGACTAAGCTCTTAAGAGCAGAAAAGCTGGGAAACATAGAGTTGGAAGCCAAGCCAGGCACACTGGATATAGTTGTGCTTTCTCCTGGGGCCTTAGCAGTAGAAGCAGCAGCTCTCCTTGCATCATGCCAGGGAATGAGTTGCTAGAAATCATTTCAGAGTCTGCCTTGCAGACAGTGACTTACCTTGCGTTTCTGTCTTACTTCACTGGCTGTATTAACACAGGTATCTATCTTGGTGAGACCTTTATGGCATGATCCCCTGAATTAAAGCTTCTTTTCCCCTTGGCTTGTTATTTCCATCCCCTTCAGATTCATCATAACTTCTCTCCAGCTTGGCTCTTCTCTTAGCCAGCTTGGCTGTCGCTGAGGTTGGGAAGATAGAAGTGGAGACGGCTTGCTTCTTCCAAGTTCATACTCTATATGTTCCTGGCTACTAGCTTCATCAGTTGACAGTTATCAACCTTCCCTGCAAAACTTTGTAAACAGAGGGGAAGGGTGTGTTGCACTAATCTCTATCGCGAGACAGCCTTTTCTCCAAAAAGCCAACAGAAGACAGTCTAATCCTTTAGGAGACTTGAGTGTTGAATTTTTGTTTTAATTTCTTATGCCCTTTCTGCAAGCCAAGCCGGGCAGGTGCTGAGATCTTGGTGAGGCAGTGCACTAGGAAAAGGAGGGCAAGCCAATTTCTAGTAAGGTAATAAAACAAGGGTAGAGGTAGAGTTGGCTTCCTACTGCTAACATCCTCAATATATGTTCAGTTTTAACTTGGTTAAAACCTCTCTCCCTGTTTGCCTGGTACACAAAAATGAAGGCTTGCATTTTGAATCCTCTTTTAGGAACCGACCTATGTGTCCTAGCCCTGCAACAGGTTTTATTTCACTGTCCCCTACTGAAAACTGAGTGTCATGTCCCTTCTTTGGGCTCTGTAGGAGGTTGGTGCCTAATGTGTCCCTCTCAAATCTCATAGCGACAATCTTCTGTGAACTAGCCTGACTCCTAGGATTGTATTGAATGACCTAAAAGAGCTAGCTGTGTAGAAGTGTGAAAGTGGAGAGGCCTCTTCGAGTGTCCTAAAGAATCCTCCCAGCTGGCCGTCTCCCTGAGCCGCCTTATACTCTTGCCACCACCACCCACCCTTCCTGACTTCAGTAATTATGAGCAAACAGGTGTTCAGCACTCCTCCAATGTGGTCTACACAGCTATCTCTGTTTCCTGGTATTAACAGGCATTGCTGGTTCTCTCCTTCCCCCATGCCCCATCAGTATTTGAACCTTAGGTGGGTACTACTCTGCACAAAATGTCATGGATCGCTCAATGTAAATTGGTGGAACTCAATTTAGGGAAAAGGCATTGCATTTCTGGCCAAATATCACCCTTCAGCATATGCATATGCTTTGCATGCACAAAATCCCAGGTTCCCAAATAAGGTGGAAAAGACTCATGGCTGAAACCTTGGAGAACCTTTGCCAAGTCACCATAAACGGTGCTGAGGTAGATGGACCAATGGTCTGACTCAGTATAAGGTAACTTCCTATGTAGTGCTTTGTAATGAACTTATTTCCTTGTCCTGGTGGTTTTCTTTTCCCCTAAAGCAAACTATTGCAGTAAATAGAAGCCTCATTGGTTGGTTTTATCTTGCTAAGGTGGATCCTCCAAGCAGTGTGCTATACAGCTTGATACTGAGAGGAACAAAAAGATGTGCTATGACTTGTGAGGAGACACCCTATGCAGAAGGGCATAGAATTCTGCCCAAGTGTTTCGGGAATGGGAGAAGATTGCTCTGGGATAGAGGAGAAGCCATCTCAGCACCTTCCACATTTCGGGATTTGAAGCTCGAGTAGCTGCTGTCTCAACTTGCTTAACACAACTATCTTCTTCAGATGGATTTATTCTGCTCAGAGTGAAATGTCAGTGGTCAATTTAATGCTGCACAGAGGGCACTAGTGGTTGTTTGGGTCTTCTGAAGTGTGCATCGGAAAGATCCAGAGGAGGATATACATTTTCAAAAGGATGCCATGAGTCCAATTTAACTCACACTGCTAAATTAAAGATATTTTTTTAAAAAAAACAAAATAAATGATTCAAGTGCAAGTATGTGGTCATGACTGTTGTGATATAACTTGGGTGGCAGTAAAGGTAATGTTGGGTGCTTTAGGGATTTTTGAGTCTAGGTGAGCCCTGCTCCTCTAAGCTGCCACTAAGCAGGTTTGCTTATCTAAGAAATACCGTACAAGCAAATTTTCTCCAGGTTGGTATTTAGACCCTGGAAAGCCATGTGAGTTTCTGCTGTCAACACCAAATTCTTGAGAGGAATAGGAGAACAAACATCAACCTCTGTAGAGTGATTGCCTCACTTCACCTAAATTTCTTATACAAGGCCCATTATAGTGAATCTAATAAACTGACTGAGGTTTAAAAAAAGTGGGAAGAAAGTGTGGAGCACATACACTGCTAGATAAACTTCCTAGAATCTGGCCCATTTTGCTATGGCTTAACGCAAATGGGCATGTTCCTGGAGAGAAGATTGTGGCCTTTTTTCTACTCCTCTGGTCCTGGTGCCGCTGCACTGATTTGAGCTAACCTACAGTTTGGCTTAGTGATGCATCCAAACCACAGCTTGTGGTTTATCTTGCTCCAAACAGACCATGAGGTCTTGGCAATGTTTGTTCTGTGGCTTACCACTCATGGTTTATCTGGAGTGAGAGGAACGACAAGCCCAGATTGAGAAGTAATGCTAAGCCAAACTGTGGCTTAACTCACAGCAGCTTGGCTACAGTAGCAGCTATGGAGGAGGGCTACTCCATAGTTTGACTTAGCAAGGCGTGAAAACTGGGCCTGTCATAAATCATAGCTTTTCTGCTCTGCAAGCAAAGAAAACTGGTTTGGTTTTTTTGCTCAGCATGGGAGGTAGGAATAGCATATGTGTGCTATTCCAGGCAGATATGCAGTTGTAATATATCTGATTTGCTTAAGCTGCCATAATGTCATGTGGGCAAATCTAATTAATCTTTTATTGCCTAGCAAAAAACAACCACCTTACAGTCTTTCAGAGATATCCAAACAGAATCTGTAATTCACATAAAACTATCCTGTCAATTAGATTCCTAATCTCTGGGATTTGTGGCCACACTTCCTTTAAAACAGCTACTTTAAAAGTTACAGACTCAGCAGTATTGCTAAGCAAATACGTAGATAAGTTTAAACAAGCCAACCAGCCACTTTAGCCAGGTATGTAGCCAGCAGTGCATCTTCTGGAACTATATACAAGGGGCAATAGTTCATAAAACACAGTTACACTGATGAATGTGTCCACTGGTTGAAGGCAGAGCTCCAAAAGCTGCTTCAGTGTTGAAGGTTTTTAAATCCAAGAGATAGTTTACTGGCATATCTGGATAAATATGTGAGATTTTGGAAGAAGAATGTGAGGTTTGAGAAATCTGACAGCTCTCCAGAGTTTCTTGCTGCTTAATATGTCCAGCTAAGTTTCAAAATTGCCCTGGCTTTCAATAAACCTTGATTTCATATGAGCACTTTAGCAAAGCCACCATTATTCAGGATATTTTTGAAGTGCGGTAATCCATAACTATCTTCCTATGGTCACCATACCTCTTATGCAGAGTTTGTGTAGAAGCAGCATATGCATTCCAATCTTAAATATCATAGCTATACCCTTATGGTTTGCTTTCTGTTTTGCCACCACCCTATAAAACAATGAGAAATTGCTCTGGTTTCAAAGAGTAGAGCAGCATTCATCAAGTCCTCCAGCTCCTTTATATATTGAAATAGTAACTGCTTTTGAGGTGGGCACCTTGAGGCAAGCAAGATGGTTTAGAGGCCTAGAACATCTCTAGCAATACATGTCAACTCAAAACTGAGTATTCTTCAAGACCGGCCACTCTCAGGTAAGTGAGTATAAACTAAACGAAAGGTCTGTAAGTAATTTTTGCTGTTTGATGGCCACTAACCAATATACAAACTTTCCTAAGGACTACAGTGGATGTGTGCTTCAAGGGGGAACAGCCACAGTTGTCTTCAGTATCCAAAGGGTCCTTGGTGCAACATGAAATCTGTTTTGGCAGCTAACAAAGTTTTCTCCAGCATGCAAATCCCCTGCTGCCACCAAGCCTGTATTTTTGGTGTGTATGCTGATCTATGATCAGATTTCCCACAATGCTTTTTTTTTTTTAAGTTACATTTTATAATGAGGAGAAGGCTGCTCAACACACTGTCTGGTGTTATTTTTCCACAAAGGGCAAATTTTACTCCTTTTAAACTGGATATTGCATTTTGTTGGATCTTTTCTTGGTCACAATAAAGGTATTACCCTACTGTTAGTTTTAATTTTTTTGCTAGAGCACACAGAGCTGCTATTCAGCTGCAAAGGAAAAGCAGGCACCTCCACACTACTTTGCTTGCTCTGCGAAATGTAAGGTTTTTAACTTTTATGTTTATATATTCCCTTTTGGAGCAAACGGTCCCCCTGCTAGATTGAGAAAATGATCTTGATAGGAACGGGCTATCCCCTGAAGTTTTGGGAGTTTTGACCAACCAGAGACACTGCCACAGCTGGCTTTCTGCTGGCAGTGGGCACCTGTAACCATTTCCTTTCTTGCCAAGAGCTAATAAGGCCTGTGTCGCTGAGTTCAGGCTACAAGTAGTGGAGATAAACTGAGAGGGGAGGGGACAGCAACCATTCTCTTTTTAGGAGCCTGACTCATTCTCCAGGAATTCTCCACAGTGGGGAGGAGAGGCCAATCCCAACTGGGTTATGTTTAGTATGTGTAGATGGGGAGGTGAAGACAGCAAGCACTTGCATCAAGATCAAGGCTCTGAGGCAGGACCAGAACTGCACGTAAAGATAAAAGGGGTGCCTGGTCATAGCTAGCCACAAGCAACAGGGGAGAACAACCTGCTTCAGGTATTGCCAGAAGGGGGAACTGGCACTGGCCAAGACCAAGTTCTCCTTATTTTACTGTTTGTTTTTTAAAATGTATATTATCCGGCTTTTCTTCCATGAATCCAAAGAGGCAAACTGCAAACAAAAGTAGGCAAAATGATTGGGAGTAACAAGAACTGCCAAATTCAAAACAAAACACCAGTAGTTTTATAGAGGGTTGGGAAATCCTGGAAAGCCACTGTCAAATACTGACCTACATGAACCAATGGTCTGACTTGGTGTAAGGCAGCTTCCTATGTTCTTATCAGAGTGCAGGAGGGGAAACCTGGGCCGTGAGTTTGAGCCCCACGTTGGGCAAAAGATTCCTGCATTGCAGGGGGTTGGACTGGATGACCCTCGAGCGCCCTTCCAACTCTACAATTCAAGTCAGAAATTGTTCTCCCGCTCAAGTAAGTTTAAATTGTTTTAAAGGGGGACTAGATAAATTCATGGAGGATAGATATGTGTATTGTACTAACGCTTCTGAAAGCCAATTGCTAGGGGCCACACAGGAGGAAAGTGCTATTGCACTCCTCTCGTGCTTGTACCTTTCCTAGAGAGGCTTGAGGCTGGCTACTGTAAAAAACAACAACACAGGATGCTTGACTAGATGGACTCTTGGCCTAATCCAGCCAGGCTCTAGTTATGTTGCCATTAACATCTATCTTCATGCTGCTCTATAAACTAATAAGCTGTTTCACGCTGCCTTTATTGGGCAACCAAGCTGTATGCTAGTCCACATATAAACTGTAAGGACTTATAATTGTGGAGATTGGGTATGGTCTGTTTTAGTGCTTCCAATCCCTGCAGCTAATCCCATGGAAGGTCAATTTGCAGCCCATGGGTTGTATCTGGCTTCTATCCAAACAGTCTTATTTGGCTTCTACTGGTCTTGCTAAATTTTAATCAATGTATGATAAACATTGTGTGCACAGAGCAAATGTGTTTTAAATGAATGTGATGATGATGTCACATTTCACTGTTCTCTCTCTTCCTTTCCTAGACTTCCTATGTTATGTCTTGCTTTACGTGCTGTGGGGGTAGCCAATGTGGTGCCTTCCAGATGTTCTGGACTTACAACCCCCATCATTCCTCACTACTGGCACTATTTACTGGTGGCTGTCCCTTGCAGCAGATAATGCTGACCTTATTATGGTAGAGCCTGACAGCTTGTGAAGTGGTAGGATGGTGCAGTCAAGATACACACACACATCCCAGACCTGCAGTATAGGAAACAGAGTTACTCCCAATAATTCAAAATGGACAATACTGATCAATGAAACTCAGCCTGTGCTGTTGCCAGTGTGCAGGTGTCAGATCTGTATATATTTTTTACATTATTGGCTTCCTGTGTTTATCTGAGGACAGCCCTGAGCAAAAGAATATCCCATTTTATTTAGGATGCTTCCTCACTCACTGACAATTAATTACAGCATCTATCTAGTATTGGGGGAGCTATAATCTGCAGTCCTGTGCTTTTAACAATTGAAAGGCAATGATGGAACAAGTCAACACATGGTCTAGAATTATCTTGTAATGGTGCCACTCTAGACTAGCATTTTCTACAATTCCAACTGAAGTTGTAATTGTGTGCACACTTTTACATTTTCTCCTGCCATTTCAGGTAACATACCTATCAAGCACTACTGAATCACAAGCTGCTTTGCTCCACAGAGATTCATGAGGGTTGCAAAGCAGCTACACTGCTTCAGATAAATGAGTTGGCTAGATGAATATCCAGGAACAAGTGGCCTATTTTAAAAGTGCTATCATGGCCCAAACCCTTTTGGAAATATATGAGCTGGAGGATTCATCCATTAAAATTACAATTTTTATCTTATATCCTGGATACTACAATAGGTTTTTTTTTAATGCAACAGATGGAAGTTGCATTGCTTTCCAATCAGCACTCCTTGCGGGTAGGAGTGACTTCGCCAGTTGAATGTCTGCCTACCTCTCAGCTTTTAAAGGCATAGAGGCCTTCTGAAAGAAAGAAGCCCGCTGCAAGCGGGAACAGTCTTTGCCGCGAGGAGCCAGATTATAGTGTCCCCATTGCACCAGGGACTGTACCTCTAGAACAGCTCCTCTTGGCCTCGGCCGATCACCCCACTGCTTCTTCCTCCCGGGAGGGGCTGCCCCCCCCCATAGCCTCCATCATCTCCTCTCCTCACCCCGCGAGACCGTGTCCCACCGCGCACAGGCTTCTGTGCCCCGACTTCCTCCCTTCGCACATTCCGTGATTTATTTACAGCCGGAGCCGAGTCGCGCTCTCTCCCCCCACCCCCCGCCCTCCAGGGCAAACAGGAGGCTTCGCCCGAAGCTTCCCGAGCGAGAGGCCGCGGAGCCCGCATCCCTCGCCCCAGCACCCCTCGGCGCCTGGGAGAGCCCCGCTCTCGGCATGCCCTGCTCCTCCTCCAGCGTCTCGGGAGGCGGCCGCGCGCTGCCCTGAGTCCCCCGGGAGGCGGCGGGAAGGCCCTTCTTCGCACAGCGCGGCAGGCGGGGGCCCCTCCTGGCGCCGCGCGCACCCGGGTGTTGCTGCCAGGCCCGCCGCCTTCCTGACACGGACTGGCTCCCCGGCCAGGCGCCCGAAAATAGCAGCTGCCTCGGCATGGAGCGGGCGGCGGCGGCCCCGGCCTCGGAGCAGGTAAGCCCGGCGGAGAGACCTCCCCGAGAAAGGGCTTCGCGGCGGGTGCCTTTCTGCCGGCCAGGCCGGCCCGGGGAGCACGGACGGAGGGCACTTCCTGGCGCAACAACGCCGCGACCACTTCCTGCTTTCGGTTGCCGGGGGAGTGGGGCTAGCGGGGCTTACCTGAGCCCCGGAACCTGCTCCCCAAGCTCATTGGACACCCTTCAGTGTCAAGAACGGAGCTTTTGAGCACGTGCTGAGCGCTGCCGGGCTGCGTTTTCTCTCCCACACCTTCGGGTGCGATTCCTAGGCGTGCTTGGCCCGTAACAATTTCGCGTTTAGAAATTGAACTCGGTGCTCCGACTCGTCTGCTGCCGATTTAAAGAAATCTTATGCATCAATGCGATCCGCGCAAGTGTTCGGGTGAACAGAAACAAAAGCTCTGAAGACAATGGGAGAAACGCACGCGCGTTTTGTTTTTAGAGAATGCAAGCACGTGTCGTCATAACTGGCTCCCTCTATATCAGAAAACATGCATTTCGTGTGGCGTTGCTATTTGTTTAAAAATCTGCTGAACTGAGGACACCTTTTTAATCAACGCATTTAATTGATCAATCGATCAAGCAAATAGTGCAGCCATAAACGAGGTGAGAGAAAGTTGGCAGCTGAATCCCATTCCTATATGGCTCTCTTGCTGTCTTGCAAGTGCCTTTTTTAATATTATTAAAACTTTCCTCCAAAACCAGGTCTTTGGTCCTTAACTTATCTGCGGCCTTTTAGAAGTGGGTGGGATGTTCTTAATGTATTTCTCTTCCCTCTTGGTTTTAATGTATCTGTGTGGGGTTTATTGTCTAGTTTGTTTATTTAGCTGTAAGTTGCTTTGGGTTGCCCTGGGCAAGATAAACCAACTGGCACATTAAATAAATTAATTAAATAAATTACTGGTTATATTTGTCAGCTGGCATGTTTCTGCTTTCTGTCAGTTGCGGTAGGAAAATTGTGGGCAACCAAATCTCTACCTGGAGTTTGTTCCATGTCTCAGCATGTGTTTGTGTCTGATTGCACTCTGCTCTTACGCATGTTTCCTCCTGTGTCTGAGTACGCATGCATTGTAGTTGAGTATGTTGTCTGTCATGCACAGTCTCTGACTGGGTGCAGCCTGAATCAGCTTTATTGGATCATCTGTGTCTACCCCTTCCACATTAACAATAGACCCTTTACTGCAGTGTCCTTACAGATGCTAGCTTTGGGTACTAACTGGAGAAGCCATAGGTATGATTGTTGGGGATTGTTAGAGCTAGAGGTCTCCTCTCCCACCATGTCACTGTTTCTTAATTCCCTTGTGGTATAGCTGGTTAAGCCATCCCCTTTCCCATGATGTAAAAAGAAGGACATACGGTTATCCTACCCAAGATTTAAACATCTGCTTTCCCACAACATGCTTAACATTCCCTGCAAACAACTCTGCCTGCAACTTGAAAAGCTCTAACAATAGGAAGGAAATAAACAGCAGCCATGTGAGGATGAAGGAAATGGCCCCTGCCTGCAGAAAATATGTGAAGCACTAAGTTTTTTGATCCCTCCAGCATTCTGTTTGAACTAGATTTGTAGCACTTTGGGAATTGAGGGCCTAGGGTGGAGTCTGAGGTTCCCCGTCCACTGCAGAATTGTAGCTCTCACTCTTCAGATCCTAAAAGCTGAACTATTTTGCACATTGAATGTGGACCACAGGGGCCACTTTTTAACTCTCTCCATTTTTCCTTAACTCCCAGGCAGCACCACTGAGCAATGGCCTCCAGCCTCAGGAAGCAGGTGGGTAGTGCACTGGTTTTGCCTGCCGGTGGTGGAGTGACCGCTTTCAAGTACAGACTTCACTGCCTGCCAGCCAGACTGACTCATGACATGTGTTGCAGGGAACAGTTTGGGGTGTTAATTGCCTGCTTTGAGTGTCTTCTAAACTTGCTAATTCATAACAGCATGATTGTGTGTACTAACTTTGGGACATTATATATCACTTTTTGAGCCATGCTGCGAGCCATCCGAACCACTGCCTCCCCTATCATTCTAGTCTTGGAAAATCTCAGTTGTACCCAGATTTCACTTTTTGCTTTCCTGTTTGAGAATGGCTCCAGTTCTGCTATTACCTGTGAAACCCATCCTAATGTCATCTTACAAAAAACTTACCATATGTGAGGCCTGAGTTCAAAATCTGGGCTCATACCTAGATTCCTTGGATAAGCCCAGTATTGCCCATCTTCCATTTTCTATCTGTCAGATGGGAATATTGGTGACCTACCTCACAGGGTTGTTGTGAGGGCACTCAATAAAGATAATGAAGCTATTCAACTGCCACAGAAATGTGTGAATAAATACAGTATACAGCCCCCTCCTGACCGGGTCTGCTTTTTCAGAGCAAGTAGTTAGCCCCTTTTACACTTTCCCCTCTACTGTAAAATTTGCAGAAGAGAGTTTGGGCTCTGTCTGAAATCAACGAATGCCTTCACCTTAGGCTGAAGTGTGTGGGTTGCTGCCTGTCAAGGGATGTAAACAATCAACTAACTGGATGTGCTCTGTGGGGCAGGGTGGGGTAGGGTTGGTCAGTGACTGCTGCAGCTTTTGGCTGCTTCTCTGTGCAAGTCACGGGTTGTTCAGCTCAGCATGCGTGTTCCTGCAGTTTATGTGAGAAGATACCATTTCTTTAGGCTTAGTGAGAAGGAGGGAAGGTTGTGTCAGTCAAAAGGGCCAAGATTACTTAAATGTTTCACCTACCAAGAAGTTTTTGGTGTCTGGATTTGCAATGCCTCCCCTTACCCACTAGGCCCCAACCTGTCTCTGGATGTTAAGGAATCAGCGTTGGAAGCCAAGGTTGTAGGGCAAGAGGCCAAGGACCTGGCTGCAGATGGCAAAGGTACAGAGTTGAGCATGATGAATGTGATGTCAGATGGCAGGACCATGGACGGGGATCCCAGAGCTGTTGGGCTGGATGCCAAGACTGCAAATCGGGATGGCAAGGTAACAGCTGGGGATGCCGTTGCTACAGAATCGGATATTAAGGCTGCAGATTCAGAGGCCAGAGAATTGGATACAGCTGACAACTACGGTGGACCACAGGCCACAGTGACAGATAGGAGAGAAACAGGTCCAGGGGGCAAGGAGGATGTGATGCCAAGAGGCAGGTGCAAGAGCTGGAACGCCAGTGCCCCCACCCTGAATGTTAAAGATGCTGGTCAGCAAAACAAAGGCACGGTTGTGGATGCCAAAGCAACATCAGAAGTCACCAAGCCAGATGAGAGCAACAAAGATGACGATGGTGACATCATTTCTCTCGACTGTGAAATTCTTGGGTTTGGTCCTGATACTGATTTGCTGGGACCAGATGCTGAGACTTACATGCATTTCATGCGGCGCCACCACTGTTATGATGCCATTCCCACCAGCTCCAAACTGGTAGTGTTTGACACAACCTTGCAGGTAAGGGGGGAAGTGGGAGCTGTTGTGGGTCAAGGAAGGGGATAGAAAGCTGGTCATTTTAATAATGGGATAATGGAAGCTCAGTTCTTTACTAATCGGGGTGGGGAACCTGTGGCAATCCAGATACTGTTGGGACTGATGTGAGTTGGAGTCCCGATCCCTGTTACAAATCCTGAAACATCCAGCAAAGACAGGACAGTAGTCCAACAGGCTCAAGTCAACAGCTCTGCTCCCTCCCTCTCAATGTTCCTAGTAAAATTGTTATCAGCACTCAAGAAAAGCTAGTTCTCAAAATAGAATACAGGGTGGAATGATGCGGATGGGAGTGTGCAAAAGGCTTGAATGTGAGTGGCTTAGATAACACAGGGTTGGGAATAATTGGTATCCCTTTTCTTTCCTTATGTAAGTGAAGGCTTGCTTTCACTTTCACAATTATACTTGAGGAACGCTTCTGGTTTTTCAAATTTATAATGTTTCTGAACTGTTCATCATGCAATTCCAGATTTGTGTACAGAAGGATGAATAATGCTGTTCACACAAGAAAAAACATAAAGGGGCAGAATTCATTTAACTAGTCCTGTTAGTGGAAGCCAACATGAGGACTTACACTAGTGCAACATGTCCTCCAACATGTTATCTGAAATTGGCTCAGGGGAAGCTGAAAAGCTGATGGACCAGTTGCCATAGAGTCACACTGAATTCCTCCCAAGGAGTAGGGAAGGCAGAATAAAATATCTTGCATGCCAGTGCAGACAGGAGTAACTTCAGACAGCGCTTGCACCCCTGACATTGTGACCTCCCCTGACAGGGATTCTGCACTGAAGTTTGTGGGGGTTTTCCTACCCTTTTAGTACATGTCTTCCCTCCCCCCATATAACTATACTACACTCAGCAGTTTTCAACTTCCTTCCTAATCTGTCAGGTATGGGTACTTGACTTTCTGCTATGGCAGGCAGTGTGTGTGTTGTGGGGAGCTGTAGAAATTAATAGAGCACAAAGCTATCAATGGTTACTAGCTGCAATGACTGTGTTCTCCCTCCATTTTAGGAGGCAGTAGGCCTCTGAATACTAGCTATTTTGGAATACAAGTGGAGAGAGTGCTGTTGGTCTTCAATATGCATCTGAATGGCTACTGTGAGAACAGGATTCTGGACTAGCTGGGCCTTTGGACTCTTCTTATGACACTGGCAAAGCTGGATATAGGAACTCAAATCCATCTGCAAGGATTAAACAAATAGATGCTCACTTACAGGATGAAGCAATTCTACCTGTTTCATCAGGTTATTCCTGCTGCTGCAAATTTACCTTCCCTCATATTTGTTGTAGTTCATCACATTCCTAGAGCTGTGATTTAGGAGGAGGTAGAATCGTGGGAAGAGATCAAACTAGGAAGAAAGTCCAAGCCCCATCATTTGGTAAAAAATAGGCCTAAGATTGTTGCCCCCTAAAATTGAACCACAATGTTTAATAATATCTAGTCTAGCAGAAGAATATAATTTCTACATAGAGTTGGAGTCCAAGGGGGTGCAGTGTGGGGGAATACTTCTGGATTTTCCCCAGCCCAGCCTTCTTGGCTGGATGCAGCTGTTTCCTCACCCTGTAGATCTGGGCTGACCAATGTGGTGCCTTCCAGATGTTGTACTACAATTCCCATCAGCCTCAGACCAATGGTAAGGATGACGGGGGCTGAAGCCCAACAAGACCTGAAGGCCACCACATTGACTACTCCTAACTGCAGATAGACAGGAATATTGAACAGCAACTGCCAGTCTGGCCCACCTATTATTTTTTCCTCCTGTCCCCAGATAAAGAAGGCCTTTTTAGCCATGGTGGCCAATGGGGTGCGAGCAGCCCCTCTCTGGGACAACAAGCAGCAGTGTTTTGTGGGTAAGTGATGCTGCATTCAGGAGGGCAACACAGGACAGCAGGTTTTGGGTAAAAGGAAGTGTGAACTGGGATTTCATAGGACTACTGCTGGCCATTCAAACTGTACTAGGGATGGTCAAGAAGGCAAGGTTGGGTGTGTGCAGGAATTCTGCAGGTGTCTTATTATGGAAAGGCTCAACCATCTGCTGTCCTGAGAACTGGGGTTTGCGCAAGGTAGCCCTTCATGCCTGTTGCTTCAGCTCCTCCAGACCTACACCTGTGTGTATCCACTCTCTTCCTTTTCCTCTTTCCCCCACTCTCTCTTACTGCAGGTATGTTGACTATCACTGACTTCATTAACATCCTACATCGCTACTACCGATCACCTCTGGTGAGTTTTCCAGGACTGTTCAATTGCCTTTGCAAGATCTGGAGCAAACCAACTTCCAGCATCTCCCTCCCAATATGTACAGGGGTGGAGGTGGGTGGGCAGGGGCAGGGGCAGAGGGGTGACAGCAAAGCAAGAGGACCTGTGACTTCAAAGTACAAGTGTGAGCTGTTTGGAACTCTCACTATCTTATCCATTTGTGGGTGACATCACCCTGCTCACGAGTAACATTTTGTTCTGTTTTTAGGTTCAGATATACGAGATTGAGGAACACAAAATTGAAACGTGGAGAGGTGAGGAGGGCACCACTAGGGGGAGTAGTGTATGTATGAATGCTATTGAATATCTTTAAAATTGATTGTCAGCAGTGGAAGGTGAATTGCACTCTGTGTGTGCACGTGTTTACATCTGTCTCCCTGCTTCTGGCCTTGATTTAAACAGTTCCTCTCTTAACTTGGTATCCCTTCCTGCTTGATAGTCTAGACAAGGCACAGCCAGCATTTAGTCCAACAACAACTAAAAGACAACAGCTCCCATAATTCCCTCCCATTGGCCATGCTGGCTAGGGCTGATGGGAGTAGGGGCCCATTGGCCACCCCAGCCCTTAGGCAAAGGGTTTAGGTTACAGTACTCTAGGGATCGGAAACCAGTGACTTCTGGTTTTGATGGGCTCCATCAGCCTTTGCCAGGATGACCAACAACAATCTGGAGGGTCACAGGTTCACCCTCCTTGCACTACAGGCTATTTTGCTGCATTCTGATGAAATTCCATGTGCTGTAGCCCATTGCTGTGAGCTCATTGGATCCTGTCCCATTTCTGTCCCTGGTGTTTCTACTTACTCTCTCCCTTTGAGCTTGATGCACACAACCACCCAGAAGAGGTACCTTCCAGAAGAGGTACCTACCGCTAATGCGGTACCTTCCAGATGTTGATCCAACTCTTTTCATCCTTAGCCAGCATGGCCCAATGGTCAAGGATGATGGCAAGTGAAATCCAACATATGAAGGGCACCATGTGGGCTGCCCCTGACTCACAGGGAAGGTGCAAGGCTCAGGGAGGATCCTCCATCTGCTCACTGCTTGCATGTTCAATGGTGGAGCACATGCTCTGCTTGCAGATGATCTGAGATTCAATCCCTGGCATCTCCTGTTGGGGTAGGTAAATGCCCCCTAGCTAAAACCCTGGAGGGTGGCTGCCAATCAGGACGCAGGCAGTGCTAGGCTTAATGGGCCATTGGGCTGATTCAGTACAACAGCTATAGTACTCTTTCTCTCTTCAAAGTGGGGAAACCCATCCAGATGGGCAGGGTATAAATAATAAAATTATTTTTAAAAAAGTATTATGCATTGAATCACTGTCCCAATTTCTTAGATGCTTTCAATGTACATAACATGGGAAGAAAGTTGATGTTATGGTAAATCATCTTCAACTTGGCAGCGATTAACCATATGGTATAGTGACCTCTGGGACGTGGGTGGCGCTGTGGGTTAAACCACAGAGCCTAGGACTTGCCAATCAGAAGGTCGGTGGTTCGAATCCCTGCTACGGGGTGAGCTCCCGTTGCTTGGTCCCTGCTCCTGCCAACCTAGCAGTTCAAAAGCACGTCAAAGTTCCAGCGGGAAGGTAAACGGCGTTTCCGTGCGCTGCTCTGGTTCGCCAGAAGCGGCTTAGTCATGCTGGCCACATGACCCGGAAGCTGTACGCCGGCTCCCTCGGCCAATAAAGCGAGATGAGCGCCGCAACCCCAGAGTCGGTCACGACTGGACCTAATGGTCAGGGTCCCTTTACCTTTACCTATAGTGACCTCAAGCTGTTATATGCGAAAATCTAAGAAACTCATCATCCTTCTAAATAGATTGGAAACCCAACTGACCTCTTTTGCCAGATTCCCCTCCCCCCACAGCTTCATCCTTAACCTGTAGTAGTTCTCCCATCTTACCTAGGGCAACGGTTCCATATACTATTCAGGTGCTTTCCTTTCTCCCCAGAGGTGTATTTGCAAGGTTTCTTCAAACCCTTGGTGTGCATCTCCCCAAATGATAGGTAAGTCATTCCTGATGCTTGCTTACCCCTCCCACAGATCCCTCCTCTTTGGCAGTAAAGGTGGGAAAGAATTTTAATGAATACATAATAATAGTGTGGCTAGCTTTGATGGAACGAGTCTTGTACTTTTAACAACTGCATGGCAGTTGGTATAAAAGAGTGAAATTTTACTCATCAGTTCCTTGCCAGGAAACACTTCACTTGTTGATTTCTGCCTGTCGAACAGCTGAATGCACAGAGCCTTTGTCCATAATAGGGGTGGGGGAACCCTCACTGTCTCACAATGCCTACTCCATTTAAAGCAGCTGTGCTGCATGATGGCCAAAGTGGAAGTGGTAAATAGGTACAGTCCCTGGGCACAGGGAATCTCCAGGCATGTCATATTGCCCTTTTGTTTCTCCCTTTCCTAGCCTATTTGATGCTGTTTATTCCTTGATTAAACACAAGATCCATCGGCTGCCTGTTATCGAGCCCATCTCAGGGAACGTCCTACACATTCTGACCCACAAACGTATCCTCAAGTTCCTGCATATCTTTGTGAGTGTCTGGTGGTCCCAAATTCCTCTTGGCATAGTTGATGGCAAGGCAGATTATTTTTGGTCTCAGTGGGGCCTATGTTGGCCCAGTGCCCGATGCTCTCTTTTATCATTTATTTATTGGTACAGAGCCAACAGGGTACGTGGTGCCTTGCAGAGCTGCATAGGGAAAAACAGACTGGCCACTTCCCTCAAGATGCTCATGATCTAAAATAGACAATTTGGAAAACAGTAGAAGTTGGGAGAGAAGGGCGGAAGATGAATGTGAGCTAATGCAGCTAGGTGTATTTACAGCTTGATTACAGCTGGAATGGAGGAGTAAGAGGTTAGGCTCCACTAGGGATGTAAAAAGGTATTTTCTTTTTTGTCCCATATTCATTGTCTGCAGCTCTATTTCTATTCTGCTGCAGTTCAGCTTCTGCAAAAAAAGTTATCCAGCTCACTGTGGCCAAATTTAATAATGCAATTAATTACATTATTGTGTGAATGTACATCATTCATTTCCATTGTGGGGCAGGGGGAGCATCATCAATAATGCACTGAAAAAATAACCTCCTCTTCTCTCACTACAGGGAGCCATGCTTCCAAAGCCACGATTCCTGCAGAAAACCATCCTGGAACTGGGCATCGGCACCTTCCGTGACGTTGCCATGGTCCTGGAGTCAGCCCCTGTCTACACAGCCTTGGAGATTTTTGTGGACCGCAGGGTCTCAGCATTGCCTGTTGTTAATGAAAAAGGTACTTGCTGCGGGGAGCTCCTCTGCTCTGCTCACCGCTATGTTTGCTGTTTCAGCTGAGCCTTGCCCCTCTCTCATATGTTATCAGCTTTCTAATTCATCCTCTACTTTTTTCTTGGGCTCTGAAATTCCATAAACCCTATGTGACATTTATCAAACAATCTGAGCCATCGCATGATGTAGCTTTTGCCAAGCTGCACCGTTTTGGGGTTCCATATTTGAATCCCACCCACCCTGCTTGAGCCAATGAACCATAGTGCTATATGTAACATTTCAGAGATAGTGTTAAATCACCATCACCCAGATTTTGTCACTTTTGTAAATTCCACCCGCTGTCATAAAATCAGGAACCCTGATTTTTATGTATTAACTCATAAACTTCAAGATGTGATAAAAGCCTGGAAAAGTGGTCTTCACATATATGATAATATGAATGAATAATGTTCTGTGTCTAGCTCTATTCAATACTTTGTGAGCGGATTTTTTCTTTTATCGGGTATTTCTTAATTATTTTTCTGATTAATACATATGGAATACTTGCTTAATTGCAATGTATTAAATATATCAATACTTTTTAAAAATGGATGATAGCTACATTATGAGGTGGGTGAATGGGAGGGTTTTCTCTACTGAGTCCCTTATAATGCTTCCCTCACTTTCTCTTTACAGGGAGGGTGGTTGGCCTCTACTCTCGCTTTGATGTGATTGTAAGTACAGCACAATCATATTTTTGCAGGTGTGAAGTTGGTTGGCGGGAGAATGGATTTTTTTAGTAGCCAAAGATAAGAAAACAGAATGTTTCCCTGTCTTGCCTCTAGGGGATGCAGTACCTGTTTAAAATTTTAAGATGGGAAGATCACTTGGTAGTTTGTGTGTGTTTGTGTGTGTGTGTGGTTTGGTATCCCTCGCAAATGTTTCCTGAACTCCATCTATCTAAAGGGATTGAGGTGGTGATACTAATTTTCACTACTATTTTTCAGCTCTAGACAGAGAAGTCAGCAGCGGTTTCCCTCTTAAACATAGGGCGAAAAGCAAAGGAGAACATTGTCTCCAATGCTGTGATTCTAAATTGATGGCGGATTAGGGTCCATTTATCAAAGTGGCTGTCACAAGGTGCATTAAACCAGTGTGTAGCAACTGAGCCTTGTTTCAGCAAGAGTTACCTGGATATTAAAGCCAGAGTTCTCCCACCTTTGCAAAGTGGGATTGGGGTAGCTTTATTCTCTGGTAATGCCAAACCTTCCTGGATGATCTGTCATGGTGGCTTCAAACCATTTCCTTGTCTCTGCTTAGCACTTGGCTGCCCAGAAATCCTACAACAACCTGGACATTACTGTGGGGGAAGCACTGAAGCAGCGCTCAGTCTGCCTGGAAGGGGTGCTCACCTGCCATCCTTACGAAACGATGGAAGACATTATTGATCGCATCGCCAAGGAGCAGGTATGCCAGAGTGGAGCAGGAAGAATGTGCAGCTTTAGGTAACAGTTACTCTGTGGCAAGACCTTGACCTCTCCAGTTCCATAAAATCTGCCTTCAGGAGTTCAGCCTAAACCTCTTCTGTCTCTGCTTTCTGCTTACTCAAGTCATGCCCAGTGACACTTCATAATCCAGTCAGCCTCTAATCCTGTCGCCTGATTGACTTTGCTCTATTGGCATAGGTGTTCCAGCAGTAACCATCTCTAGCTTGTTCTTCCCCATGACACTCATGGAAGAGACAAGTCCACACTAGTGCCTTACAGGCCCTAGGAAAAGGATGGGAAATATTGTGGAATACTGTATTCCAACCATTTAAGCAAAAAACAAAAACTCCCAAAATAATTCTCATGAGACATCTCCAGGGCAGAATCTATTCCCAATGAATCACTTGAAATGGGGGTCCACGGGGAAAGCCGAGAGCCCGCATAGAAGAGGCAGATTGCTCAGGTGGGTGGTCCCCAAGGTAAGTGAAACCATCTTCAGATGCTGATGAGAACTGGACACCTAAAGGCTGCTTCACATGTTATATGAGAGAAACAGCTGTTTGCTGCCATACAGCAGGAAGCCATGGCAAGTCCCGGCTCCCTGCTGCACAAACAGGTCTCATGCATATGGCTGGAAACATCTATCTGTTGCGTGTAATGATTTACTGAACCAATGGGGAACCTGTGGCCCTTCGCAAAGCATTGGGACCCCAATTCCCATCAGCCCCAGCCAGCATGGTCAGTGGTCAGGGATGATGGGAAATGTAGTTCAGCAAAAACACCTAGAGGGTCACAGATTCCCCATTCTAGAAGCAAACAGGTGTTTCCATATGCAAACACACATACCTTAAACAATTATAATGTGGGAAGCAGCCCTAGACTTATTTTCTGTACAGCACAGTTGCTCCTCTGCAACTAAAGACTAATAGGCGGCGCAACAGCACTCAGCTTTAACTTTCCTGCCTGCCATTCTTAATTGTAACTTTTCCCATAATGCCCTGTCCCTCGGCTATCTTGCTGTACTAGGATGGTGATGATGTTAATAATAATAATAGCATTATGCCACCAAAGGGAAACGTTTCTGAGGTTTGCCTCAGGTGGGAGGGGTAACTCTAGCCCTGTGGATGTCAAGCACTCATCTCAGCTCATCCCGTTACTCTTCTCTCGATGATGGTGTGTGGCTCACTCATCTGGCAGGTCCATCGTCTGGTTCTGGTGGATGAGAAGAAAACCCCGCGGGGGATTGTGTCCCTCTCTGACATTCTCCAAGCCCTGGTTCTCACGCCTGCAGGTATCGATGCCCTAAACTCTTAAGCCGCCTGACGCTCCATCCTTCCTCCATTTGTACCCTCCATTTCCTCCACTTCTCTCCAGCTCAGGTAGGCCCCATGCCTTGGCCTCTCTGGCCTCTGCCCTGCTGCTCGTTTTTGCCTTGCTGCTGGGTCTCTCTTGTCCGTCCGGCCAAGCCAGGTCTGTATTTCTGTCTGTCTAGAACCAAACACCCAGCCTGGAAGGGAGGCCAATGCTATGGATCGTAAACACAGCATAGCTTTGTAGGAGGAGCCTCTTCATGAGAGGTCCGCAGGGTGGCAATACAAGAATGGGCCTTTTCTGCAATGACTCCCCAGGGAGGCTCACCTGGCACCTTCATCCAGGCACCAAGTGAAAATGTTTCTGTTTAACCAGGCCTTTGGCTGATTAACATTCTGTGTCCTTTTTAATGTGTTTGTGGGAGGGAGGGGGTTATGGGTTTGTTTTTATTATGTATTTTGCATTTATTTTTATGTTGTGAACTGCCCTGTGATCTTCAGATGAAGGGTAGTATACAAAGTTAATACATTATTATTTATTATTATTATTATTATTATTATTATTAGGGGGGCTGCTCAGACACACACAGGCAGGGTTCCAGCTTCTGGGTAGAGAGAGGCCTCCTGATACATCAAAGCTGCGCTTAAACCTTTAAAATCAGCAGCTTCTCATTCCACCTCTAATCCATTTGGATTTTCTCCTTACTCTTTTTCACATCCCTTGGTGCTGGCACGACGCACCAATTGTTGGAAGTGTTTTGTTGCATGGGAAGAGCCTGTTAAAGAACTGGACGGCACTAGAGGAATCCTCTGCATCCAGAAAAATAAGCAGCTGTGTAGTGGGAAAGCTGGTGTATGTCTCACATATATGTAAATTTCTTTTGGCAAGAGTGTTAGTAGATGTGCTGCATGTTAGATTCATTTACAATTGCAATGATAAAACCCTGCTTTTCCACAGCATTTCCCTAGCACAGATTTTATCACAGGGAAATGGTGTTTTTTCAGTAACAACCAGTTCACTGGGTAACATGAGCTGGGGGTTATGTTACTTCCCATGCCCTATAGTCACCCCAGCTGATTTCTTTACCTGTTGTGGTTGCTAAAGGCACAGAGGCAGTTACAGCTTGGGGGCAGGTAGAGTGTCAGGTCAGCTGGCAAGCCTAGCCTTTAAAGGTTGCAGTGGAAAAAGATGATGTTTAGTAGATAAAGCACACACAGCCACAGTTCCCCACCCCCAAATTCCCCCCTTTATCTGAAAGCTCACCTGTATTTTTCATAATCTCTCATTTCTTCTCCCCATCTCCTTTCACATTTAACTTGTATCCTGCTTTCCCCTGCCAGAAACAGCCTGCTTCTTTAATCCCTTCTCTTTGTTCCCTTTACGTTCACTTCTTCTCTTACTTCCATTCTTTTTATTCCCAGTTAATTTTATTTAGATTAATATTTAATCTCTCCAATTTAAAGGGCTCAGCAATCTCCCTTGCAACAAGGCTACCCTTACCATTGTGGGGAGTGGGGACAGTATAGTAGTTTACTATTGCGGGATCTAGCTTCTGCTACTTTTATTACATTATCTACAAGTTTTCGGGGGTGTCGTCAGCTTTCTCTCACTCATCCACCTGCATAGGAGCATCTCAGTGATGGATGAGCACAGCAGCTAGAAAAAGGAGCTAAGGAACCTTCTCCTCCCATCTTGACCTAAGCTATAAAGGGTGGGTGGGGTAGATCAGCCTCTTGCCTTGCCTCGCTGGTGCACAACCTAGACTACCCATTAGTTGTTATAGCAACCACATTATTATTTTCTCTTGCGTTTACCACTCAATTCCCCCCAAAAGCACACAATTCTGGCTGATGTGGCTCCCAGGAGAGGCTCTGGCCACAGGTACACAGGCTGCCACCACCTACGGCTTCTTGTTGCCTTGTTCCACTGGGCTTGAGTCTGATTGATCTCCCTTGTTCTTGCCTGATGCCATGGGCTCCCTGGTTCACTGTGTTGCCACCTTCCCGCAACTAGCTGTGTGTACGGCTGCATCTGTGCTCCTACATGTTTGTACGCAAGCTGGGGTGGATTTGTCCGTGGTCTGTGTAGGGTAGCATCTCTTTGGTCAGCGCCTGGAGCCACCATGCCACAGAGGGGGTGGCTTACCTGTGCAGTCCTCATGATGTTGTTGGACTCCCCAAGTCAGATCAGCCCTCAGCCAGCATGGGGAACAGTATGGGATGATGGGAGGTGTAGTAGGACATCTAGGAGGGCCACACATTTCCTGGGCCTGATATAAGGAAATGCAAGTTGCCTCAAGTATAATTCACTGCAGAATAAATCAGTGGGATAGAGCTGCTTAGCCAAAATCCTAAGCCATTTTTTTGCTGCAGAACCCCCCGCTCCCAGTACAATGCTTGAAAGGCAGCTAAGAAACTGCAAATAAGTTCGATCTGCACCTAACCTCTGGCTGAGTTACTTTTAGGATTGCCACTCAACCAACTGGTTTTGAGTCCTGATTATCTAGTTTATGATAGAGCACAAGAAATTTAATAAGCTTGGGCATGTAACACCAGTGGCTAAAACACTAAAGCTCAGAGCAGCTTCCCTCGGGTTCTCAGGCAGTCTTCCCCTGTATATGGCTTTCAGGCCCAAACTTGCTCAGCTTGAGCAATGCAACTGCTTTTAAGCAGAACACCCCTCTCTGGTAATTGCAACCACGGGACTACCCAAGAACCGTAAGGGCTGGGCTGGAGAAGAGAGACCGCCAGCTAACATGATAAAAAGCAGCATGAAAAGAGGAGGTGCATTTCAGGCACCAACTAGCCTCTGATCATCAAAAGCCTCTAACTGTAAGCAAGAGGTTTTGAACTTTTAGAAACTTTACTGATCACCCCATTTGGGAAGATTTCTTTTTAGTGAGGAGGCCTCTGCATCCAATGAGGCTTCTGCACGTTCTCTAGGCCAGGAGTTTGTTATAGGAGGCACAGCCTGGCCTGTGTCTATGACTGCAGTGATTCTTCCCAGCAGGCCAGCTTGGGGGACAGGACTTATCTTCTGGGATATGTAGTTCATGGAAGGAAACAGCTGCTTCCCAACCGAATCACGCCCATCAGACAACAAAGAGGGAGAAGCATAGGGCAGGATCCTTCTCCCACTATGGTATTAACTTTCTTCATTCCTTTCTACAGGCATCGACCGGTATTCAATCTGATGCCATTAAAGGCCACACTTGCTACCCAGCACTTGGGGTTACCTCCAGGGCATCTATGACACATGAGGGTAAGGTGGGGCTTTCCAGCCCATGAAAGAGAGAGATTTCTTCCTAACAGGCAACATTGGTGCTTTGGCTGCGCGTTCCTCCTCCCTCCTCCCTTCCATGATGCAGAAAGAGGTGTGAGAAGCGATAAGAAAGGAGGATCTGAACTGCAGAACTGTAAATAGATTTTTCAACCGCTGAAATCTGCTAGAGTGTTATAGAAGCAGCCATGCTACAGATGGAGAGAAAGCTGGCCCTGGTTGAACACTTGCACCTGTTGCTTGTCTCCTTTTTCTATCCCCTGCTGACTGTAGGACATGTTATCATGCACAAAAATCCATCCTGTTTCAAGGCCTCTAGCAGATGCTTTTGACTGAACTGAGGTGACTGCTACTGCTCCAGACATACGGACACTCAAGAAGGCCCATGACACTCACAAGAGGAAGGTAGACTACGATCGCAGTGGTTTGGCTCCATGACTTCAACAGGGATTAAGGATTTCCGCATTAGACCCTGCTGCTTTGGAGAAAAGGCAGCTTGTTTCCAACACAGGACTAAACACTTAGCAGGCTATTGCATTATTTTTATTGTTGTGATTTTTCATTGTACCTGAACCAGCAACAAGGTGTGAGGCTGACGTGACCTAAGCTGAGGAAAAATAATTTAAGAGGGAATGGGGAGTTCTGAAATTCATGGAAATGCTTTCAAATGTATTTTATACTATTACAGAACACTATGGGGTCACTTTCTGTCAACTTTAGAAAAAACCTAGCTCAGTCCACCATTTTCCTATAGCTGACAACAAGCAACTTGCAATCTTTCCCCTTCAGCCTACAGTAAAAACCAAGGCTTTTGACTACAGTGGTACCTCTGGTTACGTACTTAATTCGTTCCAAAGGTCCATTCTTAACCTGAAACTGTTCTTAACCTGAAGCACCACTTTAGCTAATGGGGCCTCCCGCTGCTGCCAGGCCGTGGCGGTGCGATTTCTGTTCTCATCCTGAAGCAAAGTTCTTAACCCAAGGTACTATTTCTGGGTTAGTGGAGTCTGTAACCTGAAGCGTCTGTAACCCGAGGTACCACTGTATTGAGTTCCCCTAACAGCAACAGAAGGATTTGCTAGGAGGTAGGTAGCATTTTCCCAGCAGACTTAGTGGGGAGGGTCTCACTACAGGAAAGCATGCAGTTTCTCTTCTTGTTGTTGTGTTCAGGTTCTTTGAAATAAACTTTCATATTAAGACACAGACTATATGCAAACAAGCATGACTACATTTGTTTGTATGTATGCATAAGGTACTTGGATATTCGAGGGAAGTAGAAAGTTACTGGGGATAGTTACACCTTTTCTTTCAACACCCATCTAATATCCCACTCTGAGACAGGTAGAGCTATTTTATCCACTGGAGGCCACATGTTCAGTTGCCAGTTGGTGATGCTATTACGTTTCACAGGAGGAGCAATGCATCTCCACAATAGGGGGCAGCCAAGAGGGGGCTCTGCAGATGTTTTGGATTAAAACTGTCATCACCTCCACCCAGCATGGCCGGTGATTGTAATTGTGGTCCAAAACATCTGAAGGGCACCAGATTTGCTGCTCGCTGCTCCAGGAAGAAAAAAAGAAACTAGCAAGGGCACATTTAAAGGTAGGAGAAAGGAAGAGGGTGGACTTCTTTGAATGATAAATAGCAAGACTGTCACATGCTGATATTATAGTTTTTATTATGATAGATTGATAACAGAGTGTCTTTATTATTAGGCTATTAGGATCTTCTTGTTCAAGTCTTTTCAAATATATTTATGAAAGAAAAATCAACAATGGAATTTTAATGGGGACCCGGAAATTCAAAACACCTTTTGAGAACATCCTCATCCACACCAAATTCCCTGCTGTTGACCATGCCTTTAAGGCACTCAGCACTGGAGGGACCTCACTGAGCATTTAGAACCATAGTTCCCAGCCATTGGAGTAAGGTTGACTCACACATTGGAAAAGAAGTTCATGCTACAGCTCCTTCCACTCAGCATACTGGGATTCAGTTAGGAGTTCACAAAGGGGAAATAATTTGTTAAGAGCCATGGAATCTTTCAGGTGGCAAGAACCCAAAATTCCCTCAGCAAAATACATAAGTTTAGAGCACTGCTGAAACGAGCAGAGAAAGAGAAGGGATTGGGCAGGAGTGAGTCTCAAGAGAGAGAAGGGAAGCGATAGACTGTGTGAGAGACAAAACTGAAACAAAACCAAGTCATTGCTCTGGACAGTCTTTCATCTCCCATCCTTCTTTGATACTATTTACTCCAGAAGGATATGTGGACATTTTAGCATCAGGAGACTCTTACAACGTTTTCATAACTGATTGATACAGGGTAATACAGAGCTAAGAAGTCTTGCTTCCTTAAGTTCAGCATCAAGTAAGTTCCATCGGTGATTAAGGCACACCCGTTAACAGTAAATGGCCTCACTCAGGGCTGACATGTGGCCAAGCTGGGACAGAGGTACTACTTCTAGGATGATTCTGGGCAGAAGGGATTGATTGGGTGGTGCACCAGCACAGCTGACACCCCCACAAACCCCAAATGGAGTAGGCACAGGAGTTACAGAAACTGTGAAGGGGGGGGGGAAATAGTAATACCAACCTCATGTGCTAGTAAATACCACCACTTCCTGTTTAGCCATTCCAGTTTTTGAGGAAGCTGCCCTCTGTAAACATGTAAGTGCTCTAACGAGGACCAGGGACAGCATCAAGAGCAAAAATCAGTGATTGAGGTGATGAGGATTCTAGTGCTCGAGAAACCTCCCACTGTGCCATGTTTGGTTTTTGATCAGAATGATACCACTAATGAACTGCTCCAGGAAATGACTTTCCCCATCCACCACATGACAACAACTCTGCCATTCAAGTATAACCAGTAATGGACATGGGGGAAAGGCACAAAAGGTATGCACACAAGGTAAGCTGAACCCAGTTTTCACTGCCCCGGAGTCCATCATAACAGAGGAAACAGATGGCTCAAGAACATGCCTGGAGTTTTCAGCAAACCAGAAGTCCACAAAGCAAGACCCAACAGTATGAAAGGGGAGGGGCAAGATCTCCTCTGTTCCTGATCATGGAGGTTGGAGAAACGATTGTCAGCCACCATTAAGAGATAAGGCACATAGCATCTCCCTATGAAATGTGAGGACACAGGCCTGGAATCTGGAGGTGGCAAGGAAGAGGGTTGCTGGGAGGAAGCCAACGCAACGCTGGTGCATCAGAGTTGCTTCATGATACTGGAAGTGGGAAGAATTTGCCCGTCTTCTTGGTGCGGGAGGCATTCCTGGCAGAAGACAAAACAGGAGAGGGAGACCCCAGAGTGGACATCTATGGCAGCCCCCTTGGCAGCAGCCCCTCTGGCCAGGTGAAAGGAAGGTCAGAGAACCTCCACAACATGTAGGAGCCTCCACACCTCAGGGGCATGGGCACATGGACAGCTGTGGCAACAAGAGTTTGATAACCCTTCCCAAACAAACCCAGTCCTTATCCAAGGATGGTAGCAGCACTCAATAGCAGCTGGGTTGGGGAATCTTCTTCAGCCAGAAGAAAGCCTTCCCTCACAGGCAACCTTCCTGGTGTGGCAAACTAGTGGTGAGCAGGGCCAGAAGCAAAAGTTGTCAGAGCAGCCGGTGTGACTTATCATTGACTATCTTTGGACTATGTTCCAGCCATACGAAAACCAAAGGTTCTCTCTCACACACCCAAACAGACACTCGCTACTTCTCCATCCAGGCAAGCAAGAGCACCATCATAGTTTAACAGCACATTCCAGTTAGGCAAAAGCAGGGAGTGGAGCAGGATCTGTGAGGGGAAAGTCCTGGGAGACCCGACAAGGAGGCCTTGATGGCTGCATTCAGCTCACAGGTCCCCCTCCCCTGCAACCCCACAAAATGCACCCCAGGCAGCTGTGCCAGCTCACTTACGAGGGTGGGAAGGTGGTCCCAATGCAGTCCCATAGCTTATTAGGGAGACAGCCGCCTCCTGGGCTCATCTGGACTTCAGGGGGAGTCAGAGGAAAGAAGATCTGGTCTGTGGGTGGAAGGTTAGAGGGAAGTATTAGGTCCAGCTCCCCACCACCACCACCACCAACCTGTCCTTCGGAGGATCACCAAAACTGAGTAAGGATGGGGCTCTTATATTTCTTCCTCCCCAAGCCACCCACACTTCAGTTCACCTTGCTCATTCATGACGCTGGGCTTTTGCACCAAAGGCACCAGGTTTTCCTGCTCTTCTCCCACAAAATGTCTCCAGAACGAAAGAGGCAGTGCTAAGAGATTGGCAACCACCTGCGGGGGAATGGAATCATGTTAGCTTTGTCTGCCGCCTAATCGTGGAAATTCTTCCCTATCTGCCCCACCCGGCCTTCATTAGCTGGTTCTTGCTTATGTTCCACAGAGGTGTCTATCTGCCCATTGTTTTCACATGGATTCAGTTGTCATCATAAATTTATTGACAATGTGGTAGAGATGAGAACTTGCAAAAATGCAAGCTTGGAGGAACAGTGAAAGCTGACACTCTCACAAGCCAATATTTGAAACAAAGCATTCAGAATAATTCTCTGAACTCTACTAATTGAGATGCAAGAGCATTGATTAAGCAGCAGTCAGTTATGCTCCATTTGTTACCTTGACTTTTGAATTTCTCACTGCAGTTTTTATGCTCTTATGAAATTTTATGGAATAAGAAAGCCATGGCACATAGCAAGGGCTCACTTGCCGAATTTTGCAGTAGGCTAAAATTAGCATTTCTGGGAATCTCAGCTCCCCCCCCCCCACTTTTAATATAAAAAAGCAAGTTTCTAGCCCATAAGACAAAAATATAATATTAAAAATCTGTTTAAAATGCTTGGCAAAGTCTCAGAAGTAAGCAGGATTTCCCACAGTCAGGACTTTGTTCCTGCCTTTGTCACAATTAGCAGAAGCATTCCTCCTCCAAGCTCAGGGTACCTCCCCACATTCCACTGAGTTCACAAGAGCTACCCTGGTGCAACAAAAATAATCAATCCTCAGTTCCACACTGCATCAGGATTTTGCTTGATGTACAGTCTGAGCATTGTGCAGTCTTTCCTGCAGTCCCACAGAGGGTAAAAAATAAATAAATACTGCACACAAGTAACAAATACAGGTTGCATCTGTTACCAGGCATTGACGTGGTGTGTCTTCCATGATGATGCGTGGGGAAGGGCTAGGATTACTGTGCCCAACTAGAGTCGGTCCAAAGATACGTGCTAGGTTGTGCAGGTCCATTCGACACTCAGGGCTCTGCATGACCCTAAGGACAGAGAGATGGATCCATGGAGTCAAAGGCCAAAGGCCAAAGCAGAATCCTTCTAACCCAAAGGTACAAAGCCCAGCTATATCCATAACATGGATGGTGGGCATCACAACAGGGTCAGAAACCATGGTTCATGCAGGCCACACAATAGGTGAAGCAACCAAGCCCACAAGACAAGACAAATTGCAGGGGACAGGATTAGACAAAACCCCTCATTAGCAGAAAATGTATTCCTGACACCCCTTGATGCAACAGATATCCATTATTATGTTTGTTTCTTTTAAGTGAGAAGTGCATTATCTGATGTAGCAAATAAGTGTCCCAAAACAGGTTTCTGAACAGTTACTGTGGATCCAATCAATGAACAGAAAAGAGTGCTGTTCAAACCTATTGTGCAAGACAGGAAAATACCCATAGTAGCAAGTGGTGCAGTCAGCACTTTCAACAAGGATTGATGATGGAACAATTGTCAGATACTTATCTGCTTGCCCTTGTACAGAGTAAGAAAATTAAGAAAAGGAAGACCTTTATGGAATGAAATGCAAAGGCCTCTGCCTTTACAAATGGGGAAGCAAATTCACAACACTCCTAACATGCAGAAACAGTATTATGTTGTTTCAAAGGAAAATACATGGCTTGAACATGCAGTGTCACCTTTTGCCAAGGCAGAAATCTCCACCAAGTTGAGGGAAAGTTTTGCACATTTTAGAATTCCAGGTATCCCCCTTCAAGCCTAAAATCTGCCCTCACCAGCTTACCTATGGAGATGCAGCACCAGAAAAGACAGAGTGTCCCTATTGGCCAGAGGCAACTTCATCACAACATGGCAGAGTGCAGTCTGGCGAGCAGCTTCATCTGGAATTTCTGGGTGGGAAGGAAATAGTGCTATGAGGTGTGTGGGGGGGGGGGTTTCATTACTACCACTCCAGAAAAGGCACTTTCCACCTACTGCCTTGTCCAAACTCACCTGAAGCACGCAGGAAGGCAGGGTGCAGGGCAAAGGTCACTAGAGGTTCCTTCAGGCTCCTCAGAAAGTCCTTGAGAACCCCACAGATCACATTGACATCAGCCACCTGGTCCAGTGAGGGAAGTGCTCCTCGGGCACAAAGCAGCTTGCGCTTCCATTCTCGAATGAGGTGCTCTGAACCTGGCACTCTGTATAGCCCAGCCTGCAGATCACGAGGAGCAAAAGACAAGAGGAACAGATGCACACACAAAAGCTTGTAACGGCCACTAAGGTACAGTCTCAGCCGGCACTTCAGGCCTGGAATCATTACCACTAGTCAGAAGCATCTGCCGGCACCATTTTGTGGCCTTGCCTCTTTCTGCTTTTTAAAGATGTCACGGCCATTTTGTGTAATGCTGCACCCTCATGGATACTTTAGGACTTGAAATGTGAAAGACAGGGCCTTGGATTGGGCCTGTAAGTATATAATTAACTCCTGTGGCTGGATAAAAACAGGCACTGGGTATGCAAACCCATCTCCCACCACCAGTAAGGAGGGTAGCCGAAGCAAAGAGTTCCGGGCCTAGGGAGAGGGTCAGAGCAGGCAACACCAACATACGATATCCAGTGAGAAAGCTCAGAGCATGCAGAATGCAAAGAACGAGGGGACCGATAAGGAGAACAGCAGCAGCAGCAGAGATCAGAAGTAAGATTATGAAGAGCCTAAAGAGGCTGAGAGGAATTTGGGGGAGAAAAAGTAGCCAGTGAACAGAAATAGACAAATATTAAAAATGCATTAGAAAACCAAACAACCAGCCAAGATGAAAAAGGAAAAGAAGATCAGAAGTCAGGAGAAGCAAGTGAACTAAATGCAACACCTCTATCCCAACAGCTAGCATAGGGGAAGTAGGGCAAAAAGAAAAATATCACAGAAGTTGTGCAGTGACAGAATTAGATGTGGAAATCCAGGTTGATGGCAGTTAAGAGTAAACCATCAGCAGCTCAACCAGCCTTTCAGAGCCCCACTGCTGGGCCCCCCCATAAATGCACTTACCTCCTTCAGGCCACGCCTTTCCACTTGATTCACACACTGGATGACTAGTGGGGGCACCAGAGGTGGGGTGGAGGGTGCAAAATCTGCCAGAATGCCCTGAGAAGACACGGGGAACCTTAGAAGAGGCAACTGGTAGTCGGGGGGTATACTGTCTGACAGTGGAGGAAGAACACAGGCATTGTGGCTAGTAGCCATTGATCACGGCTAGTAGCCATCAATGTGGATTGGGGGGAAACAGCTCAGCCATACCTGCCGCACATGTCACCCCAGCCACCCGAATTGCTCTTGCCCCCGGCAAAGCCGGCAGCACTGAAATAAAAGCCCCACGAGCTCCCATCCCAGGGAAGCGTCCTCACCTCTCTCGCTCTGGGGGAGGCAGTCGGCCTGCACACGGACGGGCTGCGTTCTTTGCACTCAGGATGCACTACAAGCTGGCAGGGCCGACATTTCAGGGCCATCTTCCCAAAGCGCAGGCGGGATTTGCAAACCGCACACGACTCCAGGCTGATCATCTTGTAGCCAGGGAAGAGAGAAGAGCATTAGATGAGCACAGCAGAGATCAAGAGGAAAAAGACCACAGGCTTCCCATAGCTTGCCCCTTTGTACAATATCCCTCTAGCTTGAATTTGTCCAGTGGAGCTCTTGGATTTATTTATTGCATTTATACACTGCCTTTCTGCCAAAGCGGTTGACAGTTTTAAAACATCAAATAAATGATACAAAAGGTATAGTTGGCCCAGGGGTAGGTGGGGAGGGGAGAGTCCAATTGGCACAGGCTCTGGTGCTGCCCCTGCCTGCCCCCACCCCAATCTCTTCTTCATGGAGCTTTTTTTGTAGGTATATTCCACACCATGTTACTGGCATGATCCTTAGTTCCTTAGTGGTGGGTTTGTACTGGAGCACCCACAGATTGTTCCACTTTATCAGCTATCCTGAGATGCTTTCAAAATGTTACTGCATGATTGCCACCAGGGCGAGCACTCTTGGGCAAGACAGAAGCAGAACTTTTGTAGTATGCAGTGTTACAAGATTTTAACAGGAAGTTATGAGACTTGCACAAAATTGGAAACAAATGCAGACAGTTGGCTTAGGAGAACCCAGTCAACCTATCATTAAGAGCACTTGAAAGAATCCCAGCAGATAAGCACTCCAGCTGAGGGCGTTGCTGAGAGGCAGCCCTGTTCTTTTCTCACCGTCTTGGAAGTAAAGTGGTGCTCTTGGAGGGGTGGTGTTCCCTGTGTGCGAGAAGGAGAAAAGGGGTCCTGAACACCCCTCAAGTCAGTCCTAATCTTCGTGCCAATGGTGTCACTCTCAGCCTGGCTATTACTTCTGCCTGACCCCTCACTGCTGCCCCAGAAGGAAGTGGCGTCTGTGGAGAGAAGACCACACATCAGAGACACATTTAAAGGCATGGACACTTTCGTCCAGCGTTCAAGCTGGCACCTCCCAGAAGTCACTGTTGGATCTTAGCACTGGTCTACCTACTTCCATCTGCAGGCTCCCATTTGGAGTATGACGCCCTGGGGGTGCAGAAGCCCACAATCAAGAACTCAGTGTGACTGCTCTGTGTGGACGGAGTTGGCCAGGAACCTGGGCTAAGGTGGGGCAGACAACTTGCTCAATCCCCTCCAGTGGTCCTGGGCTTGGGAGCATGGTGGCGGTCAACTGTCCAGAGGACAGACAGGTGGGAGAATGGACTCAAAAGTTTGCAAACCAGACCCCATCTTTAAAGGAGGGGGAGACAAGCCAAATATCTCCCTGCTCCTCATAAAGCCATTCTTGCTATTCTAGCTCCTATGAATCCAAACCTACACATCTGAGATCACGATTAAACCATTTGGACACACTCAGAGTCTGCCTGCCAGTCTCTTGCACATAACATGGCTCGTGGTTTTGTAGTTCTACCCCTCCTCCTCCTCCTCTAAACCAGCACCGCATCCAAATCTGTTTGGACTGCACACCCTTTCTTCAAAGGAAAGGCATAAGTACCCTGAGCATGTATTGAGTAGATGCCCCATCCCCACTTACAACTAAGGAAAACGGGATGGCGAAGAGGAGCCCAGGCAGAACAGGATCTTTTGTCCCTTCACTGTCCCCAACTCCCTTTACAACATTCTGGGAACATCCTATTTTCCATTTTGGAAACGGAAAAGCTTATTGCAGCATATTCTCTAGTTCTACTGCTAAACCTTCTGTCAACACTCATTACCTAACCATGTCTGCCCACCTCCAGAACAGGCCAGGCCACACCCAAAAAAGGAGGGAAGAGGCACCTGAGCGTGTGGACAGGCAACGGCTCTGCTGGGATCGGCGACGGGGCACCACAGCAATAGGAGGCAAAACGTGGGCAGTGGCTCCGGATCTCAGAGTTGCCACAGACATCTTATTGGCCTGGCAAGATTGGAAGGGAGGGGCAGAGAATGATGAATGGCAGTCTTGATCAAACCCCTTTAAATGAAGGATGCAGGATTATTCTCTCTCACACACACATCCACACGTTCAAAGGAATCTTAACCCTAAGAGCTTGCAGAACATAAGGGAAACCCCGTTTTACTTGAAGCTTCATTGCCCTGTTTGATCACGCCATGTATAACACATACCCTGCCGTGCAATCTACCACATTGCAGTATCTTTTTATCAGAGCCATTTATTATCAGAGCTGATTTTGCAATGGTGTCAAAGGTTGCAGGCTGGGTCTTCCCTTGTACAGAGATACGCACAAGGGCATCGCCAGGTACTTACACTCGGAGGCGGAGGTGCCACAGATGTTTGTGCAGATTTGGTTGTTGCCACTGGCTGAATCAGGGGCACGAGGGAGGAGCACTGGAGGAGAGAAACAGGTGTGAGAGCAACAGGAAGACAGATCCACGTAATTCCGGGTGAGGGAAGCTCAGCACAAATTGCTTGCCATTTTTCAGACTATCAACAAGACAGAGCAAAGTAAATGGCGGGATACAGACGAAGACGTTTTCAAATATTTGAATGTGTAATTAGAATTGCATATGGGTAAGGAAGATTTATCTCCTCCTGTCCAGTTGTGGTCTCTGATGAAACAGATGTTTGAGGCAGGCACACAGAACTAATATAGGACGGGTGCTTCAGTTCTGGAATATGTGGCAGCTGAAGGACAGGATGCTTCCCAGCCCCACCTTCACTTACCCCTTTGTCTCTGCCTTTGAGGGATTTTATCACTTCCAAATCCTAGAAGAAAACAGAAAAGGAAAGCCTGAGAAAGGATGTAGACACATTTGTAGCTCATGGGCTATTTAAAATGAAGGCCCACCCTGAGCTTGAACACATCTTACCACTTCTTCCCATCTCAAGTTTTGAACTGTGTGTATACATACATACATACATACTGTGATGGGATTATGAGCTGCTTGTGCGTAAAATCGTATTCCCTCAGAGTTTGTTCAAGTCCACAAACCTCTGTCTGTGACTGAGCCCCTCTGACATGGCTCCTCTAGTCACTAGAAGATTCCGACAGTGGTTGCTTTCGTAATCGCTTCCAACATAAAAGCTCCTTAACGGAAACACGTCTTCTGGACTCTCTGCGTGACAGTTTCCGGCGAGGAGTGGGTGTCGCTACAGGAGGTCCGGAAACCTCACCACTGTTTTCGCTGGAAGTATCTCTGAGCCATCCCCCAGCTCCCTTTCCCTCAGTTCAGCTTCTCTCCCCTACTGGTTTCCTGTTCCGCTGCTGAGTCTCTTCCAACCTGTCTGAGCCCTTTCACCTCCCTCAGTTCAGCTTCTCTCCCCTTGCTGGTTCCCTCTTCAGCTGCTGAATCTCTTCCAACCTGTCTGAGTCCTTTCACCTCCCTTCCTTCCGATGGCAGTTCCCTGACATCCACCTCCCCTCCAGGGCCCCCCTTCACCCCCCTCTCGCCCCCCTCCTCTACGGGCGGTGAGGAGGCAAAACCCCGGAATGAACTTCCTTCATCTTCCGATGTCTCGAACACTTCTCTCCACCTGTTGCGGTTCCTGGTCTCGAAGCACTCCTCCTCCTCCGAGTCCATCTCCCCTTCCCCTTCCGATTCTGGGAATCCTTCCAACTCCTCCTCCTCCTCAGTGGTCCCAAAGTATTCCCTCCGGAACCTCTCCACAGGCTGAGGTTTCCGCGGGAACCTTTGATGGAACATTTCTATCAATACCTCGTCATTGATATCTTTGGCCATTACCCACGTGTTTTCTGACTCCGGTTCTCCTTCCCACGCTACCAAATACTCCACCTGATTCCCCTTCCACCTGGCATCAAGGATTTCTGCCACATGACTGCTGCATTCTCTTTCTTCTATGACCGGTCCCCGAGTGGCCATCCCTTCTCGTCCCCTCGTACGGTGACAGTAACGACCTGTGAAATACTGGGTGCAGTTTCATGTGGTTGGGTAACCGGAGCCTGAAAGCCACTGGGTTGACCTGTTGAATGACCTCAAAGGGACCCAACCTCCTGGGTCGTAATTTCTTACAACCTCCTTTGAACGGCAACCCTCGGGTTGACAGCCACACCCTATCTCCAACCCTTATGGTTTCACCTTCCCTTCGGTTCTTGTCTGCCTGCCTCTTGTATTCTTCCTTCGCCCTTTCTAAGTTGAGTTGGAGCTGACGGTGGATTGCTTCCATTTCTTCTACAAAATGCTCGGCTGCCGGTACGCTCCATCTCTCCCCTTCTCCCCTGGGAAAGCCCTGGGATGACACCCATAATTAGCCAAGAAGGGGCTCATCCCTGTGGACACATTCTCGGCATTGTTGTAGGCAAATTCCGCCAGCGCCAACTTTTCTACCCAGTCATTCTCTCTGTCATTGACATAACACCTCAGGTATTGCTGGAGGACACCGTTTGCTCTTTCCGCCTGCCCGTTGGTTTCAGGGTGCCGGGCAGTCGAAAAGTTGACCTCCACCTGCAGTAAGCTCATGAGCTTCCTCCAGAACCTGGAAGTAAATTGTTTTCCTCGGTCTGAGACCACCCTCAATGGCACCCCGTGCAACCTAAAAATGTGTTCTACAAATAACTTCGCTGTCTCTTCCGCCGTGACTGCATGCGAGCAAGCTACAAAGTGGCACATCTTTGTTAGTAGGTCTACCACCACCATGATGGCTGTTTTCCCTTTGGACTTCGGCAGATCAGTCATAAAATCTATCGACACTGCCTCCCAAGGTCGTTCTGGTGTTGGTAAGGGTTCTAATAGCCCCGCCGGCGCCCGCCTTTCCCCTTTGGCTCGCTGGCACTGCTCGCACCCTCTTACATACTCACGTACATCCCCCTCACCTTAGGCCACCAAAATTCCCTGGTGACCAACCACATGGTTTTGTGTTGCCCAAAATGCCCCGCCGTGGGGCTGTCATGCAACTGCTTGAGTACCCTCCCCCTTAAGTCTCCTTCAGGGATATACAGTGCCCCTTTGTAATACAAAGCTCCATTTCTTTCCTCGAAACCCCTTGATTCCTCTCCCTCATCCCTAAGACCTCTGAGCTTATTCTGGGCGTATTCATCATTCTCTGTTTCTTCTACCAGTTCTCTTTGTCCCACCAATGCCGCCCCACACACCCAGCGGTCCTCTGGAATGACATGTCTCTCTTCGGGTGCTCCCTCCCTCCCAATATTCAGGTTTGCGTGAGAGAGCGTCCGCCCTAATGTTCTCTGGGCCTGGCACGTAACAAATCTCAAAGTTAAATTTGGAGAATTCCTGGGCCCATCTCACTTGCCGTTGGTTGAGCACTCGTGCCGTCCTCCAATACTCTAGGTTCTTGTGGTCAGTGCACACTTGCACCTTATGTTGTGCGCCAATTAGCAGGTGCCTCCATCTCCGGAACGCCTCATGAATGGCTAGTAGTTCTCGGTCATACACCGTGTAGTTCCTCTCGGATTTGTTCAGCTTTCGCGAAAAAAAGCACACGGTCTCCACTCTGACTCCTCCTTCCCTGGCTGGAGAAGCACCGCCCCAACCGCTCTGTCTGATGCGTCAGTTTCCACTCTCATCGGTTTTTGTAAATCCACATGCAGGAGCTGTTGTTCCGAGGCGAAGGCCCTTTTAGTTCCTCAAATGCTTGCTCCGCCTCCTCCGTCCAAACGAACTTCTTCTTACTGCTGAGACAGTCCGTAATGGGCGCCGTCAGGTGGGCAAAGTTTGGGATGAACTTACGATAGAAGTTCCCAAACCCTAAAAACCTCTGCACATCCTTCCTTGTTTTGGGTGTTTTCCATTCCAGTACCGCCTGGACCTTGTCGGGATCCATGGCCAACCCCTTGTCAGACAGGCGATACCCCAGGAATTCCACCTCCTTGGTATGAAACTGACACTTCTCCAGTTTCACCCACAGCAGGCTGGCTTGCAGCCTGCTCAACACTTCTCTGACGTCTCTCACATGCTGCTCCTCATTCTCAGAATACACCAACACGTCGTCTAAGAAGGCCACACAATTCTTGTAAAGCAACGGCCCCAGGACGTGGTTCATAAACGATTGAAATGTTGCGGAGCCTGCTTGTAGACCGAAGGGCATAACTAAGTATTCAAATGCCCCTAAAGGGGTGAACATGGTGGTTTTCCATTCATCCCCCTTCCTTATTCGTATCAGGTTGTACGCCCCCCTTAGATCCAGCTTGGTAAAAATCTTTCCCTTCCGCACCCTTGTCAAAATGTCGTCAATCCTGGGCATCGGGAAGGCCACTGGTTCTGACACTGCATTTAAGGCCCTGAAGTCACACACCAGTCTCGGCTTGTTCGTGTTTTTTTGTCCACAAAAACACTGGGCTGCACCCCACCGCCCTGGACTCTCTGATGAACCCTCTCTTCAGGTTCTTGTCAATGAACTCTCTTAGCTCCTGCATCTCTCTGTCTGACATGGCGTACAGCTTGCCTACAGGGAGCTGTGCCCCAGGGAGCAAATTGATTTGACAGTCAAAGGCTCTATGCGGTGGTAGTTGGTCAGCTTCCCTTTCGCTGAAGACGTCGCGGAGATCTGCGTATTGTCGTGGTACCTTCACGTTCTCCGTCACTTCAGTCCCTGCTAGAGTGGCTTGGGCCCCTGCCAAAACCCTTCCCTCTTTGCAATGTTCTAAGCAATGTGCTGACCCAAAAGAAACCACTCTTTGATGCCAGCCCACCAGCGGATCATGTAACGCTAGCCAGCTCATCCCCAATATAATGGGAGCTCCTCCCAAGGTGGCCACATTAAATGCTATTAGTTCGGTGTGCCTTGCCACCTTCATTATCATTGGGACGGTCTGCAAGCTGACTTCTCCTCCCAACAGCTCCCTGCCATCGATCGTGGTTACCTGCAGGGGGTTGCTTAAAGGGAGCGTCTGTATCTGGTGTTCAGCTGCAAACTCTTTGCTCATGAAATTGCAGGAGCTGCCTGAGTCCAACAGCGCCTTAATCTTTAGAGGGTGTCCGTTTGGCAGCTCTAGTGTCACTTCTATCACTAGGGCGGGTTTAGGAGGTTCTGGAGTGGGCACTTTCACTGCTCTTTGGCCTGGCTGCTGTGCCCCGACAATGGCAGCCAGGCGTTGGCTTTTAGTTGCTCCGGTATTTTTCCTCTCTTCCCTCCACAGCTCCCACCATCCCTTGCCATTCCTTCCTCTGGGGGCAGACTCTGGCAAAGTGCCCTGGCTGTTGGCAGAGATAGCATTTCCGGGCGCCTTTTCCATCCTTCTTTCCCCCTCACTGGGCTTTGAAACTGCGCGCGCGCGCTGTTCCGATTTCCATCGGCTCTGCCGGCGGGACAGTTGGCTCTGGAATGTCTGGAATGCGGAACTCCTTCCAACGTTCCCCTTCCCTTCCCGCCTCTCCAATGCTCTCGCCTCCTGGCGCGCCTCCTATGGCCAGCGCTGATTTGGTCAGCTGGTCCATAGACTCCGCCCTGGGCGCCCGGGAAAGTTCATCTTTCACAGCCGAAGAAAGCCCTTCTTCAAAGAGCATTTGAATGGGTTCCGCCGATAAGTCCCACCCCAATCTGTGTATCAGCATGGTGAACTCAGTCCAGTACTCACGTACAGATCGGCTCCCCTGTTTGCAAGCCATTAACTGTCTGCGCACCACTCCCTTTTCAATATCGCTGGAAAACATCAAATCCATGGCGCGAAAGAACTTCATTGTGTCCTTTAGGACGTCACTATGCGCTGCCATCAGGGGTCTCACCCAGTCTCTCGCCCCTTTTCAAGATG